TCTCTATTATAATAATTTTAAATATATTATTATCTATAAAGATTTTAGAGCTAATAAGTATATATATATAGAATTCTTTAGCGATATTATATAGATTATTCTTATTATTACTCTTATCGTTTAGAATAAAAGCTCTAATATTAAATAGTATATTAATCTTTCTTTATTAATTTAGCTATAGTATATTAAGTAGATAGATAATTATCGCTATATCGTTCGATTTTAATAGAGATAAAGAGTAAAAGATAAGACTCTTTTTAAAGTCTATTCTTACTATTAAAATAACGTCTTTATTATTAAATAAATAGTAGATCGTTTATATTTATTTTAATTTAAGTCTATTTTTAATCTCGCTTAGATTTATATATTATTATTAACTCTATAACTTAATTAGAGTATAATATTATTAAATATTTATATTATCTAGATATTTTAAAATATTAATAATCTTATAACTAATCGCTATTATTATATTAAAAATAAAATATTAAATATTAGATTTAAAAGTAGTATAAAAGAAGATATTAATATTATTAATAGTATATAAGATATTATTAGAATTACGATAATTACTCTACTTCTTTATACTTTCGCGATATCTAGAATATTACTTTAATAAGAGCGAGAAAGAGTTTAACCCGCTACTCGTTTTTTAGAATTTTATAAAATCGCTAAAGTAATATCTACTTTACTTTTATACGCGGGAATTAAATATATAAATTTTTAAATTTCTTTTAATTTAAATTATTAAAAGTTTTTAGACTTCGCTATTATATAGAGAAAGAATATTACTATAAGATATAAAGAGATTAATATCTAAAGTTCGAAGATATTTTATTATTATCGCTATAGAGAAAGTTAGATATCTAAATATTCTTAATATATTTTATATTTATATAAGCTCGTTTTAGGCGTACTAATCGCGTTAATATTATTTAAGATATATATATTATAATTTCTAACTTTAAAAAAATATATTAAAATAAAATATATTTTTATAAAATAATATAAAAATAAAAAATTTTTAAAAAAAAAAAAATAATTATTAATAATATTTAATTAATAAATAATAATAAATAACTCTTCGAGCTCGCTCAACCCGGCTGATATCCTTGAGGACTACTGCTGGATGCCCGGTGCAGCCCCTATCTTCGATGATCAACAAAGGATTTTCCTAGCCTAGCAAAGAGTACCTAGGCCCGCTGGCGCAGTCAGCCTACAGCAGCCATGCCATATATTAAAGCCTTTTTCTTCACCCAGAACCTTTCAAATTTCCTCTCCATCGCTGGTTCTGAAGTCAACTGAAACATTCTTCACCATTCTCACCATTCCAAAAGCTCCATTATCCTTCGCGATGTCTTTATTTCTATTATTACTGGGAGCTTGCTCTATAGCAGAACTGTGTATGGGGCAGTCTACAACTCCGGCGCCGACTTGTACGTTTTGATCCCAGGTCAGGCCGGCAGTACATGACGAAATCTAATTGTGCCAGCATCTTGCAACCATTGTTTTCTAGCGCCAGGATTTACGGACGTGTCTTCTTCTCATGAAGAGTACTTGCTGTTTACAGCCTATTCCATGACGTCCGCCTTCGCTCAAAATGGACTCTGCGTCACAGTTTCAGGTGCCTCAACCCCATTACAAACGCCCTACTCGGTCGCCCAACTATCTACCAATGCCAACCCTGCCCAATACCAATCTGCCGCAGCAACCTCGTTCGTCCAATTTCTCAAGGTGCCTGATTGGGGTGTCTGTGCGAGAACGGGTCATTAGCCGTACACATGGCAAACACAGATACCACTGCATTCGTCAATGTTGCAGTTTCAACGATCTCGGGAGCAGCGTCCCCAACGTCCTTGCTGTCTTCATCCAATACAGCAGCCTTGGTAGCCACAGAGTCTCCACTCTCGAAGCCGGCCTCGAACGGCCTAAGTACAAGAGACAAGGCTGCCATTGGCCTTGTGGTCTCAGTCGTTGTTCTGGCCTTAGTATTACCCGGATTGATTTTGTGGTATAAATATCGAAAGCAGCACGCGGCGATGACGGAGAGGAGGATCCAAGAAAAACTGGAGATGGAGACGGAGACAGAGTTTCCAAAAGGATTTGGAGTTGGAGGACAAGGAGAGGGGAATTGAAATAGGGCGAAGTGAAAGGTATGAAATATAGACAGATGAAGGGAAGTTTATCATGTAGTCGAGACAGAACCAGGGAGAGGAACATCCCAGAGATCTTCAAGTACCATGTAAGGCCAGATGCTGCCGCTCCATGCCCAATCTCTGGAAGGCTGTCGCAATTGTGGTCCTTCTAGCGCATTGACTTGTTTCATTGAGGTCCGTGTCGTAGGCGCGTGCCTATAAGTCACACGGGGCATCTTGACCTTGCTTTCATGTACTAATCACAGCGCGGCACGGTGCGTGTGCTCATCGACAGGAACAAAGAAAGCCTCCGATTAGATTAACAGTGCCTACCAACATTTCCTAACGCTCTCCTCTTGCAGACGCAGAACGATCGGAAGGTCTTATCTACCCGGCCAGCGGCTTAGCACAAGTACTCTGCGCTTCACGGACTGAAGAATGACTGTTCTATCAATTGTGAGCTTTCAAGCGTTGCGTCCAGTGTTAGGGCCGTCCGTTAGCAAACGATTACATCAAGACTGAATTCTTCTTCGACTCCTGCTAAATCTCCAAGGAATCATCAACATCTCTGGAGCAGCAGCAGTCTTCCAATCTCCAACGGTGCACCCACTCGACATCCGTAGCATCATGGCGCATACAGTTCGCCAATATTATGCTAGCTGCATACCCTCGTTCGAAACACTTTGTAAATTGTACCCGACGGCGCGCCAGGTTCACTGTGACCAGATGCCTGTCTGGAAAGTGGAAGATCCCTACGGGCGATACAAAGTATGGGCGCGACGTTGGAGCAAATCAAGTCGGCGCAAGTCTTTAGACTACCGTCTTGTGGAGGACACTACCTCTACAAAAGATCTTGTGATGGAAATCCAGAGCGGTCTGTGCGAGACCCTTGGCGACTGTAAGTGGAATCTCTAACAATATGTCAATACACTTTCTGACAATCCACCAACTCATCTCAGCCGCCTCGATAATGAACGGGACATGCATTCCCTTTATTGAGCTTCCTCCGGACAGCGGTTCTTCCGAAGACGAAGGTTCTAGATCGCTCGATACCCGATCGGCGATGCCAAGGGAGACACAACTGTAAAAGCTTTTGTATGGCCTGGAGAGCGACGTGGACAACCTTTACGCCTTGTCTGTCATCATTCGTGATAAGCCGCTATCATACGACAGAAATTTCATGTCTTCCTGAATAAGTGTTGCCCAATGGGAAAGCATCGACTTGCAGCATGTCAGAAACAAGTTTCCACAAGCGGAACAATGGCCAGGACTTCGGGTCGGAAATGTCTCCATCAAAAGTCGCCAATACCTTGAGTACAAGAAGCAACAAGCGGAGAAAACGTCACAAATAGTCGAGGACGTAGTGATGAAAGACCAAGACACTGTTGACCATATGTTTCCGGATACGCAGTTAAATGTCTCTTCAGCCGTCCCAGTGGATCCGAGGACACAGGATCAGATGTTGCGGACAAGAGACTCACACAGTATCGATCTCTCGACGGCCGAATCCATTCCTTGTCCTGGAGCAGTTACTACAGACCTTGCCGAATTCAACGTGGCTACTGATGGATGATGAGATGGTTTCACATTCCACCTGGCCCTCTTCAGCATCGAATAGCGAGAGATTGATGATGCCTCGTGCCCCTGGGGATTTCCAAAGAAGAGGATACTTTGCGTGTCCTTATTGCTATGAGTCGTGTAGACTTTTTTAGCAGGGAGATCGTCTTCACTTGCTCTTCTTCTCTCACAACAGTACGGGAAGAAGAAGGTGCTCCCTCGGCTCGTGCGCATGAAGAAAGGATACATTTAAAGGTATGACGGAGAGTGAGCTCTGACCAATTTACAGAGGGTACTCTAGCACATTCTCATCTAGCTTCAGGCATCCGACATCTCTTCGGGGGATTTTGTCCACTCACTGCAGCAGAAAACTTGCCCTGCTCCGCCACATTAGCCACAAGTCAGACGTTAGATCGAAACCGACTCGGTTGCCCCATTGGACCTGGTACATTATGCACAGCCGGATGCGCGCAAGACGAAGCACGTACATGATGTACAAGATTCAAACCGTAGGGTGGAACACGCTCCATGCAACAAGGACGAGCTGACAACGAGGTCCCGCTCTAGCCCCCATGCCAAGGTCACCTCGACCGCGCATGCGTAGGTCTCTGCCGATCCTCGAGGCCTACGCCAGCTGTAGATCTCGTTTTGAAAGTCTATGGAAATAGATAGGTCGATCGCTTGTCCTTGATGATGTCCACGTGGTCCCATTGACCTCGCCTTTGAATCTTCCCTATTAAAACACTGTTAGAAGGTATCGTCGTCACAATACCGTCTCTCCTTCATAAGATCATATGCCTTCCTAAGCTTATCCCCACAACTCATTTCCAGTCGTTCATCTTGTTAGTCGTTTTGAACTCTCTGCCAGCAGTATGCCATGGCGCGAGCTGTTCAAGTGACAAACTTCAAGAACCGCCTACACTGGGGTCTCAACATCCGGCACCTAGCATTCGAATTGTCAAGCTCTACAGTGACATCGGCTCTGGCAGTCTGGGGATGCCTGTAAGGTCTACGCCGTGAAGGGGCGGAGACCGGACCCAAACGTGCGAAGCAGCAACTTCTTGAAATCTGCCTCCCCATCACTGTACGCGTCTAGAAAACTCACTGGTTGTGAAAAATTGCTACCCGTACTACCATCGCCTTGAGCAAACTTACCTAAGAACCATGCCGCACTGTCTGAAGGCCGAAAAGATATGCTGAGCTCATGTCAGGTCGTCAGTGCTTGCCACTTCCTATTTCCCCTTCTCAATACCATTTCCCGAGTTATCCACGGCCGCCCTGGCGTCGGCCTCGTTGCACTCATTGCAGTCATCCTCCTCCACCTCCCCCCTCTTTCTCTTCCTCACCCTCCTGCCCTTCCTCTTCCCCTCCCTCTTCATCGTCATCGTCATCATCATCGTCATCGTCGTCCTCATCCTCCTCTCCATCCTCGCACCCTTTAACACGCCCCACCACCCTCCGCTCACTCACCTCTACCACCAACTCATCACACTGCTCACCACAGATGCTGTACTGCCAAACCCCATCATCACGTGGATCCACGCCTGCGCACCAGTGACTCCGCGCCTCTTGTCTCTCCTCTTCGGTCTCGAGGGCAGGATTGCAGTCGTCCAGGAAGTTGTCGAGTTGTCGACCCGCCCAGTCCTCGCCGACGCGCTCCGCCAAGCTCTTCGAGTGGTAGACGCCCAGGACACCGAATGGCGAGTCGGGGCTGCCGCAGAGGGTGGTGCCTGCGGTTTCGGTCAGCGGTGGGATATGGGCCTCGTTCCAGTGGGAGGCGTTAAAGGTGAGGACGAAGACGGCTTGGTGCACTGGGGTGCAATGATGATGATGGTTGGAAGTTGGGTGGCTCATGTTGGCTTGGATTTTGTGTTTAGGATTTAGGATGTTGTTGTAGAGGGTTAAAGATGGACAGCTGTGCGGGACGGGATGGCTAGTTGATATAGGTATGAGAGAACAAAGGAGATAAAGAAATATAGCACGAAAATGATGGCGTGTATGGAAAGTGTAAGAAGGCGCTAGACATGTCCAGCAAGTTGTGAGGAGGAACTTTCGTAGCGAGACATTGAGGGAGTAGATCATGGGATATGAATCGACAGTGGGGCCGGAAGACAGCATTCGGCAAGGTGGGTGACGAGACAGCTGGGTGATAACCAAAGGAGACGTTGGGAAGGAAAGGCGAGACAGTGGCGAGTTTTTGGGGAAATCAGGAATCAGCTTGTTGAGCATTTAGATCTTCCCCACCTCATGCAAGATGCTTCATAGGTGCTGTAAGATCCACGCGAAAGGTGAGGATAGGGAGAAGAAGACGATGAGTAGCAACTGCAAAAGCAACAAGGCAAGTATTAGATTGTCGAAGAAACCTTACAAGAGGTCGTTCAGAAGGTAAAGCAAGAGCGTAGGAATGTCTGGCAATTGAGGACGAATTTGCTGTATTTATCCTGTCTTCAGACTTGGCATGAGTATCTCTGGTTTGTCTGTTGTCGAATAAGGCGTTCCTCAATTCGTAAATGTACATGGGAAACGCGCCGTACGTGAAAGCCGCTTCCAAAGCGGAAATCCATAAGCCGTCTGATGTTGGTCAAGGATTTCGAAAGGCTCTTCTCTGGCGGCTTACAACCTCGTGATATCTTATCTCCAAGATAAATATGCCGTTGGCTTTACCCAACACCTCTCATCGATAGCCCACCTAGGATGCTGAAGCCTGCTGTCGCTGAGTACTTCCAGACACAGCCTTATCTCTGAAGACTTTCGCGCCGACAAGCTGTCCACACAGGATTATCAATGACAGGGATCTCATCAAAGGTCGGCTTCAAATGCTTCTAGCTCCACTTGGTGAATCATACAGCGGTCTAAATGCTCAAAGAACTCTGTATTGTCGGCACAACCATGCCGGCAAATAGGGCATGAGATCCGCCCAAAAATGGGCTTGTGCGCCCTTGCCACATGGCTTCTGAATTCATCTACTGAGGAGCAATATCTCTGTAGGTCGTAACAGCAAGGGCACTGCAGCTTTTTCCAACCGTATACCAGCAATTCTGAATAGTGCCGAATCAAATGCTGGCCTATGAGGTATTTCGAAGGAAAGTCCATGAGATGATGATCGCAGAATGGCACTGGACACGCTCGAGCCCTTCCTGAAGCCTCGAGTTCTACCGTGTGAACCATGCAGTCATCCATGTGTTCCAGATAGCCCGACCGGTCGAAGACGCGAGTACACACATAGCACTTGAAGCGTTCGAGCTCACGAAAAGAGGAAAGGTGAGTTGAGCCGCGTACATGATGTCTGAGGTCCTCGATGTTGTCTAAAATCTCGAAACTATAAGATCTGCCGCATAGTTCGTAGCCCCAATTGAAAGAGCCTTCAAAATGTGTCATTGTGTGCTTGTCCCTTTCCGCTTTCCGCGGAAAACCTTTACGGTGAAACTCGCAAGTTGCGACTGGACACTTTCGTGAGTATTCCATACTAGCATCCGCCTCCGGCTCACCGCCAGTGTTGACCGAGTTAGTCTCAGTGTCCATCACGGTTGATGCCGGATGCTGCTCCCTAGCAACTTCAACGAGGATTTCTGCGACGTCCCGGTCCTGCTCCTCGGGAGTGATCCGAGATTGCGATCCATCACGTGCCTGTATAACGCTGACGCCCCCAACTTGTTGTAAATCGTCTCGCACAACGTCTTTTGCTTCTTGGGCCTTCGACTGAGCAGCAATGTATCGGCTAGACTGTGCTAGAGCTCGCAGGTTGAACTCGTTTGCGTGAGCTGGCAAAACTGTGAATGCCGGGCGGTGCGGTTGCAGATGTATTTCCGGCAACTCGCGGGGCACTTTGTCGTTGATCGATACCGGGGCGCCGTACTGAGGTCGATCTGCGTAGAGGGAGGGTTGCGCTGAGGATCTTGCGAAATTAGCAAGCGTGATAGTACAGATCGGTAAGTTCGAGTTGGCTCACAGAAGAAGCTGCTCTGTTCTCGCAGTCATCTTGCATCTCGCCCGCTCACGACGTGCGAGGTTACGCTGGGCTTTACGGGCCCCTTCAGACTCAGTAGGCTGGTTTCGACGTCGAGCCTGACCTTTGGATCTCGCTGTGGCACTCGAAATATCGAGTAGCAACTGCTGAGACATGGCAGCCTTATCCGGACTGCTAGACTTTGAAGAACTTCAACTCGTTGTTTGTCAAAGGATGTCTCTCGTCGCGAGATGCGAACGTGCTAGGCTCTTCAAATCAGCAAAAGAGTTCTCGCGCAATAGATTCGAGAATTTATATAAGGTTGCAGATGATGTGTAGTTGTAAAATCTTGGGAGGAAGTAATAAGGAAACAAGCAGTCCGTTGACTTCCTTTACGGGAATAATAGCTAATTGTTTCGTGCGGCATTTGGGTGGCTCAGACATCTCACGTCAGCTCCGCCCGACGTCCCGGTAGGCCCTGCATGCTGACACCCTCTTGGTCCTGCGGCTACCCGATCGTCCCTTTATTGCCACGTTGGGAAGTCAAACATACTCAACTGTACATCCGCAGCGCTTGATTGGCCGAATTGCACACCCCTCCGGATCCGCGCAAAGACTGGGCTTTGATTTACTGGCTGGGGGGCACAACTTTCAAATCGCAGTCAGGTCCTTTAAGTGCTTCTTTCGGAAAACAGAATGCGGGTTGACAACAAATCCTACGCCTCACAGCCTTCGAGTTGAGGTCAAGTCCCTTGAATGCCTCTTTTGGCAGACAAAGTGCATAACAATCAGACCCTCAAAATGTTCAAACCGCGGTCTGATCCTTTGGTTGCTTCTTTTGGAAGACAACTGATTGGCGACAGATCCCCACGCCTGACAGCCTTCACATCGAGGTCAAGTCCCTTGAATGCCTCTTTTGGCAGACAAATTGCTCGACGATGAATGTCGCACAACGTTCAGATCCTGGTCGAGTCCTTTGAGTTCCTTGTCTGGCAGATAAGTCAAGATTTGTGTGACCAGTGCCCCACATCTTCCAACGCGCGCGTCCGACAGTTTTGGTTGTCTGTAGTTCTTTGAACTCCCTTTTCGACAGACAAAACGGACAGGCTGATGACGGATAGTGCATCAAACTCTTTGAATTCCTCTTCGGGCAGAAAAGTTGAATCATAGCCCCACGTTTTCAGCCGCCACTCTCGGCAGGCATGATGTGTTTACGGTTTCCTGTCGTTCTTTGAATACCCTTTTCGACTGGTGAAGTGATGACACGAAGTACGCATGTCTCCTCGCCGCTTTAGCAGCGGCTAGTGATGTTCCCTGAATCCTCAATCAGCCAGCAGATTCAAGACAATCCCTCATGGCTATATGTATATAAGATTCGTTCCCCTGGCTCTTACACCCAGACTCCCATGCCTTCCAACCTACACTCATTCTGCTCCCGCTTGCCACAGATACCTGTCAAAGTGCTCCACTTGCCTCATCAATCCTTCCATCTCAAATCCTTGCTTGTTCCCACTTGCCTCAGACCCCTGCCATCTCGTCGAAGCGTTCCGACTACCTCACCGATCCTCCCCTACCACATATCCTCCATGGCAACCAACACGCTATGTCAGCCCTCCAATGCGGATACCCATCAGTACCTCTTCACCACAACCCGAGTCCTCGCAGCCGTGGGCTTCTCGTACCTGCTCAAAGCCCTCTATCAACTCATAATGTGGCCACTGCTCTCACATCGTTCCTCTCTTAACAGACCCAATGGTAAACCCTCCCTCCCTCTCTCGCTCGCATGCCGCTTTCAGTCACGATACCGTCAAGCTGACATACTGTTCTCCATCACATAGCCGTTGCAGAAGAGAACATCGGTCTCGATCTAGACGAAACCGCCTCTGTCAGTCAAGCGAGTCTGGAGCTGGACTTCGGCAGCGACGATGACGGGGATCTTGGTATCCGAGTGCCCGAGCGCGCCTACCACCCGCGGGGTCGTCTGTGAACAGTGCGTGTCGGCGCTATCGATTTCAAATGTCCGCTCGGTCAAGCATGGCGGTTCTTTCGGCCCTTCAGTCTGTCGAAATTTGGCCCCCACGCATCCCAGCCACCGTGTTTTTCAGCCACCTGATTTTGTACTGTACTTAGGATCTGGCCCCGGAGAGGTTTTGGAGAATTACTCCATCTGTTCTACACAACACATACCGCTCTCTTTTTAAAATTGCCACCTAACGAGACTTGAGTAAAGGCCTATAAACTCCCACTTCACAGATCGATAACAAGAACCAATCCGAAGACATTTTCTAGTCAGCCAAAGTATGAGGGTATTCTCCGCAGTGATATCTTTCATAGTCACTTTTGTTTTCATATGATCTTTCGTTGACAGTTGTTTGGGATGCAAAAGAATCGCTTTTCCTGATAGGTTAACTGGCCCAATATTAAAAACCTTCCAGTACCAGCCATACCTGATATTCTGACACAGTCAGCACTCTCACGGCTTCTTCCGCCGAGGTCTTGCAGCATTACATTGCTACTACTAGCAACGTCAAAGAGGAACCCCATTTCTCGCTCGTTCGACCTCTTTCCGTAACCCGACGAGAGTTCTGAGCAGTAGGGGACGAATTCCCAGATGGAGTCCGCGAATCTAGACGACGAGTCAGCCACGCCCATCTCCGCAGTGACCGCGGCTGATAGGCACATCGGCCACCGATCTCTTCGACTCGGCGCACGATCTCTCACCCATAGCCATCCAGCTCTGCCATACCCTGTCTGTCACATGAGAGTTCATCCGTGGCCAGCTTTGGCTTCGCACAAGCGGCTGGAAAGGAATCTGAGACATGGGTAGTTTCATGAGATGTGCAGTCCACGGCAACGGAGAAGCTGCATTACGCAATTCAACGAGGGACGAGATGAAAATGCGCGATGATGACATGAAGAAAAGTAACGCTTCTGGTAATCAAGTGCTTTCTTAGAGTATCTTGGAGCTGCACGGGAGCGTATTTACACAGCCTGAGATCCTCCCCTCAAGGAGAAGGCATGTACCTAGACCTGGCCGGCAGTGTTGAAGTCCTTCAAACCCTCCTCCACTCTCTTCGTCATCGTTTTCTCGCCCTCACGGACCCAGATTCTGGGATCGTAGTACTTTTTGTTTGGCTTGTCCTGTGTGGTGGTGTCAGCGTGGGTCTCGGCAAGCAAGAAAGGGCACGTACAGCTCCTTCGGGGTTTCCGATTTGGTGCAGGAGATAATCCTTGTGCTTGAGAACGTAGTCACGGATACCTGTCAGGTATGCGTACTGGAGATCCGTGTCGAGGTTCTGCAGTGCGTCAGCCCGGCGCTTTCTCTCCTTGTTTTTGATCGCATGACATACCACTTTCACAACGCCATAGCTAATGGCCTCCTTGTACTCTTCCTTCGAGCTTCCAGATCCACCGTGGAACACTAGAAATACAGGCTTATCATCCTTGGTTGTTTCCTTCTCTTTAACGTAGGTTTGGTGCTTCTTCAACAACTCAGGGTGCAGGCGCACATTTCCAGGCTTGTAGACACCATGAACATTTCCGAAACCTGCGGCAATGGAAAAGTAGGGACTGATAGCAGATAGTGTCTTGTATATATTGTGGATGTCCTCGGGTTGAGTGTAGAGGGAGTTGTTGTCCACATCTTCATTGTTCACGCCATCCTCTTCACCACCAGTAATTCCGATCTCCATCTCGAGAAATTGCTTCATGGGTGCTGCCCTTTTCAGGTACTTGGCAGTTGTTTCAATGTTCCAGTCTACCGGCTCTTCCGAAAGATCAATCATATGAGAGCTGAAGAGAGGTTCGCCATGCGCTTTGAAATGCTTTTCATCATGCTGCGGACATCAATGTCAGTTCCGTTTCAGACCTCGACTTCGAGGGGAGGCACACCTCGAGCATGCCATCTAACCATGGCAACAACTTCTTGGCACAATGATCTGTATGAAGGATGACAGGGATGTCGTAAGCCGGAGCAACGCTCCTAATGTAGTGTGCACCGGCAACAGCGCCCATGATCGAAGCCTTCTGGGTCTTGTTGTCTACACCCTTCCCACAGAAGTAGGCCGCGCCACCTTGAGACATTTGTAGAATGATGGGAGACTTCTCATCACGGGCGGCTTCGAGAGCTGCTACGACTGTTGAGGACGAGGTGACATTGATAGCTGGGATGGCAAATTCGTGCTTCTGGGCATACTTGACTGTGGTGTGTTAGCTTTTTGCTAGTCTCGAGGCTGTTGGGGATGCACAGCGACCATACAGAGATTGTAGACGTCGTCACCGACAATTACGCCAGTCTTGCGCTCGAGGACTTCTTCGACACCCATGTTGTGAGAATCTTTGGCGTTAATTGATATTCGATCGATTGATTGGATGATCCGTGATCAATGGAGCAGAGCTAGATGAGGAATCGAGTTGTAATGAAGACAGAAGCGATTTTCTTTATCTGAGGGGGTGGGGCTTCGGAGCTTTCTTTTGAGCGTCGGAGCCGGCTGTTCTTCGGCAGTTCCAGTGTTGATTGGGACAAGGAGCGAAGGAGCGAAGGCATTTCGTTTATCGATACCTGAACCCCATGGTTATCCATGGGGATTATACTTATCCATAGGGGCGTATCGTCCATCTCATGGGCAAACTGCCATCAATCGCATGTTCATTCCCATGGACCTCGCCGTCGCCCATGGATACAACATCTTGTTCATCGGAATCGGAAATCGCGTATACATCCCATGCTGTCGCCACATCGCTTCAGCACTATCTGAGGCTATATCCACTAAATCTCTTTCCGCTGTGTCTACAATCTAATCAGCCTCTTTTAACCTTTCTTTATAACCGACTTATCGGTGCCCGGGCTATATTATGACCGAATTGTCCCAGTAAAATAATCTCTTTTAGACTGTATCATTATCACGTTAAGACTGTATATCCTAGCCGATTTAATCCAAGAATCGAGTTGATTTTCGGCCTCTACTTGTGACCGAGGTTGAGTCTTTCAATTGGGGGTTCTTTCGGACATAAAGACCTCGCTGCTGCCCCTATGATTTGACGATTTCTATCATATACTTCTTTTTATAAAATTATTTACGAGAGCGTTCGTTTAATAGCTATTCTATTAAATTTTCGTCGTAATTATTATTAAATATACGTAAGAGGTATTTCGTATTATATAGATATAGAATTATATTTAAGTAGTCGTTATAGTAGTTACTATAGCTATTTAAGTAAATTATAAGTAATTACTATTTAAAAATCAAGTAGAATCTCTATATAGAGTAGTAAAAAATATATATATTAAGATATATTAAAATAAAGCTTTATAATTATATTTTCTATATATAGGATATTAGACGACTAGACTATATTAGAAATATATCGTTAAACGATTAATTAATAATATCGAAATGTGAAGTTCTAGCCACGTTTAGGTTTTCAGTTATATTTTCAGCCACACTCTCCGCTATAACCTATGCGTATATCGGCTATATTACTCTATTTCTATAGAGTTAAAGATATCCCCTAGAAGATTTCAGAGATAGAATTAATTATTCTTCCACATCACCGTATTTATATTCTATTCTTTTTGATAGGTTATAAGCTCGAAAGCGGATAGGATAGTATTAAATATCTATTCTTTGCACTTTCTAATAGAATATCAATTAATACTGATATACGGTGATCTTATATCTATAGACACCTTCATCAATATTACGATAGCCCATTTTTTTGGCTCGTAACCACCGACGAGAGGGCTGTCGCAATTCAATCCCACTACAAAAAATCGAGTATTCTATTATCTATAGAGTCTTAAACTTAGTCTTACGGTGATAGCCATCAAGACGAGCGTCTTAGTTTTAAATCTCTAAACGAGTAGTATAAGAAGGATATTAATCTCCCTCTAAGGAGGTCCGCACGCCTATAATAACTGCACTCCGTATAGTTCCATCAGAAACCAGCCTTCGTCACTAAATCGTTCTTACTATTTGATACCTTTCATTAGAACGCTCTTACCGATATCATTCGAAGATCCTCACATAAGCACTTCCTATTTCTTATGCGAGAATTCGAATCCCAAAGGTAATATCTGATCGGTACCGGTAAGACTCTCGAGGATTCTGACGAAGAGTGGCAGAGCCTCTGTCCTACTTTGACCACTCTATTATTATACGATAGCGATTTCGAGGCTAGCGAGGATATACTTGATTCCCCGAGTGATATCGAGCTATTTAATCTCTATACGAAGTTATCGCTCTCGCCCTTATCTATTTCTTTCGAAGTATCTTTAGACTCGTTATTATCGTCTTTCCCGCCTTCGTTCTCTTCTAAAATAGAAGATAATTATCGATTACGATTAAAAAGACTTATTAAAGATTTACTTATTAATAATTAGAGAGCTGGTACTCTTTCCCTTTTTCCCACGAGATTTTTTGAGATTTAATGAGGCTAGCGAGGAGTTAGAAGTTAGAGAAGTTTTATTAAACTATTTATAGACTATTTAGAGAGGAGTTTCTAGCTATTTTAGACTATTATAAGCTACTTATAGAGAAGTATTAAAATATAAAGTTCTTAGCCATATTTAGAGTTTCTAGCTATATTCTTAGCCACTCTTCGCTAGAACTTATACGTATATCGATTATATTACTCTATTTCTATAGGATTAAAGACATCTTCTAGAAGATTTCAGAGATAGAATTAATTATCCTTCTATATCACCGTGTTTACATTTTATTCTTTTTAATAAATAAATCTTTTATCGGATTAATTAGTTATATAATAGATAAGATAGAACTAAGCTTAAAATCTTAAATTTATATATATAGTTAATTATAAATTGTTCGCTACGCTCTTTAATTAGATCGACTAACTTATTACGGGTAATAAATTGCGTTCGCAACTATTAAAAAATAGATATACGTTATTATATAGATATTTTTTTTTCTATTAACTTTTTAAGATTCTTTTTTAATTGTAGAATAAAATATGGCTTTCAGATAAAAAGAATTTCTAAATTGATCTTATAATTATTGAGCGTAGGAATTAAATATCGCTCAAGATCGTTTCAAAGATCGTTATTAATTTACTCAGCCCTAATCAAAAAAAATTTTTTTATTTATGATCTTTACTGTCTTAAGAATATAATATGTAATAAGATATATTCTAAAATATGTTTTATTAAACTATCTCTTACTAGTTTATACTATCTATAATACTCTTAATAATACTTTTTATAATACTTTTAATAATACTCTTCTAGTATTTTAATGTGTTCTAGTATACTCTATTTAGTTTTTAGTACTTTTAATAGTACTCTATTTAATAATTTTAATAGTAGTACTCTATTTAATAGTCTTAATAGTAGTTTTTTTATAGTTCTATAGTAATACTCTTCTAATATTCTAATAGTACTCTTTTATAATTTGTATAATACGCTATCTGTACTTTTGTAATAATACTCTATTTAGTACTCTTAATAGTACTCTATTTAATAGTTTTAATAGTACTCTTTTAGTAGTTCTAGTATACTTTAGTATATTCTTTTAATAGTCTTATAGTGTCTCTTTTGTATTCTGTAATATAGCTTTTAATATTTTCGTAGTATACTCTTTTAATACTTCTAATAATACTCTTCTATTTTTGTACTACTTTAGTAATACTTATTTAATACTTATAGTCTCTTTTGTCTTTTGTGTTTTTTGTACTTTATAGTGTGCGCTTATTAGATAGCGTACTACTGGGAGTAATTAGTGAGTACTATTGAAGTAGTATCGGTATTAGTATAGTAGATGGTGATGGTACGCAGTAATATGGTAGATAGGTGCGTAGATATAGGTGGTGCTGCGTGCGTGTGGTGGTGCTGCGTGGTGTGGGTGTGGTGGTGGGTGTGGGTGGGTGCTGCGTGGCGTGGGGTGGTGGTGGTGTGGTGCTCGCGGTGTGGTGGTGGTGGTGGTGGTGGTGGTGGTGGCGGCACTCTGGCATACTGGGGTTTGCAACTAATTTAAAGACTGATTTAAAACTAAAAGGGTTAACGCTATTAATTAATCATATAGGTAGTACTTGTCTAACTTAATCGAGCTTTTAATTAGTATTTTAATTTAAATTATTAATTTAAAGCTCGATTATTTAATTAGATTTTAATATAACTACTTATTTAAATATAGTAAAAATAAAGAAATAATCTCTTATTAATTTATTAGTTATTTATTTAACTAGGTACTTAGTTAAGTAAGAGAAGAAATAATATATTACGAGATATTACGAAGAAACTATTATAGTAAATATATACGAGAATATTACGAGAATATTATAAAGGAATTACTTATAGCTTTATAAAGAATACTACGAAGACTAAGCGATAATGTTATTATTATTAAGAATACGACTTAACTCTTTAGATCTTCATTATATACTCTTTATAATTCTATATTAAATTACTACTTAATAGACGAGAACGATATTATAATTTAATTTACTATCTCCGGTATCTGTAATATTATATTTAATATATTTTTAATAAGTATATAGGAGTCTACTACGTCGATTATAGTTAATTAAATCTTTATAAATAGGTTTCTATCGAAGATATATATTTAAATAAATTAAATTATTCGATATCTTATCTAAATGTATTTTAGTATTTGACTATCTTTGGATATCTTGTTATTTTACTATTTAGTTATCGTAGCTATAGATTTTTGCTATTTTAATTTTGCTTCGTGTTGAGATATCTTGTTTTTTAACTATTAAAGCTATTAGTTATGAGTCTTGTTTTTTAACTATTTAACTATTATAGTATAAAGATATCTTAGTATAGGTTTTTAGCTATTTTAATTATGAGCTATCGTAGTTATAAAAAGATTTTAATTTTTAGCTATTTAAGCTATTATAGTTATAAAGATATCTTAATTATTTTAACTATTTAGGTATTATAGCTATAAAGATATCTTAGTATTTCGTATTTAGCTATCGCAGCTATAGATATTTTAGCTATTTTAACTATTTCGACTATCGTAGCTATAGAAATATCTTAATTATTTTAATTATTTAAAATATTCATTTATATTTAGCTAATTAAACTCGATTTACTTATACTTTACTAAGGGAATATATTTATAATATAGTATAATAGCGATTATAGTCTAATAGTCTAATAATATAATTATAAAGATTATTATAACGAGAGCTCTATTATTAAGAAGTTTATAATATATATATATAGTAAAGGAGAATAAGTAAAACTTAAAGAGATTTATATTCTTCGATAAAGGTTTTATCGAAGTTTTAATATTACCTAATCGAGTTAGCGGTAGAAGAGTAGGGCTATTCCCGTTTTAAATTATTTCTTTTAAAAAAACTGCTAAACCTCCCTACTGGGATTACTGGACAGCACTACTGGGGTGTACTGGATGTACTGGAAGCACTAATAGAGCACTACTAGCATACTGGGAAGATTTGATAATATAGCGACAGCGACAGCGTAACTATAGAACCTAAAAAGCTAATAGTTCTTCGGCAATTAGACTTAAGGTTTTATTTGCAATCTATATATTAGTTTACTCAATTTGTCCGTATATTTGACGGTATCGAAATTTGGTGGATGCTTAAATGTTTTAAAAGTATTTCCTCACCCAACTCCGTTGGCTTTCAGCTTTTCTTCTTCTACAAGATGTCAACCTCTCAAGTAGAGGTCTAAATAAATAGTACTAAGCGATGGCGACGTGATACTAAAGGACAATGGCCGTCGGTAAGAACAATAACTTAGTTGACGAGGGTAGTAAGGGAGGTAGCAAGAAAGATAGCAAAGGTGGTAGTGTAGGCGGTAAAAGAAGTCGAATGAATAGCAGTAGTAGCAATCGATCTTCGATTCCCCATAAACAAGATGTTTTACCCATAGGGAACGGCGAGGGTCATGAAAAGGTATATGCGATTGATGGGTATTTGCCCATGAGATGGGCGATACGCCCCTATAAGCAAGTACACTGCCCAGGAATAACCACATTATCCATAGTTGATACATATCATTCATGGAGAAGTATACACCATCAATGACTTGCAGCAGAGCGAAGCAATGGATGAAGCAAGTCAGATTTGTGGATGATGGATGAAGGAGCACAAGACCTAGTGTATGTGTAACTGCCACATGGTTGAGAAGAGTCTTCAATATAAGTGTTTTCAGGATATATGGAACCAAAGACTACCAGGGAATCACTGCAACTCCTCTCCGTCAGTCTCAGCGTAGCTGATCTTTTTCGCCCTAGCACTCTGTCTCTTCGGGGCTTTCGTGCCATTCACCTTCCCTTTTCTCAGAAGCTCCATCTCTTCTTTCTCATCGTCGAACTCCGACATCGCCTCATCAGCATCCTCATCAGATGTGGAAGGCGTCGGCACACTCTTCGCACTCTTCTTTTCCCCATTGACTGCCTTTTTCGCACCTGCTTTTGGCGCGACTCTCGGAGCGGCCCTTGCTTTCTTGATGGCCGGTGTAGGCGTAGCCGGCACTGCCTCATCTCCTTCTTTGACGCCGTTGCTTTCATCTTTCGCTTCTTCCTTAATTACGTCTGCGGCAGCTTTCTTCTTTTGAGCAGGTGTCATCTTCGTGTCATCTTTAGGCTCTTTGGGCTCCTTGGGTTTAATGACCTTTTTCACGGGTCGGAGCCAATGTTCCATACCCGGCGGCCAGTAAACGCGACCCTCGGGTCCGCCCATACCCACTTCATCGTCTGTGATAGTCTCCTGGACCGGATCCGCTTCTGCGTCCATTGCTTCTTCTGCTGCTTCAAGGTCGTCATCCTCATTCTTGGGCGCCTTCTTCTTCTTCGGTGTTTTTTTCTTAGGTAATCGGATCGGCTTATTGTCATCTTTGCGGACGTGGGGAAGAATGTCGTTGAAGCTGTCATAACCAGGTAACTTGAATGTCCTCATGAGCTCGAAAACAGCTTGCTCCTTGTCTTTGGCTTCGATCATGAGGTCCATATCTGGTGGACACGGTGGAAGTGTTGCGACACGTGGGTTGTGCTTTCTGCGCTGCCGTCCTGTAATAGCCGAAGGTTCGGGCTCAGAATAGTGCATCTTGGGCGTAATGTTCTTTCTCTTCCAGGTGGCCAGTATGCGAGGAAAGAGTTCAACGATACCTTTTGTGCCTTCGCGTATTTGATCAGGATCGAAGATGATGTTGTGGTGATGGAAATCGAGAACCATGGGTATATTGAGCTCTTCGCAAAGTGGAAGCAGTTCATGTACAGACCAGCTGACATCGTCATTTTCAAGAACTAAGCGATCTTTGACGCCTTGAGGGAGCTTCTTGTAATTTTCGCGGAAGCGTTCGAGGGTGGCGGCTTTATCGCCAAAGACGCCGCCCAAGTGTAGGATCATTACTGCATCGCGGTCTTGCTGTGGAGGAAATTTGAGAAGGCTCAGGAGCTCAGCATGATAGTCGAGATCTCGGATGGCATTGTCAATGACTGGCTTGCGGGGAGATCCGAGCTGGGTGTATTGGCCAGGATGAGTGGTCAATCTGTGACCAAGCTTTGCTGCAACTTTTCCAGCCTCTGCCAGTTCTTTCGAGACGAAGGGTGCCAATTTGTACCCATATTCCGGGTGGCTTGCGAAGGGGAACATCTCGCTGCTCAGCCTTAAAAACTTAATACCATACTTGTCGTTCCATCGTAGCATCTTCACAATGTCTTTTGCGTTTGCTATCCCAAGGCTCTCCACAAATGCTTGTCCCCTCTTAATATTAGCCGGCTTTTCTCGATCTGGCCTGTTCTTCGTTGCATGGGGTGGCTCATTCGGGTCTCGAAGCGGATGGCGGTTCTCTAGTATAGATGCAATACGACAGGTTCGAGAGCTGAATACAGGAGGATTCGAGAAGCGCAGATATGTACATAAACAAGCCTATGAACGTTTAGTGGCGGCCTGGAATTGTCAGTGGCATAGGCAAAGCTCACGTATCCTATTCTCCCCTTCCATGGTAAAGGAAGGTAGTCGCTATTGACAGGAGGCGGTCTCGATAACGCAGCCTGAATCTCCTCCTCGTCCGCTTCCTCGTCACCCTCGGCCTCAGGATCCAGAAATTGTGGTTCCTTTGCAGGCTCGTTCTTTTTCTTCGCGGCCAACGCAGGCTTCCTCGACTCCTCTTTGATCCCTTTCTTTGCAACCGCAGCTGACTTGCGATTCTCCCTTCCATTGTTCCTCTTCTCCACCGGCTCTTCAACCTCCTGCATCTCAGACAATGGCGAATCGCTATCCTCCTCTTTGACCTGCTTCTCAACATCCATGCCTGCTTCCTCGAGATTCATCGTCTCATCTCCGTCAGGTGAAGCGCGCAGCGCCTCCGGGGCGTCAAGAACATTTGCATTCTTGTCTGGATTCGTAGACCCAGTATTGGCTTTTGGCCGTGACACTTTGCGCTGACTTGCTCTTCGCTTCGGAGGTGGAATTGGGTCGTCGTCGAACGGAGGAGGGAGGATTGGTACTGTGGTGGTGGCAGGGCCTTGTGTTGCCGTAGAAAGACTCTTCCTCTTCGCCATGGCGATCGGGATGTAATGGCGAGCTCGACAAGGACCTAACACACATAGGGCGCAAACGGCGTGGCTCGCGCTGGGCTTTGGAATCGTCAGGAATTGCGCAGACGTCTTAAAAGCACTCGATGATTGGCACTTCGAGGCACACTTCCGGAGAGCATATATGGACATGCAGTCGTGGCTCGGAAGAATTAGGTATTCAGGTATAAATCTCTAGAAGCGGCGCCTGCAAAACGCGAGGATCGCGACCAAGATCTCGACGTCATGGATCGCCAGAATGTGGGAATACCTAGGGGCTCTCTCAGCCCTACAGAATTCTTCGGTGTCGGCATGGAAATCACACTACTCGTAGTACCTACATGGTGGTCATTAGACATGGAAGAAGTTCCATAGCACTTATACATACTTGTAGAGTAGACACACAATACATGCACCCTACTACGTCCCGCAATTGTCTCCATTCCTGCACCCCTACTATCGCTCCTACACCGGGCGCAAAGCTGCGGAATAGGCTCTTTCGCTGCGTGGCTGCTTGCACTTGAAGCTGGGCTCGCATCTTCGGTAATGATAAGCAGATACCGGCAAGGCAAGGCAAATGCCTCTTCTCAAACGGCAGGCGTAGATGGGGAACACTGGCGAAAGCTCCGCGGCGTATATGGAGAATCGGAAGGAGAGGCCGATAGATGCCTCGGAAGGTTCGAAGGGTACGGATTGCAAGTGGTACATCTCTAAGGATGGCGATGATGGGGATGCATGCAAATACGTGTTTGGGCCTTTGGTAAAATGATAAATTAGATTGAGCTGTGGTTGGAGATAGCATCATGGGACGAATAGTAAAGACAGCGTGCCCTCAAGCAAGTTTACTGCTATCTATTTGGTGCTACCGTGTCTTGCTCGGAAGTCTTCATATTCAGAGAAACGCAACATGCTTCCACTCGTGGACATTGCCTTGACCGAACTGGCCCCCCAATCTTTTCTGTGAGTATTTTGTGAAATCTAGCTCAAGCGACCCTGACGATATCAACACGAACGTGTATCGTTTGAAGACAGCTTAATGAAGTTGAACAGCACTGATAAAACCTCATCCAATTCGCTTCAGTCTGACAGAATTTGAGAATGGCAAAAGCGAAATACACATGTCAAGAGTGACGAATTTGAGTAGTCCGATTGGGAAGGGAAAAGGATTCGAGAGATACGTACGTACCAGGAGCAGTTGAGGTGGCTGCTGATACATCTGGTGTAGGAGGCCGTGTTGGGGACGGTGACGAGACGGCCGCTGGTCGAGTCGGAGGCAGTCTACGGAAAGTCGAGTTGTCCCAGGTGACGGGGGAGGGTGGTGGTGAGAGCTGAGGAGATGGTGGTTTGAGGTACGTAGGAGCGTTAGCAGCGTATTGGGAGCGGAATTCTTCGTTTTTGCTTATGATCAAGAGAGATTACTATCTGAGCATTTGGCGCGATCAAACATTCGTCGTGAAACCAACCGTGTTTGGCGCGTGAGGTGTACATATGAAATGGTTGCGTTGCCGCCGTAGAGAGCGTAACTACCCTCGTACTTAGAGACAGGTCACATTCATTAGATGAAGAGTCTGCCTAGGCCAGAGAAACTTTGGAATGCAGCGGATATGAACGAGAATAGGAATTTAGCTATCTTCAGAGAGTTGGACGACATTTGGTACTTCGCTAGGTTAGAGCAAGGGGCATGTAGAGAAGTCTATTTCGTAAATCTATTGACTACCTTCTGCATTCTTCATTGTCGAATGGCTCCTCACAGCAACGTTCCAATTCCCAGAATCTATGCGGAAATCCTAATCAGACTCATACACCGTGACCCCAATTTCTCTCAAAGCCTCCTTATCCAAGTCCCCCTCGTGGAGAACCTCTTCCATTCGAGGCCGCCAATACTCTCGAAGGAAGTCCAAAAACGGGAGATCGAATTCGATCCTCTTCACTTCAAATTCTTCGAGGAGTTCTTCCAGCTTTCGCAGGTCCGCTGCTTCCACGTCCTGAATCTCATCAATTTCGGCCTGGTCTCTAATCCTTGAAAACAGAGAATACTCCCACTCCCACTCACGGTCTCTGCGGTGCTCATGGTGATAACAGGTGTGTGTGAGCCCCAGCTCCTTGAATGTTATGAGACGTAGGAACTCGGAATATTTCAACGGATTGCAGATATCCATTGTATCGGCCCAGAGGTTGGCCAGCTGTTGAAATTTGTAATCCACCCCCAGCCTCCATATGTAGCTTTTTGTTATCAGCGTCAATGCTTTGCATCCACCCTTTGAACATGCACATTCGCAATCGTCAGATACGTTGTCCATGACTACTTGTTCAAGCACGCGCCGCGAAGTTTCGGAAAGCATCATTCTCAGCGGCATGTCGTGCTTGTTCCACCTGCTGATGTATATGAAGACTCCCCCCAAGGCGAATCCCAATTCGTACGCCAAAAATTGCAAAGAGGTCGCGCTCAACAGCTGCCGTGATCCGGATCGTATGTCTCGTTTCTCGCGCTCGAAATATAAATCCAGGTCCTGTTTCGCGTACAAGTCGGCACCTTTGTTGAGGAACCACGCCACACACTCCAGCCTGATATTTATTGAGTGTTTAGAGTGAGCGTCACTGCGCATATACATCAATGGTGTGAGCCCAAAACAATCCCTACCGTCGATATCACGAAACTCTGCTTTCCAAAGCCTCTCTGCAATCCGGGAGGAAACCTCTATTTGATGATAGACTGTTGTTCGATCTCTACCCGGGTCTAGAGCCGAGAGAACTGGAATGCCATGATGTACCAATGCCGAGAACAATCGTGATGCTTTCTCGTCAGGTAGAAAGGAATCATGGTCCCCGAGCGGATAGAAATGAGTTAAAGCTGAAATTGGAAGTAGACGAGTTGCTAAGTCGCGCAGTCTCTGCCTTCTATCAATTACCAGGTCCACCACAAGATCAGTTACCATCTTCCCCTCTGCAATCAGCGTTTGTTTCCCTCGGCAATCCTCTCCGATGCGTATTGCGTCCTTTAATATGGGACTGTGAGAATAGTCGAGTAGGGAACAATCCGCATTACCGAGTACATGTATAGGCTAAATCAGTGATCTATTAATTGCGTAATTTAGCGGTGACAACATGACGCAGTCAAGGCAGTCAACATCAGCACCCGCCTCCAGTAGTATACGCATCCCAGCGGGCCACTCCACAGCAAGATGAAGTGCCGTTTGTGACATGTTGTTGGTCTCGTTGATTGCACGTGGCGATACTGCGAGTGCTCGTTGTAGGTCGACTTCAGACTTTCTTGCTACCGCCAGACAAATATCATTGCATAATAACGCTGTATAGTATAAGAACTTCATTGTAATCTCATTTCTCCTTAAGGATTTGGGGCTACCTTCTGCGATATCAATGATACTAGTGAAAGTATGACGAAGGTATATAGGTGGCGGCAAGCTGAGGACTGCATCCGCGTGAATATTTTGGCCTCGTCTATTAATGGTTACAAGCTCAGCACCCACATCTATGAGCTGCGTCACCGAGGATGCCAAGCTTTCGCAGATGCCTTGGTCGTACCAAGGACCGTCCGGGAGATTAAGGAAGCCATTCAAAAGGGTCCTACTGTCGTTAGTGAAGACACATCAAGTATCTTGTAGAGTTAAAGTACTTACTGTCCTTGCTCATTGACCTCATTCAACGGGACGCCAAGTGTCAGAATTTGCGTGATCAGACAGACAGTGAGGTCCATTATATCTTCTGAACATAGCTTCGTATGAAACCTGCAATCACGCGCATGATGCGCTGCTACCTGTGCCCATGCAGTTAGTCCTTATGATATAGTCTTCTACTTCAATACCTCACCTAGGATTACCTACATGAAGTAAAGTATTTCCATGTACATCAACATCCTAATGAGATGCCTTACGGTCTTGGAACACCTGCCGTAAGCTCTGCACTCGCTGATTGACGACAGCCTCTATGTCATTTGCAGACATTCCCCTCGGGATAGGGTCTCTAATCAAGGCAAACGCAGGAGAATCAGAGGATACTAAATTTGTGAGACTCATGGTCGGGCTCAAAGACATGCCTCCAGCTCCATTTGTGAAGGATACGGTAGCTTGCAGCGCGCTTGCCAGTAGCCTGTTGCAATAGGCTAGACGAAAGCTCAAGCTCCAGGAGGATTCTGTCCAAGCAGAATGGGGGCAGTCATGATGATGACATACATTCGCCGTGCGTAGGGAGACAGTCCATGAAGACTCTCTCAAATTACTGTTCTGCGAGCTCGAGTATCGTTGGCTGCTGGCCCGAAATCGGCAAGTGTAGATCTTTCCCATCCTCGTCTTTCGAATAGTTAAGGGACTCATAAATGTTCTGTGGGCTATATTCTTTGCCGCATTATTAAGCTCAAGGTCTTTGAATTCGTCACGAGTCTTCCTAAAGAGGCTCGGGCTCTGCATGAGGCTCAACTGAATGCTCCTTACATCGCTTTCCTGCACACGTGTCAGTAACAGAAGATTGGTGTCCCTAGAGAGGTCGGAGCTTACGAGTGTCGCTGCTCGAGTCTGATGTGATTCCGAATGCTGCTCCAAAGCCTTCATCAAACCCAAATTCTGTGGAGCCAAACTATCAATCCCGGCTAAAATAGCTGATTCCGTCGCAGATGATGTTTGTTCGAACTGCGTTTTCAGCAGTGCAAAAGAACCTGAGAACGATGTATGATGCTCCTTCATGTCACGATGGATGGAGTGCACACCATCGCGCAGAGCATGTAAGTTCAGGGACGACGGTTCCCGTTGTCGCTGAAGGACTGGCAATGCTACGTGTGCGCTTTGGACGGATCGCTCAATGCGTTTGACTCCATCATATATATCTTTGCCTTGCTTCGTACTGCTTGCTGAAATTGTACTGATCTCAGCCAGGGTTGAGCTTTGGTTGATAAGTCCTTCCCTACGCACCAAGGCTTAGTCAGAATAGCCGAGTAAGATGTTTTCCGAGTTTTATAATACATTTGCAGGGCGAGAAGCGCTGTGTGAACATTATGTTGTAGTTCTGTCACTGTACCTTGTAGCCGTAGAACGTTCGATTGCTTGAGTGGATACAAAGCCTGCTGTCTGTGATTATGAATGCTGGCTTTGAGTCCCTGAGGTTTTGGAACCTTTTTGCATGAATCAAGCGATGTCTGCAGCGATTCAAGACCATCTTTGCCTATTCATATACTTTCGTCACGTTCGCGCTCGCTCTTGACGTGGTCAATCCGGGCTTCTGTAGCGCTTCTTCACAGATTTCGAGCGTCGACCGGAGGCCTTCAATCTTTCTGCAAAGCGAGCCAACGGTGTCATCGTAGGATTTGTAGTCAACGCAGTACGACAGTAGACTTTGACAGACTTGAATACCAAGAGAGGCGACGCTTATAGCGCTGGCTGCCACGGAGAAAGGATCCGCCATCTGGGGCGAATATGCTTCAAAGGAAGGACAAAGCCAGCGTCGACTAAGAAGGTGAAGAATGGTGCTCAAATCGTGCGGTCACGCTACCCCACTCTTAACGTGACCACACGAGGCTGACTCGGCCGGAGTCGCTCATGGTGGGACAGCCTAAGTAATGCATGCATGCAGGCTATGCTTTATTAGTTGTCCTATTCATGAAAAACACGCATCACATGCACACATAGGGGCCTACATAAAGTGTATATAGTGGTTGGGCCGTCTCACACCGGGGATAGCAAGCCTGAATAGGCCTCAATAGAGGCCTGAACAGGCATATTTCTCGTACCCCAGCGCAAGAAAACTTTTATGCCTATGGTATAGACCTGGAGTAAAATAATAGCCAGTTATATATAGATGTGGGTGGGTGGAATAAAAAAAGAGTATATAATGGCTCTGAAAGAGACGAAATCGAATGAAGAGGCATTGACAGGTGCAAAACAGGTGGCTATATAGCTCGTACTGGACACCTGTCTCCTCCGCCTTGCAGGGGTACCGACAAGGCTCTGAAACAGGGGCATATCATGTGACTCACTAACCCCCTGTCCCACTGTGGCGAATTGTCTCAGCCTTGCGACTGTACTTGTTCGGTCTGATCACGTCCGTTCCAAGAGGAGAGTCCAGTCGAATTCCCTTGTATGTGTATGTTGCGTGTGTGTTACTTCTTCACAGTACTCACGAAGAAGCTTATTATTAACAATTGATCCTACTACAAATGTAAGGTGAGAAACTATGCAACAAGTGGTTGGAGAAAAGGCCAGAGAAGGAATAGACCAGCAAGGGAGATAACGATTATTCTTCGAGCATCTAAATGACCTCATCAGAAATTTTCCCGTCCATGTTCACCCCCTCATCACACTGCCTGTTCCTCCACCCCCCCCCTTCCTCCGCTCCTCCCCTCTTCCCCCACATACCGCTCTTACATGCTGCATGATCTTCTCAGCCGCCTGCACGGGTGTAATTTCCGTAACATTCAAGACCAGCTGCTCGGAACATTGGAACCTGTAAACGTCCCCACGCTCCCGGAACAGTTTCAGCACATCAGTATCTACCAGCATGCCGTTGCCACCCTCTACCGCTCCTAGACGCTCTAGTGATCGCAACCTCCGTTCGTTCTCCGCGACTTGACATGTAAGTATGACGGGGATAAAAGCGCAGCCTCGTTTCTTAGCCGCGGCCTCGTACTCTGAGGCTACCGATATGCCTTCTTCGTTGGCGGTCTGGAAATCGGTGAAGACATAACTAGGGTGAGTTAGGTTTTATCATTCGGCTAAAGAGGGGGACAAGCTTTTATATAAGGGAGAATGTTGGGTAAGTACACACAAATGGTCGAAAGAATCCGGAGATGTGGCGAGAGTGTTGAAGAGGGCGAAGCGCAGTTGATGACGCAGCTCAAGGTAGTCGGCACTCGTTCGTGGAAGGATCGCCCCAGCAAGGTCGATGTGGAGGTGGTTGCGAACCTGTGGTAGGCTGTGAGAAATTCGGGGCGTGCATATTGAGACGTCCAGAGAAGAGGATCTCTATCTACGAAAGCAAAATCTCCCAAGCAGCAGACGAGGGCATATTGAGCATTATGATATAAGATCCCTCTGGTGAATGACTAGAAACCTGGAATGGGTGACAAAGAACGAGACAAGGCTCACAACGCGAACTTTTCCATCCATCTGTTTTTCGAGTTCTCTCGCAACGGTGTATTTGCCTGCGCCAGGCCAGCTGTTGATGTATATTATTGGAAGAGCCATCATGGCCAGATCGACTCGCTGTTCTCACTGTTTGGAAGATGGAGGCATTGTAACACTTTCGGCCCTATGAAAATTACGAGATTGAGTGACGCATGCTATGTTGTATGTGCGACACAGAGATGGAAGTCCATTCCCTCTGCTCTATCCTCGTCGTCATAACAACAATCATACCATCACTGCCATCATCATCATCATCATCATCATCATCATCATCATCATCATTATCTGTATTATGATCATTGCTATCATCATTGCTATCATCATCGTCGTCTACTTGATACCTCCAGTTGTCAAAGTCAGGCAGCTACCTCCGTAATCTCAAGGAGCAAACTTCATACGCTTCATGCGTGGAATAATAGCCATGTCGCGGATATCATCATGCTTCATGATCCAAGCCAAAAACCGCTCCATTCCCATCCCCCACCCCGCTGTTTGCAAGTATTTGCCGCCTTTCTGCTCATCCCGAATATCCAAGTACCACTCGTATTTATCCTGGCGCACTTGATGCATTGTGAGAGCCTCCCTCACTTCAGTAGCTTCTGCATGACGTTGACCAAGTCCTAATATCTCACCCGGCCCCAACAAAAGATCCGCACAAAGCGCTTTCGCATTGTTAGTGTGGGGGACAAAGGCCTGGTAGAAAGGTACGCTGAGGTGGTCTTTTTCGGTAAGCCAGACAGCGCCGCCGAAGTGCTTAATCAAGATTCGCTCGCCCGTGCGTGTAAGAGCGCGGCCTTTGCTGTGATCGGTCGGGACAGCATATTCCCACGCGTGAGCGGTATTGACCATTTCTTGGAGCGACAAGGCATCAGCAAGACGGATGCGCGGAAGATGGCCACCGTTGCTGTTGGCTAGGGAGAGAAGATCGTCCATATGAGAGGTGTTACCGGCGACGGCGCGGATAATGTCGACGTTTTTCTCTAAGATAGCGCGAGTGACCGCGATGATGTAGCGTTCTGCCACCTCGATACCGTCGTTCAAGGTTCCAAGCATCTCGCACTCAGCGTGATAGAACTGATTTAGATGCATGTGGTCAGTATCTTCACCACGAAATGAACAACCAACATGGTAGGCCCCTTTGAGCCCATCCTCAATTCGAAGAACGTATTCGAGAGTGAACTGCATGGAATCAGCAAGGAAAGTGTCCTGACCAGAGAGGGCTACATGCACGGGCTGGGAGTCCGATCCGGGACCCATGGGTGAGCTGATGGAATCTGTGGTTACAGGGACTAAGGTGTACTTGTATCCTAATTGACTGTGGAAGAAATTTATTGTCGCATGGAAAAGAGTGTCTTGGAGGGCGAACACAGCGGTGTACCAAGGACTCTGCAGAGCTCCCATGGAGTGCGTACTAGGTTGCTGCCATGTTTTGGGTGCCACAATTCGATTTCGTTGGACGTGAAGCTCACGCAATTGCTTCGCGTGGACGCCGATCGATTTGAGGTCAGACGCAGGCGGGCCAAACTGCGTCGTGAGGACTCCTTGGTAAATGGTTTCAAAAGATGTAGGCGCAGCTATGGGGGTGAAAAGCTGCCCCTGGGATGTGAATTGTTCATGCACTGGGATCAATTTTACGTGGGCATAGTTAATCTCGTAGCCTTCGAAGAAAATACCGCAGCGCTTGACGCCAAAGGCTTCCTTTAGGTACTGAGCGACCTTGTAAGCAACTTTAACAATGTTTTTATAATCCTCATCTTCGAGTCCAAAGATATCGCTGCCGAGATGCTTGCGTGGAACAAGTACTGTGAATCCGGGGGTATTGCCATATGGCGTCAGGAAGGCAACATAGGCTTCATTTTCCCAGATACGCGATTGACGTACCTCTCCCCGGATGATTCGGGCAAAGATGTTCTGGTTTGATGCTTCACCATCGAAATAATTGTTGAAAGGCTCTGCAATGCCCGTGGTAGCGGCAATACGAAAGCGCATTTCCTCAAGAAAAGCGTCTGCCATCTTTGGCCCATTCTTTGATGTAAGGTAGCCGGGATATAAGGCATTATATTCCTCTTGGTTGTGGACGATTGCAGTCCAGTCTTTGCTAATGCCATGTAGAGGGATTAGAGAGAGAGCACCGCTACCGTCACAAGTCATGCCACAGCGGTGAGTAGACAAACCAGAATTCAGTGTTGCAGAGACCTGACGCACAGTATGCATGACCTTCAAGAATGTGGGTAGAGATAGTGACATTAGTTCGCCAACTCCACGGCAAATGACAACAGCATGGGAAGGAGTTATTGGATAGCGAGTCAATCCAGCAATTATAAGGGCATCTTGATGAATAACATGTTGCGAAAGGATATGGAGGGTGGTTGGCAGGATCGATGACTTCAAAGAAGATGCGGTACAAGACGCGGTCGGAAAGACGCGCCCACTTGATTCGACGACAATATGACCCATAGAATTGAGAGCAAGGATGGCGCATGCGGAAGGCGCTTTCTCAGCTTTCTTGAGGATGACTTGGGCCATAGTCTCACTGAGTGATTCGGTCCCTGGCAAGGCGGCAACCTTGCCAGCAACAGAGTGACGCAGAATGTCTTCTCCAGCACCGCTGCTGTAGACAGATGTCAGCAAGCTTAGTCCACGAATATTGACTAGAAGTTCCGGGGACTCACCAAATAACAGCTACATTCTGGTCCACAGACAGACCTGCTCCGATGATAGCCGTGTCTCCGACCCTTCCTTTCATCTTACCAGTCAGTCCTCCAGTAGAGCTAGCAGCTGCGAGGTTCCCATGGAGATCAAGTGCAACGGCCCCGACTGTCTCAAGATCCTCAGGAGGGCCGAGCGTTTTGCGGGCTCGGGCTTCCCAGCGAGCCTTCTTCGTAGCAGTGGTGAAGTAGTCATTCGATACCATAGTGACTCCCGACTTGCGAGCAAATTCATCTGCTGCAGGGCCTACAAGAAAGGAATGTTGTCCTTGTTCCATTACTGCACGAGCAGCCTCAATAGGATTCCTGATGTTTCGTGTAGCCGCTACGGCGCCGTAGGCTCCCGAGGTCCCATCCGCGATTGCGGCCTCCAGCTAGTAGGGCGAAGTATCAGCGACTGCTATGACTTGAAGGGCAGCAAGAACCTGAAGAATGTGAAGGCACCTCATGTTCACTATCCTTATTGAGTACGGCTCCTTTGCCGGCATTGAATAAAGGGCAATCTTCGAGAGACGTCACGACCGCTTGGACAACATCAATAGCTTTTGCACCGGAGGAAAGCTTTGCCCCAGCTGTCTCAGCGATAGTCTTGAGTATCTTTTCGACCTCTTGCTGATGCACTGCGTCGTTGTTCCAGGTATCGCTTGTCCCAGCGTGGAGGGCCACAGCGAACTTCGCAGTGGCCATTGTGATAAAAGATGCAAGATTGAGCCGTCCTTATGATGTTGCGGTAGGATGAAGCGAGGAAATCGCTGTGGATTAGCCTGAGGGCGAGGGGAGAGCTGGTACTGGAAGCTTGTGGATAACACAAGGCTCACGGAGGAGCTTGTCGTAGCTGCTAAGCTCACAGATTTGTAAGCCATACTCAGCCTTGTGGTTATGTCCAATTAAAAGCTTCAAGTTGCATAAACCATCCATAATGAGATGCAAGAGCGAAGAAATACTTGTATGATAAGGGTTTCACGACTGAGGTATAAGTCTCATCTCACTCAATTTCTCGAACGACACACCACGCTTTGTATCTGGAGACGGTACCATCTGGTCCGCATTTCCTCTCGCATATCCAACGGACTGTCAACACACTCTAGTCCTTTGGCTTGCCCGCGACTGGTCTTGTGTGGTCCTTTATTAGAGTATCGACCTCTTCGAGGAAAGCTGATCTCTACTGTTCTGCTTCAAATGAGATCAAAAAACGTGGCAGGGCATGATCTTATCTCACACGCGAGTGTGGTACAATATGGCGATGGTTTAAGCGTCTCCTCGACTGAGTTTCCATCCTGGGTCCTTGCGTTTTTGGCTTCCCGTCTCGTCGAACAATAAGTGGGTTTGGCATTATATATCCTGAGCCCTTCTTCAACCTGGTCGCGACAACTCTTCTCTCCTGTGCTAGTGAGACAATTTCTGCAGGGTAGTTGCCTGTCGCAAGGAATGCTGACACCGTGACGACGCCCGTATCGCACGCGACCCAGGCAGTCGTCAAACACATCTTTGGGCTTTGACGGGGTATGATAGTGGCGCTCTGTGAGCCCATAGTCGCCCTGATGTTTGCATTTGGTCACAATCTCATGCAATTTCCGCAAGGCGCTGCTCCGCCACCTATGAGTCGTTGAAAGCTGCAGTTCATGCATTTTTTCCCGCCTTGCATGGGCTGGTCCTTGTAGTACAAGGGTTTGCGGTTGATGCACCCATTGCATTTCTCTTCACCATTGCACATGGAATAAGTTCTTCTACAGGGCCAGCACCTATCTTCCAATGGAATACGCTTCATGGACTTTGGCTAAGAGCCCTGAGAGCAGCACCATTTGACTCTGGACTTGATGCAGCGCTCGCGTGGACTGTTGCCATCGGACCAGTAAACGCTTTTGAAACAAGCATGATATTTGTCAGTGGGATCTTGGACACGGCGCAACTATCTCTTCTCTCGGTATTCGCAGGCATGCTTCCGGGCCTGACAACTCTCACACCTCGGCCGGCCCTGATCACATACCAGCCGATCTCGAATGCAGCAATTACAGTACGTTATAACTGGTGGCTGGTCATCCCGAGGAACAAATGCACTTCCCCTTTTGATACATGCAGTGCATTTTGGTTTGGTTTGATCACAGGCTCTACGCCCTTTCAAACACGGTTGACATTTGACTGATGGATCTTGTGGTGTTTTCCTGGGTAAGGTTCTGGGCTTTGTAGAGGCTTCGTCCATCCCGGATTCATTGGCGCTCACGCATGCTCTTCGCCGCTTGCCCAGGCTGTTCACCTCCTTGGAGCTAGATTGCTCGTCTTTATTGCCATGACTGTCATGGTGGCTCTTTTCAGTAAGTATCGCTGTGTCATTGTTCGCTGGTTTCCAGGGAAGCCTTGAGGTAACCTCTGAAGAGTCATCAGACGAGTCATCACTTCCGCTGGAGGAGACGTGGCTTTGCGCTGGACTTGAGCCTTCTCTAGTGTGGCGTACTTGCTCGCTATAAATCCTTGGCCTGGCGGGTTACAAAATGGAAGAAGTAGCAGTGTTTTGACCATGCCTGAGAAGTCAGGTATGATTATCTGTGAAGGTTAGTTGAGTTTACTTAGTTAGGATTTTCGAGTCGAGCCCGTTAGGAATTAGACTAAAATTATTAGGGTTCATTTCCTTCTTTTGTTTGATGTGTGTTTTTGTATTTGTGCACAGATTCTGATTTAGAAAAGGAGGTTGGATTCTTCCTGCTCCAGTGGAAAAACTATGTATCAAATTGAGCGAAGACAGACACTGACTCAGGCTTGGAACACTGGACGACTAGCAGAGGCATAGCGTCTTTAGGTCTAGTTTCTCTTTCTTATATCTTCCGTGCTGTTTCTGTTCAGTTCAACGTCATATCGCTTACAGAAAGAAAAGACCCACTTCGTCCAAGCAAGTTCCGGTGGTCGGAATTACATCCACCCTCTCGCTCAGTATTTTAAGCCTTCCAGTTGCCGCGTTTCACACTTGCTGGCATTTTTTGAAATGTCCGAGAAGGAGGTCGGAGTCATTTTCGTCGATCCTCGTAGGCAATACGTAGTGTCCGCATTGCGAGATGCGTCTTTAAGCGCGCTTCTCTAATAGTCCAAGTGGCGCAAAGATGAATAACCGAATCCGATAGTAGTCAAATCACCGTCTGCGCATGAGGTATGGAAAAACCTGAAAGGCTTCCCTTCAGAGGAAAGAGTGTCAAGGATCCTGGCAAGGGTGTCGACCACCGAAAGAAGAAGGAACGACACTCCGCCAAAGTTGAAGAGGACGAATTTCAGGAAGAACTTGAAGAGGAGACTGAATTGTTTCGCGCTTGCGATGACAAAACTATCGAAATGAACCGACTCAGGAAGTTCTCAAAAAACTTCAAATTCGACAGACCCAGATCTGAAGACCTATCGCCCGTGCTTGCAAGGGACGGGACAAGACAGCTTGAAGCGACATCAAAGGCAAGTGGCGAAAATGGACAAAAAAACGAACAAAGAGAGCCAAAGGGCTCATGAAGGTTACTGTCACTCATCGGACGGGGCACCATCCGATAAAGAAGATTTTCACAGTAACCTAGATTGATATCAGAGACTTGATGGCATAATCCTGGTTGCAGAGCCGGAGCTGCTTCCTCTTGAGTGATGAGCTCGTGAAATGTGGCGCCCGAGAGGGCCGCGATACGCAAGACACATCATGATGAATATCATAATATGTGCGCGCAGTCATTACTCCGTAAAATAGTTGGTGATTATCTTTTGACTACCTAGTTCACTTTTATCTTCGTTCGAGCGCAAATTTTGGAGAAAGTTTTGCCAGGATCGAGCCAATGACACGAATTGGGAGTGCTGCATTGATTCTGCAAGCCCTGCATGGGCGGTACGGGCCCACCGAATCAGCGACGCACACATGGTCCGCACCCCTGCACCCCCACATACCCTGCATAATTTCGCAGTCCTTATAATATTGGCGGGGGTTGACTTCGATTCCGAGTTCTGGCGCAAGGGCACACGAGGATTGCTTCCATGCTTCGAACTCGTCCTTTGGGGTTTGAAAAGGAGCCAAGGTAGGCTTAGTCGCTATAGGTGTCTGGCTGAATTGGACTGATGGTAAAGAGAGCAGGTGATACAGCAAACCCAAATTTCAGCCTTCCATTTCGAGCTTGTTGAACTCAACCGAAAATATGAGGAAATACTCAGCTGGCAAGCAGTGGGAAGATCTCAACAGGAAGCGACAGGAAGCGGAGAACGAGGAACTAGAAGCTCGAAGGACTGCAGCAAACCAAGCAGTGAGAGCCCAAGTTGCAGGCCTGCCTAGCTTAACATCGTGGAACGCCACTCTTTCGGTCGGTAGGCCGCAGTATTACCAAGACAGAGGATCGAGGTTTTATAGAAGCCAAAAGGATGCGACTGAGCTCGAAGCCCAAGACGATCCCCCACCCCAGTACCAGCAACAAGCCTCACTCACTCCTCCGGCCTCCGACGGGGACGCTCCCGAAGTGGACAACAACGAGCAAATCAGATACTTGCAAAGAGAGGTTGTACAAAAGGAAAGCAGAATCAAAAGGCTTGAGTCCGAGGTTGAAGTCGAGAAGGACAAGAGGCGGCGCCTACAAGCTGAGCGCCACGAAGCAGTAGACGCGCAACGGAGAGCAGAAGCCGAGCTCTGCCAGTTGAGGAGTCAAGTAGCAAACCTCGACCAGTTACTCGACGGTTCGATCAAAAGGCAGAAAGAGTTGGAAAGCGAACTAGATATCTGCAGACAAGAAGCCAGAGAGTTGAAGAGGCAATTGCACGAGGAGCGGTGCAGCCACGAAAGCGATATCAGGGCACAAGAGACGCGGGAGACGCAGATCAGGCACCAATTCGAGGATACAAATCGCGCGCTGGAGAATCAGGTCGGAAGGCGTCGACGCCCCGACCCGGATGTGGGATCGATTCTGGAGGATACGGTACAAAGTGAGGATAGCCCGCAGCGTGACTTTGCTAGTCGTAAAGGACAATCTAACACCTTCTCAACAGATGCGCCGAGCCGATCTCGAAGGCAAGACAGAGGCACGGCGGGAAGGGCGTACGTCAGTATACCGAAGAATGGGAACCGTCGCGCTGTGTGGATCTTTGGCTGAAAAGGGGGTAAAATTGTGGACCGCTTGTCCTCTTTGGATTTGATTTTCTAACAATGTCTTCTTCCAACCTTAGGCGGGTTTGAAGCAATGGAGTTCACTGGGTAGGCGGTGTTTGCCATGCAATTCTACTTTGACTGCAAGAGAAGTCAATCATAGATTGCAGATTCATGAGATCAATGATTAATGCCTCTTAACCCTGACTGACTGTCTTCATTCTCACCCCCTTTTATCTTGTCACGTCAGCTCATGCAGCCCACCAAAATGCGCCTCCTCCAAAGGCCAACCCCGCGTAGCGTCCAGTTCCATCCGCGTATCACGCCCCATCAACTCCGTTCTCTCAACCCTGACCACCCCGGGGGCGAGCTTTGGCCTTCGTTGCTCTACCCGCTTACTTTTTGATCGTCGGAATACATAGAGTGAGCCGACAGCGCCCAAAACTTCTATAGCGCCAGTGATCCCAATGATAGCTTTTTCGCTGAGACTGCTAGCCGTTTCTGCGTTCGAGGCAGGTGCTGGCGTTGGTGTACCTGTGGGGGTAGGCAGTTTGGACTGCGCAGGTAGATCTAGTGATTGAGATTGTGAGGGTATAGTGATAAGCGTGGAAGAGCTCGATGTGCCTTTGGAAGCGAGAAACGTGCTTGTCGAAGGGTGGCTTGTCCTAGTTGGTACCGAATAGCCCTCGTCTGCGTAGTCTGTAGGCCATGCCTCTGCTACCGTCGGTATTGTCGCAATGTTATGATAGGTGATGTCTTTGACTCCATGATGATTGAAACAGCATCTCTCGTTGCCCGGGTTTATACAATATGTCCCATCGCCGCAGCCGGTAGTGTTGGCCGCATAAGAGAACCAGTTCCATACATAATGGTCTGTGTTACCATACCACAAGCAATGTGGAATCAGTCTTCATCAAAGACAAAAAGTAGCAGGAGAAAACAGTACCTCGAAGGAAAGGAAGTGGATTAGCGGGATCATCTCCGGTTTTGTCGATACAGCCTCCCACGCTTTCAAATGTATCCCCCAATGCTTCTCCATGACAGTGGAGGTTCGGCCCGCATGTGGCTCCCAAAAAACAGCATGCGCTGACGTTGGCAAAGGGATCACAAGGAATTAGGGGTGTAAGGTTGCCATCAGCGTCGTAACAAGGCTTTAGTTGGGCAGAGCAGTTTGAAGTGAAGGAAAGGACTGGCAGGAGTAGGGAAGGACGCAATGCATCGAATTAGATAATACTGCGTTAAAGCTAACATGAGATGAAAGATGCAAAAGGGTGGTTAGATGATGTAAGAACCACGACAGATATTTGCGGCATTATCTGTTCAGATCAGCGGACAAACTAGGGTGTAGCATTGCAATGCAAATGGCTTCGCCGTCGACCGCAGCGCCGAGGCTATGGAGCTGATTACAGTACCATGATGCATAGATAGATGAAATGCTTGCTCTCAGGACCTGATGAACAAAATTTTGGAGTGAAAAAACTGATAGATCCGCCGGTTTCAAGACCTCTTCGCTACATCAAAAACACCTCGGCTCTTCTTTTTCCGAAGGTAGTTCATACATGTATCCCTTCTCGATACATGTACACGCCCTCAGATCGGTGTAGTGCCGGAGTAATGAGTAGGTGAGGAATATGAGCACCTTGAGAAAGAGGTAGGAGATTGCTATCAAATACCGGTTTAATGAGCTCAAGAACCTCTTTCTTCCTCCGGAGAATAGTATTGTGTACTATCTCATCTGTCGTATATCACTTCTTTTTTTGGCAAATTATTTTCTCAAGGACACCAATCTCTAGATACTTGTTGAGGCTTGAGGCATTGTTTTCATGCATGATAGAGTTGCACTTTTTTGGATTAATCCTACCGGCAGCAGATCCGAAAACTTCAAGAGTATGAGTTGCTAAGCATTTGTCTTCAGTGCAGATCAAAGTGGCTGTATTTTGAGATAGTTCTGGAGGCAACGACGGGGATTTTTTTGCGGTGGTGTAAATGTATCGAAAAGGTGTGTACACGTAAGAGATCTGTTTTCAAGATGAATCACTGCCTGATGTGTCTTAAAGGGGCGCTGATAGATGTACACTTCTTTCCTTATACATGTAAACCGTCGGAGGGACTGTCGAAGCAAGCCCGAATTTCAAGTATCACTGACTTCCTGCATGAGCAGCAAGGAAAGAGGCATTAGAGAGGATATACACGCTCAATAAGATCAAAAGAGGATGCAAGATGCGATTCGCTTATTCGAACGAAGAGCACCGTTTTCTTAGATAGGATTCATCAGGCTGATCGCCTGCATACGAAATGTATATTACATTAGTACTAGCCGTACTATTTGACATTTGGTAGTACTCTTCGGGTTATTTTTTATGTTTTTTGGTCTCTGGTCATTACACTAGTGTCTCCAAAATTACGCCCAACTTGAAGCCACAAAACCCCGCATCAATCAAAATGGAAGGGCGTCCCTACATCGTGGACAATTCCTCCAGACCAGAGTTCCTAGCACGCACGAGGTGCAAATGTCCTTTGACCTGACAAGTTCGTTGTCTGCCAATGGATCATCTTCCCACCCCCAAAAACGCCGTTAGCAATGAGAGGACAATTGTACCTTACGTCTGCCTAAAAGGTTACGATGGCGGATCATTTCTGACATATCCCATTAGAGAAGGCGTCACTCATGCATTGCCGTCAGATGGGAACGTTCCTGGTGGCTCCCCGTACAGGCAGCATGAACGGGTATATCCAACACCGAAGCAAGAGCAAGAGGACTTCCTCCAGATATGGCTGTTTTTTGGACTGATTCACGAGATATTGGGCGACCGCTACCGGCCTGAGGACCTCATATCTACCATCGAAACCGATGATGGCCGAAATCCCACTGTCTCGACCTTAGGACTTGTTGAAGCACTCGATAAGTGGATTTCTGACATCCACGCCGGCTTCGTCAACCCTCGTCACACCTACGAGCACATTGCAGAATGCCTGCGCCTGGCTTTTGCTACGATCCATGGGGCCGGTCCAGACTTTGATCCGCGGATCAAATTTTCACTTGCTTCGCTGGGAGAATTGTTCACGCTTGCTACAAATGAAGCTTACAACGTGACGACCAATAAATGTCCGAGCGCGTTTGGTCGACTTATAGATCTGGAATACGCCTATTGGAAAGCTCCGATGCTATCAACTGGGTGGTGCCCAAGTCAGTTGAGAGTAAATGTCGAGAATCATTGGTACCTACAAACTATGCACTTTCTTACGTTCCTCGGCCAGCCAGCATCGGACGGGTTTCATCGAAGGTGCAGCAATGATCGATGCTTAGCCTACCAGAACGATCTGGCTACATATCAGACGAAACATCTCACTGGCTGTAAATGCGAGTATATCTCGATTGACACTAAGCGCTTAACTGAAATCTTGGAAAGCGGATCTTTGCCTCTATTGCGCATCCAGGAAAGCCATACATTGAACGAACTTTCAATCGAATTAGTGCCATCACAGTCAACGACTCGCTACATTGCCTTATCCCATGTCTGGGCAGATGGATTGGGAAACCCCTACGAGAACGCACTACCTCGGTGCCAATTAGGTTTCTTGCATCAAACCATCAACAAATACTATGCAAAGTTGTACCCTCAGGCAGTCGAGGAAATCTTGCTTTGGTGTGACACTCTTTGCTGCCCAGTAGAACCGGGAGAGGCGAAGAACATAGCTTTAGCACAGATGAAAAAGACCTATCTAGAGGCAACCCGCGTCCTTGTTCTCGACGCATCATTGCGAATGTATGATTTCAACTCAATGGAAGCCGACGAGGCTTGTATAAGGATCCTCAACTCAGGGTGGACTCGTCGACTTTGGACTTTACAAGAAGGCGCACTTCCAGCAAAGAGTTTTCGACTATCGTTCTTGTTCAAAGACGAAGCAATCAACATAAACTATCTCGTACATAAGATGTATCAGATCCTCGGATCAAGCGTTGGCAGAAAAGGACTTGCCAGTAACATTATCACCCAAATATTGAAATTCGCGAGGATCCCTAATGAAGTTGACGGCAATCGATGGGATCTTGGGGCCGTTGAGACTGGTCTCCAACACCGCTCTGTCAGTGTTCCTTCAGATGAGCCGCTACTTATCGCACACCTTCTGGACCTGGATGTAGCCTATGTACTCAATGGCCCATGTCCATTAGCGAATTGCGCGAACTTTGGCTGTGACCATTCTCGAACCCATCGCATGTGGTTTTTAATGCCTACCGCATTCCGAGGTATACCCAAAAACGTTCTCCTCCGCGTGGGCCCCAGGTTGAGTGAACCTGGCTTTAGATGGGCCCCATCGACACTGTTGTACAATGGCCCTCGAAACCACGCCTTATATCCTCGGACAATAACTAGGAACGAAGATACACCTACCACTGGTGGTCCCATGTTTGGGACTCAGGCTGTCATGTTCTCTACGCTACTACATCTATTCGCTGTGCTCGTGTCGAATCTTTTGAATCCTCTTGCACGTTCCTTCTACTGCATACGAGGCCGCTTGGAGACGTTTTGCTGGATACCCGCGATATCACGGACTCTCAAGCGTACGAATTTAGTAACAGAGAACGCAAGCTGGGGCGTACCTACCAATCGTGGCCTCTTAGTTCGCTTTACCGGCTACAGCTTTTCGATGGCGCATTGCCCACCGGGCATACCCCCTAACGATTGGAATACGATTGAGCAAGGTTCGGTTTACTCGCGTGGCGTTGATGGAACATGGTACCACATTACTCGTAGCCTTCCCGCGGAACACGATCCTTTCCTCTCCACCAAATCGCTCAATGCGATCATTCAGGAGGAGAGCAACCTTTGGATCACGCACGTGGAGTCGGCCTTCAATAAGCCTCAACTCGTAGCCGAAGCAAAGAATGAGCAACAGGTTACACATGGACTTCTGGTCCAGCTGCTATCTGACGAAGAAGACATCAAATATGTCCAAACTAAGCTACATGTCAGAATTGGAGTCGAACGAAAGACTACGCGAAACTTGCTCGAAGCAGCCTACCAGTCTGCTCGTCAGGTTTCCCGGAATTCATCCGCGAAAGGATTAGGAGCAAAGTCTGATGGCGAACAAAATCAAGTCAATGACGTTAATTGGCCCCAGCACAGTCTGATTCTGGAAGGTCTCAAGCAAGAGATACAACGAGTCGCGGTCCTAAATGCGAGTCAGGATGTGACCGCTGCTGCCGAAGTCTACTTGCCAAATGGCATGATGCTGTTCCAGGCCCTGATCGGTATGATGGTTGTGGGCGGGTATGGCTGCCTGGGTCCAAGAACAGCGGACGAGCAACAGTGGTGCTTCGATTGAGCCAATAAATATGCAGAAATCGGGCGTGATCGAAAAGAGGAAGGAGACGCTGAAAGCGGCCCTAGAATAGAGTACGTAAGCTGGCTCGGATCAGAGGGGATTCCTTGGCTAAGGTAAAATCTTTCGGAGTCGCTCGCGATTGGCATGCCTAAAAATAGCGGCTTGTCCTGCAGGTCATGCCCACCAGGCCTTCCTCGGTCCTCCAGCTTACGCTAAAATCCGGTCCTTCGGCAAGGCGGCTTTTTCATTCGTACAGCTTGCAACAACATGCATTAAGATGCTAACACGTTCTTGTTCACCACTTGATCCCAGAACCATGGCTGCTGACTTGCATATGCATCCCATATAAGCTTACATGCGGCTTGCCGTACTCCCCTCAAATCAGCTTCAGAATCACCCCGCGGCTTATCTCGTTTATGGCAAGATCAGCGGAGAATAGCATCTTGTTTGGTTCACCGTTCGGATCGCGACTACCGATTAGAAATAAGAGGTCTTTCAATAAAAGCGGATATCATGCAGGACGTTTTTAAGCAATACCAAATCAGGTCTCGCAAGCGGAGTCGGCAGCGGTCTCGAATACTCTTGGGACTGATATTCCCTCATTCCCCCATCTTGAGAGTTTTTTTCATCCACAGATACTTTTCTCTTCATCTCTGCGGTGTCACAATCATTAAAGTTTTTCGAGCACCATGAGGCTGAATGCCATTGCCAAGGCCATGGCCATGCAGACCCTCCTCTCGATCTGCATTTCTTTTGTAGCCCTCAGGAGTGTCACGGCCCAATATGTTGCCAACACGGAGGCTCTCATCATCAAGGAAATCGAACATCTTTACTTCGATGCTGCCCCCGCTGGCATGTTGTCTGCCATTACACCTTGCTCGAATTACTATGACCCTTCTACTGGTGCTTCCAACAACAGCCTTGGCAGAAACACTGCAGCCGAGTGGATCCGTATTGCTTTTCGTAAGTAACCATGTTCTCATATAATATTTGAATTTTGCAAATTCGATTGCAAGTCCCTTGACTCGCTCCCTTCCCACAGCAATTATCGCTCTGGACTCAAAAATTGAAAATTTGTTTTTATACCACAAGATTTGATGCGTGTGCTTTGGTCCAAATGAAAGGAACTAAGGCGTTGCAGATGATTTCGTGACAGCAAACATCTACAGCGAAACAGGCGGCATCGATGCTTCCATTGGCTTCGAGACCACACGTGCCGAGAATGTTGGCCCAGCCTTCAACGATGCCCTTACATTTTTCAGCTATTTCATTAACGACAAAGTATCGAGTAAGTCCTGCCCCAGCCCTGAGCACCTTCCTACTTTTAGCTTGCAATAGATATTGATCGTTCAACAGTGTCCGACCTCATAGCCTTAGGGACCGTAATGGCGGTTGGAGCTTGTGGAGGCCCTCACATCGAAATGAAAGGTGGCCGTATCGATGCCACTGCTGCTGGACCGTCTGGTGTTCCTGAGCCCGAGACTGATCTCCAGGACACATTGGATGATTTCTCGAATGCTGGTTTTAATACTGATGATACCATTACACTCACGGCCTGCGGGCATTCTATGGGCGGAGTGCATCACAGCAGCTTTCCTCAGGCCGTGCCAGCCAGCGCAGTCTCGTCCACTAACACAGATGGTCGAATTGCATTCGACGAAACTGTGTCCGGCTTCGACATTGATACCGTAAATGATTATGTTCATGGCACAGGCGATAAGGGCGGCCCTTTGGTCACGACTGCCAATAAGACAGTGAATTCGGATTTCCGCCTTTATAACTCGGATTCAAACGACACCATGACCAGACTTTCAGCGTCTGCTAGTTACTTTGCAGGCCAATGTTCAGCCATTCTTCAGAGGATGATTGAGACCGTACCGCAGGAAGTCAGTCTGACGACAGCGGTGGATCCAACGGCGACTACTAATCTGAGGCCATACGGTATCGCGCTCAGCGTTAATTGGAAAGGCACCATGACCCTTACCGGATACTTTAGGGTTCGCACCTTTCCTGCCCAAATATATAATTTCCTGATGTTGATTTGAACAGTACATCCAAATCTCTGGAGCCGCCGCTGCCCCGAGTACCTTACCGTAATTCTTCACATTGTCCCATTTCTATCAGCCCTCCGTGCTGACCAATACAAAGTATTACCCTCATCAACCGTGCCGGGAAAACAACCACAACATCCGTCACAGCCTCCGTCTCCTCCTCCGACACCGGAACCGGCATCTGGGGCCCAACCCACTCCTACCCCTTCACCCTCTCTTTCCCAGCCAGCGTCGGTCTCTCCGGCCTCGCCGCCTCCGGCCAAAATTTCACGTTCCAAGACACCATGTTCGCCGTCACAGCTCTCTCATCCGTCTCTCCCACGCTTCCAACCTTCGCCGCAAGTCCCTCCATCAACACCGTCTCGACGTACTCCCTCAACACGACCGTCGCTTACCTCACAAGCTCCCCTCCGACGTCGCTAACGGCGACGTTTGCGATACCGATGGCGCAGACGGGAAGCGTGAGTCCCTATATCGACACTTCGACGACGGCTACGCTGGCGTTGATCGGGCAGACGACGGGGGGGTTCGCGCTCTATAGTGCCGTGACTAAGCATAGCGTTAGTGCGAAGCAGGCGTTTGGGAGTAGTGTGGACGTCGCTGTTTCAGGGCAGGCGGCCGCGTTGCAGTTTTATAAGCCGTTCGACGCGAATCAGTGACGGGAAAGGGATTTTATGGCGCGATAATGCTAATGAGTCGTTGAGGCGTGACAGCAGTGACGAATTGTAGAACACAAACGGGCTAAGTATAATGAATACGCTCGTCGATAAGATCTAATGTTTGTTACTGGGTACTGATAGTCATTGTAATGACGACCACCTTGATTGATAAGAAGCTGCAGAGTCTCCTGTCAACCTTCTACCCCTTCCTCAGCGTCTCGAGCACTAGACACTTACAACATGTCAAAAAGGCCCTCGAAGCCCAGAAGGCGAGTCATTTCCCCTTTATCCGTATCACATTCCTGCCATTCGTACCTGCTACCTACACACCAAATATCCACCTTCCCGTCCGCCTCTCCTACTTGCGCGATCTCATCTCCCAATCTTCCATTCATCTGCTCATCTACTCCACCTCGCCCTACATCCCCATATCTGAATCCAGCAACCAGACTCTCTAAAACACCAGCGCGCATCCGTTCCTGCTATGTAGCTTAAAGGAGGAACGCGCGTCATGGTCCAGGCGGTATGGTCCCAGCAAGATGCGCCTGTTACCAACGCGCCAGTACGCATAGAAGCTAATTCGTGGATTGGTGGGTATTTCGTGATCTGATAGGGCGCTCTACTCATCCAACGCATCTACATATCTTCATGCGGGCTTTTCTGGCCATTCCGCTTCCGCGAGGGGGAGTTGCGTTGATGATACTTGTACAGATTTCTTCTTTGTACCTGCCAACAAAGCATTCCGTCCGAGGCCGATACCGTATTGGCGGGATCGATTTTCAACCCCCCCCCCGACGCGGGGCTGCTTCAGTGTTTGTTTTCCTGGTGTATATCCTTCTCTACTCGCCATCACTCTCCTCACGAAGACCTTCCTCCTGCTCCCGCAATACCTCTAACGATACCGGAATCCGCTACCCTCATCCTTCGCCACCCCGATCAACCCGATCAACCCCCCAAGCCTTCCTCAACTTCCCGCCTCTGCGTGAAAACCGAAAGCGACGCCCTCGATACCCAACTCGCCCGCTTTAACGCAGCAGCGGACCCGTTCACGGTTGTATGCGGACGTCTGGTTCTGGCTCAGGCTCGCGGCGCCGAAGAGGGGGAGAGCTGAGCTGGTTGAGGAGGCGCTTGGTTGGCGGTGAAGGGGTTAGACGTCTTTGGGGAGGGAGGGAGGGAGGGAAGGTTTGTGGTGATGAGGGGGGTTGGGGTTGAGGGGAGTGGGTGGTGGATGGTGAGGTTGACGGTGGATTGGGAAGTGGAGAGTGGTAATTGGTGAGGTCTGAGGAGAAATCGTTGTAAATTTGGTATTCGAGTTGCCATGAGAAGATCGGGCCATTATCTTCAGGTAAGGGTTGTCTGCGATTGCTTTGACTCGGTCCAACTCTCTAGCTGCCCGCCCGAGGGCAAGTGAGCAGGCACCTCGGGAGGGGAGTCTGTGATGAATCGCTATCCGACTCAGGGATGGTGGCTTTGCCTGTATACCTCCAGCTACGATCTTCGTCACGATAAATGCCGCATTACTGACCTCGCAGCTCGAGACGTACGGAGACGAGACTGGTCCTGCGTTCGAACATCCCGAATTCGCGAAGATTTCAGGCTAGAGAGCAAGAGGCTACTTCTCTTGAAGGAGACTAGATATTTTGGGTCTTTACTGATATGAACCCTTCGGTACTTCGGTTCCTGTGCTTATGTTTTGCGTTGCTGTTACTTACACCTCATCATCATTGTCCTCATCATCACCACGACCTGGCCGTCAATTATCTCTCGAAATGACGAGAGCAGGCGGCGTGCTTAAGCCTAAGATGGCGGTACCATACGTGAGATCACAGCAGGAAAACGAGCGTGATACAGCAACGACCGAGAACGCGAAAGCAGAGAGCTCTTCATCAGTGCCGAAGGAAGAAGAAGAAGAAAAAAAAGGATCCAGCCAGGACCTTTGTTCCAGCAAGAGTATCTCGGACCGACAGAACGGAGCAGAACCACGACCCAAGCAGGGTACTGAAGATTCCAAGGCCGTCAAGGCAGAGAGCTCTTCATCCGGGACGAAAGATGGGGAAGCCAGCCGGACTCCTAGATCCGAGAAAGTCTCGGCTGCCTGGTCGTCAGAGCAGGCGAGAGACTGGGATCGGGTTGTCATGGGAGTAGCATTGAATTAGGAAGGTATTCTTGGCAAGCAGATATTTCCGCAGTAGTATTTGATAGAAAATGAATCATTCAACACCCAAGCACCGAGTCCTATGATGTTTGGTGGCAACTGCTGCTATGCTACCACGGTACGAACCAAATAGCCGTTCGCCTGTGTTAATGAACAGGCCTCTGTGGTTAAGCTTGTGGTGCGGTCTGTGAGGTAGTTGTTGGTAGATTTATGGGTAGGGAGGCAGTAGGGCATAGAGAGTAGACGAATTTATGGGATAGGATATGGGTAGAATTGAATGAGATGGGTTTAATGTGTCGGTCTGGTATCGGACCTTCGAAACGCCCGAGAGAGTCCTCAGGCAAAAATCTAATATGGCTGGGGTAAAAGCGGTCTCCTCGAGCCTTTCCATCTGAACCTTTCACCCATAACCACGTGTTGCACATGCGAGCTTCGGTTCAGATACAGACAACTCCTGTATAGAGCAGTAGACTAGCAATGAAATCTTTGGCACGAAGACCGGGTTCTCCGATGGGGCGTGAATCGTATTTCGGATACCTAGTCGTTAGTTCTCGTACAGGAGAATGAGTGCACTGGTGTTGGTTGACAGATAAATGTATTACCTCTGGACCCGAGATTTTTTATATCCTCCAGTCCACCTCCGAGTCACGAACCTTTCTCTCTGCAAGAACCAAGAAATCGGACTGAACACCTCAGCTAAAGAAAAACAGAACACACCGAAAGTGGACAAGGAACTCAAAGTCGAGTGAGACATTGAAGCGCCCAACGCTTCCCCAATCTCGTCAACGACGAAACAACGAGAAGCCAGCCAGTACGTCAATATCCGGACAGCTCTGCCAGAGCGCTGAGCGAATAAAACAAGAATGTTCAAAATCCAATCCGACACTGAGATATTCAAAGTCGGCAACCCTGCGAGCTCCTCTTCAATGACGATGAAACAAAGATCAGACCAAAGCAAATTTAAAGGAGCCTCGTCAGTAGTCCGGTCAACCCTGAAAAGGTCTTCTGGACTGTTGCAACCTCCTACGCTTTTGAGTACTCCTCGCTGCTCGGCAAATATCGCGCCACAGCCATCGCTGCGACAGCTATCACAACCAGGAAGCGTTAAGCCCAATACGGCTACCAAAGACGACGGAGCTCGCTGCTACGGCAGGGTAAGCGACTGTCAACACGACGCCGCCTTCTCTTGTCATCATACCAGAAGATCATGGTCCTTATTATGATCTTGCTGCAGACCTATCAAAGGAGCAGCTGGTAGCGTTCCTGCATATGTTCGCCAGGGGAGACATGCGAGTCTCCTATGTGCTGGGGTGATCGGAGAAATAGGGGATGATGGTGGCGGAGGATGTGTGGAGTGTTGAGTAAACCATCGGCGTGGAGCATTGAGAGAACGAGAAAGCAGATGGAGTGCGTAGATTTCGCGTACATGTCCTCTAACAATCGAGTTGGCTGATGAATGAATATTTGATGCTTACATTCAACTTCCAGCGGCTCTTTGTTCTTGTTCTTCTTGACATCACGGCTCAAGCTAGCAAGTGGGTCATCTGGTGTCGAAGCCTCCTTCTATGCTTCCTCGATCTTGAACCCTGCCAGCGTGTCCTTTCCCTCTCCTGTTTCAGCCCAGGTGTATGGGGAGCAGGATAGTCTTTAGTGTAGGTCTAGCGAATGAAGCGGAGGAAGGTAGCCTCATCTATATCGTTGAAGAGGGCGAGGCAAAGGTGGCCGTTGATCGTTCGATCGAGGGTTCCGGAGCAGTCTGCTACCAAGGCGGCATTGACGTACGAGGGGTCCTCAAGACGATGAAGGTGCAAGGCTTCGAGGCAAAGAGAATACAAATATTATCAGAGGAACATTCTGCCTAATAATGATGAAATCTAACGTGCTGTCTGAGGTAGACATTTGCGAGCCTTTCGTGTGCCCAGAGAGACGTGAACGAATAGGCTCGAGAGGAAGAAGGTGGCAAGATTTTCGCGGTCTTGCCTTCATGTGGTTCAGATGTACTTCAGCGAGCATGGAGATGAAGAGGAGTTGTCCGAGACAGAAAGCAGGTGTCCCGAAGAGGGACAAAGGCTGCCCATGTTGAGGCTATTCAAAGACGCTGTTTGCCGGTAACTTTGCTGTGTCTCATTGAAGCGTGGCTGCTTAGCATATTGTACCTTCAGTTCGTGCAATGGACCTCGAAGCTGCCAATGGTTCACATTCATAGAGTATTTGGGAGGTCCGTAGGTCTCGGTCTTGGTTGCCTCGGCGGGACTCAAAATGGATGTTCTCCGCCACTACCAAATGACTGGTCTCATGCTATTATTTATCTTATGACGGCACGTTGTTCGAGCTGAGACATTCTTTTCATTACTAGTCTACAGGCGGTGAATGTAGCAGCCATGTCCTCTAGGCATATTGCGTGGTCGGCAGAAAGACAAAGCTGATATGGCTCTTCAATTAGGTATATGAGATCAAAGCTTCATCTCACTCCAATATGTCCACCTAGCTAGCCATTGAACTACTTTCAAGTCGCCGCAAGCCCAACACTAAGCTGGCTCCTCCGTTGTCTCGGCCACGGGCTTTGACTCGCTCAAACAACAAATTCTCGCTCTTTAGATTTCTCTTTCCCAACACCAGGCAGCGAGCACGAGCGCGGCTTGAAGCTTTCAGATACGAGACTCTTCCTTCCTACAAATTACGGGCTCAGTCACGCATATACCGGTTCATCCTTAAACGTCAGGCGAGTCGTCGGCAGAGAAAGGCAGCAGGCAAGGGTATCCTCTGGAGGCTTGCAGGCCGGAGAAGGATTTCTGGTATATTTGGGACGAAAGATGCGCGGTCCTCACCGATCCCCGCAATAACCAGCTCAGGTCACTCTACGATGGAAAGCGGATATACATCGGCACCCGAGAGGGGCACCAGACGGCGGAAGCTGGCAGGATACCTCAAGGCTGCCAACGAGCTTCGACAATCCTATCAGCAATCCTACGGATTGGGATCGCAAAGAGATGGGAGTGCAGACGAGGACCGCAACTCTATACCTGGAGCCTTTCCAGATGCTACGGTTTCTCGGAATGGAGACGAGGAGATGCTGCTCTTCCCAAGCTACACGGTACGGCACTCTGTACGCAAAGGTCAACAGCGTGATGTTCCTGGGGCTACTCAGGATATCCGCAGCAACAAGGGAACCGGAGACGCAGAGTATTGGCAGAGGCAGTGGGAGAAATACGAAGACCAAAATGCTGTGGTAGATGTGGATGTCAGAGGATGGGTCTACGCTCCTCACCGAGGGCAGATGACTAGAAAGAACAGGCTTTTGGTGGGTATTGCACGGCAGCTCAGTGGAATACCTGCTCCTTCAAGCAGCAGAGCGTCGAGTCCAAACTCTTCCCATCATGCTAGGGTGGAGGCTCGGAAAGCTAGGCAAGAGGAGGAAATGGCGGAGAAGGAAGCTGAATCGATAACGCGGAAAGGCCAAGGGGAGGCAGATATCGCGTGGCGTGGTGGATATAGTGAAGCACCAGGTCGTGATGAGGACGATACCAAAGAGTCCAGTAAATCTAGCTCGCCCGATCATAGCCGGCCAGCTTCACCAGAACAGCGAAATACCCGAGCCAGTGAAATGGCTCGTCCTATCTCCAACAGCTCTCTACGTGGCGAACAGTACGATTCTGGAACCAAGACCTTTTCCAATCGAACATCCTGGAGTCACCCGTCAGAGATGACCTCTGCCGAGCTTAACGCTGCCAACGCACACATGATGGTCAGACTAAAGCCCTTTCTGAGTACCCCCTTGGTCAGCACAACCCTTACCGTCTTCTTCTACAACGACTCGAATTCAAAGTCTCATACGATTACGACTAATGAGGCTGGACACTTTTCGCTGCGCGCTGCTTTGGACTTTGTTCCTACCAACGTGCGAGTCCTCGCCTCGGACAAGCTGTCAGCCACTGAAGAAGTTCACATCTCAGAGCCTACTGGTATTAGCATGATAAGCGATATCGATGATACCATCAAACACTCTGGAATTGGCAATGGAGCTAGGGAGATCTTTCGAAACGCTTTCATCCGAGATCTCAAAGATCTTACGATCGATGGAGTAAAGGAATGGTATTCCACACTGGCCGACCTTGATGTGAAATTCCACTACGTATCGAACTCCCCGTGGCAGCTCTATCCTGTCTTGGTGAGCTACTTCGCTCAGGCTGGATTGCCGAAAGGCTCCTTCCATTTGAAGCAATATACTGGTATGCTTCAAGGCATCTTTGAGCCTGTTGCCGAGCGCAAGAAAGGCACCCTAGAGAGGATCCTGTCAGACTTCCCGGAAAGGCGCTTCATTCTTGCAGGAGACAGCGGAGAGGCAGATCTTGAGCTATATACAGATATTGTGCTAGCAAACCCAGGCAGGGTACTGGGCGTCTTCATTCGGGATGTCACCACTAGCAAGCCTCCGGCCTTTTTCGATTCCTCGATGAAGTCAATGAGATCACGTGGATCTCAATCACCTTTGCGAGGTAGAAGCAAAGACGATAGCGGCATTCCAATCAAAAAACAGTTGGGCGAGAAGCCGCCTGCGCTGCCACCGAGACAGGCAAGTCATTCAACAAACACCCACTCATCAGAAAACAGCGGCGGACCTATTATGGGTACACTGATTGATTTTGACGACGAACCGACCCCAGGAATTCATCACTCAATGACCGACCCCGCAGTATCAGAAGCAGAGAGGAAGCTGTCAACAACCTCCAATAAATCGCTTCCACCGTCCCGTCCCTCAAAGCCAAAAGCACTACGCTCAACGTCAGGCGCAGAACAGCCATCGTCCTCCACTCCACCTCCACAATCCGTACCCCGAAAACCAGCACCACCACCACCAAACCCAAAACCCCGCCAATATTCCACCCCCCAAGAAAATCCCAGTCAACCAAACGAGCCCTCACCTCTTTCCCAGACCCAAAATGTCTCCCCTCCAGGCAGCAGAGCCTCTTCTCTCGAACGCCAATCCTACCGCTCCGCCGTTCGCAACAAAGTCACCTCCGCCTACAACGCCCTCCCCTCCCTCTACAGCACCTCCCCCTACGCCCAACAACCACCCACCTCCGACCCAGCAAAACCACAGTCTAACTCCCGCCCGCCCCCTCCAGTCCCTCCCCGCAGAAACTTAACCAGCTATCCTGCAGCCGCAGCCCACTACGCCACTAACCGCCTCAGCGGCGGCTGGAGCGGGTACAGTAATGATGGTAGCAGTGGCGGTGGTGGTGGGAGCTCGGATGACGCGAATGGGAATGAGCAGGTGCTGAGCAAGAAAGAGGAAATGTGGATGAGGAGGTGGGCGAGGGCGAAGGAGATTTTTGACGAGAAGGGCGTTGTGTTGAGGGCATGGAGGGTTGGTGAGGACGTCGCGGACGAGGCTGTCAGGCTGGTTGAGGGGACGAGGAAGAAGATGGAGAAGCGGGGGTGAACGCTTATATGTACATATGATGCGTACGCTGCAACGATAGTCGTCGGCGTCCGTGTCTCTATCTCTCTGATCTTCTTGATCGAGGGAAAAGGCATATAACAATAGCGTTGGCGTCTCATAGAAAAAGAAAAAGAAATGTAAATGTAAATATAAATAATAAACTTGATATCCATCACCGGGAACCGTGAAGGGAAGCCAATTGCTCTGACTGTTTGAAAGATTTGAAGCCGATCGAAGTGGAAGGGAAGGAAAGAGAGGTAGGTGGTGTTGGCGATGGCTGGAGGGAATTGATACTTACTCAGTCGCGTGGTAGAGTAGCGGAGCCGACACTGCTGTTACACCTCTATTGCGTTTCCAATCCAATAAATATCGACTACACTACGAGGATATGATCCGATGTTACGAAGATTGTAAGCCAACTGGCGAGTACTCTACATTGGCACCGGAGAGCTTTTTCAAGCAGATGATGGGCTAACGAATTTCGGAGACAGGGAGATGGGAAAGCAGAAACTTTTTGTCATTATTTTAGTCATAATCATCACAGTTCGTAAGATTGTCGTCGTCTCCATGATGTTCATCATATCATCATCGTCTCTTCCCAATCTTCATCAATCATTCCTTCCGCGTCCAGTCCTCGTACAACGCCTTCCCCCTCTCCTTTACCTCCTCATCATCCGGATGCCTCCTCCCCTCCTCAAACACATCCAGCAAATCTTGCTGCAACAAATGCCGCTTATGCGCCGTATGTCGCAAATGCTCGAAATCGTCATCCTCGCACGCTTCATTGAAAACAGTTCGCATGCGGGATGAATAGAGGTGGCAGCTGGCTCCTTGATCGACTTTGTGTGGCGACTGGTCGATGGCGCGGGCAATGGAGGAGCCGTCGGTCACGGCGGGGAGGACAACGTCAGTGTAGCAAGAGGGGCAGATTGTGAATTCCGGGATGTGCGGGTGGATGTGCCAGGGGAGATTGCGGAGCATTTGGTCGCGGGGACATTTGGGAACGATTTGGTTACTCGAGGATTTAGGTGGCGTTCGCGTTTTGGGAGATTCGGGCTCGTGTGTGAGCTTTTTGACCAGTCGTGCGAGTGGAGCGGTGTTGGGCTCTTTGTGGGATCTTCGTGCTTCAGCGGCTACTTGGTCGAGTACATCGATGTATTGAACAAAGTTGTGGCCGTCAGATCGCAGAGAGCAGACTCGTTCTTTGGCTTCACCGTGGTGGCCCCTAGATACGTAGAAGACTTCTTCGAGGACGGGGAAGATACTCTCAAGGCTGTAGACGCAGTGCTGGCAGACGTTGAAGTCCGGAATATGTTTACTGGTTTGATCGTCTTCGAGCCGGTACCAATGGTGGCGAGCAATTGGTCTGTCTTCCATGCACGGCCGCTGCTTTGCGGTCGTTTTAGCCAGGGCCGTAAGGAGCTCTAGATTTGGACGGTTTTCGTTCATGGTCATTTGAGTCGCTAGGCGGATCCAGGGGTCGTTGAGGTCACAGATTGTCTTTTCGCCATGTGGTTCTGGAGCTCGCGGCATCAGATGATGACTGTACCGAGCACCAAAGACATTATGAAGACAGTCCGGGCAGATCGCAAAGCGATGGCATCCGTGGAGAGTGTACCAGTCCTTGTAGCCAGCAACAGGTTGCGGCCTTGGGCACAGAGGTAGTATGACTGGCTGTTGTGGCTGTGCTACAACGGTTGAAGGAAATGGTGCTGACGACCTTGATCCGCTATTGGACGCACTAGAAGCTGAAGCTAGAACTGATGGCCTCGAGCTTGCCGCTGCAGCATAAACCTCTGGTACATAAGAGTTCGCTCTCGATCGTTGCGGACGTTGGGGAATCTGATCAGGTTGGGAGCTTGGGACATGCGTGTTCGATCTCGCGCCGAGAGACGATTGTTCGAACTTCGCTGGCTTGTACCTATCGCTGGGCGACGAAATGCTTGGAGACGAAGGTCTCGATCGTGTTCCGGGAGAGCGTGTTGACTCAGCTGGCTGCAAGTATGATGGCGTGCTTACTGTTAACTGCGGGCGAACGTCGGTGTACGAGGCCGATCGCTGACGTCCTGAAAATCCGGGTCTCAACGTCGAAGACGGAGCCAAGGCCGGGGCTGGGGCTGGGGCTGGAGCTGGAGCTGGAGCTGGAGCTGGAGCCGGTGCTGTGGGTGCAATAGATGCGTGCCTACTCGCTGCATACCGCGCTTCATGGATTCCATTGGAGCGGTAATCAGCACGCACCGCTGGGGATGGTGATCGAATGCTTATCCCGGGCCCAAGGATAGGTTCTGGCTCCACCATATTGGTCGGAGAAGGTAAAGGCGTCGTCATCCGTGATCTTGGGGTAGTGCGTCGGGGCCTTTCAGTCATATCTGCTTCAACCGGATGGACTCCTGTACCTGGAGTCCTAGGAGTCCTTGGCGTTGAATTGTTCGACAAGGGCGAGGGCGGCCTTGATCTTTGTATCTCGTTTTTCAGGCCAGTAATGGTGTGCGTTCGGCGATGGTGGACCTCATTTGGTGGCGTTCTAGGAGGAGAGGAGTAAGGCGACGTTGTGGGGGAACCTCTGGGTGAAGCCATTGGGGAAGGGTGTGGAGAAGGCCGAGGCGAAGCTTTTCGTGCACCAGCTATGTCGTGCTCGAGCCGGGCGTTTATGCCCAGAAGGAAGTCCCCACTCAGAAGCGATGCGCGATTAGTGGCAGGTCCTTTGTGTTCTGCGGCTGATTCAGGCGGGGTTGGTGTAGGCTGCCTAGAGCTATGTCGCTGTTGAGGGCAATCGTTGAAGTGTGGAGTCGAAGACTTGGGCGAGTCCTGTGCCGAAAGCGTGTTAGGTCCTTCATGGTGTCTGCCAGAGCCGCGGCTGGCGTCGGATTCGTCAGAGGATCCATGACGATACCCAGGCTGCAGCGGTACCGTCCTGGAAGAGAAAGGCGCTCCTGGATATGCTGGTGCCGCTGATGCATGTCTGCCCAACGGAGCCAATGGCGGGCGTGTAGGATGATGATAGCTATCGTTCCTGTGGTCTCTCTCTCTATCTTTGTACCTTTCCCTGGTGCTTTCATATGTCGCGCTTCCAGTATCATAGGCTGATGCATGCCTGCCTGATGAAGCCAATGCAGGGCGGCCGGATTTCTTAGGGTCATGTTTGATTTGGTCTAAGTCTCTAGAACTGTCATCCTTTGCAATCCTTGGATCGTAATATGAATGAGATCTTTGGTTCTCCGCGTACTTTACTCTAGGACTCATGATTTCGGGAGAGAGCATGTGTTCAGCGGAAAAGCGGTCTTCCTGTGGCCTTGACGGTCGCGGTCCAGATGCATAAGGTGACCTCGCACGCTCCAAAGGGGGTGGAGCATCGCCTCTTGACTTGTCCCGTGCGAAGTCTGTGTCCAGTTTGGGAACATCCCTCCTTCCTCTCTCGTTCCGCTGAGGCACGGGTGCATGTCTTTGGGATGTCGTTGAAGGGTTCCTTGGCCCGCCATAGGTCAGTGGGATCTGATCAACATCCTCTGATTTCCGGATGCAGTGACTATCCTGACTGTCATTGACCGGGCTTAGTGGTGTTGCAGGGCCAGAACCCTCTGAGGAAGAGGTGGAAGCCAAGCTCTCTGTATCATCATCGGCATCCTTGACTATTGGTTGTTGGTCCGGGGTTCCCCGCATTTGGACTCCGTCATCCTCAACGCCGACTGGTATTGGCTTGCCTTCTTTTGATAACTCCTTTTTCAACGATGCAGATTCATCCTCTACCCTTGGGGACGGTGGCCATCTTTGTCTGGCACAGTTGGATGTGTATGGCTTGCGGAGCCTGGAAGGTGATCTCGCACGATGAGGACGAACTCTGGAGGGTGTTCTCGGAGGTGGAGGTCGAGCGCTGCGACTGCGTGCCTGAGGGTATGCCTGGGGCTTCAGCGGCGAAGGGTCCTCACCGCGACTAAAAGTTGGTATTAGCGAGAGGAGCATAACACCTAGGGAGTTGAAGTTGTCCATACTCGTTGTCCCACGTCTCGTACGACGTTGATCGATGGTAATGGCTATGGGCAGAGGCCATGCTGCTGTCCGTAAGCAAATACGAAACTGTGTTCTGCCCGAAGAAATGTACTGCCAGCTAGAATTGGCAGAGAGGAAGAGACTGTTGTTCGCAAATGGTGCCGAGGCTCACTTCTCGCTGATTGCTAACATTGGGCTGCTCGGAAGACAGTGTGAGTATTTCACGAAAACAAGAGTGGGAAGAGAGAGTCGTAATTGGCAAGGCTAGGTATGTGAGACCTGATTTAGGTAATACGAGTAGACCAACGCATTGAACTGCAAAACATTGCCTTCCGGCTTGAATGAATCAATGACTGTAACCCTTCTGCCTCCCCACTTCTCCAGTCTCCACAGCCGCACAATAATACGCAGAGAACGAAGCTTGAGAAAAGGCGGTGGCAGCAGGTGGGGACGTTCACTGTTGAAGGAGTTACTGCCCGGCGATCCCTTTGCAATGAATGGCTAGAATCCTCCTTAGGGAGTCTTTATAGTGGTTGTGGTGGGGATGCTGTGCATAAAGTTGCGGATAAAATTGTGTTGATTGGGGCGGTGCCTGGCGCTAGGAAACATCTTTTCATGCATTCGACGCTCCTGTGACAGTACACCACCAAAAATATATGGCAATGCATTGATGAAGAGGCGGATTGTTTCACTATGACAGCAAAGGTCAAAATGACTGGCAATGCGTTGATTCCATCTTGTGCATCAGGGTCTTGTGCTGAATTCACTGAGTCAGAGTGGCCGCCCAGGCGATGACTGCTCCAACTCTGAACCTACCCAACGTCAACGATCGCCGCGTATCCTCGTTTCACGGATCTGTTGAGGTCCTCGGCCTGCATGCACCCTCATGATGTCTATTCCACTCTTGGGCTTCGACGCTTTTCGTAATGGCGTTTCGCTGTCTTCGGCGCGCACGACATCCCCAACCAGTTTCTTCGCCCTTATCCTCATTTGCGGGTCCTTGACTGCCGGCGGTATTCGAGATGTTGGGTACGGGTGCACTTTGGGGATCTCGTTGAAGCTGGGACGCCTGGTGTCTGCTGATAAGGCGAAAGAGACGGGGTCTTAGAAGAAGATAGCCTCCGATGATGGTGAGGAGTCGAAGGCTATTGGACGTGAGAAGTCCAGAAAATGTCTGGATGGCGTAATGTTGGAGGTTATGGACCTATGCTGCAATGTTGAGAGACCCAACGGAGGCTACCATGGTAGTTACTGGAGGCAACGAACGTCATCAGCATGTGGCAGCCAAGCTTCAAAAGCTTGTACACGTACAAATGAGTATAGCGGTAGTGTACTATGTGCTGCTCGTAGTCCCTGTAGTCTTGGAGTCGTAGTGTATCTAGCGATGCAAGTGCACTACCAAAGCATAGTTGAGGTTCAAATTCCTGAGCATGACGCTCTTGCCCATCAATCTGGTGCTTGCTCGCTTCGCCTGTGAGAAGGCTTGGCGGATGTTTACAAAAGTGAAGTCCCTTGTTTCCCCTTCCAAACCTCGGCTTTGAGTACAAGAATCCCAATCCATGGCAGACAACGAGGAGCAGGCGTTGGAACAGGTATGTTCTCCCCTACAGCTTTGTTATTTGAGACTTGCTAACGTCTGTATACAGCGCCTCAAGTCTGCTCTTTGGTTCTCAATCGGCAAGATAGTTGACGAAGAAACGCTCAAGCTTGGTGTCAATGCTACACCACAATTCATTGGGGCCTTGACGGAGATGGTCTGGGCACAGATTGGTAAGTTACAGTTACCTTTGACAGCAAGAATTCGTGCACATGCTGACGTACTTTCCCAACGACAGAAAATATCGGCATGGATTTGAAAAGCTTTGCCAAGTACGCGATTCTCCAACCTTTTTAAAGAATGATACAGGCTGATTCTATGTACAAGACATGCTGGGCGGTCTACTATATCCACGGACGACGTGATGCTTCTATCTCGCCGGAACGAGGGCCTAGAGACTGTGCTCAGGAGTTACATGGAAAGCGCCGGCATTCCAAAACGCAAGAAGCGTTGATGGACACACCATATACAAGAATGGCTTCGATGCATCCTAGTATGTGATGATATGGTTCCATCAATCCATCGCTGTCAGCTGTTCTGCATTCACACAGCGCATCCACTCACGGTAAAAGGTTCATTACGGCGTATGTTTACGACCCACCATGCCAGAAATCTCAAGGTCTCAAGAGGAATCATGACTGATAAGACACGGTATTCGGCACTCGGCAAGACCAGCGCCATTTGAGGCACAGGCAGAGCTATCCCAAAATCTGAAACTCAGAGCACTGAAGGCAGTCTAAGGCTACTGCCAAAGCAAGTCTACGGCCTGTTCACCAGACAAAAGGACAAAATTCAAGTAATGGGTAGCACGATTTGTGAGGACATCTTGCTAGATGTGGCATAGGACAGTTTATCGGCAACTCAGCAACACGAGTATATCTCGCATGGTAAAAGCACCGCAACGGACTTCCTTCTGGCCGCATTCCTGAGACCCAGCCGTTCGGCATCAAGGGCTAACCTCGACGAGGATTTTGACATGATTGTCTTTGTCATTGACAAGCGCCTTGAACCCTTTTTCCTCAACCTCGTCCATCTGAATCTTCCGGGTGATCATAGATGCTGGTTGAAGCTTCCCTAAGAGGGTCTAGGTTAGACACTGCATTTGATCGGTGTCTTGGTTTCTTGACTCACCGGAGGAGATTGCATCCAAGACGTCTTGAAAGTCTCCCTCCTGATACGTCGCAACACCCATGTATTTCCTCTCTCGAAAACACAACCAATTGGGCGTGATGGTTGCGGTCTTCTCCCAGATTGCAATGTTGACGAGGGTGCCTCTAGCACGAATGGCCTGGATGGCCTGGTCAAGCCCAGCTTGCACGCCTGCTGCATCGAAAGCCACGTTGACACCTCGCCCGTCACAGATCTCCTTCACGCGAGCAACCACGTCGTCTTTTGAAGGATCCAGCACATAGTGAGCCCCGAACTTTTTCGCGAACTCCATTCGTCGCGGCGCCATTTCGGACACAATGATCTTCTCGGCTCCTCTGGCCTTCAACGTTTGAATCACTGCGAGTCCGATGGGACCACCACCCAAGATCAAGACCGAATCTCCCTTCTTGAACGGGCTTATGTTGACGGCATGCCATGCTACAGCCAATGGCTCCACGAGTGCTGAGCTCGAGCATCAGTCAACCACTTGCAAGCCAAGGAATTACTCACCTGCGACCTCCATAGAAACGTTCTCAGGAATTTCATATACGGCTTTTCGAGGGACGACCACGTGCTCGGAAAGCCCACCGCCCCAACCTAAGCTATGTGAGTAGCTCGAAGTTCGAGACAAGAGGATCAACAGACTCACCACTAAGACCGACGAACCCGTTATTGTCACAACAGTTGATGTACCCGTCCCGGCACGCACCACACGTTCCATCATATATGATGGGCTGGATGGTGACTTTTGCTCCGACCTTGATATCATACACGCCTTCGCCAACCTCCTCCACTACTCCGCTAAACTCATGACCGAGTGTCAGGGGTACCTTCTCATTGGTAATGGGATGAGGGACGGTGGGCATGATGTTGGCGCCTCCAAGGTACTCGTGCAGATCTGGACCAGCTTCGTCAGCGCTGTTTCCCCCATGGTCGTGGGCCTGGATCCATCATACCTGTCCCACAGATGCCGACATAGGCTGGTTTGACCTAGAGATTTTGCTCAGTCGGCTTGCTCAAGCACAGTCCCGAAGCCGTGCCGACACACCTTCACCTGGCCTCTTCCGCATTGTGGAATGGGAACATCATCGAGTCGAATGTCTTTTTGACCATGAAATCGAAGTGCTTTCATCATCTTGGCGGAGGCTAGACGGATGTTTTGTCGGACGGTGCGATCGAACTGGGCCTCATACAAGGCAGCGTTGTCCAGTGCGAAAAGAAGAAGGATTCATTGCGATATTATCTACTATGTACAACTTCCTCTCCAACCAAAAGCAATTTCGGCACTGAGTCTTCTTTCTGTCGTGGAGTAGCATCGCGATCCCGTGTGTGCGAACCTTACAAGCGGGGTATGCTAATTCACCGGATTCAGTGCGGACCATCTTGCCCACCACGCATTACTGAGCACAGTGGTTCAGTTTTGAGATGATCGAAAGACGCAAGAAGACCAAAGTAGCAAAGCCGATGATCATCGCTGGTGGTTTAATCTGACGGCAGCTTCTTAATGGCGCGCCAGTGGGGCATTTTTGAAAATTGAAAAGGGTTGGAAAAGACCAAGTGCGAGCCTGACAGCTGCAGGCTGCACGAGCCAAAAGAGTGCTGCAGCAAAAGATCAGGCTTTCCCCACAATCCTTTCAAATGCGCTTAACTCCTTTTAGCCATACTAAATTGAGGATCCCGGAAAAATATATGGCCCGGGTCAGGAACGAGCGGGGCTTTAGCGGGGGCTCTGGGACATGACTTCATTGCGACGCGAACATTTGCATCCGCCGGTGATGAGGTAACTTTGGCATTCATACTTCCGCCTACCCTACTTCCCATGATTTAATTCATTCACAACAATTCCTCCTCTTTCAAACATCCATTCACCTCCTGCAAATTACACTATCCCTCGTTCTATACAATCGATACTCTCAATCAATTCAAATCTCAATTCTCGTCCTCCTCCTTCAACATGCCTTACCCAGAAATGTTTGAGGGTTACATGATCAAGGATCAAAGCAAATGGACTGAATTCGAGAAGCAAGAGGTGAGCGGCCATTCAATCGCCTGCCTCACTCTAACGCCGGCCTGACTGTACTTCCAGTTCAAACCGAAGAAGTTCGAAGACCGCGACATCGACATCAAAATTGAGTGCTGCGGTGTCTGCGGCTCCGATGTCCATACCATCACTGGCGGTTGGGGCGAATGCCCGCTCCCAATTTGCGTTGGTCATGAAGTCATCGGTAAAGCGATCAAAGTCGGCGACAAAGTGACCACCGTCAAGGTTGGAGACCGTGTTGGTGTTGGCGCTCAGATCCGTGCCTGTTTGGAGTGCAAACTTTGCAAGGCCGACAACGAGAACTACTGTCCTCACATGGTTGGTATGCAGCCCCCACAGGTGTTGACGGGCCCCGCACCTGCGTGCTAACGTGCAATCAGATACCTACGGTGCACCTTACGAGGATGGGACTATTGCACAAGGCGGATACTCCAGCCACATCAGAGCACACGAATACTTTACCTTCCCAATCCCTGACAACATTGAGTCAAAGGATGCCGGACCCATGATGTGTGCGGGTCTAACTGTATGGAGCCCGCTGGTACGCGCCAAGGTCGGACCAGGAAAGAAGGTTGCCATCCTTGGAATGTGAGTACTCATGTTCAGTCATGCCAGCCTTGTCCCGGCAATTGACATGGTTTCTAGTGGTGGACTTGGTCACTTCGGACTACTGTGGGCATCTGCTCTCGGCGCCGAGGTCTACGCCCTCTCGCACAGCGCCAACAAGAAGGATGACGCCTTGAAGCTCGGTGCCAAGGAATTCATCTGTACAAAGGACAAGGACTGGGCCAAACCCCTGGCCTTCACCTTCGACTTCATCCTCAACAGCGCCGACATGACTCACGAGTTCAACATTCAAGAGTACATGTCTACTCTAAACGTCAACGGCGAATTCCACAACGTCGGTTTACCAGACAAGCCATTGCCACAGATGATGGCGCAGGATTTCGCGCCAAATGGCGCCAAGATGGGCGGAAGCCATATTGGTAACAGGCCGGAGATGTTGGCCATGTTGAAGCTGGCCAGCGAGAAGAACATTAAGCCTATGATCGAGACGCTGGATATAAGTGAGAAGGGATGCAAGGAGGCTGTGGAGAGAGTCAAGGTCAATGATGTGCGATACCGATTCACGCTGACTGGCTACGAGAAGGTCTTTGGGAAATGAAGCAATGAGCGAGATGACTCAGCATGTGATGACAGGTAGGAAGCAATTGGAATAGAGCTATATTTAGAGCAGGTAGGAGATACTGCAAGATCTCCCAGATCCTCTGCCAAGCCTGTCATTTATCATCATGTCTCGTCCCTATCAACAGCGGTCGTCTAATCCGGACCCTGCCCGCTGAACACTGAGATATCTCCTCGATACGCACGCAGCAGCAGAAGTGCATGTCGCTTTCGGCCGTTGGTACAGGGACCCAACCTTGTGGAACAAAAGGTGAATGTCGTGGTAACTCTTTCAGGCCAGGTCTTTCGAGCAGAGGCGTAGGAACCAGGTAGGTCCGTTTTTCCTGCTCGAGGAGAAAAGATTTTTTTTTTCTTACTGGCTCAGAGGTTCTGTACACTAAGCTCTTTGGTCGTGCCAACATCGAGGTAAAGTAAGATTGATTTCTATCGCGCCCGCGACCGCTGGAACGGCAGACTGTATCCAGGTGTAGCATCTCAGGTACGAGTTTACCCCGCCAACTTCGTCGTCTTTGATCCTTTTCTACGCTGAGATAGACCACCGACCCGGCTCTCTCTCCGTCGATTCGATCGTCACTCTTTCTTTTCTCGCGCCGACGGAGCCGGCCCGACGTCCCGGACTTCCACTACCCCTTGCAAGTCACGGGCGGTACGAAAGCCTTCGTTACGAGAACGCTCCATCGTACACGCGCTCTCGTCCCATCCTCACACAGGAGGAAACACACCGGACCATCTCCGCCGCTTCGGATGTTCGACTGGCCGCATTCGACGCACGAGTTCCCCCGGCTTGCGTTTTGGCCGCCTTGGCCGAGCGGCCCTTGCTACTTGGCTCGCTCGACTCGTCTTTTCCGCACTCCGGTTCACCGTCGTCGCTTTCCATTGCCGGCGCTGCTGGCTTGTACGGTGCGGGTTTGATCGGTCGGTACCGATGGGCTTCGGGATCCGGAGCCGCGTTCGTTGTCTCGGCGGAGATGGTTTGTCGTGGACCGACGGCAGTGGCGGGGCGACGGCCAAGGTCTCGAGGATCGTACCGCTAGCGAGGTTCCGGTGTCGGTCGGCGTTTCTGGGGCAGTGGCGCCGGTAGTCGGGATGTTGGGATTTTGGCTCGGGTGTGTCTGTTCGTGCGGGGATTGGGCGATGCTGCTGTGGGGCAGGAATGGAAGCCTGCACTCGCGTGTTTGGCGTTTTCGGCTGCTTGTAATTCGGCTGGGGTCTAGGTGCTTTTGTCTGTGCTTGAGTATTGGGTGGGGTGATTTGGGTGGGACATTTTGGTTTGAGGCTGGGATCGTTTGGATTTCGGGGGTTGATAGGAAGCAGGACGTGTTATGGTATAAACGGTGGCAATGAGATGCCTTGGCGGGATAACGGAGCTACGCTTCGCTCTGGCTGTGAGTGCGGACACCTCTCACGCATCTATCCGCCAGTGCCAGAGTTCGGAGCTCTATGTGGAAACAGACGATGACACGGAACGAAGAGTTTGCGATCTCTCTAAAGGCTTCGCCGAGGTTCAAGAAGCAGTGGCACATCAACTGTACAGTTTATTCATCATCCTGTTAAGGATCTCTTTCTCGAAAAAGGGATTTGAACTCTTGACTACTCGTCTGCGGGCATGGTGGTCGGCCGTGGCCATTTTTGGCTTTCGAGGTCGTGTATCAAATACCTCGCTATGGAAGAGGTTCAAGGCTTCGCTGTCTCTCTTTCGAATATGATTGAACCCATATTTGATGAGGTGTTTGCCTTGCTGAGGTATTCGCTGGAATCATGGCTTCTGCACGCCAAAGAGGTCGAGAATGCGGATATGTCTCAGGACGATCTAGCGGCTTTGGACTCTGAATACACAAATGACATGCTGCACTCTCGGGTTGCGAGACACGAACGACTCAAAGCTTGGGTAGATAATGATCACTTCTTTGAGACGACTCTTTGACACATCGCGTCGAAACACAACCTCATCAGTGTTGCGAATGCCGTTTCGGCTCAAAATTACCGGGCGGACCAGACGGACAGATGGTCTCGGACGTCTTTGTCCATCGCCGCCGAAGAAGGGCAAGTTTTTCCAGTCAACCGAGACGACGTCGACGCGAACTCGACGGACTGCGGGCTACGCCATCGTTTTGGGCCGCTGCAAGGAGGGCACGAAGCTATGGTAGAGTTGCCGATGAATCGCAACAACGTCGACGTGAACCGGACGGGCCTCGGCGGTGATGCCTCGTTGCATTCGGCTGCTGCGAGAGGAGGGCACGAAGCTGTAGGAAAGATGTCGGTAGATTGGGGCGGTGTCAACGTAGACTCGAAGGGGGTGCGGGGAAACACGCCCTCGTCGGAGGCCGCTCGAGATGGGCACAAAGAATCTGTGGAAATCCTTCTTGAGAGACGGGTTGATTTGAATGCGAAAAAGGGTCAGCCGACAGCCGCTCTGTTCAGGGTCTCTGTCCACGGCGACTATGAGGTAGTGAAGCTATTACTCCAACTCAGCGCGGGTGCAAATGCGATAGACAAAAAAATCGAACCCCTTTAATTTGGGCCGCTGCCATCGGCCACTATGAGGTAGTGAAGCTACTACTCCAGCGAAGTAGCAATGCAGACCACAGAGACACAAACGGCCGCACTCCTTTACCTCATGCCGCTAGGAATGGGCATCTGGAAATCGTAGGATTGTTGTGTGGAGAGAAGCGATATCGATGTTAATTTCGACAGACACGAGTGGCAGAAGCCCGTTATCCTGGGCTCTTGGATTTTGGCCTTCTTCCTCCGGAATCCAGACCAGGAGAACTTTATGCGTGTAGTGGACTTGTTGTGAAATCGACACGACATCAGCGTACATGGAGAACACAGGTGGGTCTTGGCAAGGTACTCTGAATGGAGAAAACGCCTGTTGAGATACTGAGCATGGTCCTTGTTGCTGGCCACTGAAAACATTTGATTCCTGATAGCATCCTATCGACAACAGGATCAGAAATGCATATCAAAGGTTGCACGCGAGAGCTACCGAGGAGACAGCCAGGATTCTGAAAAAAGAAGAAAGCGGAACAAGAAGGACATTGGTGCTGAATCGACTCGGCCTGTTTTATCCTCCGATTGATCTGCAGCTAGTTCTACCCAGTCGTAAAACGAACATCCCTCGACCGTATACACGAAATGAAGACTTTGTCCATCCATAGCTCCTCTCGTGCCGGGTATTTCTTGCGAGTGTATCCCATTTCCAATACCTTGAATGTGTGTGACGGGGCTGAGGACGGCGCCAATGAACCTAGCAATGTCGCCAGGCGCTATCGATCATACCATGTGTTGTTGATTTTTTGGGGGCGAAAGGGATGTGGTTCTGGGCGCAACTTTATAAAGGGTATTGGCGGGGGGCCATTATCTCGATGTCGTGGATGAGGACCCGGCGGTGAGGAACTTGGATGAAGTAGGGCAATTGAGAAAAGGTTCAATTAGGAGGTTGTCATACTGGCTATCGAAAGACACGACTGAGTAATATGCGTGATCGTGTCCTTCTCCCAAGCATCGACTCCATCCGTAACCTTTCCCCCCCTGTTTCCTGTCAACGTACCGTGGGCTTTCCCCCACGCCTCCGCGGCCTCTCGACGTTTCTTAGCTACGATCGGTTCGTTGCCGGATGGGCCGTCTTTCTTTGGCGGAGAGGGGGATTGTCCGAGCCCTTGTGGGAGGGCACTGGTGCCTCTTTGAGAGGGCCTGGGTTCTGCGCTAATGAACTTTTTGGCGTTTTTGGTTCGTCTTGTGGTTGGTGTTGTGAGCGTTTTAGATCTTTCTTATTGTGTCATTGTTGGTGATGAACGGGTAGTGTCGTGCTGGATGAGAACGCCGGTCTACCGCTCGAGTGTAAAGGAGAGGAGAGAGGACGTTGGAAGAATTCTGGGGAGAACAGGCTTTTCATGCCTCTTCCTTTTCCTTTCCCGAGAACACTTCCTTTCGAATGATAAGTCGTCAGAACCGGAATACTACTGGATGAGGCAATTCGCCTTCCAGAACTTCTCTTTCTTATTTGACAGTATTGACGGTTTTTCGAAACCGCTGGTCGTCAAAGAAGAAGAGTTAGCGCCATGTTGTCGAGGTTGATAATTCTATGAAAGTATTAGGTATGTTTTTTTCTCTCCATACCATAGATACATCTGTGCATAACGCTTTCACATCTATATATCCTCTAGAAACCGCAGCTCTCCGAATGGCCGAGATATTCTTCCTGCTTAGTGACGCTCGTCTACCGACAGGATGTTGCAGTCACGAAGCTCTGGAGTCCGAAGTGTCGGTCCGAAGCGTCGCAGCAGAGTGAAGGAGAAAATCAACCAGAGAATACATTGTGTCGCGCTTCTCTGTATACGTATGCTTTATCTGTGACGCTGTCTGGGTTGGAAGGATTCTGGGAGCAAGCTGGCGGCGCTGTGTTGGATGCTTGGACACTATGATGCGATGCATTGGTCAACAGTAATCATTTCTAACGCCTTCTAACGCCAATGTTTGCATTAGTCTCCTTCATTGTACCTTTCTGGACTTGGCATGGATCACATTCCAGCCAACGCGCCAATCTCCCACGTTGTTTACATACAAGAATCCTCCCCACTCTTTTCAGCCTCCATCTCCCACCCTTCGTTCCCCTTTCCTGATGTGACAAGGAGCAGGCTCCCACTCAACAAATCACTCTCTCGGACCCAAGAACCATCACCATGAGATTCTCCACAACCCTCCCCCTCCTCTCCTTCCTTGCACCCCTCGCCCACGCCGCCCCGCAAACGCACTACTCAACAGTCACAATCATCCCAGTCCCTCTGTCCTCAACCATAATACACTACCACCCCACCGGCCCTCCGTATCCCTCCGGTAGCGACAAACCGCGGTTATACAACGCACGCTACAACGCCTCAGCGAACATATCCCTCTCGTACACGCTCTCGTACCCTACCACCAACCTGCCGCCAACTCCGCGTATATTCGCGGGGCCATATGCTCAACCCTCGATTTCGCGCAACGCGACGATGAGGCCGAGGCTGGGGGATTTGAATACGACGCTACCGCCGTTGCCGTGTACGCTGAGTGAGTTGTATTGCGATAGCAATACCTCGTTTTCTCTCTGCGCCCCAGCGGTAGGGGGTGGGAGCCGGTACGTTTTCATGGGTGCTGTAGCGAATGGGACGTCGTGTCATGACGGGAGGATTGAGAAGGCGGACGGTGGGGATTGCAGCCCCGTTGGACATCTGAAGTGTGAGGGAGGAAGAGGATTCTTCTTATGCGATGAAGGTATGACCCACTTCGAATCGAGTGACGAAAGGAGATGATGGGACGAGTGCTGATGGTTTTGACACAGGTGGCTTGGTGCACATGGGTAGCGCAACCAATGAGACTACCTGCGTAGATGGAGAGATCGAGGTCGTCACCTTGGGGCGCTGATGGCAATGAGAGAGCCGAAGATGGATCCGCTGGGCTTTGCGGTTCAAGAGTGGGGATGAAGCATTCTGGAAGGCGGCTCATGGGGGTGATTTTGCATTTCATTTCCTGTCCGGGGCATCACATTCGGCGTTTCGGTGTGCAGTAATTCCGGGGCATGAAGTCAAAGTAGTTGTGTTGCAAAATGGACCAAGATCCGTTCTCGTCTTGAGGAGGTAGAGTATAGGCCTATGGGAATCGCTGCTTGAGACGGTCTGAGAGAAGATCGTAAATGAAGGTAGAGAGAGGGCGTATGCTGGAGGGTATGTGCTAGACGTGGAAGATACACCCAACCAAACAAACAAATGGCGCAGCGGCGCGATATAGACCCCCAGCCCAAAACCCCCCCACTCGACGACCACGATCCCGGCCAAGACCCACAGCCCGAACGGGCTATCCTCCATGCCATGGCGAACGACACCGGGAGAAACTTTATATTCCGTCATAGATGCAACAGGACTTGATTGGGGGGGAGGAAAGGGACTCCTTGCACCGAGCCTGCCGCAATGGCAGGCTGCCCTCCCTCGGCGACCACGATTAATGAGGGATACACAGGCTACCGCCTGTAGGGTTGGTTTTTCAGCTGCGCTTAGGCTTTGTCGCTGTGTCGGATCCTGGCCGATCACTTGCTACGCTGCGAGTGTCTTGAATTATCATGTCTGAAAAAAAAAGGGTTGGGTCACGTGTACCGGTAGAGAGAAAATTACATTGAATTTTGAATGAGTCACACAGAGTCTGTTGTTAGAGAGACATGGTGCTTATGGGTAATCATGTTGAATGAATACCTATCGAAACGGACCAGAATGATACCGTTTATATTACAGCGAACTGCCCGTGAATCGCTTCTGTGTGTATCGCGAAGAAGCCAATTGTCCGCCGATGTTGTGTAAACGCGCCGACCAACCAGTAATGAACGAGATGCCTCCATGTAGATACCCAAAACAAGCATTCTACTATCAAAATAGAACCTGCGAAAGCAAAGACCCAAAGCGTGTCAAGCAAAGAGCTTCCAACCGTGTGTATACGAAAGGACTGAGGACCAAACCCTTATATCGAAACAATGATATATCACCCATGTGTACGTCATCCTGCAGCAACACTGTAGCACCTGCTGCTTTCTACCCAAGACATGCGTGCGACTGAAACCGAGCAGTCTACTCGTCGCCAGGTCATGTTGGCTAATGGGCCAGGACCTGAGGGTCTCCTGGATCGTGTTCGGCATCTTCCTAGGACGTTTGGGTACCGTCGTTGGCACAGAAGCTATCATGATGGAGAGCCAATGTGCCACCCACTGGACGCTTCAAATTCTTCAATAGGATTAGCATTCGTCTGTTTCCTGAACAAGAAAGGCAACAGTGACTGTGGAGACAGAGCACTCGGCTCTACTTACCTTGCATAGGCTGCATTTGGCGCCCGCTCTATCAACCTTCTCAGGACAATCGTATATCGGCTTGTTGACGCAGAAGTAGTCAACATCGGCCGGGGCAGGATCACCGCCAAGATTGAACGACTGGCGAGGAACGAAGGGCCAGGTTGATTCGTTGACAGTCTCTGCATCGAGACCTCGGGTAGCAAGACCATCGACGGCATTGGTTCCCTGCCATCATCAAAATTTCCGCATGAGTGATGAGTTTGTCTTAAAAAGAAGAAAGGGTAAAACTTAGTCACCTTTTCGGACACACAGACCCTCCCTCGCAAGCCGTGATCGACGCGGAGCCGGACGACCTCATCATCACCCTCGATGGGAGGATTGACGGAGATTTTCCAATGCATCATGAAAAAAGGGGCGACAACGAGCAAATATTTCTTGCAATGCTTTAAGGTTTGAAGGTGCTGCAAATCAAATTGTTCCAGGAGGCAATTTAGGGCGAAGGTACTCTCACGAAAAGTGGAAAACATTCATCGCTGGGGAGAAAGCTTTTAAGGAGACTCATACAGACACAACCTGTGCAGTTCTGAGAGGATGCCACCTTGGGGCTGAAGACCGCAATCATTAGAGACTCCACAGCATGTACGTTACTGATGATGCACGCCATACTGTCCAGTTCTGGGATGAGCATTGCTATTGGACAGTAAAGACCGAGGACCATCGGATAGGAGTGTCCCCGTGCCGTTCTCAGTCGAAGCGATCATGCGATCGTAAAGGAAGCGTGGAAATGTCAAACTCCTTCCGGATGACAGCGGGATGGCGATTTCCTTCTCCATGGTAGAGTTTGGCCTATACTGTTTTGGTAGAAGTGGGAATCCTCTGTGGCAGGCTGCACGTAATTGTGTTCCACCGTGCCGCAGAGCTGAGGGCGCGGCTGCAGGCGGCGAGCATTGAAGGCCCGATTTCCTAGGCCTCTGTCCAGTTGTGGTCAAATCAGGATTTCCCAAGGCATGAAACACTGTCAGACAGGATTGAATCTTAGTATCTAGCCGCCTATCAGAATAGTTGGCCGTAGCCGCCAAAACCGCGCCGAGCCACGGTCAAAGAAACGCTTCCGCACCAGCTTGAGGATCAGGCTGAGCTTCAGCCCGTTGTGACTGTGCTGAGTTTACTGATATGGATTGTGGCCAATGACAAGAGGGAAAAGCTGGAATGTCAATCTTAACGAAGTTACCGCCAGCAATGGCACCGGTACGCAGCGCCTCTCAAGGATGGCGACGTGCATCATCTGTGCTGTAATATAGGCGTGTGACTGCGAAGCTGATGAGAGTGATTGGACGAGTGATGATGAGAGAAAGGGGATAGCTCCTTCGGTAGGAGAATTCCATGAAAACCGCGTTACTCCGCGCGAAGACTGCATGAACCAATCGTCACGTTACCACAATTCGGCCGAACGTTAGACAAGATTGATCTGCATTATCTTAAGAAGGATGGACGAAATGTAGAGCAAAAGGCTCTATTGGTTGCTGGACGATATTGCCGTGAAGCAAGTGGCGTTGCGGCACTCGGAACGCGACAACTTCTCAACTCAGCACACAGGCAGCAACGAAACAAAACGCAGTGAGCGGTGATGCAAAGTAGAAGCATCGGTGATTTCACAAGCAAGCAAGGAAAGACTGTCACTGCCTTCTGTTTGGAATGCCTGCTCATACAAGGTCGCTGTCGCAGAAAATGGCGTGACAGTCCGCGGTGTTGGCCACGTTGGCCATCAAGGCAGAGGGGCCGTATACTGCCGTCACCTCGGTACTCGATGTAACCTGCTCATTTAACGCATTCGACATGAAACTGATAACGCCAAGCTGTACAGCAGAGTACCTAATTCCAAATCCACAGTACGGAAGGTATTGCCGAATGAGCATTGAAGCCTCGCGCTCTTCCCGAAAAGGAAGGTGGTTCTCAAGGCCAGGCTCCCAGCTCATGGTAGGCTATTGTTGCTGTACCTGCATCGTGTTCGAGGCATGATCAGCGTCAACGTTTAGCTGTCGATCTGTCGAAATGATGGTGGAGTAGGTTTTGGAGAAAGCATTGATGTTCCGCTTGGGAGAAGCATACCAAACCTATTGCTCTGTACAGTCCGTGTTGGAAAGATAAGGTCCATTAATCCGAGCAAAACACCTGTGAGCAGCACCATGTGCCCCTCATTCAATCTATCTTGGAGGGTGGTGAAAGGTCAGATGAGCTTGAGAGACAAGGTACCTGCTCATTGAAAGTGGGGTACATCGTACCTGACGGCGGGAAATTGACGCGAGCATGTGATATGGAAGCGCTAGACCAGGTCTCAAGGCTTCTAGAAGAGGCTTTCGATTGTCCGACGTCCAAGTCACAAGGGTATCTTCATTTCGAGAGTGACCAAAATCAATGACAGTGTCTGCAGATCGACGATGGTGGACATAGACGGGACAATGATCCTGGTTGTAAGAAGTCAAGATATGTGGCGACAGCTACCCATATCACCGTGAATCGATCGGCGAACGGAATCCAACGTTATCGTTCTCATCCGACAGGGTACGGACCAAGGCTCATCTAAGGTTAAAGGTGCGGTCCGTTCATAAGCAGGGTAGACCCACAATGTGTCGTTGGTGGGAGTCTGTCACCGCGGTCAGGCGTCGCTATGTAGCTATCAGGTGCTCACATGCCGACAGACGTATTGAATCCTAGCAGAAAGTGCTTGCTCAAGGCTTAGTTCAAAGATCGTAAATGAAGTCCGAAGCTATCGGGGATGCGCCGTTCAGAATTGGCGGGATTGCCATTGATCAGTCATGGGAAGGGTACGAACTCGATATTCCGCCCGATCTGTGTCGGGCACGCAGTTGTAGATGGGGGCTTAGCCTTTGGAAGCTATTCATAGGATGGAAGGAAGCCGAGGAACAGTTTCATGATTCAGATGGGAAGTTGATCTGCAAGGTACGGAGACAGTCTGAATAGTTACAAGTCCTGAGCAGCGAGAGCGATGGTACATTATTTTTCTTTTGTTGACGGGAACGTGATTTGCGACTCGAGTGTGGGGGTCTGTGCCGAGGAAGGAAAGGGCTGCCCGTAGCGCTGGTGCGGTGCTCTCTCGGGGGGCGGTTTCGGGGGGCGGTTTCGGGGGGGGGGGGGGCAGGGCTAATAATGCCAGTCCGCCTTGCCCTATCATGGATGAATTTTGATCAGGGTCCACGATATGGCCTCTTCATTTCTATTATTAAGTAAAGGAAGAATGTATCATGCCGCGGTTCATGATGGCAGAGTCGCAATAATTGAATGGATTGGAGGCGGTTTGAGAGCAAGAGGCGGAGAATAGTATCCAGATGAGCGAGATTTCGCCTCCCATCTCGCTTGGGAGGTTTTGCCGGTTTATGATTTCCCCGCAAGACAAACAAGATACCAAGATACCGTTCCACCATCCCGCCCTACTTTATCCATCAGACTTTTGGGAACTAGAAGGCCGAATGATAGAATCGTTCCATGCAGCTTCTACCGTGCTGAAACTAAGGTAGCCCTTCGGATTCGGAGCCAGCTTCTTAAAACATTCTTAGCCAATAACCATGGTCCATTCAATATACCTACTGTAGGTCGTTTTGTTTCCTTTTTGTTTGCAAGGCCACTAATCATAAATCTATAGGTACTTTATGGCAAATATAATATGTATACCTACCTATTATGCTACCGTACTCTAAAGCACGGATGCCGTTGTTTCTTGTCGATCATCCACCACCCTTCTTTTTGATTTTTGATTTTTTTTAGCTGTCCCGCAAACCTCGGTCGGCGCCGTCCAACTGGGAAAAAAGAGGGGATCTCTCTTCTGATTCGCTTGCCTTCAAAAGCACACTCACATCATTTTCTCATGCAATCCACCAACCCACATCCTCCATCACCCGGTAATCCATGTAATCCCATTCACCTTATCTGCATTACCTCCATACGCTAATCGTTCATCAACCAATTGACTCATTGACACCATCTTTCCCTTCAACCCCCCCTGCTCGGCGCCCGTTCAGCATCTTGGACATTCGTTATCGCCTTGCGCCTTTGCGGTTGCGTCCCTCTGCCCTCAGTGTACCGACTCCTATAGGGGTCAAAGGGTGCAAGGAAGCAAGACTACCATGGAGCACAACATGAAAAAAGGGCAGACGGCCATGGAGCGGCCGTTGCTCGAAATCGATTCGCTACCTCTTGCACACCCCGGTCGTCTACCAACGGCCCTGCATCTAAAAGGATCCCACTACACCTCAACGATCCAGCCCCTCTCGTCATTCTTTTAAAGAGCTCGCGGTACCTCGATACTCGTTCATGTGTTGCTCAAACCGAACCGTCACGAGCTCTCCTGGCCATCGACCATACCTTTCACAACCCAATGGCTTCCCATATAAGCTCAAGTTGTTGATACTCTCTAGCTCTTCATCATACAGGACCGTCGCCCTTGCGCACACATAGCATCGCTGCTTGCCCGCCTCCGAGACGAGCTCCAGTTTTCCCTCACACCACCCAAATCAACCTCGGACTACACTCGATCATGTCAGCTACGAAGACAGAGACCGAGGCGGTCAAAATCGAGCCTCAACAAGCGGCCCAACCAGCGGAGTCTCCCCGCAAGCGCCGCAGAAGAGCCCCGGCCACGGGAGCAGCAGACGACTGCTTCGCCTGCCAAGAGCGCCAAACCAAGTGTGACAGACGAAGACCGTACTGTACACCATGCCTCGACCAGGGCAAAGACTGCTCAGGCTACAAAACACAATTGACATGGGGCGTTGGAGTCGCCAGCAGAGGAAAGCTACGAGGCCTCTCATTGCCCATTCCAAAGTCAAAAAGAGCTGCGCAAAGCATGGATGAGGAAGATGACAAGAAGGCCATTGGTCCAAAAAAGCTGGCGAAGCTCGGCCCTACACGCAGAACATCCGATGCCCTGGACGGTGCTCATTTGCGCAGTCCGACCAGTGCTACCACAACCGGCACCACTGGCACGTCTACCTCGTACAACTTTGTCAACATGGACCCGAATTCGTCGGCGTCTACCACGTCACCGTCGCCTATGCTGCCTCCGCCAAGCTTCGATTGGCGCGCCCCTTCCTCTCTCTTCCATGGTCGTGATTCACGGCAAGCTCGCAAAAGACCTAGGAGACACACTTTACAGCCACTTTCCGTGCCTACAATGCATCCTACAAGAGACTATGGAGTCATGCCAATGACCGCTAGCGTCATTGGTGGGTATGGCCACCACGACTTTGGACTGTCTTCCCAGATCTCCCCCATGGTACCAAGCTTCACTGGCTATGGCATCGTATCACCAACCTATAAAGACTTCAGTTCTCAATCAATGGTACAAAGTCCCTGCGAAAGCAATTTTTACCCGAGTCATCAGACCCTCGGGTGGCCGCGTGATAACATGAGCTCGGGTCTTGGCTCCAATCACAGCAACCAAGATTACCGGCAGCAGGACACATTTTATGCAGACTTGATGGCGACCGCCAATCCTACGGACAGCATGCTATCCAATCAGCAGACCTTCCCACCACATGACCTCAGCGTCACTAGCGCTACCGACTCCACTTCGCTTACAGCGGGCAGCGAGTACCCAGTCTACGCAAGCCATTCATCAGCGTTGGTCGCCGACGATGTTGGAGATCATCCGTCCTCGCTTGTCCCAAGATTACTCCCATCGCTATCCATTGGGAACACACCGAAGCTACAATACCTCATCGATTATTATGACAAGGTCATCTCCCCGGTGATCGTTGCTTTCGATGGGCCAACCAACCCTTACCGCTCGCACATCCTCAGCCTCGCTGTCGAGAGTGAGACACTACAGCATGCGATTGCCGCTCTCTCTGCCAGCAATCTCCGGATGAGGAGAGGACACAATCCTCTGTCGACCAACAGAAGTAGCCAAAGTTTGTCGCCGTCATCGCATGATCATTCGGTCAGGAAGTCCTTGATCGCTCACAGCTTGATGGACGTTGGCATAGACCGTCTGCCGGAAACATCTGCAAGCGAGCCATCACATGAGGAGCTCTACCACAAAGGCGCTTCCATCAAAGCTCTGAACGAACAGCTCGCCGATCCTCTCCGTCGCAAGGATGACTCCATTTTGGCCACCCTCCTCATCTTATGCCTCTACCATATCTGCGACACCGGCGTTGCAAAGTTCAAGACGCAGTTCGCAGGGGTGAAGAAAATACTTGCCCTTCGCGGTGGCACCAAGGGAGACAACTCCAAAGCAACCAATTGGCTCACCATCATGTTCACATGGTTTGATGCCATGACTGCTAGCGTCAATGATCGAGAAAGCCAGCTCGACGGCGATGACTTGGACATGAGCTCATTGAATGGCGATGAGTGGGCACTGGAGAACCTTGCCGGTTGTGATGGTAGGCTTTTCAAGCTCATCGCCAAGCTCGGCCGACTCAACCTTCTCAGTCAGAATAAGCCTGTCGCGGGTTGCTCCACTAAGAGTTCGCCAACCGCAAAGGTGCAGCAGCTTCCGAGTCCAGTCACCAAGAACCAGGACTACTACAGCATGAACTATAATCGCTTCGATGGCAATGGCTGGTCCGCGATGGTCGAAGAGGAACCGGCAGAGGCCGACACTAGAGCGCAATTCTGGAAAGAATGGCATGAAATTCGAGATAAGCTCCGTGATTGGCAACTCGATGGCACAATAACGCCACCAGCAGAAGGTGATCGACGCGACATATACCACATATCTGAGTCTTTTCGCTACTCAGCTCTTCTCTACACCGAGCGATTGGCATACCCACACCTGCCGTCGTCGAATGCCAAATTCCAGAGTCTGGTGACGCAGGCGCTGTTCCACATCTCAAATGTGCAGTCTGACGTCTTCCTCCTCTGGCCTCTTTTCATCACTGGCACTGAATGCGTCAGTGAGCAAGGTCGCTACCTCATCCGTGAGCGATGTTTGGACATCCAAAAAGACTCGGGCTTCTTCAATAACATATCAGGACTGGAACTCCTGGAGAAGATATGGCGTGATGACGAAACGAATGATGAGCAAACGCCAAGGTTGACGGCGAGTGGCTTGCCTATGGCAACCAATGAATTTTCTACCATGGGCGGGCATGGTTTCAAATGGCGTAAAGCAATGGAAAGGGTCGATGGGGAGTATATAGTGGTCTGATCTTATGACTTTCGGGCTTTCTCATTGTTATACTTTTCCGTCGAAACCGATTTGTTAGGCATCAACATCCATTGTTTCTCTCTTCCACCTACTGTTTCTTCTATCTACTGGGCTAGCAATGCATGTACATACGAGCACAATGGAATCAACGATTTTGGAAAACCTTTGGTCCACACCAGCTGTCCCACCGTGAATCATTCAATCGATCAATCAAACATCCTCTCTACCGCCGTAGGCGTAAGGCGCGTACTTTGACAGCACCCTGCCTCCCGAACCTCTGGACCCTGTCGCAACACCGATCAGATGTGCGGGACCCCGTTCTGGATGGGCCAAGCATATCTGTTACTAACTAACGCTATGGATGGCAGCTGTAGCTGGATCCGTACGGGGGAGTGTATGATTTTCTCAGGGCTGGGTCCATCGCGTACAGGGTCTACTACATGCTGGACGCGCAGTTTGGCGACTGCCGTGTGATATTTGTACACCCGCATCGATACATGTATCCAGCTGATCCGTAGCAGGAGCCATTGACTGTGCGTGGATCTCCCGGAGCGCAACGGGCGCTGTGCTCATTGCTTGTTGTGGTACACATATGGTAGGGAGTGTCCGGTAAGGCTTGGTTGGGATTGTGACAGGCTGGCCCTGCATCTGCGAGTGGGGTTTGGTAGCAGATGAATTATGTGTTTGGATACGGTCTGGTGTTAAGAGGCATGAAGGGGGGTTATCAGAGAATGAAGAAGGGTGTGTGGAAGCTTAGGAGATATGAAGACATATTTTGGTTGCGAGGAGGCGAGATTGTGGGATGGGAAAGAGGCAATGCTTTGCGAAGATAGGATGACGTGCTTAGAGATGTCAGTTACATTTTCAAGCAGCCTCGGTTCATCCTTTGTAGGAGACGCCTTGGAGTGGTGCACCATAGGGTTATAGCCGTCGCCGGGTTTCCCCCTCGAGCTGTGCGTCAACGTAGACGATCGAAGGACTGTCGTCTGTTACCCCTAAAGAAGTCCCTGATGCACAAACCTCGGACGACAGGCTGTCTTGAGGAGTCGAGATCTGATCTCCGACAGCGTGCTGCACAGTGGGACAATTTGCAATAAACATTGGGAGGAAGAACTTGAAAGTTGAAAAGAAAAGAAAAATAAAGAAAAAAAAAAAAAGAGTTAACAAGCCAAACCCCCACTCCACGCCAGCAGGAACCAGATGTAATCGTACTCGCCGCTCCACAGGTAAAATCTCTCTGCGCTGTCTCCAGACTGAAGGATGATTTAGACTCTTAAGGATGACAATCTTCGCATGTTGCCAGTACGAGTTGAAATCCACTGCGGAGCTCGAACACGGCACCTGAAGCCCCCGATTGCGCTGGGTGAGGCGGGGAAGGCAGGTTTCCTCTACGCCATTACAGCATGAGATTAGGCAGCTGCTATTTTAGGTTATATTCCATTTATTGAGGAAATCATTTCATTCCCTCTTTTTGAACAGATATTCGCAATAAGATATAGGGACAAAGAATATCTTGAGACCTATCTACATCCACAACTTATGTAGCAAGACTCCTCCGTCAGAGGCTGTTATTCTGGTACACTTCTTCACGATGATAGACTTGACAGAAACACAATCCCTATGTGGTAGCCGTCATGTAGTAATCGTGCAGTGCTCGAAAACTGCTATATCAAAAGTGTCACCCCATTTACCAGTTCCGCTTTACATGAAACCCAAGCTCCTCAAAGTCACCTGTGCAAAAGCCAACAACGCAACCCCAAGAACAATGCCAACGAGAACAGCCTCCGTCTGCGTCCCTATCCTCCTTATCCTCGCCTTCAATAACGTAACCCATACCCTATCCCCATGATCTCGCATCGCACTCCTCATCCCCGGACACCCATCCAGACTACTTGAATTGTACTCTGCCTGGTAGTCCAGTAGCGTATTAGTCTCAACCTTCCGATGCGACCAATGACCCATCGTATCACGGTCCAGCAGTATCGGTTCCGTCTCTCCAGAAGTTGCACCCTCGGACGTGAGTGCTGTGGTCAAGAGAGGTACACCGAAGCCACAAGACGTCTGGACCTACCCCTTTTTTTCAACCGTAGATTCAGAAACGGCCAGGCAGGGCCGGGAACACATACCTTGAAAACGTCCAACGAAATCACCGCCCTAGCGCCCTCGATCCTCTCCTTCCCCATCCGTTGCAACAGCGCCTCGAACTTCGGATCGTCCCACTCGACGACCTGTCCCGTACAGAAAAACCTCAGGATCCTTGGGCTCTTGGCGAAAGAACAGAACATGATGGTGATCCTGCCGTTTTCGTAGACATGGCTGATGGTTTCGCTGCCGGAACCGGTGGCGTCGACGTAGGCGGCGTGGTTGGGGTCGAAGATGGAGAACGTGGATGAGGGGAGGCCTTTCGGGGAGATGTTTACGTGTTTGCCCGTGAGGGGGGCGGAGGCTGTGAAGAAGACTTGTTGGTCGAGTGCCTGGGCGGTGATTAGATCTTGTTTGCTCGATAGTGGTTACCTGATCTGGAGAAAGGAAAGGGGGCGAACCCAGTCTCGTAGATTGTCCGGGATGGAGTCCCAGAATTGTACCATTGCGCAGATTGCGGAACACGAATACTGTTCTAGGGTTATAGGTGGAGTCAATAGTGTATGCGACCGAAAGTACGGGCTGTTCGGTAACTAAAAATGAAAAAGGGGAGAAAAAGTTGGAGTGGAGAATGAACGGCAGTAAACATTCGCTTAAATCCTACACTACCCGCGTGCGCTATCGACAGGTTAAGATAATGCTGCTTTAGAAGGCTTTACGGTGAGTGAGTTTTCAACATCGGCTTTGCAAAGCTTGGAGGGCTAAAGAGGGGTTACCTGCCACTTTGCACTACTGGTTCTTCTTCTAATATCTGGGTTTCCTTACCGAAGAGTCCACTCCCGAGGGTCCCGGGCTTTCTACCTTGCGGGAATTGTCATCACAAGTACCTTGTGCCATAAGACACATTCATGACCCAGGCTGCTGCCGTCTTTGGGCGAGCCTTTACTGGCTCTGTTATGCCGGAGTAGTAAGGAAAGGAGACATGGGGTTGCTGGCTAGTGCGCATACACTATGCTTTTCGGTGATGAGCAGCGTTGTGTTCATGGGGTCAATGGTCTTAGATATGGAAGCGGAATGTTAGTAAGCTTCAGAAACTGTGTCTACGTGTACTGTCCAACGAGGTAATGAACCGAGGTTTGATGGGTAGACAACCGGAGACGGTCTTTCGAAGAGACAATCAGAAATCTAGCGGATAAGATACAAGCCAATGCGCCAGTATTCAAAGGGTGAAGAGCCACTGAAAGGGACGATGTCTTAGTAAGAAATCCCAGTAACAAACGCCATGCTTTTGCGATTTCGTCGTAGGACGAAAGTACCTAGCAATTGAGGTAACAAACCTCAACAAGCTAGCCGTCACTCCCAGTACGAACGTACGGCAAACAGCTTTTTCTGCGTCCCAATATTCTTCATGATAGCATCAGACAGGGTATAGAAGGACTTGCGGAGGATGCCAGTCGTAATCCATGTTGGATTCTCCGGTCTTGAGTCTCGCATTCCGCCCTCTCTGACTCATCGAGGCAGATTGCGACATCTGCACATGCCAAGGACATCTAATCAATCATGCAGTGAAATAAATTTCTAGAGCTTCTCATTAGCATGACCAAAGGGACGGTGTAGAAAGTGGTCCCCGAAGCATTTCCTTGAAACTCGTTTGAAGCCCCTGTTCCCAATCGTCCCAAGAGCTCTATTTCTCCTCAGCTCACCACCATCCTGAGATCTGGCACCCATTCCCAGGGCAGACCTTTCGAAGACGCTGCCACAGCACTAATTCGTGCAGTCGGACCTTTCATGTTTCTTCATTTCCGGAGTCACAATCGCGACCTCTTCCTCCGTCCTGCCATTTCTGTATACCCCCACTTCACACCAGTGTGCATCTTTTAAAATTCGGTGAATGGGCTACCGCAGGGACTTGAGGTAATATGGAGACGAGTGGTTGGTCGGCAGGCATTGCATAGGCATATTTCTTTTCGCTCTGGCGTTCTACCACGCTGTACTCTTCGGGCCTGATTGCTGTATGGAACATCGTGGTGTGAGCTGCAATGTAAGTCGGCGGAGTGGTATGTGCTGGATACGAGTTAGTGATATATTATCCGGATGTTGGCCGTTGTTGATGTTAAGAAAGTTGAAGGAAGGATAGAAAGCCTGTGGCCGGCAGAGAAAACGGTTGGAAGGAATACGCGAGCCGAAGAGTCCGGTGCGAGCTTCAACACAACTGCAGGCCAGGAGATAGGGCATTACGCACGATATTACAAGCCAAAGGGAAAAGGGCTTGTCCAAAAATGTTCTTTGATTCCGTTCTCTGTTGTCAGATCTCGTAAATATAGCCTTACTTTCATCGAAGCATAAAATGCTCTGATTTATCGTACATATAAGCCATCTCATGGCATCATCTCTTATGAACGCTTTGCCGCCTATGTCAATGCAACGCCCATTGTACGCCTGCTATGCTGGGGGTATCAAATGAAATGGTTGACTACAAGAAGTATTCGGTGCGGCGATTAGTCGTCGGCGGTATGTGACGCTCCTTCTCGGAAACGGCAGAGAATATGGTGAACTTTGGCTCCAGGTCCTCTCCAAGGTTCATGATGGAGGCGACGTTGCCGCAGCGGTAGCAGTAGTTGGGAGCGCTCCAGACAGTGACAACGGACTTGTCTTCGAAGTGCCACTGCACAGAGGATTAGCTTGGGAAGATTTTGTTGCGATGAAAGCAAGCCGTACCTTGTAGCCTTCATTGACGAGTTGATGAGCACGGGCAATAAGCTGAAAGCCGTTGACGTGATTAAATTCCGTAGCGACCTTGTTGCCAAACAGCCACCCTGCACCACGTGGAGATACAGCCCAAGTTCCAACGTCTTCAGGATCACTCCAGACCAAATCACAGAAAGCGCCTTCGTGAGGGATCTCTTGAGCTCGAGCAATGACGCGTATTTGGTCAAGGGTACGAATTTCAGGACTCAGACCACCGTGGACGCAGAGCACTTTGCCGTCAATGACTGCACCGAGGACTAAGAAATCGAAGACTTGGCAACATGCTTTCCAGACCGAGGCATTACCATACTTTTGTTGGCATTCCTCGTAAAATCCGTAGACCTGTGTGATCTGGCGAGATTCGTGGTTGCCCCGGACGAGGGTCACGCGATCAGGATATCTAGCCGGGTTTTAACTAAAAGACATTGATGGGGATAATACTACTGACCTAGCCTTGAGACACAGAAGCAGAGTCAAAGTTTCCAAGCTGAAGTAGCCGCGGTCGACGAAGTCTCCCAGGAAGATGTAATTTTGGTTGCCCGGGATTGCAGTACTACTACCCTCTTTCTCAACGCCCAAGGATGCTCCGTGACTGCTCTCCCGCTTACGCCCACGCTCTTCCTCCTCGTCGCCATCGTCGTCGTCGTCACCACCACTGCCCGTACTGGTCTCGCCGTCCTTCTTCTCCTTCGATCGGATCTTTTTCTTAAGCTTGGGGTTGGTGATCTCGGTGGGCGGCTCAATATCATCGGAGGTGATAACGCCAGTAGGAGCTGGTGATGGGGTGGCGCGCACATGACTCGGAGCACCTCCTGCGACGCGGAAAAGTTCGATGACATCGTAGAATTGGCCATGAAGATCGCCACAAACAGTCACTGGAGTCGAGACGGGCTGGATGTTGGACTCTAATTGAGGTTCCAATTTAGTTATTTTGTGTATGAGAGAGACTTTGAATGCTCACCCTCCATAAGAAGCTCCTTGCAAATCTCACAAAGCTTCTTCATGGTCGCTTCGGGCAGATACTGATTGTTAAAAGCACATTTCAGCCACTCGTCAACGTCGGCGTTCTTGGTGAGCCTCGCAGGCCCTGGCCGGGGTGGCTTCTTGCCCTCCGGCATACTTCAGGCTTGAGACGAACGAAAAATCCCAAGAAGCCCTTCTTGGACAGATTGAGGAGTGAGATCGATAATGCCAGGCCCAAGTTGCCAACCGCGGAGCTTCTTCGGTTTCGCTGTATCGTTTTTCCGGATTCAGGCTCAATACAGTTAGACTAAATGTATATGTAAATGCTAGCACAATGAACACCATTAAATAGTCTGCGTTTCAACCCATGATGGGTACTGTGTTCTGCACTTGTGAGAAGAAGCGAAACACGTGACGAAGAAGCAGATCAGAACACTCTCCTTTTCATCGGGATACCAGCAGTCACCGCAGCCATGACCTCGCCAATTTCAGCTCCCCGTGTTACCATAGCTCGACCCGCTCGCTCAAATGGAGTACTCTCAATCCCAGCATCTGTCACGCAGAAAAGAAGTGGACCAGACTCAGAAGGATTGATGTCAAAGCCGGCGACCACGAGGCTAAAACTCATCGTAAGACGGCTTCCACCAGGCTTGACACAGGCGGAATTCGAAGAAGCTCTTGGGGATGATTGGAAAGTCAACGGAGGCAAGGTAGACTGGGCAGTCTACAAGGCAGGAAAGGTATCGAAAGAGTATGGGGGCACTTCAAGAGAACTCAGCTGTAAATCCAATGCTGATCCAAGCTATTCAGTCCTGCCAAACCCTCGCGGCCCAGCCGTGCATACCTGCACCTGACGAAGCAAGATCATCTAAATTTACTCTCTGAGCATGTCCGAAATACCAACTTTAATGATGCGAAGGCTTCTTCCAAAGACCCTGCGTTACTTGGACCGCCATCAGTCGAATTTGCGCCCTATGGTCGTGTCCCTAGCAGCAGGCCGCGCAAAGACGCTCGTCAAGGCACGATCGATCAAGACCCCGAGTTCATGGATTTCCTTCAGAGCTTGACCAATCCTCCTGCAAAAGCTGTCCACACCGATCAAGAGAATGGCGGTGTAGGAAAAGTCAAGGACAAGGTCACCACAACCCCTCTAATTCAATTCCTCAAGGACAAGAAAGCCAATAAGGGTAAAGAGAACGCTACCGCCCCGAAAGGCGCCAAACATTCGCGTCAAGACTCCAAAGATAGCAAGTCCGCTGCGGTTGCAGATTCCAAGAATGCCACCGGCAATGTTACGGCGTCTTCTCCGAAGAAGCGCAGCGCACAAGCTGTCAAAGTTGAACAGGCTGCCCGTGATGCTGTTAAAGTGTTGAACAAACAAGCAGCAATTGCAAAGCAAGGAAACGTATCCCCCAGCCCATCGAAAACCGTTCCTGCTCCAACAAATCCTGCTGTGACGCCGAACAGCACAGCCAATGCTGCACTCGCCGACAAGAAGCGCGAACGTGGGAATGCTAGTGCCGCAGCGAAAATACTACAGCGAGATCTGGGCTTAGGTGGACATCCTGGCGGCCGAGGTGGAAGACGAGGTCTCCTCGGCAATGTAGTGAACAGACCTACGCCTGGGAATGCTTCGCCTGCTGCAAAGGCTCCAGGAACTACACAAACCACACAGCCAGCCATTTCTACGACTGGAAATTCTACAGCTACATCTACGGATGCAATCGATGTTTCGGTTGCTCCTGTTCCAGATGCAGTGCCACCGCCAGCCCGCAATCTGCCACCTTCAGGGCCAGCAGCTTCAAGAGGCCCAACCAAGGCTTCTGCATCTATGCGCGCCACTCCTTCAGGAACCGGTCCAGCCTTCTCAAAGCCCGCAGCGCCTCCCTCGACCGCTACACAAGCATTCCTCAAGCATGCAAACCCATCTCAAGGGATTACTGAACCTTTGCTAGATGAAGCATTCGCAGTCTTCGGCGCAATCAATAAGGTGGAGATAGACAAAAAGAAAGGCTTTGCATACGTGGACTTTGTAGAACCCGAAAGCTTGCAGAAAGCCGTCAAGGCAAGTCCAATCAAGGTGGCCCAAGGTCAAGTGGTGGTGCTTGAGCGGAAGACTGGCCCTACATTGCAAGCTAGGAATGTGAGGGGAGGTGGGCCGATGCTGGGGAATCGTGGAGGAGGGATACCGGTAGGAAATAGAGGGGGAGGGATGCCAGTGGGTAACCGAGGCGGATCTATGAGGGGGAGAGGCGGATTTGGCAGAGGAGGGAATAATTTCCCAAACGCCAACAACGCGAAAGGCACGAACGCAACAGCAACGACAGCAACAACAGCTTCAACTCCTGCATCCAACCCTTCGGCGACGTCGGCAGCGCAGCCAGCAACCGAAAGCGCTTCCTCCCATCCGGCGGCTCAATCATCTGATGCAAGCACAACTTCTTAGGCGTCTACTGCACCCTCGGATTGTATGATTATGCTTAGACACAGCTTACAAGCAAGCGAATTCGGGGACCACGATGAAGACTTGGCCCATGGAGGTAGTCATTCTATCATTACGGCTTCGAGATGAGATTCGGACCTCGGCATCGAGAGCACAAAGCTGAGAGCAGCTGCTCCGGAGTGCGCGATCAGCAGGAAGGCGATGGATCAAATGAATCCTCATGGGGACGAAGGATCAGCAGAACAATGAGGGATCGACTGCGATCGAACAGAAGCCTCCCATCCATGAGATAGTTCATCGGCCATAGTCCGTATGATCAGGCAGTTCGTTCCTCTCACAAATCTACTAAAGCTACCCGTAAGAGTGGAATAGGACCACTGTTGAGGTGTTGACAAAGATCAAGAAGTATCGATGATTCATGCACTTTACGAGAATCTACCGAGGTACTCAGTCAAGAATTGCCTCCAATGATAGGTACAACGATGCTCTCCGTGAAGTCTAGGTACGGATTGTCCTTTTGGGTAACTTCTGCGGTACCTCCGTTGTTTCCACCGCCATTTGCCCACAGCAACGCCATGTTACAGGTCCACCAAGTCTGAAGAAGCGCTCCAAACAATCTCTCGCACGCAACAAGCGAGCGAGCTGACAATCGCCATCCTTCAGATGTACCCCCATCAGCCTCTATACCGTCGGTTTCGTTTCAGCCTTTCCCCAGTCCGATCCCCAGTCCCCCACACGTCGCGCCGCACCCTTGCCTGCTCCGCAAATCTCACTCATGCTTACCGAGATGTATTTCTCACTCATCGAAAAGGCTTATGAAATCCTGCGAGTCATCACTGCCACGCGATTCCGTACCCCAAGAATAGATTATGTAAAGTCGTAGTATCTAGTAGTAATCTGTCATCTCGCCCCCCCCCCCGAATCCGTCTCACTTCCCCGCAAGCCAATCGGCTCGCGCCGTCGCCTAGAGGTAAGTACCTTGTACCTCCCGCACGGTCTCCGAACAAGGTAAACGAAAGATATGGGCGTCCACCGAATATTATCAAACGTGCCACAGATCAGCTTCGCTTAGCATTTTGGTACCGAGATTCGAGAGGGAGGACCCTATCGCATTTCGTCTCCGCCTCGCACTCGTACTCTCCCTAGCTACCGTACCTCTCGGGCCAAAAGCAATACCAAGATCCCTAAAGTAACGAATGGAAATGGCGGTGACTTCGGAGCTCCGGGCCGACACACCACACCGCCTTCCATCAACTTCGCGCCCTACGGATTCCCCATTCGCTTCAACCGGTTTTCCTAAGTAGGTAGTCAATCAAGAAGGCAATCAAGGTTTTTTTCCCCTTGTCCTTCTGGCTCTGATTATCATCATCATCATTATTATACATTCTGCTGCGTTGTTACTCTTCTTTTTCGCCCTGATCGATACTTCTACCTACCTAGATCCGTCTCTTCCCGCGCGACTTTTGGGCCTCTGCGACCCGAAAGGGTTCCGGGGCTCCCCAGGGGACTGGGTGCCTTCGTGCCCAATCCACCGCAATGAGTCATTGATGGTGGGAAATGAGCCGGTAGCGTCGGGCGACGGAGGGATTCTATATGGTCGTTTGCTTCTCTTCCCCCGTTCTCGTAATCGTAGGCAGCTACTTGGGTCATACTTTGATGTGATTACGGGGGGGAAGATGACACCGCTCCTTGCTTATTCGTCGCGTTGCATCCATTTTCTAATCTTTGCCCCCCCCGGTTGCGAGGGTAGGTATGGATATTCATGCTTTTGAGAATCCTCGCGGATCCCGACAAGCTGAAGGGGGCGCTCCTGGTTTTTTGTGGTGTGGGTTGGTGTGGGATGATTCAGGTTGCATCGGACCGCTACTTGACTTTTACTTACTCTCTACCTGCCTGCCTTACTTACCAGACGGGCTGAGTGAGCGAGCGTGCGTTTGCGCCTTATTGATGACGGTGACAGGACTGATATGTAAGGGAGGTGAGGAATCAGTTTTAAAATAATTAAATACTACTACTACTACCTTCTCCTGCAAAAGGATCCGTCAATTCTCAAACATCTGCTTTGCCAGGTTACATATCTGCGGCGCCGTTTACCCCGGGTTGTGTGTTTACAATCGTGCTCAGCTCGGAAAGTGATGCGACGTGCCGCACCGCAGCCAGTCATCTTTTTCTTAGCTACCTGACGCACTCGAGTGCGACAAAAGAGTATTTGTTGCGGGTTCGGACATCAAACTTGATCTGTTTGTGAAACATCTGTGAGGAAAACGTCTGGCGCGGTGGAAATTATTACAAGTATAGCATGTGGCCTTGGAAAAGTCAGGCGATGCATACATCAGTGTTGCCTGATTCCGCAACCCTTACACCTTGCTCTGCCTCACCTTTACCTTTGCGCCAACCTCGTTCTCGTCAAAGTCAAGCCGACGATATGGGCTCCGATGATAGCAGCAGCGAGCGCTCGCTCTCTGCCTCGCCGTCGCCGAATTCACGACATCGCTTCCCTTCGCTCGCCTTTGCCGACGCCATCAATATCCCCTTCAAGTCTCCAATATCGCAGCCATCGACCACATCATCCTCTCCCGAATTCTCTCCATCTCCCATAACACCACCGTCCTCCTTCAGCAGTCCAGCCTTCGCAAGCTGCGCATACCCCGACTGGCCACAACGCGACATCCTCTCCCCAAAGACCACTTCAAATTGTGGGTCCCAGGCCAACTCTTACATCTCCGATGACGACCTGCTCGATCTTGCGGAGCTGGAGCTTATCGGCGGGATGAGGATCCCGTCAGATATGCGAACAGAGTTTATCCCGTGGGAACAGACCAGGCAGCCGCCACTTGTGTTGCAGTCCTTGCCGATGGTCAAGAGGAAGGCCCAGCCGGCGCCGAAGAGGAGAAGAAGAAGCTCGCCGTTGAAGAGGAAGAAGGTTGTGCTTGGGATGAGCCCGATTGCTGAGGCGCCGGAGTGATGCACAGTGGATGCTGGTACGCCGCCCACCCTTTCGTACCTCTCTCCTGCAGCTTGCTAAACACATCCAGGTCCCCCCAACGGCCGCATTACCATTATTGGGTGAAACGGTAACCATCCCAGACATTTTGAGCTGGCAGTGCAGCTGCGGATGCTGCAGACCTCATCATCGGTACCTTTAGCTGCAGGTTTCTGATGCACCTACCGCATGCCGCAGTGACTCATCTTCCTTGCTTCTACAAAGGGGAGTGGACGGTGTCCCTGTGAAAGCCCCCAGGAGTGCAGCGCAGTGCATGGCAATGGAGCAACCTCGAGCGAATCGCCATGACCGCGCCCAGAGCAGAATCGTGGTGACCTGCTCACGAAGTGTCGCGCCTTGAAACGAGGTCCAGCGTGCTACGCCTCCTGAGTTTCGGACATGCTCTGGAGATTCGTCATCCACCGTCGTGTCCTCTTTCGGCGAAACCGTCACTCAGTGGCTTCGCGATTGATCGCATTCGTACTTACGGTTAAGAGGATGACTCTGAGGAGCGAACTTAAAATAATTGTGAGGGAAAAGATCGTCAGCATTTCATCATACCCGAGCGGCTACGGGCCCTTCGGGCGGGGAAAAGGGTGAGGGCGAGCCTGCCCTGCCCTGCCCTGCAAGCAAAAGGAGGCTGGGCTAGTCCCTGCTTCTTTTGCGATCTATCTTAGGCATCAATGCATCCGTAGGGGGCACTGCTGGCTCTTTTATCGTTGAAGGAGCATACTCGGTATTGAATGAGGAGGATGAAACATTTACCTACCAGCCGTGGTGTGAAGCTTCGATCTGTTTTTTCGCAGAGAGGGGACAGCGATGCGTGGATCAAGCAGAAGATCTGGGGAATGGTGATTCGCACAGCGAGCGGGGAAGGCTTGAGGATGGATATGAGCGGTAGCAAATAGGAACAAATCATCCAGTGCTAAGATGTGAGCGCATATAACTACGAGAAAGGATTGTGATGAGTGACTCGTAGAACTTGTACCTTCCCTAACAGTGTGATTCGATAAGGGTCCGAGGGTGCATGTACCAATCGCTTCGGCTCTGTCTCATGTGCTTCCAGAAGATTTCCTTCTCCAGCTAGGTACCCTTCCCACCCCCCACCCTTACCCTCTCCCCCCCCATCAACGCTGATAACGTGATCAAAACAAACCCGACAAATTCACAAATTCACACACAGACTTTCAGATTTTCAGGAACAATCTTTAATTGAAAAATTAGTGGAGCCATGTGGATAGCCAAAGCCATGTTGTTGGGTTACTTTACTGGGTATGGGTATCATACTCTTCCTGTCTCGCAGCAGATTGGGCGTATCTCTCATCACGAGCTCCAAATCTTCAAATCTTGCCCGTCCTCCGAACAGTCGCTACCAATTTAATCCCTTCTCTAAGCGCTGCGCTTTGCCTGGAAGAGTCAAACGTCCTGCCACTCTAATGTCGGACCACGTTCAATCATTGAAGAAAAGTGCCTGCGAAGGATCTCATTGGCGCAAGTGTGACGAAGCTTGCAGCCCGCTCTGACCAATCCCATCCTTGATACGCCTCAACGTTCCTGCATACTAAAGACGTGCATCAACTGGCTCATGCGTACCCCAGCAAAGCCAACAATGCCCATTCTTTCCCCTTCCACCAACGGCTGCATGTCGTCCTCTGGCCCAGGCAAGTTCAGACGGACGGGCCCATACATGAGCTTGTTGTGGAAGCTATTCGCCTACGATGATCCCCGTCTCGAAGGGGTCCTTAGTAGTTAGTACCTATGGTTCCTGCTCCGCTCCTCTCGCTATCATTTCTCCTAGACTCTGATGCTCCTCAGTCCAGTGAGACAGCGCAATCCCGCCGTCGATTAATTGCCCATCACAGGGTCCATGAGCTTGTCCTTGCCCTGAGCCTCTCACGTCTCATCATTCAAGCGCCAGCACCCCTTTGGCTTACCATTGGGCCTCACCACCAACATTGATAGGGCAGATGCTCGTCATTCAATCTCGAATTGCCCTCAACCATACTTTCCATCATTGCAGAAGCCTGAAACCTTTATCAATTCTCCTTGCCCCTCACGTTGTGCAAGACCGCTTATGCCTCCTCATGTCACGCATATTGCCCCTTCGTGCATGAGGCGGAGTAGGTGGTATTAGCCGCAAAGTGACTCGCAGACCTTTCGTTTCAGAAGATCCCACCCATCTTGCCAAACCAGGATCAACCGCATCGACTGCGCCTATTGCGGGGAGTTTAATACCTGGGTCAGTACCTTACTGGAAGCATTGTGATTTAGATCTGCCCCCCACACCGCTTGCTTGAAGCAAATGTTGAAGCTCTCCGGCGCTTCCGTGCTGCCAGTGCTTCTTTAGTAGCTCTGAGCTAACATGAGCGAAGCAGAAGACACCTGCGAGGCCTCCGCCATGTCCGCGGGACAATTGGCAAGGCAGCGCTCTTCCTCGTCCGGTACAAGACCTTCGCTCAGGTCGGCGACACCGATAGATCCTCGTGTCACCGACGTCGACTTTGAAGCATGTGCGGCTACAGCCTCCTACTTCATCTACACTCAGGGCCCGACGATAGTATGCCTTCATCACGATTCATTGGCGGTTGAAAGGCGCTTCGATGGGGGAAAGGACGGACATGAAGAGCCGATAGTATTTGTTTGCGCGGACAACGTCAGTGAACGGGGAGCCGGGAGGTTGGTGGTGAGCTATGATGCTGGAAAGGTTGCGATTGTGTGGGATCTATTTACGGGGCTACAAGTCGCAAGATTTGGATCATACCATACGATCGGTGCTGCAGCGTGGATGAGGAACGGAAATATCGCCTTTGGTGAGACGGATACTTTGATCGGAAAACTTTCGGGTGCTGACGTGCATGCCGCAGGGAACACGGAGGGCAGCATCATTCTATTCCAACCGCAGAACTCCGAGCATATATCAGCGCGCACTATCAACGACCCGATTACAGCTATAGCGCCTGCATGGGATTGCAAGACATATGCCGTTGGGTGAGTAGCTGCAGCCCTATATTCACCATGATGCTGATATATTCGCAGCTACCAAAACGGATCGATCTTGATCGTGGGGCTTCAACCTTCTTTCACTATACTGCACACTCTGACGTCGGCACGTTCACCTTCGGCCGTGGCAAATCTGATCTGGCATGCCTCCTCAACGAAGCAAAGGTCGGACATGCTGGCCACGCAGACTGTCGACGGAGACCTGCGAGTTTGGAGCGTTTCGAAGCCGCCAAATACGGAGACGCCAAAGATCCTGCGTGTTTTAAAGAGAAGGGACAATGTGGAGCCAGGACTACATTGGTGCGCATGGTCAAAGAATGGGAGGATCTTGCAACACTCCGAAGGGTACGTGAGCTCTTCTGTTCATGTCCAGACTCGTCAAAGAGTCTAGCGCGCTGCGGTGGACGACGTGACTGATAAGGCGATACAGGGAAACTTGGTCATGGGATGTCAGAACGAAACACGTTACTTGCGAGCCAATACCGACAGTCGAGGGAGTCAGGGGTGTGGCTTGTTATGGTCCACAGGCGACGCTGTTCACACTTGGGCCCAATCATACCGTGCAACAGTATGACACGAATCCTCCCGCGCTGGGCAAGGAGGTACAATACCTCCCCATGGCACCTCCTCCAGCCCCAAGTATACCAAATCCGGCTCAACGCATTCCAGGTACGGCACCGCCTATTGCTGTTTCCCGTGGGCCCGAGACAGATCGAGGTGCTGTGACTCTGTCAACTATCCAAAGAACCTCGAACGAGATGCAGGCGATTGAGCATGCCCGCCAGCTGCGTGACGAAATGGCAAGCCCACTTTCATCCACAAGCAGGACTAGCAGAACGGACACGATGAGTACTACATCGTCCAATCGTGCTTACCCAAGGCACCTTCCGTCCATATCATCCCGAGCTCAAAGTGGGACGACGTTTTCAACCATATCGCCCTCCATGGTTGGTCGGGATAGCCTATTTTCCGGTACCACATCAATCTACCCGTCAACGGCATCCATGGCCTCCTCGGGACGAAGGTCTAAAGGCTCTCGCCTTCGGCAAGAGGTTGTCCGAAGCCCGGATAGTTCGTACGTGGATCTCTTTCCCCGTTCCAGGATACGATTAGGCAACATGACCTATGAACAGCCTGAGCCTCTGGATCAGGAAAACATGACCTCTGATGACCTCCGAAGACGGATGTTGGAGGTGGTGTTTGGATGGAGTGATGATATCGAAGCGTTGGTTAAGGATGAGCTACTTCACCAGCAACCGGGATCACAGAGCGCTGTCCTTCTATCAAAATGGCTGGGTGAAGTCGATTCTGATATGATGACTGCTTCAGGCATGTCCGATAACGTCAGCGAACTCGATTGGATGATGATGGCTCTCAGCAATATGGGCGCTTCCGGTTCGATGAACAAAATGGGCGAAAACATGGTCCAAAGATTGCTCCGGAAAGGCGACTTTCACACCGCAGCTACCATTCTGCTAAGTCTTGGCGATCGAGAAGATGCAGTCGAAGTTTACGTTTCACGAAGCTTCTACATGGAAGCGATTCTACTGACTTGCTTGGCTTTTCCTACTGATTGGCAAAGGCAAGCCCATCTGGTACGACGCTGGGGCGAATTCGTGGTAGAAAACTCGCAGCAACATCTCGCTATCCGATGCTTTTCGTGCACTGGAGTCGAGCCGCCAATTCCATGGTCTTCCCCCTCGCCACGAGCTGTAAATACGCCATCACAAACACCGCCAAGTATCTCGTCAATGTTGAGTCCACCGGTATCACCTCCACCGGCAGCTCCGCTTACTCGAATGACGACCAAAAATTCGTCATTGAAGGTAATAACCTCCTTTGAAGCTCCGGCCCAGGCTCAGTTCAAGTTCCCGGGCTTAGCATCGACGGACCGCACGCCCACCAACGGGCCCGGAGTCACCCCGATCGCGGAGTCTGCCATCTCGCCAGGAGGGACACCCGGAGGTTTTGATCGAAGACAGGCGCGTGGCATGAACAGTCTCACCGGAAGATTGACCACTCCTGGAGGCTATCATAGAAATCGTCTACCTTCTATTGGGGAAACACCAGTGGACGTTTCGTTACCTGCTTTTACTCGACCGAGCCAGCTTCCCACTCCTGACAATTCCGGGTCGGATGCTGAGAAGGAGAGAGAGAAACATTTGAGATCTCAGACTTCAGAGCCCAAGATCGAGAAGGAAGGCGAGGAAGCGCCACCGCTTCTGCTTAGCTCAGCTCGTTACGATCCTGGAACTCCTGCCACAGGCAAGACTCCGATGACTGCTGTCCCGCAAACATCTGTTCGAACGACAATCTTACCAAATCCTTCAGAAGAGACTTTCAGCGCTTTCAAGGAGAGATCAAGGAATCGCAACGGCTCTAGAGATAGAAAGCCGGATGGATTGCATATTCGCATGCCTTCTCAAGACCAAATTCAGACCACGCATTATATCTCCTCTGCCGGTATCAGCTCACAGCCTGCGGAACATAGAAAGTCTAACACGTTGAACTCGCTGCACTCTGCCGGACTCTCAACGGGACAAAGCGACACAAGGAGCCCCTCGATCAGTGGTCAAAGTTGGGCCTCCGCGAAAAGTCCGAGTGTCAGTGGACGGAGCATTGATCAATACATCAGCAGCTTGGAAGAAGCTGGTTCTCGGTCACGAAAGACAAAGCACAGATCCGAGAAGCGTGGAGAGAGTCGCGAAGGTAGACCGCCCAAGTCTCGAAGCAAACCCCGAATCCACGAGCGGTCTGAAGACCGTGGTCGAGACGACCGAAGGTATATACGTCCTGCCAAGAGATCTCCATCTTCGCCAAAACCCATGTCACCAGAAACTTACCTCGAGCCAAACAGTGTAGAGAGCATCGATGGCCAGGTGGCCGATATCCGCTCACCGGTCTCGGAGGGTAGATACATTCGAGATGACAGCCATCAGCCGAAAACTGCCTCCAAGGTCCGATCTGGGTCCAAAGCATCGGACTACTCCCATCGGACCGTCCGGCACAGGTCACCTGAAGGGGTCTACGATAGCAATCTGGGCAGCGAGGCTAGTTTTGGCCGCAGCAAAGCGAGCAGCCGTCAACCGAGTCCGCGAGGATTGCTCGATCCGAACGGCCGTGGCAGGAGCAAATCCAAGAACAAGGGTTCTATTGCGAGATCACCGTCTTCTCCCCTGCCCATGTCAATGTCACCCCAAGCTCAATTCTACCAGGCGAGTGACGAAGATGATGGCCCATTGCGGATTGTCGAGGCAAATCGCCAGCGTCTGAGGTCTCGGCACCGAAGCGGGAGTCGGAGACCGCGTGAGCGTGGCAGCTCTTCACGACGGGAAAAATCTCCAGACCGCAGGCGAGGTCATGAAGAGTATCACCTTCGCGTTCCGGACAGTGACGAATCAGGGCAGCAGCCCAGATCCGCTGTCGAGCCACGTCGTGCACCTGGCGATCAAATGTTAGGTGACGTCCGGCAACCAAAACTGGAGCGCCAAAAGTCTGCAAGAACCCAGAAGAAGGAAACAGCGGCACGTGAGCTTGAAGCGCGTCGAGAGTCACTGCTTCGGAATCCTGAAGCACCGTTAATCCTTCATCCCGATGAGGTCAGCAACGCGAGGCCAAATCCACCTTATCGTGCACAAACGGACCTCAGCAACAGTCCAAATTCGTCAAATCCCGTGGTATCGCAGTATGAATCTCGCAAGTACCCAGTTACACCGGTGGCCATGGAAAATGGTGACTTTATTAATCGAGCTGCAAGCGTCGGTCCATATGGCCTGCCGGCTACCCCACGAGCCATGCGTCACCCAAGATACGACAAGCACGAGAACATACCGGCTGTACCGGAAATGCCCGAAGGTATACAACCTCTGCCCGAGATGTTCTATACTGGGCATCCCATGCGGGAATTCCCACGTTCGATGTCTGCTCCTGTTCCTGACCAGCATCCACCCATGCCAGTCGACTTACCAACGCATCCCGCTTTCCATAAAGCCTTGCGCCCCGGCAAACGTCTGAACTTTTCACCCTTGGGCGACATTGGTCAACAACGACACAAGCGTTCTAGTGACTCTTCATCGGGGACACATGCTCCAGTCACTGCTGGCATCGACGAAACACTCCATGCTGCCGACTCAGGGATTCAGATTATCAGTGTCGACGACCCTCCTCTGTTGCCAGAGCTGCAGCATCTGTCGATGCCTCCCCCACCGCCGCCACCACCACCTCCTGCTCCATATCCATATCGCAACGATCCTGAGTCAAGCTCTCTTAGTAGCAATAGTAACGTTGGCGTGATCAAGATGGTCCTTGATAACGAGCCTGAGGACGAAGCGAACGTGATCGAAGTGCCTCCTCCTCCTCCTCCAGAGATCATCAGTATGCGGAACACTCGATCGCCTCCTATTAGGACTACAACTTCTCCACCGCCTTCGTTAAGTCGGTCAGGGTCAGCTAGTCGTCATCATCGGGGTCGCAGCGACAACTTTAAGAACGGCATCAAGGGTATTACGGATCGTCTAAGGAGCACAAGCCGAGGACGTAACACCAAATCTCCTGACCAAGTCGTCAATACGCCGTCGCCGTATGAAAGCGTTCCACCGCTGTACTTCTAGGCCTATCAGTCTAAGGTTTGCCAGCATTCGTTATCACCATGTGTCCTATACTTCAGCCTACGAGCACCTGCACTTCACCACAAACCACTGTTCATTTCTACGTCCTCTTTTACATTTATCCAGCATCGGTATTCCTTTCTAGTATACGATTTACGAAAACCGACACTCTTTTACCATATAACGATTTCACGATATTTCCTCCATGTGTTTCTTCTGTTACATAGTTCCCCAAATCTGATCAACTTGGCGCGGAGGCAAAGCAGCCTGGATCTGACATTTTGCACGGCGATGGCGTTTCTACTTCTCCACTCTCCTTGATACACTTGGAGCCTAAAAGCGGGGCGGTTTGGTTATAAACCAAGAGCAGGAGAATGTGAGAGGGAGGGGTGGATGATTGACGAGGAGGCTACACTCTTTTGAATTGTGCTTGCATGGGATCATAGGCCAGCGTGATATTCCGATACAGATGGTTGGCCGCAAGGCCTGTACGTGTATTTATGGTGTGGGACTGCTGGGTAGCTGACAGTTTTTGGCTCGGCTGCTGTTCTATATATAACGAACCACTAGTACCTACGATCGATCGATGTGTTATAAACCCAAGGTAGCTCTTGTAGATGACAAAATGCCCCCAGCCCTTCTACAAAGCTCCTGTACTCTCTCTCTACGCCTTCTCCGGTGATACACCTTGACCCAACCATGCAGCAGAGCATGCCGGCTTCTAACCGCGCTCCGCACCTGGTACCTTCTCCTTCCTCCCAGCTCTTCACTCAAGCCCCCGGGGCCCCGGGCACTTCCACCACTATCCCACCACACGACGATCCCTAGCCCGTGCACACGTCTAGATCGTAGGACGCCAACCCAGTCACACAAGCTGAACGGGAACACGAGCCCGGCTCGCTTCGCGACAGGCGTCGCCCACGCTCGCTCACTCACTCAATGACAGAGTTGCCCCGTCCGTCCCGCGAGGGATGCACGCTGTCTCGGTATGTATGTATGTACAGGAGCGGTCGGTCTTTGGGGGGGGCGATGGGTTGGGGAGGACGAGGACGAGGAGCTGGGAGATGGATGAATGGTGAGGGGGCGTTCGCGGGTGCGTGTGTAGCAGGGTTTTTTTTTGCTGTGATCGGCTTTACTTGCTTGACTGCCTATGCTTGACAGTGCATTGCTGGGGCCGGGTGCAGTGGGAGGTTTGATTGCGGTGCGGTGAAGTGGCTTCCACCGCGTCTTCTTCTTCTTCTTCTTCTTCTTCCTCCCTTCCGACACCGCGGTTGGATATCCGGCTCTTTGTGGGGCGATGGCCGTCTTTGGGGCTTGCGTTGCTGGCTTCTGCAGGGGGGGGGGTTGGGGGTGGAGGGGAGGGGGGGGGAGGGAGGGTGGGGGGAGAGAGGCGGAGGTTGTCTAGATGGGTCTTGTCGGTATGCGGTTTGAGTTTGAGGGTCGTGATGAGCGTCAGCTGTCAGAGGGGGAGCTTCGGGCTGTTACTCTACGCGGTGATGCGTGATGGGATAGTCGCGGCCGTGGTCTGGAGGATTGTTTTCCCTTGGTCCTTTAGGCGGAATCCACACACAAATCTGCGTTGACGTTTCAATGATCTACAATCTACGTTGGCATGAATGAGCGGCCAAGTCACTGGCATTTCTGTTGGAGACATCGAGTTTGAGAAGGGTCCTCTGCGTTGATAAACTATTCTATTCCGATCATGCTAGAGTATTGCCCGAATCCTCCTCAGACCCTCCCTCTCAATACTCTCCTCGCTGCCAACACAAGAGCCGAACAACCAAGCATGTGTAGTGTAGGGAGCCCGTCAGTCTTCCCCAAACACCCACCAAGCCCGGCCGGCCGAAACCAAGACACCGGACCTGGCCGAGATCATCGCCGACTCTCATCCGCTGAAGCGCGGTTCCCCCGAAAGGAAAAGCGAGAGTGTGAAGAAGGCTCACTCTTGGGCGCTGGGGATATAAGTCATCAGCCGGGTTGGAGATTCTGTGGCTACTTTGAGTAACTCAGAAGAGGCTGTCGCGTGTCTCGTCAGCGAGGGAAGTCCAAACAGAGAGGACGGTAGGTGAAACAATGGCGCTGCAAAGGAAGTGTGCGGAGGATGTTGAGACTTACACGTTTACTATAGAATTGATTCTATGAAGTAAACTGCGGCGTCGTCAGTATCTCCTGTGCAGTTAGGGGGGTGGGGTGATTGCATACGTCGACATGGGGAGCAAATTTTCGGGGCACGAGAAGTTTTTATGTGGGCGGGTTCGCGCTAACGCTAGCGTGCACTTTTGCTACCCGGCTCTCGCTTAGATCTTGGAAAGAAAAGGTCTTCTCACTTCCGAAAGCATTCTCAGCAATCTCGACCCTCTCAGCCTATCTCAAATTGCTTGGGATAGTCACTCTCTATGATGCTTAACCATGTTGAGGACATAACACTCGCAAACTTTGAACCTGTTGTCATCGTAAGTGCGTGTGCTGGCGGAGATCTTCGCTGGCAACAGTTTCACTTCATTTTCCTGTGAGGGGGAAAGCCCCTGCTCTACAATTGTTGAGATTGGTTTGCCTGCGATGGTGGTGCTCAGTAGGACTTTCCGGGTATTCTTCTGTGCCCGCAATTAAAAAAAATCCCCCTGGCAACACTTGGTGCATTTGCCTACACCGGAGGAAACTATTTTCCTAGCAAAAGTTCCCATGCATTGGTTCGTGTTGATGGAGGTTACTTCCGCTGCAAAAAAAATCGTATGCTAGCCCTTATCGAGAGAAACGTATTCTCAAGGAAGATACTTCCGATCGTTGGCTTGTGTCTGCGGAAGTCTTTCGCTTTTTAAGCCTTGCAATTGCTGAAACTTCTTCTAACGATGGCTTGACGTGTTACGAGAACTTTCCCTCCGTTCACCTGCTGCTTCAAAAAGTTCTTCCAATTTATTACCTATTGCGCTGCGAAATCTTTTCAGCTGTGCACCAGTTGCTTAGGAGGTACCGTCCAAATACCTGCCCATAGCTCTTGGAGGGTTGATTCAATAGTGGGGAGTATCTTCCACGACTGCCGCTATGGTGACGGACATTCATTCCTCCATCATGTGCACACGATTCAGAAACTTTGAGGCTGTATAGAAGGTAATGGTAGTATCGAGGCTGCCCTTCGGAGCAATAGACTTGCAAGAAGCCCAGCTAACACCTACTACCAACCTCATTGTTCAAGGCAAGTGTGGTCGAAGCTTCCTCTCTCGGCACTCATCGCCACCTTGAAACAATCCTCCGTTGTAGACATTGACTACGCAGCCAGCGACAATGTTGCATACATACCAACTCAATACAGCTACCATTCTCCCGAATGAAATGTTGATGTTTGTGAAACCGAGGACTAGGAAAACAGCTGTCTCGAAGAACCTGCTACTAGCACAGCTGCCGGCCATGCGCGTATTGTGAATGATGAGCCAAGGTCTTCAGAACATCCCAAAGCAAGGAGTCCAATAGTGTGACAGCAGGAGAAGAAAGCGAGCAATGATGGGCAAAATAAGAGCTGCGTGAGACTCAAACAACCCTGTGGAATTTATGACTGTCAGAGCAGCGTCTCACCCTATCTACGGTCGTGCTGTGAACATGATTGACCTTCAAAGAGGACAAAGAAGGTGCTTAGCGACTAAAGGTGAAAGTTGATAAGGCGAATTAATTACGGAGTGAAGTTGTTGGCTGCTTTTGATATCACTAGGTCATAAGGTTTGTGAAGAGCAACATCGAAGCAAACAGCACTCGAAGGGCATCACTTGGAAACCACTACATACAGAAGGCCAAATAGCTTTGCAAGTGTCTAGTCTCCGTGGACTGAGCCTACAGCTGTCTCCATAAAGTGGCGAGCATGCACAAAGTGTCATTTACTGTAACGCTCACTGTATTGTTTTCATCCCACTGAAGTCCAAGTCGGGCAACCCGTGAAGCAGTCTCCAGCTCACTTTAGTGGTCACTTACTTCATCTTGACCCAAGTCACTTATTTCCCTGCTAGTTGAGAAACTGCAGTGTTTACCCTTCCGCTTCATTCCCCATCTCCATTCACCAACCGCCAGAAACTTCCCACCGACATCTAGGACTATTGAAGACGCACTTTCTACAGCCAAAAACATGTCCTTCCTACACATCCTGTAGCAGTCTTTTTGACATCCACAATCTTTGATATCCTCAACCTACGATTACATTTGTGATGCCTTCCGCAAACTCGTACCACAATAAAGTTCACTTCCAATCGCAATGCTGGCTCCGTATTGAGAAGATGGTGCCCTTATTGGCTTGGTGGGACTTAGATATCTCTGCGAGAATCATCACAGCCTCAACTCTCTCATGCAACACGGGTCGATAGGAGCCCTGGCTTACCGTCAAGTACAATTCAAGCGTACAATTGCGCTCAACATCCTCTTCCACCGAGTACTACACGGCGTAGCTCAACATTATCTCTGATCAATTACCCGGCGGTGTCTCTCCTCAACCGTATATATGCTTTAGTCTTTGACAAGTTTTCCGTAAATTCGCGACCTAGAATTCGTTTACAAAAGACGATTTCATTTATTCCAGCAAGGGCGTCTATTTGCATACGATCAAAATCCCCGCGAACGAACCATCCTGGAATGATTATCCGCGCGAGAACACTACAGAAGTAGGAACACCCTTTACCTCCCTGTCTTTGTTTGCATCTACCATCAGTCCCCATATCGCTGACCTAAGTGCACTCATTAAGAGTATGTAAGAGTGTTCATTGGCAATGTAAGAATCCGATATTCTGGATACATCTCAACCTCATGTTCTTATACGTATCGATCCTACGACTAGACCTTTCCGAGCTAGAGTAGAGAAAGGTTATAGGCGACCTGAAGACCGTCAACAACATTCACGTCTTCACATCCCTGTAATGGATCAACGAGGCTTCGAGGATTTGTGATACTTGCTTGCTCAAGCTGAAGAAGGTACAGAGCAACGCATTCTCCTGAAATTTGCCAAGCTCAACGGGACAGGTGATACCGGAATGAAGACGAGTCAAAGAAGTACTCCAAGTGCCACCTAACTACAACGAGTCCATGGCTGCAGGGTGCTGACGAATGGACTTGGGATTCAGTCATAAGCATGGACAAGCATCGTCGACTCTCTACGCCATCCTAAAGCCTTTGCTCGAAACCTTCTTCAGGCGCTCAACGAACCGGATTAAGGCCGCAGAGGTGGCCATCACGCACGACAAGTCAAGATTGTGGCGCTACCCTCCTCTTCCAGAAGACGAAACCCGATCGCAATTACCTGACATACGGTTCCCGGCGCCAGATGGCCCATTACTTCTCCAAGGGTAGCGTCGAACTTCGATAGGTCGCTAGCCATGTCCACGATATCTGCAACGGCAGGAACCGCAAGCTTTTTATCTTTTGCGCGTGGCCTTTGACACGGTTCTTGGTTGAGAACTTGAGTGCTTCCGGATCAGCCTTGGCTTCAGGGTCCTCAGAACCCGCTTGCCAACCGGCCAGTAATGTAGGAGCCCCTGCAAAGCCGTCTTTCTGCTAAAGCTGGCCACTGTGTGTACCTTAGGTAGTCACGGAGAGTTTAGGATGAATGCGTGTCGCTCTGACGAGATGAGCATGGCTTTCCCCGCGGCGCTGAAGGAAACGCATATGCCTCGTGAAGGTGGACTGCTTTTCGACTCCTAGTAGAACTGTACATAATTACGGATTTCGTTGAACTGCAAAAGTTGGCTGGAGATAGAGGGATTCACGTGAGAGGCATATAAGCGCAGCAATCAGCTTCAAAGGAAATTTTGAGATAGCATTCGTATAACCACGTTTCTTCGCCGACGGTGGTATTATATTTGCAAATAAGCCCCAAAATTTTGATCGTCTGGGTGGGTTAGTTGGTTAAACCGTCGGTCTCATATTAAATTATGACCTCTTTGAAACAGTGGACATCCGAAAGTCGCGAGTTCGATTCTCGCTCTGGACATTTTTTTTCCCGACATTTGGCAAGCCGGAAAGTGTCGTATCTCTCTCAGCTGGACAATGATTAGATCTTTTGTTTTGGTCCTAAGATCTATGCCCTTTTTGTTTCGGGCAATACCTTTCTTCAACATGCCTGGCTGCAACAAATGACTGGAAAATTTGGATTGATTTAGGGTCTAGTTACATAAGAAAGCTTGGCGATCCTGACAAATCAGCATCGAACGAGAAGGGAGGTTTTCGAGAACTAAGGATATAATACTTGGAAGAGAGAACGGGAAATGAGCAAGAAGCAAGAAAGCGATGGCTACATCAAGCAAGATACGTCCCGCCTGAGTACTACGCCGATCGATTCGATCACCAAGAATAGACCCCACGCGAGCTGGAGGGTGAAGCGAACGCGTCTCGCAAGGTAGCACAACGTGCAGTTTCCATTTACTTCATCCTTTCTTGCTTCCCTTCTCCGTATCTGCTGCTTGCGGCTCCCCATCTAAGTCTCCATTCTGGAGTGGTCTGCCTGCAAAGTCTAGTAATTTCATCTTCCGCTACATCAAGCGTATGGGAGGCACCAACCCATGCTTGACCGCCGCTAGCTGGATTTGCAAAGCGTGGCTTGATACCATTATGATTGGGGTGTAATACTCCAGCATGAATGCCGGCAACAAAAATGTTCCTGGTCGAGGCTGAGTAGCATTTGCTGTTTACTGATTGCTACCAAATCATTTCCGGCTTCCACATAAAGCGAGGTCATGGAGATTGCCTCTGAGATTCAGTCACTGATAAAACAAATTCACTACAGTTGGTCCCTCAGCATGGTGGCGCAGTAGAGATCAACAACATTGTCACAAATAAGCTAATGGCTATGGCCAACCATGCATGCACGCACGATTGTCGATCAGGAGAAGCAAAACATGAGAGAGAATTCAGAGGAGGGCCAGTTGGCCTATTATCATGCCGAACACGAGAACTTCAAGGATGCGTTGATAAATTATGCTCGAACTGCCAACGGCGCCGCTTAAGGTACCGCTAACGTTGGCAACTGCATCGAGAATCACATCATCAACGCCCTGACTACCCAAGGGCAGTATGAGCTCTCATTCAACTTCGGTCAAGATTTCTGCAATCAGTACCGTGCCATACCATGGAAGCTTTCGCCAAATGGTGGGAAGAAGGTGTATCGAGGGATTGACTGACACTGTGAGCTGAATCCAGGAGCGGAGCTGTTGTTACTGAAAGATAGACGCCAATCTTGACTACGTACTCGAAGCTGGCAAAACAACTGACGGCTTCAAGCGAGGCGCTAATCTGCTACTAATTCCACCGCTTGATCATTTCAACACCACGCAGTCATTCAAGTAGCTACCTTATCGTTGGTCAAAGTAGCGCAAATGGAAACTATACATATTGGCTATCATGGCCCAAAATCCCGCGCCCGTGGAGTCAGCACTTGGTCGAAAACCCTTTGTTTTAGATGACATCCCGGCATCTGTCTGGCAAGATATGCACCCACTTAACACAAGCCGATTCGTCAACTAATTTGTTCCATTCATACACCGCTGCTGGCCACATAGCTTATAGTGATAGTTATTCTTTTGTACGCTTGGATTTTCCGTTTGCAGCATTTCCACATGTACCCATCGGGATTCAAATCGGGGCTTGATGGAGGCCACACTAGCGTCTCGACCAAGATATTTTTTCTTTGGAACCATGGATTCCTGCGCCGTTTTGCATGAGTCTGATCTTCTCGAGTGCCCGATATCAGGGTCGTACGTGTGGATCCAAGTAGCCCACTCAAAATACGACATCTTCGTCAACAGCAACGCCGGGCTTGCGTGGCAATTAGAGAAAATGCCACCAGGCATACTGTGCCTCGACCGTGTCATTGTTCGACGGACCGAACATTTGCACTGGATGGCTCCGAAACCGACGGATGATCTCGCTAGATTCTGCAATGAAAGTCACAGCTACTGATATAAGGGCTCGAAGAGAGTCAGGTTCGTGTTGGCTGAGTGTAGAGAGCCCTGGACGAAGACAGCTTCATAGGTAGAGTCACCAATTCCTGCGGAGACCCGCGAACGTGTCAGCCCGAATACATGATAAGACAATTTGCGAGCGCAAGAGCCCGTCTAGTGGTTTTCATGGTCCCGATCGAAGAAGCGCGGTCGTGACGGAATCTACGACGTTGAGGGTGCTTCGCACCCAGCTGTACATTTGACACCTTTTGATCTCTCCAGATGTTCTGGTGTTCCTTTCCGCTTCTCGGATATCTGCCATTAACACCAAGTATCTTTATATTCTGTTCCCTCCATTAAGAATCGTGAACTCAGTTCTTGACATCTAGCTTCTGTATCTATTCACTGGGAATCTCAATCGCGACAACATTCTTCCCATTTGCCCCAAGTGATTATGGCATTCAATTCCAAGAAAGCCGCTGTATACATAATGAGTATCAATTTGTGACCTTGTTGCCTACGTATCGAAATAATCACTTAACGAGGTGCCCCGAATTGTCCCAGAAGTCTTCAGCACGGCTCAATCGTCCAAATGATGGTGTTACTTGGCGTCTGCTCTTAGACATCAGCCAGAATACGTTTCCCGACTCTATTTATAAGCTCAATGAGACAAATACCGCTTTTGTGGTAGTCCAGTTGGAGAATGGAGAGCTTGTTCGCATCGGCGCAAACATTCCACCATATGACATCGACAGCGCCGGTCTCCAATTGACGAAGGCGCAGGCCTTCGCTTCGAGTACTGCAGGGCCCACAGAGTGTGTGCGAAGGACCTTGATGCGGGTGATGACGAAAAGACGGCACTTGGTTGGATGGCTGTGTTTTAATTTCTGCGACTGAGTCCTCAAACCAATGTTGAATACGGTTACGAGGAAATAGACTGTCAAGGACAGTAATGACCGGTCCGGCGAGAACAATGATCACGGCGCCACCCAATGGTTCAAGAAGACATGCCCTTCCGAATGGATACTCGGCTGCCGGGATCGAAGGGGTATACGCTGGTATCTCTGTGCTCTCTCGGCCAAGCTACGTACGGTTTGATTTTCAACTGAAAGGCTCTCCATTTCATAAACCACTCCGCCGCTCGTGGATGTCCCCCCCTTTCGACCCCTTCCCCAAAAAATTTTCCAAAAAAAAAAAATTAAAACCCCCCTTTTGGGGGGGAGAAAAAAAAAAAAAAAAAGGGGGGGGGTTTTTTTTGTTCAAAAAGTCGACAATGGCCTGCGCCTCCCGTATCGATCCGTTCACACACCACTGACCCAATGTATCAGCGATTTACACCATTCCGCCTGATGGATCGATCAAGCGGTGAAAGCACAACGCTGAAGATGTCAAGGCCCGCGAGAACGGATCAAAACCTGCTGAGGGTACAGGTCTGCGTCTATCCATCCACACGCATTCATGGAACCAAAACACTTGCCGCCAGAAAGTGTCTGGATGAGACCGTGTGGAAGGGAGACACAGATACGCCTGGTCTCCAAGTGAAAGGAGGCGGCAGCGCTGTCACTGCGGCGGCCGGGACATGGGGGAAATGAGCGCGGATTTTGCCCGTATATTCACGATGATAGAGATAGACTCCGAATGGGTGGGGCGATGTGGTGGGGCGACTGGGTGTAGCGGCTTGGTGTAGCGGTTGGGTGTAGCAGTTTGGTGTAGCGGTCTGGTGTAGCGGCTTGGTGTAGCAGGTTTTTTGGTATAGCGGTTTGATGTAGCGGTCTGGGTGTAGCGGCTGGATGTAGCGGCTGGATGTAGCGGCTTGGTGTAGCGGTCTGGTGTAGCGGCTTGGTGTAGGTGGATAGGTTTTTGGTATAGCGGTTTGATGTAGCGTTTGTTAGGGTTTGGTGTAGCGGTTTGGTGTAGCGGTTGAGTGTAGCGGCTTGGTGTAGCGGTCTGGTGTAGCGGCTTGGTGTAGGTAGTAAGTTTTTTGGTATAGCGGTTTAGTGTAGCGGTTTAGTGTAGCGGTTTGGTGTAGCGGTTTGGTGTAGCGGCTTGGTGTAGCGGTTGAGTATAGCGGTTAGGTAGGCAAGTTTTTGGTGTAGCGGTCTGGTGTAGCGGTCTGGTGTAGTTTTTGGTGTAGCGGCTGAGTGTAGCGGTTAGGTAGGCAAGTTTTTGGTGTAGCGGTTTGGTGTAGCGGTCTGGTGTAGCGGTCTGGTGTAGCGGTTTGGTGTAGCGGTCTGGTGTAGCGGTTAGGTAGGCAAGTTTTTGGTGTAGCGGTCCAATGTAGCGGCTTGGTGTAGCGGTCTGGTGTAGCGGTCTAGTGTAGCGGTTTAGTGTAGCGTTTGGTCTAGCGGTTTGGTGTAGCGGTTAGGTAGGCAAGTTTTTGGTATAGCGGTCTGGTGTAGCGGTCTAATGTAGCGGTCTGGATGTAGCGGTCTGGTGTAGCGGTTTGGTGTAGCGGTCTGGTGTAGGCAAGTTTTTGGTGTAGCGGTTTGGTGTGTAATTTTTGGTGTAGCGGTTGGGTGTAGCGGTTTGGTGTAGCGGTTTGGTGTAGCGGTTTACGGTTAGTAAGCAGGTTTTTGGTGTAGCGGTTGGGTGTAGCGGTTTGGTGTAGCGGTTTGGTGTAGCGGTTTACGGTTAGTAAGCAGGTTTTTGGTGTAGCGGTTTGGTGTAGCGGTTTGGTGTAGCGGTTTAGTGTAGCGGTTTAGTGTAGCGGTTTGGTATAGCGGTTTGGTGTATTTGTAGCGGTTTGGTGTAGCGGTTTGGTGTAGCGGTTTGGTGTAGCGGTTTGGTGTAGCGGTTTGGTGTGCAGCGGTTTGGTGTAGCGGTTTGGTGTAGCGGTCTGGTGTAGCGGTTTAATTTTTGGTGCAGCGGTTTGGTGTGTAGATTTTTGGTGTAGCGGTTTGGTGTAGCGGTTTGGTGTGTAAATTTTTGGTGTAGCGGTTTGGTGTAGCGGTTTGGTGTAGCGGTTTGGTGTGTAAATTTTTGGTGTAGCGGTTTGGTGTAGCGGTTTGGTGTAGCGGTCTGGTGTGTAAATTTTTGGTGCAGCGGTTTGGTGTAACGGTTTGGTGCAGCGGTTTGGTGTGTAAATTTTTGGTGTAGCGGTTTGGTGTAGCGGTTTGGTGTGTAATTTTTTGGTGCAGCGGTTTGGTGTAGCGGTTTGGTGCAGCGGTTTGGTGTAGCGGTTTGGTGTAGCGGTTTGGTGTGTAAATTTTTGGTGTAGCGGTTTGTGTGCGGTTTAGCGGTTTGTGCGGTGTGTAGCGGTTTGGTGTAGCGGTTTGGTATAGCGGTTTGGTACAGCGGTTAGTAAGCAGGTTTTTGGTGTAGCGGTTTGGTGTAGCGGTTTGGTGTAGCGGTTTGGTACAGCGGTTTTGTGTAGCGTTTTGGTGCAGCGGTTTGGTGTAGCGGTTTGGTGTAGCGGTTTGAGCTTTGGTGTAGCGGTTTGGTGTGCCATTTTCTGGTGTAGCGGTTTGGTGTAGCGGTTTGTGTAGGGTTTGGTGTAGCGGTTTGGTGTAGCGGTTTGGTGTAAATTTTTGGTGTAGCGGTTTGTGTGTAGCGGTTTGGTGTAGCGGTTTGGTGTAGCGGTTTGGTGTAGCGGTTTTTGGGTGTAGCGGTTTGGTGTAGCGGTTTGGTGTAGCGGTTTGGTGTAGCGGTTTGGTGTGTAAATTTTTGGTGCAGCGGTTTGGTGTAGCGGTTTGGTGTAGCGGTTTGGTATAGCGGTTTGGTGTGCAAATCTTTGGGTGTAGCGGTCTGGTGTAGCGGTTTGATATAGCGGCTTGGTGGAGTGATTATATATTGTCGCTTCTTCAAGCTGCTCCTTTTCCACAGCACCTGTTTCATTCATTCACGCCTCCCTCGCCTCCACTACCATCATCCGCAGCAACAGATCCCCCCCCTCCCCAACCGGTTCCCCTCCACGATCTACCCCGTGTGCTCAGGTTTACAGTATTGATTCCTTTTGAAGCCCGCCACCGGTCACTCGCAGGCCATTCCCGCCGCGACGTCTCTCTCTTCCGCGTCCTCAAGCCTCCTCTTCGGAAACGGTCCTCTTCTCCTCGTCAACTCCTCGTTCCCTCGTTCCCATGACCGATGGACGTCGCGCCGAACAGGTATCCATGGGCTATCCCGGCTCCGTTTGCCAATGGGGGAGCGGATGTACCTGATGGGCGTGCTGCCCCTTGTTTCCGACCTGTATACATGGTCCCTTGCTGTTTCCAGCATTAGCTCTGGTGCTGTGTGTAATTACTGTTTCATGTACGCTCGCTCATGGCTGAGGGTGTGTGTCGGAATCTCTGGTACGCAAGTCCTGCGATCCTTGTTGGGTGCATTTTTGGCGGCTTCGAGGACAGCTTCTGCTGCTTCCGTATGGTCATTGGTTGGTTTTGGACTTTTCGGCTATATGGTGTTCCGTTCAGCGCTCGCTTTCGAATTAAGGTCTGTCAATGATGTTAGGATGTTAGTTATGGAAGCTGGATGCACAAGATTTTGCAGTATCGCGATATGCCGAATGACAAGTGCTAATGGTCATTGCTAATCGGCGAGTTCAAGTGCGAGCTACATCTGTACATAAGCCACCAATATCATACTAGACCCATCGCAATTCGTTCATTGTCCATCCCTCGCTTGATCGCTTAACCGAAAAGAGCATCACCAAGACGAATCGACACCGTCTTCGTCTGGCTATAATTCGCCAAGGCGGCCTCACCCAGCTCTCGGCCAATCCCACTCTCCTTGTAGCCACCGAATGGTAGGGTGTGATGTAGCATGTTGTACTGGTTCACCCAGACGGTTCCGGCTCTCAAGGCATTGCTGACTCTGATCGCGGTGTTGAGGTTGGATGTGTGGACGGCGGAGGCGAGACCGTAGGTTGTGGCGTTGCCGAGACGGATGGCATCGTCTTCGGTCTTGAACTTGGCGATTGAGCAGACGGGACCAAAGATCTCTTCTTGCATTATCTTCATGTCTTCAGAGACGCCGGAGAAGATGGTTGGTTGGATGAAGTAGCCCTCTTTGCCATGGCGCTCGCCGCCGGTTTCGACTTTGGCCCCCTCTTTCTTACCGGCATCAATGTATCTACGTTCGCATAAGTACACATGATGCAAGCAGGGCGTAGATAAGACTCACCCCATGATACGATCATATTGCAGCTGGGAAACCTGAGGACCCTGGAACGTGTCCGCACCGAAGGGGTCACCAACAACGTTCTTCTTTGCCCTGGCCTTGAAAGACTCGACGAACTTGTCGTAGACACCCTCTTGAACGTATATCCTGGATCCAGCACAGCAGCACTGGCCGTGGTTAAAGAAAATACCGAAGTTGACCCACGAAATAGCGTTTTCGATATCGGCATCGTTGAACACGATGTTTGGGCTCTTGCCACCAAGCTCCAAAGTAACCTTCTTCAAATTCGAGCCAGCAGCCGCTTTCATGATTTGTCGGCCAACAACGGTAGACCCGGTGAAAGCGATCTTGTCAACGTCCATGTGCGCTGAGAGGGCAGCACCTGCGACCTTGCCGAAGCCGGAGAGGATGTTGATCACACCAGGTGGGAAACCAGCTTCCTTGACGAGCTTGGCGGCATAGAGAGCGCCGAGCGGGGTTTGTTCGGCGGACTTGAGAATGACGACGTTACCGCAGGCGATGGCAGGGCCAATCTTCCAGGACCACATAAGGAGGGGGAAGTTCCATGGGATGATTTGCGCACAGACACCGATCTAGACAGACTTCTGTCAGTCACGGAATCTTGCAATGAAATGGTAGGATGAACGAACAGGTTCCTGCTTGGTATAGTTGAAAGTCTCAGGGTTCGTCTCAATGACTTTGCCGTGGATCTTATCTGCCCAGCCGCCGTAATATCTGAGGCATCCGGCGCACATCCCGATATCGACCTTGGCCATGCTGAGCGCTTTGCCATTGTCTAGCGATTCGATGGATGCGAGGAGGTCGAGGTTCTCTTCGAACAGATCTGCGAGCTTCACGAGATATCTTCCTCGCTGCTCTGCGGTGACAAGCCTCCAGGACGTCTCGAAGGTCTTGCGGGCAACGGAGACGGCGTGGTCGACATCTTTTTCTGTGGCTTCGTGAACTTCGCAGATGGGTTTCTCGGTAGAAGGATTGATGGTCTCGAACGTCTTGCCATCCTGGCCCTTGACGAACTCGTTGTTGATGAAGCTGCAAGCACCGGGGTCAGCCTGCGGTCTAGAACGTTTGGTGGGGGGGCGGCGAGATATCGTCGGATAAAATGCGGGGTACAGCCGATGACGGGCAGGAGTCGCCATCGCCAACAGTGCAATGCTTTGAAATGCGGAAACTGATGAAGAAATTGAAAATGAGCGAGAGACTCACAGTCCTGTGGGTTGCTCGTATTTGCCCGCTGCAGGCGTTTCTAGAGTTACTGAAAGAGACATGTTGAAGAGCGGTTTACTTGTTCTCGGTTTGCTGTAGTAAAAAGGTGTGGATGAGTAGTACAATGCAAAAGATTGTAAAGCGTTAAAGAGAAACGGGGCGTGGGAAGAGGATATGCAGATTTCTAATATATACAGAGGAATAGAGGAATGCCGTTGCTGTCTTGTCCAAAAAGTTAAAATGAACAGGACGTTTAACCCCACACATGCTGTCTCAGGCTACACTAGATGAAGAAGTATAACGTCATTCTCCACCATGACCTTCAAACTCAGTGTTCAGTATTCAATCAGAGAGGAAAGGATTCACGAAGAGGGGGTCTACCCCTCACCCGACAACCTTCCCACTTTGGCATCGGATGCACCTTCGTCCGCGAATTGCATGTAAGCCGTCCCACCAATGCAGGTCTCTAACAATCTAGATCCTTCCATTTACCCCAACCTGCCTCCTTTCAGTAATTCTCCTGAGTCAATTGACCCTTTCCCCCCCCCCACAAACGAGGCCCAGGTTGGGCGAATGTGGATGGATTGTCGTTCAAGGCTTCTGCTGCATGCGCAGCCTACTTCAATCTCCCTGATACCGACTCATATAGTATGCAGGTCATTGATAAACATAAACAGGATGAAAGAGGCAATGAAGTGCAACACTAGATCCTCCTTCGCACAAATGGACACTTGGACACGGCCCCAGATCTCACTAAGGCGGAACCTATCATTAAGGTACTTAACTTGCAGGGTCAAAAGATGGGCTGAACGGAACGGATGGCTTGAAGAATCCAGACGATCTCGAGACACTCTTGCCAGTCTGGCCCATCCATCTCGACTCAAAGCACCGGATACAGTTAAAAAATATTGCTGCATTCAACTCACATTGGAAGCTATCCGGGAGTAACCCTTTTAAACATTAGTCTTATGTAGGATGGGTATCTAATGTGGCAAATGCTCGCTAATCCCTCGATTGAACGCCATGCTGTACACGCTATGCGAGCTATTCGGACGTTTCTCGTGGGAGCTCAAGCTCTGACTTCGCTTCAACAGAACACCATCTCCCTCAACGTCGATTTCTCGAAGATCGTGCCGAAGGTGCGGGCTCAAAGGCATCGTCGTCGTCAGAGATATCATCATCGCTGACCTCCTGTACCTTCTTCGTCGCGCCCCTAGGCTGAGTCGTAGGCTGGGAAAAGTTCAGCTGCGATTGCTTGCCCGCCGTGGGTGCAGCCGCCCGAGCAGGTGCACGCTTAGATGCGGCTGTTTTCGTTGGTGCTGCTTTCTTTGTCCCTCGCGTAGGTGGCTCCGGCTTCACAAAGATTTGGCTCTCGTCTTCATCGGAATCAATCATGACCACGTCTTCCTCTTCCTCCTCTTCTGACTCGACGACTTTCTTCTTGCTCCTTGAATTCTTCGCCGGAGCAGTTTTCTTAGCGGGGGCAGCAGCCTTTTTCGGCGCTGCTTTCCCTCGACCTTTCGCGGTTGATTTGGCCGCTGGTTCATCTGATTCGTCTTCATCCTCATCCTCAAGATCTGACCGGGCAACCGCAGCTGGTTGATCATCCCAGGCACCATTGAGGTCCGAGTCCCATCCATCTGGACGAGGCTTCCGCTTTGTCTTCTTTCGGATGGATCGATGGCCAGAGGCAAAGAGCTCCTCAAGATGAGATTTGCCCTCCTCCATTGCGTCGCGAATGTTGTCTTCGTCCAACTTGTCCATCTGCATCAACTGTTCAACTTGCTTCGATAAGTTCTCCGTGACAAACAGCTCCATCGCGTGCTTGTCATCCTTGTCGATGAATTGGCTGACCGCGTCACCGAAGGAATTTTGGGGCAGTATTGTGAGGGACTGCGCGGCGAGGAACTCCCGCACCAGCCTTTCCACCTTCACCGAGTCGATAGCGAGTGATGCAAGCATAGACTCTTCGGGCATCTCTGCGCCGTTCTGTGCCCTCTTAGTGCCACCTGTCTTCTTTCGATAGAACTGGACCACGTCCTTGATGTTGGCAACCTTGTCAGTAAAGCGGTTCGAAAAGCGCTGTGGGTTCTCGCAATCGAAATTACCCCCTTCGGGTGCAGTATACTCCACCCGCAGTCTGATTAGCGGCAACGGCGGATCCTCGTCATCTTCTTCTCCCTCGTTTCCCTGAGCGGCCTTCCATTCTTCGTAGGCTTGCTTGATCATGTCATCAATAATGCGCGTGAGGAAACCAGTCAGCTCAGTCCGATTGTTGGCCTTTTTCACAAGTCTCATTGCTTCCTTCTCTTCAGATAAAACGATCTCTTTCATCACGAAAGGTCTGACCGTCTTCAGTCGGATAGTTTCCACCGTAAAATCTCGACCCGTGACGCTTAGTACAGCAACGTGTTTTGGTACCGCTTCACCTGGCATGAGTGATGTGGCGATTGAGGATCCCGGCTGCATGACATGGAAGTTCATCTCGGGGACGTACCTGGGATCGATGAGACACTCGTGTTCGTGACCCCATATGACCATGTCCAAAAATTCAGGGAGGAAATGCTCTGGAAGAAACCCCTTCGGAGTGTGCTGATGGCTATTGTTTATTTAAGCATGGGCTCTTTTCTACGATGGGTAAGACCTACTGGTTTTGATGAACACTCATGAGATTGAACCAGTCCTGTTTCTGTGTACCTGGCTGGAAGAACGTGACCTTTCCATCTTCGAAAGTCCGATGAAGCCGCTCATCCCTCACATTGCTCAAGCCGTACAAAGCGAGCTTTGTGTTTCCCTTTTGTAGAAGTACAGGCTTGATTTGAAGGTTGTCTGCTTCGGGAGTCCGTCCGTAGTAATTGAGTAAACCGGCTGCTTGGAGCAAATCGAGGGCTGCAAAACGGCCATCCTAGCAAATGTAAGCCAACTTAATCTCAGCTTCTATTGATTCATTGCAACATACGCCTGATGGGTCATCATGATTGCCATGTATGGAAAAGACTGGGATGGCAACATTTATGTCTGGGTCTTCGTAATTGACATGGTTGAATGCCCTACAACGCTTGTCAACTACTGGCCGGCTCCAACGACTGCTGTCTAATGTTGGCCTACCCTTCGAACACCTCGCTGCTGTCGCTGAGCATTTCCAGCTCGCAGGGCTTCTCTCCATAGCAATTCATTCTGAGAGATCGCATGACGTTGAACATGGCCTTTCTTGAGGGCTTGTTGTCGTGGAAGAGGTCCCCGGCCAAAAGCACCATGTCGACATCTTTCTCTTTCGCTAAGCACATGACCTCGTGGAAACTCTTCCAGCTATCGTCCCCTCGCATGGCGTCTCGCTCGGCGTAGCCAACATGATTGTCTGTGGCTACGAGTATGCGTATGGTATCTGCAGCTAGAAGGTCTGTTCAGCACAAGTTCTGAGATATGGTAAATACACCATGGGAGTACGGGGGTCCGTCGTAGAAAGGTTCCTTACCAGGAAAACCAGGCATGATGCGCATCAATCTCTGCGTTGAATTGGAAGATCTTGCTGTCTCTATGTCCTTAGATCATCGTGACATAGATGTAGATAGGAGGAAAATAGGGTCGAAAGACGAAGAATGATGTGCGGTTTAAACAGTATTTTACCAGAGTCTTGAATGATTATGGGAGACGCGGATAGTTCGTGTCAAGGTGGTCGACGCCGCTTTAGGCGGCATACGCACTTGTTATCCCAGCGCCACCAGGCACCTGAAACACCTAAACGTATTGGTGGGTAGATTTCAAACCGAGAATCAATGGTTCGCTGGGAGTACAGTAGATTGCTGCCTAAATGCGCGAACTTTGTTCTTCCCATGTGTCGAATGTGGGTACTTTATGTGACACAAGTGAGACGACGCTAGCAAGGCTCTCTCTCGCTCATCCTTTAGTCTCTATTCACCCTTCTACGCAAAGCACAAGCGCTTTTCAAAGACCATATGATGCTTTTGGCCAGCTGTAGTGCTCCAATGCAGATTTTTGCCGTGTTTTTGACACTGGTTTCCGGCTACGTTGCTCTGTTGGCACAAGAACGTGCCTCAGACGAGCAAATGACGCTGAAAGTTCCGAGTTCGGAACCAAAGAATATTGTCATTATTGGTATAGCACCCTTTACTGACAGTATGCCTCTATATCTCACCATTGCACGCAGGAGGCGGTATCATCGGCTGTTCGACTGCATACTTTCTCACGCGGCATGCCCACTACAATCCGGAGATCCATTCAATTGTCATCCTGGAGGCCAGCAGAATTGCTGGCGGGTCTTCCGGAAAGGCTGGCGGTCTTCTTGCCGATTGGGCAACTCCGAAATGTCTTGCACCGTTGAGCTTCAAGACTCATGCGGCATTGGCTAAAAAGCACGGTGGTGATAAGATCTGGGGCCACAGAAGTGTTTACTGTGCCGACGTCGAACTTCAAGCGCAGGATGTCGGCTGCAAGGTTGAGGCAGCCAATTCTGCCACAAAGGATGTCATCGCACAGTCCTCCAAGGTTCCTTCGGAGCTGGACTGGTTACTCCCCGGAAGTATCAAGTCCTACAAGGAGTTGGGGACACCAAGCAACTCTGGTCAAGTGAACCCATACATGTTTACCAAGACATTGGCAGAATTAGCAGAAGATAAAGGCGCAAAGATCATCATTGGTTCTGCTACTGCTATCAACTACGCCGAGGACAATAGAAGCATCGCGTCAGTCCAGTACAGCCAGAACGGCACCATCCACTCTCTGGGTGCTACCGATATCTTGCTTTCTGCTGGTCCGTGGACACCTAGGCTCTTTCCCAGGGTGCATTTAGAAACGCCCAGAGGCCATAGCGTGGTGATCCAACCATCGAGGAATTTGTCGCCATATGTTTTGTTCCCGAACATTACAGCACCCCCCAATGGAAGCCTAGAACACATACTCTCCCCCGAAATCTATCCCCGACCAGGTGATCGACTTCATGATTTCGGCTCTGTATATGCTTGCGGGCCTGATGATTATGACGTCCCTTTACCGGACACAAGCGAGTCTGTGGCTGTGGACGATCAAAGTTGCAATGATGTTTGGACCGCTGTCAAGAGTATCTCGCGAGAGATATTTGACGGTAAGCTAATAACGAAGCAAGCATGCTACAAGCCGCAGATCAGAACTCACGAAGAAGGTGAGGAGGTGGGACCGATGGTGGGACCAACGGGAATTGAAGGCCTGTGGCTGGCGACAGGTCATGATGAATGGGGCATACAAAATGGGCCAGGAACGGGGTTAGTCATGAGCGAAATGATGTTCGAAAGAGCTGCTAAAAGTGCAAACTGTGATTCTCTGGATCCAAAGCACTTCTTAAAGATAGACTGACTTCATATGAGAATGTTCGGAACGTGCTCAGGGCAATTTCCGACCGGCAGGCATTCATAGTAGGAGGTCCGTGGGGAGAGGCTTTGTGTGGTTGGGAAGGGATTATGTTCGATGGTGGAGGAGAGCTCCTAGACAATTCGCTTGCGGATGGGGACTTGGAGGCGGAGTATTGAGCGGTCCGGTCTCGAGTCCTTTGATGCGCTCGATAGTTGGCTTCATATATGGATACCATGTTCAGGGTATGTCTAGTGAAATGGTTCACAGGTACACTTTACATGCATTAATGCTTTTGTGCAATCGCCTTCACTTCTTATTCCAGCCCCTCTTGGCCTGTCTCTTCGACTCTTGAAATCTCACATTGATCCTCCTTGATCAGGAATATTCCTATTCCTTCTCAACCTTCAGATACTTCAGCAGTGAGGTCTTCGTCGCAGATCCTATTAAGGAATTGCTATAGGCCTAAAGCCTCCTCGCGGATAGCTAAGCATAGAAACATTGACCAGGTGAAGGCGACCAGGATACGGAGGCATATTTATGTACACTAAACGGGATGGAGTATCCAAAAGTTACGGCGGTGGTAATGTGTAGGTAGGGCGGCGAGGCCTAGGCTAGCCGGCTACGGCACGCTTTAAGATTAACCGTATAGATCGCTTGCATAAACACCAGAATTGTGCTCGTGGCGCTAGAGTTGTTATGCATCGAAGTGAATGCGTCACTGAGACCAAATTCACTCCCTTACAGCATGAAATTGAAGTACTGTACACTGTGGCTTCTGTAACATTGCATGTAAAGTCTACGACCATAGCCCTGTTGGCTTTTCCAACCCACCAGGACCTTCCCCGCTCCATCCAATTCGTCTCCCTACCTCCAAACTCGGGCCTTCCCAACCACAACGATGCCCCTCGACATGACCTCCTCCGACACCTACGACACCCCGGACTCCTCCCCAGACCCCTACGACACCTCTTCCCCCACCAGCGCCACCACCAGTGGTCTTCCTTCCCACATCGACCTCTCCTCTCTCCCCTCCGCCCTCCCAATCCTCGGTCCACTCACCGGCTACACCACCGCCACACAAGCAGCCCGCATACGCAAGAGGTTGGCCCTGATGTCAGACACCGTCCGGCGGCCCCTCACCCAATCCGAGCAAACGGCCATGGTATACTACACAGCCAAGGGCTTCGCCATCGCCTCCTACGGTCCCACAATCGGCATTGAGGCAGGTGTGTACCAGACGTACGCTACGCGCGCCCAGTTCCGGTGGCCGATGTACGGGAAGATGATCAGTGATGCGCCGGCGGAGGGGGAAGTCCAAAAGGGATTCTGGGACGGGCAGAAGATGAGGGCGGGCGGCAAGGAGATATTGCAGGGCGTGAGCAGTCAGGCCAAGGCGAACATACTGCATGTCTCGAGGGGTTTCGCGTACTGTCTGATCGGCGCGTATCTTGCGCCGTTGTTCGTGAGCTCGTACGCGGCTACGGTGAGTGCGGTGGGGGAGTCGCGGGATCCGAGGTTACACGAGGTTAACAAGGCGGTGAGAGAGGCGGTGCTGAGGGATCAGAGGCAGAAGAAGGAGCGGGGAGGGGAGATTGTGAAGCAGACGGATGCCAGGAGGGAAGGAAGGATGCCGAATTTCCCGAGGGATCGGGACCAGGAGAGGGGAAGAAGTGCGGAGGTGGATGATGCTAGCCCGACGGGCGGTGCTATGATGGACATGGGGATAGATGAAGAGCAGGGGCGGTTGAGTGGACCGGGGGATATGGGTGGATTGCTGAGCGATGGGCAGATGAGATCCGCGGAGGCAAAGGCAATGCCACCACCCAGCCAGACTCCTGCTGGGAACAGAGCGGCGACGTTTGAAATGGAGAAGGTGGAGAGGCAGCCAAAAGATTTTGGTAGCGACTTTGACGACGCCAGTCCTACGGGCGGGAGCGGGGCTATGGACGGTGGAGATGGAAGTGCAGGCAGCGTGTGGGAGCGTATAAGACAGCAATCTTCCTCTGAGCCTTCGGGTTCGAGCATGGAGAGGGGTAGAGGAATGAGAGGAAGCGGCATGCAGCAGGAACAGCAGGAGGGTTCGACCACGGGCGACAGTTTTTCCTTTTCGAACTCTGACGAAGAAAGAAGTTACGCCAAGACTGAGGCGCAGAGGGAATTCGATGAGCGCGTGGAAAAGGAACGGAGAGGAGGGGAGTTCAACAGCGGTGGAGGGAGACGGTGGTGATGCAGTAGGCAGCGTTGTAGAGGTAACACGTCTTGACTGTTCTCTCAAAGTGACGCTGGTGCCGGTGCGTATGAATGTGTGTTACAATTACGGATCGACTGCGCAAATTTTGGCAAAACTTGGTCTGGCTCGTCGGGAAACGGCAGACACGGCAATCATCAATGGATCCGGTTGTGCTCCTTGAGTGAGGCAAACGATTGAATTTGACGGAAAGAGGTGGAGGCTCTTCACCGCTGCAACATCGTCCTCCGCCATCTCGAAAAGGGTCAATAGCTTCTGTTCACAATCAAGCTTCTGCCTCCAGCAAAGCTCCTTGCCATAGTAATACCACCACCACAGATACACAATCTCATTTTCCCCCTTCCCTCACCACTTCTCCACACCCGGCCTGATATCAATCTCCCACGTAAAGCTCGTCTTCGGCTGCGTATGCAGATGCCAATACGCGTCCGCGATCGCCCGCGGATCGATCTTGGCCTCCGCCGGCAACCCGTACGCCTGCGTCCGGGGGATGTTGATCACGCCGTCGATGACGGCGTGCGCGACGTGCACGCCCTGGGGGCCGAACTCGCGCGCGAGCGACTGCGCCAGGGCGCGCAGGGCGTACTTCATGGTGGCGAAGGCGGCGAAGAGGGCGGAGCTTTTGACGGAGGCGGTGGCGCCGGTGAAGATGAGGGTCGGGGGGTGGGGGGGTGTGGATGTGGTGGTGGAGGGGGTGGTGGCGGCGAGGAGGAGGGGGAGGGTCGCTTGGGAGAAGAGGAAGGATCCTTTGCTGTGGATGGGAGATGAGTGTCAGATGTTGGAATTTTCACCCGTAAAGATGTGGCAATGGGGGATCTTTCGCGTCGTTTGCGTGTAGTGTGCCATGTTGGCTGTAGGGGAGAGGGAGAGAGAGAGCATGTGGATCCAACTCACACGCTCCCGGCATAACTCGCATCCAACACCTCTTCCGTCAGCTCCAGGAAGGGCTTTCGAACAAATGCCCCACTGGCGTTGAAGATTGCCGCCGCGCACTTGACGTCGTTGCCGTATTCGTGCTTCACCTTCTCCACCATGCCTTTGACGCTCTTCGAGTCCGAGACATCGGTCGAGATCCCGATCGCTTTACCGCCGGAGTTGTTGATGGCGTCGACGATGGGGATGTAGGTGTCTGGATTGCGGGAGAGGAGAGCGACGGGGTAGGCGGAGGCGAATTTGCGGGCGATGGCTGCGCCGGTCTACGATCGTTTTTCCGATATCAGCGTCGATTTGGGGGAGAAGGAGGAGTGGAGGGACGAGGTCAGGGGGGAACTTACGCCTGGGCCGACGCCGGCGATGATGGCGATGGTTTTGCTGGACATGGTGCTGGAGTGGGAGACGATGGAGGAGAGACGGGTGGTGGGGTGCATGAACCGTAGGGTTGAGGGAAAGGGTATTGCGTGATCGGCAGTTGGGGGTTCAGTAACCGCTCAATGTGTGAGAGACGATTGCCTGACTACCTTTTATATATCAAGGCGCAGTTGTTGCATGCTTTGTGATCATGTCATCGGCTCGGCCTTCGGACATGGGGGATTGGTAAGAACATCATGCTACCCAACAAATGTGTACTTTCAGAGCTTGGTGCCTGCTTGCAGTGTTATGATGTTGGAATTGCTAAGGGAAGGTACATGCACGAATGTCGTGATCTGGGAACCCTATGTTTACATCTGACCTCGCTTAAGTCAAAACCCTAAGCTAGCTAAGAATGCTCTGAAAAGGTCCCGTAGGAACCAGCAATGATCCTGTGGTGGACCCTTTCCTTACTTCTTCTTCGGAAACCCACTCTCAGTCTCCAACCAGGTCCCAAAATCCTTCAATCCGGGATTCATCCTCCTCAGCTTCGGTATATCCACATTGTATCCTTCCTCATCGAACCACTGAAACATGACGTTCATTTCCTTTACCATCCACTTGATGAATATCGCCAAAAATTCAAACGTAGTCGGTATCTCGTACCCCATCCTCTCTTTAAAAATCTGGCTCAACTGCGCGAACGTCAAGTCATCCCCTGCCAAGCTGATGGCTTTGTTCTTATACTCCGGGCTATCGGGCTGCAGGAAAGCCTGACCACCGAAAAAGCCAATGTCTGATGTAGCGACGTAAGCAAGACGTTTGGAGGGCTTGAGGCCGGTTTTGATCCATGTGGTGAGGATTTTGCCCATGAAGTTGGGGGTCAAGCCGTCCATGAAGGCGACGGGGCGGAGGATGGTGTATTGCATTTTGGCATCGGCAGCTCTGGCTTTAAGGTAGGTCTCGATGTCGTGTTTGCTAATGAAATGAGGCACATAGGTTGGGTGTTCTCCGCCTCGGTCGACAGAGGTGTAGACGAAGATCTGGACGTTGTGGGCGATAGCTTGATCCACCACAGCTTTCCCCTGCTTGGTCTCGCGTTCCTGTGTAGCCCCATCCTGAACAGCTTGCAGGACGCTGAAAACGCCCCAGATGGGTTGACCATCCGAAGCCTCGAGAGCGGCTTTGAAGACGTTGGGAGTATCGTCGAGGTCGCCCTTGACCAGTTTTATGATGGTGGATTTGGCCGCGAGGGCTTTAGCGGAGGGGGAGTCAGGATTCCGGGTGAGAGCGAGGATGGTAAAGTTGGCTTTGGAGTCGGAGGCTAGGATTGTGTCGATGACTTTGCCACCCTGCTTGCCGGTACCACCAAGCACGAGAATGGGCTTGGGAGAGGTCATGGTTGGAGGTATGTGTATACAGGAAATGCGTATGTAATTTCTATTGAAGAACGGCGAGTAGGAAGATCGGATGGAGGATTAAATGGATACATTTCGTCCCCTTATTTATATAAACAGCTAAGAGATTAGGGGAGGCTGAAAGGTTTCGCTCTCGCTCTCTTGGAGATGCGAAGTTGACAATTGCAAATCTGATTACAAACCTTGGCATTCAAGCAGGTCGCCTACTTACTCGTATTCACTAGAATTGACAATCTACCTACTAGGATTTGCAATCTCAAAATCAAGTTAAGAGAGCGTAAAATATAATGTAATTTTTAGAAATTTAAAATATAATCGTGCTTAGATTGATAAAATTATACAAGCTCCACACTCGGTACACCTTCCTAATCAGGCCTCAGCGCGCCTCTCTCCGCACAAATCTACCCTACTGCCTACAGGCACATAGATTAATCAACATCTTTATACCACATCACATTTACGAGTTATAATATTATATTTTGATTCCCTAACAAATGGTAGCAACACCTGGCCTCACTTCATAGGATATCTAGGCGTTATTTTAGACGTTTATGCAAAGCCTGTATCAAAAACCTAACAATGAGGCTTGATCAGATGAAAAATCCCGCATGACTTCTACGGAGCTACAAGCACTTAAGTATTCGATCTACTCTCTTTTGACGATAAGATGGCTCGATGGACGAGATCGCTAGTTATTTAGTCAGTTATTTAGCTGGCCACTCGGTCAATTACTTAATTAGCCACTCAGCCAATCACTCAGCAAATCACTCACCTAGTCGCTCAACCAGCCACTCAGCAAGCCACTCAGCTAGAGAATACGAGTACCTCATCGATCCCTACCCATTTCCATAACTTCTTGAGTCTTTATGTAAATCAAGCAAAAGTGTATGTACGAGTTGACTTTCCTTAACTGGTGGTGGAAGTTCTGGATCAATCCGTCGCGCCAAAGGACCCAAGAATATCAAGGGAGGAAATGGGTTTTGCATACGCTAAGTAATTGGTGAACTGAAGAGCCAACATCAGCTCTTGATCATTCTTTGCATGCGTCCGCAGAGCTTCAGGATAAGATATTTCCCAATTGCACGTATCGTGTTTGCGAATAGATCAAATGTAATCATGTACGATAGCCTATCACAATTCTGAACTACATAGACACGAGAATCATCAAGCTGAACTTTTAACACCGTTACTGTTGTAGGATCACATCCCCCAAAACCGATAGATCACTCCCAAGACCGGGAAGCATCAGCAATTGCGTCCACTCCGCACGCATATCCACATCTTCCAAAACTAAGTCGAGCCCATAGTGAAGGAGCAAGCACGCATTATGATAAAAAGGTGACTGTAATAGACGCCGCAGCACGTCTTTACCATCTTCAATTGCTGGATGCTTGAAGAATTGGCCTGTGAGCCTTGAACCCGAGGTGGGCCTATATCGGTCCCAGATCCAGAGCGAAAGTGGTGTTCCTCCGGCATTGTCCTGCTCTATGGGATCTACCTCTGTCAGAAGCAGATCTTCAATGATGTCGTTATTACCCCTGGAATTCCATACTGCATGATACAGGAGCGTCCGTCAATTTCGGTCTCGACAATTTGTGTTCGCTCCCTTCTTGATCAGATCCCGGTATATATCCTTAGAACCAAAGCGGACAGCGAGAACCAAGATCTCCTCACCATTTACCAACGAGCTGAGGGATCGAGTATTCAAGTCCCGAAAGGTTTGGATGATCTCTGTCTGCTCCAAAGCCAAAGCCAGCTCGAGGTGCTCATCCGTGGGGCAAAATTTTCGGTCAAACAGCCATCGCATTACTGAAGTCTGACCATAATGTATGGCCAACGACATCATTTTCGTTGCGCGACCGTTAAAAGTCGTCGGTGCTCTGGTTCGCCTCAAAGTGGTCGAGAACCTCTAGCCACCTACATATTTTTGGCTGTACAAGTAGTCAATTCGCATCCGGAGATCTTGAAGTTTTGAGCGAGCTAACTCAGATGGCGAGTAAATTAACTCTGATTGTGAAGGAAGCGACTCTGACTCAAGCAAACCACGATTAAGCCTATATGCCTCGGTTACCCATGTATTGAAGGCATCACTACATCCAGCGCCGTTGAAGAGGAAGCCCTTGGCATGAAGCTCAAAGACTCCCTTCCGATGTTATTCTTCGAGTCTATGGAAGTGGAAAATCCAATAAAGAATCGCATAGGACCAGAAAGGGTCACCAGATGGCTGATGACAGGTCACTGTCTGCAATGATCTTTCCACAGCAGACCTATTTGCCTCAAACGTAGTGTAGCCCGGTTGAGACTCGAGAAACTCCCGGACTGACAAATGTGCGAATCGAAATCTGTCCAACGGTTCGTCGTATACTACCAAAGGTGAAGCAGATATCCAAAATGTCTGGAATGGAAAAACTTCGATACTCGGTTGATATTGTCCGTGACCATGCTGCGATGGTGACACGGGATCTTGCGTCATCGGCGCAGAGAAGCCATTTGAAGATTGTCTCCGCAACAGTACGACCACGCTGCTCAATTTGACCGATGTTTTCCAGGATCGAAGAATACATGCCAGCGAGGGATCGGGGGAGTCGGGTAAGTTCATTCACCAGGCCGCCTTCAATTTTGGTACGGCGACTGTCACACAGGCTCTCGATTTGCAGACTTACCCAGAGAAACCTGTGTCGTGTAAGCCTCGTGTATCAGAAAAGGCTGATTGTTCGAGGCTGAGCGTAGCCAACAGGGCATTCATGAATACCCAAATGCAGCCTCGCAGCCTATTTAAATTATGTCAGCCAGTGTATCTGTAGCTAGAAAACTCCTCCATGCATATGTAGATCCATGCAGCCTTGTGCACCTGTATTCGAACTCCGGGCAAAGAATCCATCGGAAAGTTCTTCTCCTTCTCCTCGGACAAGATCCATAGAGCCAAAAGACATCTAATGGTTCTGAGCCTTGGGAAAATACAGTGTAAATAACCATACAGTGCAGGGTTGAGAACCCTTTGTTGGGAAATTCTACCCAGAGAGAACCACTTGGGCATCACTGAGCTGCCAGCTACTGTATGTGCTATTGCCTGGAACCCGTGCCACACTATGTAGGCCATACTCAAGACATCAGGTAAGACCGTCGCAATTGTGGTAGTTGCAATTGTAAATTAGTGACCAAGATTGCATGACAATACCTCCACTCTGCCTCTATGGTTGATAGCTTGGCTCAAGTGCATTTTAAACATCGTATGTCTCCTCCATATAGCCATACGAGGATGTCTTTGGGGCGCAAGGACTCGGCGTAAACCAATCGTAAGGTGCTGAAAATTAAGGATAGACCACCCTCAAGTCGTGCTCGCATGTTGTAGAAGTTGAGACGCATCAAAACGATCAAGTGTTTCCACTGTAAGGTTGGACTCTTGAAGCTGACCCCCAAGAACGCTCCTCTCTGAGTTGTTGTCTCAAATTTCGGGATTGACGCCCACGACAGAGCAGACTGTGAAGGTAACAGGCCGCTCTTCGCGCTGTATTCTACCATTGCGTTTGCAGTATTGCCGGCGAGGAGCATCGTAGCACTGAGGCTGAGCAGCTAGACATGAAGTGGTCGAGCTGGAGCAACATGAAACAAATGTAGTGCGTTTACTGTATCAGGTAGCGCAATCCGAGTCCAGTAAGCGCCTGTGAGGAGACAAGCCACAACCGCCCTAAGGAGAAAAACAAAAACATTGCATGGCGCATGCCACATGGCGGCTACAGCTGTGATAAGATAAGTTGGCAGGCAGCAAAGTATTGCCATCACTATCACATCACCAGTAGAATCGTTCGTAAGGACGATGGTGGTGTGGTGAGAAAAGAAAGAAAGCGAACTATAGGCCAGATCGGCATCGCGCCTCCCCCACCATTCCACTTCGTCGGACTCATCCACTGCATAAATGGATTGGAGTCAAGGTATCGGACTCCGGATGTAGCATGTTGTTGACCGTTTGAGGCTGAGATGTAACGCGGATTGGTCGACCCTGCCAGCCAGCGAGATGGAAAAAGAAAACTTGAAATAAGCAACCTCCACTCTCGCCAGATACTACTGCTCCATAGCAGTCATTACCCTGCATGCCCCGACTCAGAACCCTACAACGGTACATGCATTCGAAAGTCCAGCCGTTCCAGCTTCCCCCAAAAGAGCATCACCTCACCGAGAAAGCGCACGGATACGTAAGCGTAATGCACCTCTGCCTCCTCCACCAACTTACCAAGGGGTCCCACGGTGCTGACTCGATGCAGGTCATCCCAATCCTGCATGAACCCAACCCTCCTTTCAACTAATTCTTCCTTTGCGGCGCACACTGCACGCCCAATCGGAAGCGGCCTTTACGCGCTGGAACGTCTGTGGAAGATGCAGGTTGGGGGTTTTCGTTCCTTGACTTGAAAAGTTCTTGGAAGCTCCGGTGGGGGGACCAATGGATGATACTGTACCTGGTCGGATTGGACCGGCAGAGATGTGAGACGAAGCGAAGGATCCGGCAGCCCGTGGGTGAACATTTGGGCCTAGGTGACATGAGGGAAGGATCTGCATTTCTGGTGCGGCCGGTTGGCGAATGGGATGGAGGGGGAAGCCGAGTGCGGGTAAAAGAAGCAGATTATGCAGAAATGTTGTAGTCAGATATTAGAGCGGTAATGTACATTCCCTGGGGGGCATGGGCTCGTGGCAGGGTAGGGCTGGACCGTTCTATGTTTTAGGGGGAAAGGATGACAAGGGCGGCTGATGGTGTGATGTTTGAGGCACAATTTAGTGGTCAGCTGGTAGAATTTTGAGGATGACTGGGTTTCAGGGGATGGATATGTGTGGGACAGGCGGATGATGGTGGTGCTGGTATTTGACGAGTATGTATTGTATTGTAATCATTATTGGGGAGAAGCTGGCAGAGAAGGTAAATATGTTTTGGATATGTGTAGATACAGACTTTGCAGTCCAAAGCAAATTGTCCAGAATGTATGACTCAAGCTCCATCTACCTATGCTGACGAGCGCCAGTGACTCATAAGAATCAACGCGCCCAATGATGCTGAAGAGGAAACAGGATGAGGACCAATATTTGTACATTAAAAATTGAAGGACTGCACCATTGCAATGCTTCGCTGGTAAACGTTCCTTCCCAACGAAATGCAAGGGTATCTTCGCGTGAAGTGCTGCAAGGCGCCATAGCAATGTAGTAGATATCCTCCCAAAGAAAAGGATAACGCAACGATGAGTCAACAGGAAAGACTCTGGTGTGCTCTAGGCGGCCGACGGACGGCGTAAGATCTCCTCGCAGTTTGCGTCAAAACGCATATTCCAGAGCCTGATACCTTGCATCAGGCTCTCCGTTTCCTCCAGTTCCCTGTCTCTTCCGAAGATGGAATCGACAAACTCGCAGCCGCTGTTTTTCCCCATTTTCACAGATCCTTTCGCTCCTTCCTTTCTCGCCACCTTCCACATGTAGTCTTCGCAGATCTTCAGAAGTTTCTTGAAGCGCGCCCATAGTCGGTCGCCACCCGCCAGGAAGTCCTTGATCGTTTCCCGGTTATCAGAATACCTGACTCGTGGCAAACATTCATCAGCTCTCTTCATCTTGCAGGCTAGCTTGATGAGCAGCAACCAGAGATCGCCCGCTACCTCAGACATCGGTGTTTGTGGTCCATGGTGGAAAACGGTCCAGTCATAGATCCATTTACCGAGCGAATTAGCATCAAAGACGCTCCCAAGTAGCAGCACCGGTGACTCAGTGGGATCCCAGTTTTTCAACGAATACCCAGCAGGTATTCGGTGTTTGGCTGCATCAGCTGCTGTTGCCTCGCGTGGTGGCGGCGCCGCTTTTGCTGGTTTTGCCGTCGACGGTCTAGACTCCGATGGCCGGCGCGCTCGTGTCTTTTGTGAGTCAGAGGCTTTCTCTTGAGCAGGCACCTGGTTGAAGAAGAAGTGATTGTTAGCTTTGGGCTTTGGCTTGTAGTACTTTTCTTCTTTGTAGCGGCTGGCTTGTGGCCTGATGTACGTGAATGTAGGCTCATCTGCTTCGTCAGACGTATCATTGATGATAGGCTGTTTCTGCGATCGCGTGGAGGCGTGGCGCCTTGGGCCGTCGGTGTTGCCACCACCATGGATGCCAGTGTTTGAAAAGCGGCGAGCTTTTGGTTTGCTTCGTTCGAAATTGTCTCTACTCACATGGTCCTGGTATACCGGTGGCGACTGGTAGTCTGGCCTGGTAGCGTAATAACTTGGGGATGGGTATCCTGCTGGAGAGTGCCATCCTCCTGGGCCTTGTGGGTAGGTGTAGCTTTGTTTGCGCGAATGTCGCTTTGTAGACTTTGGTGATGTGGTTGGTGATTGATACTGCGGTGGTACCCAGTAAGAGTAGTGCGGAATCGGTTGAGGCGATCCCGAGGGCGAGGTTGTTGCTGAGGTATTGTAGTTATAGCGGACATATCCCTGCGGAGGGACAGAATAGTGGTACATGGTGCGCAGTCGCGTGCATCGAAAGGCTCAGGATGTTATGTACAGGCTTGTGGAGGATGTCGTCCCCGGTCCGGTCGAAGGCTGTCAATTGAGGCAGTCGATCTCGGTCGTATAGCGTGGCAATGTCGAAGGAGGAGAGAGGGAGGAGGAATTTGACTGCTGCTCTCTCTAGACATATGGTCGGTCGGAGGATTTCTGTAGGATCTAAGTGATCTTGAGGTATGGATCTATGCTGGACAAGATCCAAATGAGGTAGAAATGATTGACTGTACTGTGCGACAACGATTGTATGGTGAATACTGATATTCAAGTGATGTAGGAGAGAGGAGCGGGAAAAGGGAGTGCAAGAAGGGTAGTACTAATAAGAAAGAAGTGGCAGGCGAATCCCTGTGGTATTTTAATTTGTAATGAAAGCTAGTTTTACTAGCGTATTCTGCTCAGGCACAACAAGGTTGCGGAGCTAAGATCCCAGACCGCTGATTGGAGGTTGTCGAATGTTCTCTTCCGTACAGAGTCTGTCTTCACTGGCCCTCGGCACTCCTGACCTGAAGCTGCGATGAGTCTTTGCCTGAAGCTGAATTGCCCGTTACGAAGTGATAGGCAAAGGTTCCAAACTTTGGGGATTTTCGGTTGGAATTAATTGGTGGAGATTACACGTTGAGGCTCTCCATCGGCAAGGCAAAACCGTGCGATGTTTATTTATGTATGGATGCCTTGGCAGTACATAAAACCTGCAAACAATTGCCCTTTCTCTTTCCTTTCACTGCAGACCAATCCTGCTGTACACAAATAGATATGTAAGACCGTTGCGATGACTCAAGACGTTTGAAATCAGAACCACAGGACGTCTTGTCTGGTCCATTATATACTTGTCTGGCTTTCCTTTTGCTAGAATCATCCAGCCGCTTCCACCAGTCTGATTGCGCAGAACCTACGTTTGTCATCATCATCATACTCTCACCTGCCCAGCATTTCTCTCTTTTCGTTTTGCAGATCTTCTCACCTCTCATAACGTCCTCGATAATATATATGCTTGTCAAAAACATCTTCGACTGCATACATATTAATGCAAGTTGCCATCGTTTAGGCAGGAAGCCGTCGTATCGGAGATGCTCGCTCACTTTCTTCCTATCACAGAGAGGCCGCTCAGACAATCGTCAATGCAAATTCATCATATGATAGATGGGTGGCTTCCATTACGGAGTCTTCCCCTCCTTTCTCCCAGCCACCGGGCACTTGGTCTGGCATTTCCTGCTCGGATCGTCTCGGTCTCGAGCCCATCGCTGGCGGTATCGTTACCGTTGATGCAGGACTAGACATATTCTCCTTGAAGATCCCCCAACTTCACCTTTGCGCAGGTCCACTGCACTCCCGAAACCTAATCTATTGGCCAAACTTGCAAGAGGAGCAATCGAAGCCAACTGCAACATCGTTGTTGCTCTACGCCATGACTTTGTTGTGTGGGTGTGAGCGCCGGTGCTGCGCTGATCTTCGGAGAATTAACGCGAATTTGGGGGGGGAAAGTCCAATGCCAACTTTTAGCCATTTAGTAATCCGGTGGCGCTGCCCTGCCTGAGCCAGTGAGCGTTATTACTGTTTCTATTCTCTTCACCGCTTATCGAGCCATCTCTTTGATATCAAGAGTAACACTGCTTTTACCTGATGAGAGCCGACTCATCACATTTTATATTCCACATTTCGACACTGAGACAAAACGACCCCGCTTGGATGATGATGATGCTCAGACTTATAGAGTACAGCCGAGGGATCTGCAAGGGTGCTTGCATTAGCCCGAAACACTGGGGGGCATCTCTCGACATTTTTCATTGGTGGGGTATGGGGGTCTCCAACTCGGCCGCCACCCAAGTAGGAAAGCTAGCGATAAGAGACCTGCATAATCCACTTGCGCCCGGACTACTTATTACCATAGTATGCGCCGTCCCTCTCCCGTCCAGGAGCCTTATTACTGCACTTGTTGGAAGAAAACCGTTTAATTTGTTCGCGGCGGTGAGGCCAGACATGATTCTGGGCCTTCGACGACCAGTAGGATAACAGCGAGGGGGAGAAGTCATCAAGTGACAACTAAAATGGCGCTGTATCGCACGTCTTGTTGGGTATCAATGCCTCGGAATGCTTTTTCTCGACGACGAGAATCATACCAAATGATGGCCCAACGAAGATTGGATTACAAGTACGGTACTGTAAAGGTCCGGGAGCCCGGTTCGGTGCAGGAGCATCCCATCTCTGGGCGATTTCCAACTATTGCACAGATTCACCAAAAAATGGGTTGGAAGGATGGATCTGTGCGTACTAGAGCATGTCATCCTCGCTTAGATTAGGGTTGGGGGGCTGCCAAGCTGAACACATGTTTTTCCACTTCGATTTTGGGCATCAAGCTGCACCGTTGGAAAAACCTGTTTATCGTGCTTAGAATCGCTTCAGGGAAAGCGCTCAAGGAAATACTTCGTCAGCGGTGCTGCTCTTGTCAATGCTTCAGGGAGTTCGATCGCTTTGACAGTACCCTTTTCGGCACCTTGCTTGAGGATGATTGTTCGGGTCCGCTCCCAGACTCTTGGTCGATGCATGGCTTGGTCGTCTTTTATTACGGTACGCAGGAGCCGGGCTTTCCAGGGGGGAACATGCAGCGTAAGAGCAAACCTGAACGATAAAGACACTGCGAGTCAAAAGTATTGTGTCTCGATTTAGGGTCAGTATCTGTCATGCTTGAAAGCAGATTGAGCTTTGAGTATCTATTCTATCGTCCTTGAGCCAATTCCGTTAACGCCACGGCTTGCGAGAGTCCTCCTGCCCATTCACTGACTCCAGGCCATGATATTCCAACAACCTTACTTCCAGTAGATCCTGTAGCGGCCAGCCTGTCTGGCTGCGCTGCCCATCGATCACTTCAAGGATCCTTCTGAGCCACTTGCAGATCCTTCATCTTACCGGCAGCTCTGCCGAAGTTGATTGTTTTGCACCTCTCGCTGAAATCGAGTCCTTCGGCAGCTCTTTCGTGTATGGCAGGAATTCGGGCTGGCCGGGAATGTATTTGCGCAGAACCTCAGGTACGTTGATACCATGTTCGGTTTGATAATTTTCTAGCACGCAGCAAAGAGTACGCTCAGTAGCACAGAGCGTAGCATTCTACTCCCGACGTTAGCAACCTCCGGGAATAATGATGATGTACTGAACTTACAAGAGCGTGTGCGTATGTCTTTTTGCTGCTTGTTTGTGACTTGGCGCCATATCGTATCTCAAGCTCCCTCGTCTGGTAATCTGTGCAATTCGAACAAGAAACGAGCTCCTTGTACTCACTCTGAAATGGGAACCAGGATTCCAGGTCAAATTTCTTTGCGGCAGCATTGTTCAAAGCGCCGGAGACTATTGCAACGACCCTGTACGAAAGGCCCAACGATTGGTAGAAGCCTTCGGAATTTGCCAGCATTTCTTCTAGGTGCTCCCATGAGTTTTCGGGTTTGCAGAAAATGAATTGTTCGATCTTTTCGAACTGATGCACTCTGAAAAGACCCCATGCATCGCGACCGTGCGAACCAGCTTCTTTGCGGAAGCATGTGCTGTAGCCTGCGTACTTGATGGGTAGATCCTTCTCTGTCAGCCATTCGCTCTCGTGAAGGGCGGAGAGTGGCTGCTCCGAGGTTGCAATCAGGTACTTGTCGGTCTTTTCCGTGCCGTCGTCGGTTACTTTGTAAAGCTCTTCGTCAAACTGTGACAGCTGCGCCGTCTTGGCCATGGCTTCTCGGTTCATAAAAAAGGGAGGCTGGTTGGGCGTAAAACCTTTGCTGAATAGGTACTCCAAGCCATAGTTGACCAGTGCCAGGTTCAGGAAGAGGCCGTAGCCTGTCAGACAGTAGCCTCGATGTCCCACTATCTTAACGCCTCTTTCTGGATCGTAGCCGTCCAAGCGGTACAGAACCTCGTGATGTGACAAGCAATCCTTTTTTTGTTTCTGAAAGCCCTCAGGCGCCCATTCCTTTTCCACCTTATTATTCGCCTGCGCAGGTTAATTTTGCTCCTGGGAGTGCTCTGGAAAAACGAACCTCGTCATTGCTAATCGGCACCGACTCGTGCACATAGTTTCCCACCGTCTTGGCCTTCAGATGAAGCGCCTGCAGCTTCTCTGCGGCCAATGCTTCCTGGGCAGCTTTCTCTTTCTGCAAAGCTTCTTTCTGCTTCAAAAGGTCCTCCGCATCCTCTTTCGCCTTCTTTTTCTTGCCAATCTCCTTTTGCGTATCGTTGACTTTGCTGCCGATCTTTGTAACACCGTAATTGGTCTTCCTGTGATCCTCAAACATCTGAATAATCTCGTCCACGATCTCTACTGGCTCGCCTCGTCTTCGCTGCGACTCCCGAATCCGCTCGGGATCACCACCACGCTCGGCGATGAAGTCTGTGATGTCTAACATGGTTGACAGGTCAAGTTGGCGTCGAAAGAAGAACAAGGAATACAATGCAAAGCTCCAGTAGATCCCAGAAACTCTCAATTGTGTGAACAGTCATCTTCCCCAGAACCGCCAAAGATGATCCCGCACCGAACTAGCGGCGGTTCGCCCCGTGGGAAAGTTACTCGTACCCGAAGGCTGAAGGAGGGCAACTCGGCGAACTCGGCGATCAAAAGACATCCATCACCACCCACAAGCCTACAGGACCTCAAGGTTCCTTATTTTCTTCTCTCATCGCCTTTCTCACTCTCCTATGGACTTTGAAATATTGAGAACGGGCAAATCCTCTAAGACTTTACCATGTCAGTCAACAACACATGCTCAAGCAGGCCGTCTGACCCTAGGACATTGGAACCCCACATGTCGAAATCTCCCCAACAGCCAGCGGTCAACAAATCTCGAGAGCTGGCTCCGGCTTTGAGATCAGGAATCAACGGATCTCATCTCATCCTCGGGTGACCGTATCAAGTGAGAAGACAGACCGACCTTTGTGATGCCCGGCGGCCTGATCATCTTCCCTACGCACCTTGACGAAGCCCGGATCGAGAACAGACATGCTGTTTCGCATGAGAGGTCTAGCTGGCCGATCTGTCGTCTATCAGATTCGGCAGTAATATACAGCAAGCTGTGCAGGCTTCTACACTGCGGGTACTAGCCTGGCGGATCGCAAGCAAGGCGCGGATGGGTTTCTCCAGCCCAACCGTCCGGCTACGAAAAGTACATGTACGGGTAAGGTACTGACTTGGCGACAGGCAAGCGAGGTATCATTTGTGGTAAAGGGTGGGGGCCTTCGCGGACTGCAATGCTCTCATCTGCTTTCTTCGGGCTATCTGCCGTATTACCAGGTTCAGGTCTTTTGATTGGCACGCGGAATGTTACTCCGTTCGTTTTCGTCTCTTTGATAAGAGGTAGACCTGGTAAATCTACAGCCACGAATTTTACGACTATGCCGGCCGTCGTCTGTGGATGTGGATATGGCTGGCTATCCGATTGTCACGGAGTTGGCGGACTCTAATCAATTTGGTGGTGGTGGTGGTGCAACGTAGACTGGGGTCTACATCTTACATGCATGTCTGATAGATGGAGAATCAAGGGAGGAGGCACGATTATATATATCACAACGCCTCCGCTCCCACCCTGAAAGCATATGTTCTGCGGAAATGTTAGGGCCTAAAACGTTGCTTCAATATATTACGTGGGAGCTCAGAGACCGAGTAGATTACCAGAGGGGCTAGCAGACATCGTAGGATTTAGCCCCTTGCGTTTATAACTTTGCCCGCTCAAGGATCATAGATTTTGACGGAGAAAAAAAGCCTCAAGCTCAGCAATTGCAACCGTGACTGCTGGCACCGTCCTCACTCGCTATCGGCATTGATCTCGACAGCGACAGGCCTCGCCAAGAAATGGTTCCTTCGTTCGCTCTTCCAATAGTTGTATGGGGTATCTTTGCAAATGCCATGGCCAATCGCATGGTCTTCGCCGAGAGACCCAGAACCGTCACCCGGTAATGATCGATTTCTGTCCCATTCATTCAATGAGTCATCGAGCAGGTTCATTCGATCGATGCACAAGCAAGCTGTTCAAGGAACCACAAGCTCCGCCGTCCTGCTCAGTCCTGTCCTGTAGATAATGCACGGGACCGCGCCTGATTTCTCGCCTTTGCTGGCCGCGAATAACAATGAATCCCCATCCCGACATACCCATGATCCTGACCTACTCCCTTACGCCTCCATCCTCGATCATGATATCCAATCATCTATTCTTCGTCTGTGTGTACCGGAATGGCTGCCTCGTCCTATACACAACGCAAACCGTTAACCCTCTCTTCAACAACTTGCTCTCCTCTCCTTCCCTCTCCTCTCTACCCGCCTCGCTCCCAGCCACCCTCCCTTCCTTATCCAACCCCCTACCCTCCAAAACCCGACCCAAAATAGCACACTCACGGCGAAAACTCCCCAAGCTTATGCCCCACCATCTCCTCCGTGATGGTCACGTCATGGTAGATCTTCCCGTTGTGCACCTGGAACTTGAGCCCGACGAAGTTGGGCAGTATGGTCGCGGCGCGCGCTTGCGTTTTGATCGGGGGGGTACGCTCGCCGGGTTTGGGGCTGATGATGGGGAGGCTGAGGGTGGGGAGGGTGGAAGGGTTAGTGGTTGGATGATGGAGGGGTGGCTTTGTCGATGGGAGCCAGGTGGGGGTGGGGAAGGAGGAATGGGAATCGCTGGGGAGGGATTGGCTGTCTGTCTTTGGAGACTTGACTTACGGGACGATGTTGGGACCTGCAGAAGGAACTTAGCTAGAAGCTTTTGCGTTTACAGAGAAGGGATTGATTGTCCACCTTTCCATACGGACCGCGCCAATAGCGCTTTTGTAGGCTTCATCGCAGTGTGTGCTCTGCAAAGCTCTCTCTGAACCGGTCTCTAGCTCCTCGAAAAGTAAGTAAAGTAAGGTAAGGTACGGTATGTACTTTAGGGGAGGAGTGCCAAGCAATCTTTTACCGCCACGCTCATCTACGCTAAATCCCATCGGGCAATTTAGGCGAAACCTCATCCACCACGATTCTTTCCCACAGCGAACACCGGCACCATCACCTCGAACAACCAACCCTCGCCATCTACCTACAAACGAACAAGTCGCAACCATGACGAAACGCACGAAGAGTAAAGCCATCACTTCCCCTCCCTCCCCACTGGCAAAACGCTAATACCATCGCACAGAGGTCGGCGTCACGGGAAAATACGGCACGAGGTCTCTATCTCCATCCTCCCTCCCCCTCCCCAACCAAACCCGTCTCACCGAAACCCCATCTAACAAGACCGGGACCGCAGGTACGGCGCCTCGCTCCGCAAACAGGTCAAGAAGATGGAAATCACCCAGCACGCCCGCTACACGTGCACCTTTTGCGGCAAGACGACGGTCAAGCGACACAGCGTCGGCATCTGGAGCTGTCGGAGCTGCAAGAAGACCGTCGCGGGCGGCGCGTGGACGGTGTCGTGAGTGGTTCCCTTCAATTCCCCGCTCTCTGATCTGGTTGGCCCGGAGAGGTTGTCGGTTCGGGTTTGTACATAGGCATTGGAAGCTGACGGGGGGGTTTGTGGTACAGGACGCCCGCGGCGGCGGCTACGAGGAGTACGATCAGGCGGCTGAGGGAGATCGCGGAGGTCTGAGGGGGAGGTGTGGGTGCGGCGGGGAGAGTGTGATGGTTGTTGTTAGGGGCGGTGATTGAGCTGGGCATTTTCATGCGCTCGGATCGGAATCAAATCGAATCAAATCAAATCAAATCAAATCAAATCAAACCAAGACGTCAATGCTTGAGTCTTTCCTACTGCAGATCCTTATGAATGGATCACGGTGTCTAGTATGACATTACCAGTCCTCTTTGCCCTCCGCTGCGCCCTCGTTCTGCGCGCCATCCTATCTTACACGGGAATATGTCTGCGTCTCCCTCCTCGACACATGCATTCCTTGCATTCCAAACCCCATCCCGCACCTGAATCCCCCCACGCCCTTTTAAAATCCCCATATCTATCTATCTATCTACATCGTGCAAGAAAGTCGTGAAACGCTTCTGGACCCAGGAGTGAAAGGGGCCCGGCGAGAGAACTGATTCCGATCCTGGCGTCTCCTTCGTGGCAATGAACGGCCTGAGCCTACTGTATATTTTGATCGGCGGCTACAAGTCTGGCCCCGCTCGGCCGTGGCGGTTTCTTTTTGGCTGGATGTGCAAAGGGGGTTGCTTCGCTTGCTTCTCTTTCCGACTGGTGGTGGTGGTGACCATTCTGCTTCACCGGGTAGGTAAATTCCTTCATTGGGAGGGAGGGGATTAAGGTCTGTTTCGCTCAGGTTGAGATTTCGACTTCGGTGACCTTGGGAGCTAGAGCTCCGGAAGGGTAGCAGTTGTTACAATGGGGGCAGCAAGGATGATTTTTCTTGACCGAATGGGTTGGCTTCGGTTCTAATATCTACATTGAAGATAAGACACTGACAATCCTACATATATCGCCAGACAATTCTTGCATCAGAGGTGACATATTTGCAGCTTGTTCTCAGAGGTTGCTCTCAGGATTCAAATAGCCCGCTGCCATGCTTTACTTGCTGGTATCCACCACGTAGCGACCAGCAATCTTGCCCTCATGCATCATGTCGTAAACCTTCTGAAGCTCGCTCATGCCAATAACCTTAAATGGTGCATTGATGAGGCCACGGCGGAAGAAGTCAATGGCCTCGCTGGTGTCCTTGCGGTTTCCAACGTAAGATCCCTTGATCGTCTTCACACCAATGACAGTCTCAAAGACAGGTGCACGGAGGTATGCACCAGCTGGTAGACCGATAGCAATGACTGTCCCGCGAGGTCGGAGGTATTCCGTGGCTTGCTGGAATGGCTTCTCGTTGACAGCCACCAAGATGACTGCGTGGGGCCCAAGCCCGTCCTCGGTAGCAGCTTGCACATCTTTGACGACGTTTGAAGATTTGGCAAAGTCAACGAAGGAGTGGGCGCCGAGCTTCTTGACCATCGCCTCCTTCTCGTCACCAGTGTCGATACCGATCACCTGGAGACCCATAGCCTTGGCATACTGGCAGGCGAGAGAGCCAAGACCTCCTCCGGCACCAACAATGGCGACCGTCTGCCCGGGCCGAGCGTTTGACTCCTTCAATCCCTTGTAGACAGTGATACCCGCACAAAGAATAGGAGCGATGGCATCCAGGGGAACATCTTTTGGTATACGTGCCACGTGTGCAGCTTTGGCAATGGCGTACTGTTGGAAGGTTCCGTCGACTGTGTATCCGGAGAGAAGAGCTTTCGCGCAAAGAGGTTCGTCTCCGGTCTGGCAGAAGTCACAGGCCAAGCAGGAGCCGTTCAGCCACTATGGTTGCATGTTAGTGTCGAGGTTGGATACTATGTAGGGTGTGAATCTTACCTTGACACCAGCGTGGTCACCGACTTCAACGTCCTGAACCAATTCACCCTTTGCTACAATGACACCAGCACCTTCGTGACCTCCAACGAGAGGGAGCTTTGTTGGTAATGGCCAGTCGCCGTTGACGGCATGCAGATCGGTATGGCAAACACCAGAGTATTTGATGTTGACTAGGACTTCATCGGGGCCGGGCTTCTGAACTGGAATTTTGTCAGCGTTCTGGTCAGCTTAATATGGTATCATGACTCGCCTGGAATCTGCTTGTAGTCGACAGGGCCTCCGGTCTTCTCAATGACCTGAGCCCATTGCTTCTCTGGGATGTCGTGAGACATTGTAGACGTATATAGTCTTTTGGATGAGATGATCTTTGTGGGTGGTATTCGCTGATTGAGGTATTTGACCTTGCAGATTAAACGTTTCAGTGATGAGGAGGTCCGCAGGAAATGATGCATAGTTGTTTCTCTTATACGCTCTTTATTCAACGTCACATCTGTCAGTCAACCCCACATTAGCCAGAGGAGGGGCTCGGGGCTCGAGGGGCAAAAACCTTCAGGGCTAGACTTGACCTACGAATCCCGCAGGTCATCGTCGATTGGTGGGGCCATGATTAGGTGCGTCCGTTGCACCGAAACTGAATTGGGGCAAGAACAGGGCAAAAAACGAGCCACTCCCACCCAGACTCGGCAGGAAGAGAGAAGTGTCTTGTTCAGATGTGTTATTTTCCAAAGGGTTCATCTGAATGGATCTCCTGGGCATGTGGTTTCATCGTACTCTACTCTCAGGTTGTAAGGTACTTTTGGAATCCGGAGAAAGTGGAGGGGACTCTGCATCGTTCTAGAGTACCCCGCCAAACGGGATGTTGGTGTGGACACGAATGGGGCATGCTGTTCCTGTTCGACCGAAAGGCTCGCAGATCTACCTTAGGCTTGTCAAAGAAGACTTTGTGGGGCAGGCCACCTTGCCCTTCTAATGCAACTTGCAAGCTGCTGGAAGGGAGCTTTAAATTGCGGGGATAGCCGTGTCCACCTTCTCGTCAGTTTTAGACTTTCAGTCCACAGATAAAGTACATGTATGCAACGTCTCGGTCTCCCGGAAGGAATTGAACAGATTTATGCAGCCTGCAAGCAAACAGATCCTTCTAGGTAACTGCGTAAGCTTCTCTCTAGCTTTGCCATTTGGTGCGCGGACTGGAAGCACTCGATCGATCGAAGATCTCAGGGTCAAGGAGATGGTGTCCTTCTCGTCCTCTAGAGGCTTCCTAGCCTCAGCCATCCAGAGGGGGAGGCCCGCATCGTCGGCGAGGGAACAGAATTGGTGCATATTTTCAGGGTCTCTTATACAGTTGCGGTAGTCTTGCGCCTCCTTCTGCCGGAAGCGGGCAAAGGAACATAGGTACCTGCTGCACTGGCTGTCGGCCTTTGAAGGGGTAGGAGGTTGAGACTTTGGAGCCTATACTTGCCCGTCAGTCTGAATTTGTGTTGGGGTCATTCGCTCAATCTTTTGCCGGGCCCCAGGAAGAAGCATCCAACACGTGTGGAATGCGTCCCGCTCTTCTGCTGGATGATGTATATTAGGCAGACTCTAGAGTTGTCTCTCCTCATTTCAATAGCAATTGATTACCGCATCCGTGACTTCCGTTAGGGAGTGGAAAATGTAAGCATGATGGAGCACAAGGTCGGAATTGCTCCGTGAAGGTGAGGAGGTCGTCTGTTGGCCCTGGATCGTGGTTCCCACAGCAATGACACTCAAAGTCTACCTTCAGCCTGTCAAACGTTTACTCTCAATGGGTGGACTCCTCAGAGGCACGACAATCAATGCAGCATGTCGACTAAGTATGCGAGAACCATGTGTAATTGTTGCCTATGAAGACTGCTCTAGTGCATCATATGAAAAAACGCCACGACGAATCACGGTGGCAGGTGCCCGAATAAGCTACAGATCTCGCTCAAAGCACAGGTGCCTTTCCTCCACCTTCGCCTGCCATAAGACCGGCGTAGTGTTCGAGCGGGATTGTTGAGATGTTATTAAAGCTGGAAAATAGAACACAACTAGCTGAGTATGGGTCATGACTGATACTGCCACTTCCGACTAGTTGATGTTTTCTTCGGGTCCCATGCCATGTGCGGAAAGAATCGGTAAGTAAGATATGCTATGGGATGGAACTGGAAATGAGTCGACGAACAAATGATTGATACAGTGTGAAAGAGCCTGTCCGACATCGAATGTGGTGTGAAGTGAGGAGTCGACAAATATGAGGACCCATGGTGACCTGATGATTCGATGACGCGAGGTTGCTCCGAAGCATGGAAAAGAAGTTTCGTGAAATGAGATCGTGACTGAGCTGAGGTGTGATCGAGCATGCTGTAAGTGCTAATGAGCCTTGCGAATGGATTTGTCTGAGAAGATTCACAAGCGTACGAGCGCATCAGGCTTGTAAGCGTTCGAGCGGGAGCCGTAGCCGGGACCCATCTGCGGATCGACGGCGATAGACTTGTACTGGAAGTTGATGTTAGGGCGGAACCCCCAAGGGTTTTTCATGAGTTCCGAGTACTTGAGCAAGACACGAGTTTCAGCGATAAGTTGACGGTCAAGGTTTTCCTGCTTCGCACCAACGGACTCCCAGGTGACGCCGTTGCTACCGAACTGAGGAGCAGGGATCGGCAGCCCACGGAGACGATTGAGAATGGCAAAGGGACCATATTGGTTCATGAGAGTCTGTTTGACGTAGTAGGGCGTCGCTGGATACGTGTATTCCGGGAAGTTGACGGTACCGTTGGCGTTGGTGGTCGCTGTCAGGACGCGAGGAGACATACGAGGCAGGCAGAAGTAACGCTGGAACAAGCCCCAGGCCTTCAGGACAATGAAGAGGACGCTTCGGAGGCGAGGAGAGAACTCGTCCTCGTACCTATAGAAGGATCAGACCGCACTCAACTGAACCAAACCGAAGAGACGACTCACCCGTTGCAACGACGTACATCCTCGTCGAAGACAGCGACAATGCATTTCCGACCAGCAGGCTTGAGGAAACCGGGAATCGAGAACAAGATAGCGTCCAGCATAGCATCGGAGAAGGTGCAATTCCAGTGGCTGAATTTCTGCTCCTTGGCAGCAAAAATCTGTGAGTACATGTCAGCCAAATCTTTGGTGACGGAGTGTAAGGGGGTAAAACTACCTGACGGAAGTTTTCTAGCTCAGTCAATGTATTGGGGACCCATTTGCAGCCCATCATAACCGACATCTCGCGCCAATAGATGAACATGGCGTGGACCTCGAAGTCCTGAAGCTTACGCCAGCCGATAAGATTGATCCATTGAACGGGGCCAAGCATCCACATCCTGCAACAAGGCATTAGGTCAGCAGCCACACATCGGGTCGAGTTAGGCGGTATGTGGTATGTTGACATACCAGGACAGCCATAGCACGGTATCGCTATTGATCACGCTACCATACATGCTATGATGCTCATTGATACGCGCAATGGATAGAGCATGCTCTTTGGAATGTAAGGGCTGAACCTGCATCTGTGTCATGAGACAGACGGTTTCTTGCTGTCTACCGTGGCTGATCATCTGGTCCGTGCTCGTGAAGTGGCCAGAATTGACGATGACCTTGGATAGGCAGGGCGCAGTTGCAGTCTGTGAAGTCGGGTGTCAGCAAAGCTTTGATTGGTCGGAAGACGATGAGATGTGTAAGTGCATGGATGAGATGCCCGGGAATGTGCATGAGCTTGCTAAGGATTTCGGGGAGAGCGAGATCCAAGGAGAAGCTCGGAGAGGCCAGAGAAAAGTGAAAGAGGAAATTCCTCGGCTTAACATTCTGGACTGGAGATGCGATTGGAGAAATGTAAGTGTCATGAATCGAGATGATGAAGTACAACAGGGTGATAGCCAGACATAAGGGAGAAGGAAAAGATCACGTGAAGGTGGGTGACTGGGAGAAAGGAGGAAGATTGCAGATGCATCGATCTCGGGGAATATTCCAAATAAGCTTGCACGGGAGGTAGGGACAAGCGAAAGTTTATGCATGCGATTGAAGGGAATGCACCCGTGAACTCTGCAGTAAGCACGTACCTTGAAGAATTCCGAGATCCAACCAAATTCGAAGACGAAGGGAAAGTCCCATTCCGCGAGGTTTTTGAGGACAGCCTGAGACTCGTCTGGCGTCATGTCCTTGTAGGTATCGAGGTCATTCGTGAAGCCATAGCGCTTCTTGATCATGTTGACGCGCTGGTAGCGAAAGTGACAGACGATGAGCATGTAAGATGGGAGCATGAAGCTAAAGAAGGTGACCCAGAACTGGGAATTGGTCATGCATGCCTGGACAACGGGCAAGATGGTTTGCGAGATCAAGAGGATCGGAAGGAAAGCCATCAAGGCCACCTCCTTGATGAAAGCCATGAGTCCCTTCATGCTGGCACGCGCTTGGGTGACTTGAAAGGAATATGTTCAAGGTAAAAGACAGTGTTTTAGAGCGAAGGAGCGGAAGCTAGATGATGTTCTTGTGGCGGGAGACGGCTCGGTCAACAGCAACGAGATGGATGATGGTGGTGGGTGATGAGGATGATGAGGTGGAGGATGGAAGGAAGAGGAAGTGAGTCACAGTGATCTTGAAGAAATTTTCATGCCTAGTATCGCTGACCAAGCGATCTACATTGGTTGTCGACGGCGATGAGGTTGTTGACGATTTTCGTTTACTTCCTCAAATAACAAACGGAGAATGTGTTTCCGGTTACCTATAGTAGCTCGGCCGAGTGAAAGGCTTTCCAAAAATGCACAGCCGGCGGTGGTTAGTGTGAAGGAGCTTGTGAATTCTCGTCTGCAGGCTAATGATTCTTCATGCACCTTTGACAGCTGCCATTTGTGCAAGCCAGAGCAGAGGGACTTTGAAAAGTCCCATTGGCTGTGGTGTGATGAGCTATGTCACATGCTATATCTTCTCTGCGTTGGTCACTATTGAGGCAGGGTATGCGAGACATCGTGATCGCGGGAAGGAATGAGGTTGCAGGAGAAGCGTCGACTCGGATCAAGTAAGGTAGAGTACCAGTACCTGTTGTCCAATCCCAAGAATCCCAATGTTTCTCATGCAGACGGATCGGCTTCCCGAGCCATTGATAGGATTCCAGGAGCTTGGAGGGTACAGATTCATTCATTTCCCCAATAGCTACAGAAGAAAATTTCCGTGACTGCATTCTTGTACTTGCCATCTCTGGCAACCTTTGTCGTATATCCTTGCTGCAATACAAGCGCCGATTTAGAAGCTACATGCCCGTCTTCGGGCGTTGACTTGAGACTGTTGTATTTGTATTGACCTCTTCCCTTACTGGAATCGTTCTACCGTGTGTGAGTTCCCTTCACGGCGAGAGTTGGTGAGCCGAGAGGCTTTCTCTGAAACCTCCGGAAGAGATGGAGTCACCAATGAGTCCTCAAGGTATTATCGCGATTCCGTGATAAGCTTGAAACTCGTTTTCGGCGGTGGCTGATGTTTTCACGCAGCAATTGCTGAGAAGTTGTGCTTCTCTTTATCAGATATCAAGAGACTGGGAGAAGTGACGAATGGTTTGCTCGAGTGAGAGACGGGCGAAGATGCATCTGTAGGCTCAGACCCTGCATGAACTGGAAGTCGACCAATTCATTGGGAAACTGTAGAGCTCCAAAGGTTTTTGACGGAGCATAAGAGAAGTCTGCCCTACGGTTGCAGTGGCAATCGCACCATGCAGCAATTGAGGTATGCATCACCCTTCAATTCAAGTACGGTACGCCAGCCATCTCGGAGTTGAGTCGTTACGTTGAGATACTAGCCGCAGAAATCCTTGTGGAGAGATCGCTAATGACGGCATTCCCGCGCCTTTACTCTTTACCTTGTCCTTAGTGCACGGATTGACTTTGATAAATGTGGAGAGACTTTTACGGATGCCGAGGCAGCATGCGCTTCTGGAGAAGTGCCGACTGGGGAAGACGTGGGGTGATAAGTTGAAAATCTCCGACACCGTTGACGTCCAGGGCGAGTGCGCGCTGATGCTGATAGTATCAACGGCGCTGCTGAAACTCAGACGTATTGTATCTCTCATGGCTCTCTTGACGTTTACTGTGCTGCTTTTAAAGGCCTGATCATTCCCTTTCATGGCCAAGGCCCATGCGCATGCACACCTCACACGAGGCAAATATCCATGCCGTTGCCGAAAATTAACCCGCTGGCTAAGTGTTAGATCATGACTAGAACGATAACCAATCTCAATGGAGCTCGGCAGCACTGGGAGTGGCTCGAATCGAGAGGGGCGGCTTCGACTTGTCTCCTTTACCTCATGCCTCTCCGTTCGAGCCGTCTTATACCTTCTCCAACCTCTCTCTGCGTCCACCATTGCTATCTTGTTTCCTCCGTTCTATTCTTTCTTTCATGAGCTTTCATACGTTTATATAGAACCACCACGCTCGATTGCAAGATGACATCAAATAACATGCATAGGTTGCAGACCAATGACTGTACGTTGGAACATATGCAATGGGAGTAAGTGTATACTGACCTTGAAATAGTGGAGTTGGGTGCAACCGAAGCCGTTCAGCAGCATTTGTCTCGAAATGTCGTTGCTGGGAAGCCAGTATCGCAAAGAAAGCTCGATTTCGAGCACGCTCGGTAAATAAGTTTCAATGCCACGCTGCTCGGTCTATATTGAGATACCTTAGACCACGTTGGCTCCGAGAGTGCATGGCAGAAGCTACAGGAGTCTTCTTCTATGTGTGAGTGCTTTCTGCAAATTATGACAAGGCGAAGAGACTAATAGCGCACCAGCTTTCCTGGAATAGCAGCCATCACTTCCTTCTACATTAATGCCGCCCAACCCAATCCCACAGCCTTCGGCAGTATCTTTCAAATTGGCTGGGGCTTTGCAATCGGTATCGCTTTTGCTATCATCACCTGTGCCTCTACGTCGGGTGGTCACTTCAATCCTGCCATCACAATTTGCTTCGCCGTCTGGCAGGGCTTCCCTTGGAAAAAGGTACCTTATTATATATTCTCTCAGATCTTTGGAGCATTCATCGCAGGAATGCTGCTTATGGGCATGTACTGGTACGTACTTCGGAGTGAAGCTTTCCTATTCGAAATCAGGATTGGGACACGACAGATTGCGGAGTGAAAGGGTCTTTTCCCTCATGAGACCTTTTCTCATAAATTGGATTCTGGGCTCGAAGGCGCAATGCTGACTCCGACTTCGCGTAGGCCGGAGATCCAAGAATTCAAGGCAGCAACCTTGGCTGCCGGACGGCCGATGGTTTACAATGGAGGACCGGCAAGCATTTTGTGCACATTCCCAAATCCCAATCAGACGTAGGTGAATCTTATTTTCGTTGTTCCTAGTTCGTCCCAAACCTTATGCAGAGACGAGCTTTACTTACACACTGCCACCTCCAGAAATCTCGGCTACCTCTTCATGACCGAATTCTTCGTCGACTCCTACATCGGCATCGTGATCTGGGCCTGTCTCGACCCGGCGAATCCCTTCGTCTCTCCCGCCGGCGCTCCCTTCGCTATCGGTCTTGCATACGCTACCATGGTCTGGGGCTTCGCAGACATCTCCATCTCTACAAACCTCGCTCGTGATCTTGGAACGAGAATCGTGGCCGCTATATTCTTTGGTGGAGAGGCTTTTAGTTATATGAACTACAGCTGGATCGCCATTCTGGTCAATGTGCCTGCGACGCTGTTCGCGACGGGGTACTATGAGTTTTTGATGCGGGATAGTTTGAGTAAGATTGGGAAGGGGCATGCGGTGCATGAAGAAGGGGAGGACGGATTGCAGAGGCATATTACCAGGACTGTGAGTCGCTTTCCCCTTCTTTGGATGCGGTACGGGGGAATCAAAGCTGACTCTGCGCGTGATGTAGGGTATGATTGAGACTGGAGCCGCGAATATGTTGAGGGACAGGCAGGGGAATGGGAGCTCGGATGAGTATGGGCTCAGCAAGCAGTCTGATCATATTGAATGAATAGGAGATTTTAGTGTCCGAGAACATCATGGACATGTCTAGGTCTAGATACGGGGATTGGACATGGGTGGGGGATTGGTAAGATGTTATATATATTATTGATTGGTACACACCATCTGTTGCACCTAGATGTACGAGAAAAACAACGTTTGGTTCTTTGGATATAGGATAGAAAATGTAGGGAACGGTGACGGCTGGAAGTCATATATATTCGTGGAGACGATACTGTTAGCCATGGACAGCAGCCTGCAAGGCTGGTATGTTCCCAGAAGAGCCACTTGAAGTAAAGCAGCAGACCGGTGGCACCGCATCGCGAAGCAGCGCGTGGCAGTAGAGTCACACGATAAAGATGTAAGCTCGAGAGGCTCTATCGCTTTTAGCAGGCACCGCTGAAGTACAAGGTCTATCTAGTGCGTTATCATCGTAGCATTACCCAGCATTGGCAACCAGTGTCATTTCCCTCAAGATACCGCCTTGCAATGTGGCCAATCTGCTCGCTATGTACTAGATCTCAAGATCTAAGACACCTCTTCGATCTTGGCGCTCGTGGCAGGCTCTGCAGCCTCCTTGCCTTTGCCCTTTCCCTCCTCGCCTTCCGCTTCGTCTTCGAGCTCGGGCATCTCCTCGTCGTCATCACCACCTTCTTCAGCGTCGTCTCCGAGGTCGCCCATGTCTGGCATGTCTGGCATGCCGCCTGCGCCACCGCCGAGCTTTGAGAAATCTGGCTTGATTAGTATTTGTGTGTGATTCGGGAAGGCTCGCAGACTTACCGATGCCACCAAAGCCTCCATCACCGCCCATGCCGCCCATGCCGCCCATGCCACCCATGCCACCCATTCCGCCCATGCCCTCCATACCTGGCATGCCACCTCCCATACCGCCCATGCCTCCCATATCGTCTTCAGGCGCGGCATCTTGCTCGTCCTCATCAACCCACTACAAAGACCTCAGTCAGCTGACTTGATCCTTCTTCCCTGTACTCTCTGAGGAGTGCCTACCTTATCAAAGTTGGTCTTCAAGAAGTGCACCTTCTTGCTCTCTTTCAACAACCTTGGCCAATACTCCGCCTTATTTTCCTTCTTCCTAAGCACAAACTCCACATCTCGCGAGGTGTGATGCGTCTTGCTATTTTCAACGTCGATCTCGGCAAAGAACTCTAGCTCGACGTGGTAGGTGGTTTTTTTGGAGTCGGAGTGGCCAGTGAAGGTTAGGGATGTGGGCTTCAGGTCGACTTCGAATGATTTGTCGGGGACATCAGGGGCAGATATAGTGAGTAAAACGTAGTTGCGCTCAGGGTCAGAGGCGGAAGAGCGCTGAGCCCAAAGGACTGCGAGTAGAGGAGGTGGTTAGCCATTTGGTCAGAGAGGCTACGATTTTGTGTCAAGGTTGTTTGTGCGGTAGCTGCTCACCCTCTGGTGTGGTCTGCTTGGATTCAGACATTGTCAAGATAAAGACGGGTCAGTCTGAGGTGATGTCGGTGCTAGGAAATATTGATAGCAGTTGCTTAGAGTGAGTTGTATAGCAAAAGTTGATGTAGAAAATAAAGATCGTTTGAAAGAAAGTGAAGTCTAGCGCGGCTCACAAGGCTGAAGATCTTGATAGAAATTGGTAGAAGCAACATCTATGCGGAGTTCCAAATTCGTGCATCGTAGGCCAGATACAGAGATCGCTGAGTTTACAGAAGAGGCAATCGATGGCTTCAACGAATAACTTACGCGCCTAAGCAAAGACATTCCAGAGCTCGTGGCTTTTGGCCTAGTGGGGGGCGTCATCCTGGGAAAGAAGCTTTTGAAGCTGCATACTCTATACAAAACACAACAACATGGGCCTGAGATAAGGGGATCACAACTATCTAGTGTCCACTCGCTCTCGATATCATGGAATCAATCAAAGCTGTCTTCTTCAAGCCCGACCCAGCAGCGCAGGTCAGTCACCCCGCCAAGAGCAAAGGAAGCACAGCACTGACCTCTAGCAGATGCGGAAGTGTAACGGCCTCATACGAGCCAACACCCGTAAATTGGATCGTGACATACTTCAGCTCAAGCAGCTAGACCAGAAGACCCGCCAATACATCCTCCAAGCCTCGAAACGAGGCCAGAGAAACCCCTCCCAAGCCAAACAGGCAGCCCTGGAGACCCGCACATTTGCGAAAGAGATGATTAGGATACGGAAGCAGAGCAATCGGCTTGCTACGAGTAAGGCGCAGCTACAGAGTGTGCATATGCAAGTGAATGAGGCGTTCTCGGTCCGCAAGATTGAGGGAAGCATTAAGGCTTCTACGGGGATAATGAAAGATGTGAATTCTTTGGTGCGACTACCAGAGCTTACAGGAACGATGAGGGAGCTGTCGCAGGAGCTGATGAAGGCGGGGATCATTGAGGAGATGGTGGGGGATAGTCTCCCGGATGATGACCTGCTGGAGGGTGAAGATGAGGAAGCGGAGGCTGAGGTGGATAAGGTGCTTGGGGAGATACTACAGGGTAAAATGGGCGCGGCTAAGGTGGACCAGAAGCCTGTGGAAGAGGAGCCAGCCGAAGAAGAAGACTTGGAAGACCAGGAGGCTACGCTGGAGCAGATGCGGGGGAGGTTGGAGGCCTTGAAGAGCTGATAAAGTTCTCGGCCTGCTGAAGAGATGATGCACTTGTACGCCGTTGGGCGAAGCACTGGATATGCCAACAAGAATATGGAAAATGGGCCGTCAGGACGTTCAGGCGTTAGAGAATATGAGGCAAAATCCGAGACCTTCGGTGTTGTGCCGTTATTACATTAGCGCAGGGGGCGTCTTTCACTGTATGCAAGTGTATGCAATTAGTCATTGATGTAGCTGTGAAAATCCATCGATCACTGCACATGAAGCCATTACCATTCACTTCATTCACGGTTTCCTTGCGCTTCCCCCTGTAGAGCCGCATTGGGCCTAGGCCGTAGAGTTTTAGCGCGGCTGCGATTTCTTGCCTTCGTCCTCCCTCCTTTCCGTCTTTCAGCAACAACACACTTTGTTGACTTACCGTCATCACATCATCATTTTGAACGTTCATCACTACACCTGAACTCAATATTCACTTGCTCTAATTCACTCGAGCCGCTTCGTGTCAAAACCCTGCCTGCCAGCCACATCTCAACACCACCAACAGCCAACACATCAAACAATTACTATTTAAGCCATCAGACCATTCGTCTTCACCATCACCGGTTCCTTGCTCTTGTAAGCACATCATCCACAGCTGCTTCACAGGTCACAAATCAAGACCTTGCCATCAAGGACTCGCTTGAGCCTACCTTCAGCCTTCCCTGCCCGAGAAGGAGCTATCCTAATCCTTACCTCTCCACCAGGCGAAGCCAACTTTCAATCACTCAATCAAGTCGCACTACCATCATCTCAGTATGTCAGGAAAATTAGACCAGAGCCTTGATGAGATCCTCAGCACCCGTCGCAAGACCGCAGGCCGTCGTGGACGCGGAGGTCGTCGCGCAGGAAATGGAACGACGAAAGCAGCCACAGCGGCTCCCGTAGGAGGCATCCAGAAGAACACAAGAGGTGCTAAGACGGCACCTGCAAAGGGCGCAGTTCCAAATGGTCCAGCTTCAGGGAGTGGAGAGTCGAAGATCATCGTGAGCAACTTGGTAAGAGTCCTTGAAGACCTCATCGTGCCACAGTAACTGAAACTTCTAGCCCTCCGATGTGAATGAGTTCCAGATCAAGGTATGTTGAACCTGAGGCCACCATCTGTCGGACTTTTTGCGCCGGCACTTCTATGATACTCGATTATTGCGGCCCTTTTCGATCATTCGTGGAGCGACCCATTTTCCTTTGAGCGTGAGCTCGTACCCCGTTGGACAGCATGTCAAGAAGGCGAGGTTCATACTCTACTCCTTCCATCGGCTTTAGCTCGCTTTTTCGTGAAGCATGACGCAAAGCGATGAGAAGTGGAGCTCACACCAAAGTCTTGCACCGAATATCGCTGCGATGTATGCTCTGTCTGGCAAACAGACTACACCAGCTCCAGGGCAAAAGACGGTGGAGAGAGATGATGTCGCTATTGGGAAAGTGAATGTGCAGAATATCCAATCTTGTACAATGTGTGATTCATATGGCGCGAGCATCAGCGAGCAAAGCAGCAAGAGCAAAACAGCCCATGGAACCTCAGTATCCGGGAAATGCGATTTGAATCTCTTCGAAACCGCGGACACGTCTTCCAAGGCCCATGAAGCCATTAGGCTTGATATGTTGGCCTGACACCCTCGCTTCTTCAGACAACATACTCGAGCCTCCGAGAAACTTGACACGCGGATGGGTAGCTATTTACGGTTCATCGCAGCGTCGAGCTGAGACGTTCTTTCATAGCTACCTGAATCACTGCTCTCATTTTCGACACCACAACCGCTACCCTGATCCCGCTTTAAAGACCTTCAACGCCGCTGATGGGCTTTTCGTGGCGCGACGAATGGGATCAACGCATTTTATAAGAGTGTCCTCGAGTCCGAGTACGGGCCACTTTTACGGTAGAACAGGCCATTCATCGGGCGACCGGTACGTGAAGACGACGGACGGAGACTCCTACGATGACCAAACCCGATGGCTTCCTGATCCTCGACCTGGACAAGAATCTGACCTAGTGTCTACTAGTATAACTAATCCTTGCTGCTGCTCGCTGATGCTCTGATAGCAAGGGTCCGTTTGACTGGTTTTGGCTCTCCATAGATGTCTCTCCTTGGGCTCGCTCGCCGTTCTGCCGTACCTTTTAAACAACTTTTGACGGCATACCAGTGAACTGACTCGATACCCAATTTCTTACTATAGGAGTATTTCAGCAAGTCCGTTGGCCATGTCAAGAAAGCCATGCTCACCTATGGACCTAACGGTGTGAGCCGCGGCATTGCAACTATCGTCTTCAGCAAATCAGCCAGCGCCAACGACGCTCTCATTCAACTCAACGGAATGTTGGTCGACAAGCGTCCCATGAAGGTAAAGCTCGCTAAAGCAGCCCTGCTCATGGATCATTTGCTAACGTCGATGAAGATTGAGGTCGTCCTCAATGCATCCATAGCCGCAGCAGTTCCTGTCAAAGGATTGGGCGATCGCGTAACGTAAGCCTCAATGGTAACGGTTGACGAATGCCGAAGAATGTGCTAATTAAGAACAGACAAGGCAAGAGCCAGCCAAAGTCCGCTGCCCCAAAGCCTGCGACCAATGGAACAGCTACTCGTGGAGGACGAGTTGGAGGACGTGGCGCACGTCGTGGCCGCAATGCCGGACGTCCCAAAGCGAAGACTGCAGATGAGCTTGACGCAGAAATGGTTGACTACTTCGACGCCAATGCTGCAAATGGTACAGCGGCCACTACAGATGCCGCCGCTACTATGAACGGCGCTGCTGCACCAGCTACGAATGGAGAGGAGATTGGCATGGACGAGATTTCCGTAAGTATCTTTCAAGAGTTCAAGCCAATGTCTTGCTGATCAGTGTTGCAGTGAGCTACCAAACACCAAAGGCCACAGCTCGCCTGATATCGAGGAAGAAATAGATTGTCAAGGAGGGGGTGTTATGCATGCGAAGGAGCAGGCTTCATATACACATCGGATCTTTCCTTTCACCTCTCGGTTCTGTACCATTACAATGGCTCGAAGAGCTTGCACATGCGGTGTGCTTCCGGTCGAGCATCAATAATCAGGAAGGCAATATTTCTCTAGGAGTATTTCAGCGGGTTTTCATAGGCTTCTAGACTGCACAATCGATCATCGGCATATCCTACCCTGCCCAATACTGGTTCCAAGCTCGCCGTGCCTCTCCACATTTCCTATCGTCTCATCCTGACCAGCGTCCCGCCGACCCAAACCTTTACGATCTTACATAGACCTCTTCTTGCCAAGGCGATTCAAGCGCCCGGTCACTACACCCAGCATCAGCAGAGCCTTGTCATCGCAATATCACAAGACTTCATCATGAAAACCCAGTCCAGCTCCGTCGACATTGGAAAAGCCCGGTTACGGTCCTACAAAGCCTGCTGCGGTGTACTCGATTGGATTCCATACAGCCATGCTGCTCCTCATCTATATGACCTGTCCGTCGGCGCTACGTACATCATTCACTGGGTCCAAGTGTCTCCCACTCATCCCAGCTATTCCTGAAAGATGTCCCATCCACGTCATTCCAATCACATCTCATCCGTTGTACGTCCCCAACTTCCCCCCCCCACCTCACAACTCCTCCTTCTTCCCCCTCACCGAATCCTTCTCCCCGTCGCCCCGCCCCTCCCCCTTGCCCATCACGCTCATCGGCCCCCTCTTCACCATGAGACCCATCACCTCGAACAGGGTGTCCGCCGCCGCCATGGTCGTGAGCTCCGCGTTGGTGTCGTATGCCGGCGCCACCTCGACAATGTCGGCCGCGACGAAGTTGATGCCTTCCAGCCCGCGGATGATCGTGCGCAGTTCGCGCGTCGTCCAGCCGCCGGTTTCGGGCGTGCCGGTTGCGGGGGCGACTGTTGGAATATGTGTCAGTTTGGGGGGGAAGAGAAGGTTGGCGGGGGAGGGGACGTACATGCTGGGTCCAAGGTGTCGATGTCGATGCTCAGATACACTGGTCTTTCCGTGCCGACTCGATCTCGGATCTTCTTGATGATCCCACCCGTCCCGATCGTATCGATTTCCCTCGCCTCCACAATCTCGAACCCGCAGTATCCATCATTGTCGTAGTCGCTCAACCCGCTCAACGTCGTGCGGATCCCCGCGTGTATGTTCGTATCGTTCGCCAACAACCCCTCTCCGTGCGCGTGGTAGAAATATGTGCCGTGGTTTATAGAGGCTTGAAGCGTAGGGGCTCCGCCGAAGACTTTGGGCTTCCAGGTGTCGAGGTGGGAGTCGAAATGTATGACGCTGATGGGACCGTAGGCTTTGTTGATGGAGCGCAGGAGAGGGAGCGTGATGGTGTGGTCGCCGCCGAGGGTTATGATGCGGGGCAGGGTCTTTTTGTCCTTTGCAGGGCCGATCTCTTTTGCATTTGTGGCGGGTGCGCGCATGAGGAGGCTGTTGTGACCGTCTTCGATTTGTTGGATTGCATAGGCATTGTCGTAGCTGGGGATAAATCAGTGTTCGGTTCATCCTCACTGGTAGTTTGGGAAGTAGAGACGCACGATGTAACGGGTATATCTCCACAGTCAATCACCGTGGCCCAACTATTGAAAGGGTTGGCGTCGAGGGGGACGTTGTAGCCGCCGCTGAAACGCACTTTGCGTGAGCCTTGCCATTCGTGCAATAGTAAGCCCTTGATGTCAAAAAGTTGGACGTACTAGAGATTGAGACGGCGAGAACCTTGTCTGATGCCATTAGGACCGAAACGTGCGCCTGGGCGGTAGGAGGTTCCGGTGTCAAAGGGCGCTCCTGGATGATTGAGTCAGTGCTTGCGCGGTGGAGAAGGTAGAAGATGTGAAGGGTAGGTACCTAGGAAGGCAATATCGTATTTCTTGCTGTCATCCGCGAGGCAGGGCCAGTATGGGAGACGGCCAAATGTCGAGATGCCTGAGAAGACGGCATCGGCCTGTCTCGCAAGATCAGCTACAGTCAATGGCCATCGAGATGGTAAGAAGTACCTGAGTTCCACCATCACCTGGGATTGGTCTCCTGGTATTGTACCATAAGCTCTTGTGAGGACCAGCGATTGGCTTTTGGTCGTGGTCGGGGTGAGCGGTAGCAAGTGCAGCACAGGCAAGGAAGCAAAGGGAATTGAGCAACATGGTAGTAAGTGATTGAATTGAGATGAGATGCTAGATAGACAAGTATATGCCAATAGGCAAGAAACAGCAGCAGTACTCTAGATACTTAGTTATAGCAAATGCAAACAACGACAGCCTCAACGGTGATGGAGACGGGAAAGGTAACTTTACACGCCCCGCCATTCGCAGCTGGAAGTAAGCAGCCCGGTCGATTGGCTCGATTGAACCTGGAATCACATGCCTACTGAAAGCTAGAAGGTAAAAGGAAAGCTGATACACCAGATAGCGGTCGATTGGCATGTCATCAATCATCATCCTGCTGCCGCTCGCCGATAAAACTAAAGTAGGTAATTGTTGGTAGATAAAAGGTAGCCATGACCTTACACTTAGAATAAGTGGGCAAATATTGGGAAAAGCGCCAAGACCATATTACTAATACATACAATATTTACCGTACTTTATTGCTCAGTCCCTCAGAACGTGCCAAGATCGCTAAGCCCCTTCGGGTTAGCGCCTTCTGCTTACTACGGAACCTGAAGGAAGCACGTCTGAGGGCAAATCCTAATCTTACGCGCAGATCCGGCTTATTTCTAATAAAATACAAGGAATCCCGCATAATTTCGCATTTTTGACTTGAATACGAATTTTAACTACGTATTTTGAATGTATTAAAATACGTCAACAAATCAACGCGTGTCGCCGAGTATTTGCAACACACACACATAAATATATATACGCGTGCGCACACATAAGTAAATCATTGACTTTTCTCTATTCTTCTCCGTTACTCTCTATTTTTCTCTGTTCTTCTCCATTTATTCTTCTCTATTTCTTTTAAAAAAACTTGCGCGCATTGCGGTGATTTTTTGATATTCTTAACGTATAAATTCCTTGGCATTCTTGGCATTTTGAAGCCAAATCAGCCTCGAGTGCCAGCGTACCACAATCCACTTGATTATTTACGTCAAATACGTGCTCCGGAGGCTCACATATACGTACGGATCTTCTGACAAAAGAAATCTCGAGCCAATCGATTATAATTGTTGTCGCGCAATACTCGAAATTTGGCATTAATTCTGCGGATTTTTTGAATGCCCATGTCAACGTCGCTGGATTCTTAAGAGATGATCTTAAAAAATAGCGTATTCGATAGAGAAGATGTGAAATAATTAGCCCATATCGAGAAATAGATTATTTTGATAGAAATTTGAATCGCAATCGTGCCCTGGAGATGATTGTTCATGAAAAAAACATAAGCTCAAATTTGTATGGGACGTACGCCAAAATAGTGCGGATCTGCAAGATTACGGGGTTTTGACTGCCTGCCGCCGTTTGTGCGAGTAGGGCTAACCCGAAGGGGCTTAGGGGTAACGGGGCTTGCTCTTGGAGGTCTGGGGACTGAGGCAAGTACTTTAGTTACATTCCATCTCGTAACTGGTTTCCTGAAGCATGTGGGAACTGGGAATAACTGATCATGCCATCTCGCGCTGCGCCTCATAAGGTACTTGGGAGCATCTGCTGTTTCCTTTGGGGATGATAATGATAACGAGTATATGTTGTGCTAGACACGATTGAGGAGAACGCAGAATTGAGCCTATCCTATACGTCGCTGAGTTCTAGATACGTCTGTATACAACGAAATCTAAAAGAAACGTCGTAGTCTATCGTCCGTAACTCATAAGTGTACAATATGCTTGTACAGTATCAACGAGCGTCACCATCGGAAGGAGGCGGAATCCCATTCTCCGTCCTATCCCCTTCGTCCATCCTTTCGAACGCCTTTTTGACCTGATGATCCCAGTTACTGAACGCAACGATGATCCACTCGAGGATCCCAACCAGGTACAGAGCAATGCACTGTCCCACCCATAATCCTTTCAGACCCCATCCGTGGAATGCAAGCCAGATTCCTAGTGGAAGGGCACCGCAGTAGTAGCTGATAATATTGACCGCCGCTCCAATGTGCTGTCGGCCCATGCCGCGTAAGCTGCCGCCACAGCTTCCATTGAGGCCGTCTGCGATTTGGAACAGAGCGACGAAGGGTAGAACTTCCGCGGTCAGTTTGACAACATCAACATCGTCGTTGAAGATCTTGGCGAAGTGATCCTTGCTACCCATCAGGATAACCAGGACCACAGTCCCCAAGATCATACTCAGCCAAGCTGCCGTATTTGCTGCTCTCGCCGCCCCTTTGGCGTCTTTAGCACCCAGCAGGTTACCCACTCGCGCGCTAGCTGCTACCCCAACGCCAAAGGGAATGGTGTTCACGACCTGGTCTGAAGTCATGATGACGCTTTGAGCAGCCAAAGGGATCGTGCCAAGTCGGCCAGCCGCCAGGGCCACGATCTCAAATGCCCACCATTCCGTGCCGACATGGATGATTCCGAGAGTGGCAAGCCGGGCAAACGGCCCCATGTGGTGCAGGCATCTTCGGGACCATCCACCCCAAGACTCCCAGCCTTTGACGTAACGTGCATATGCGAGTAGAAGAAGAAAGGATAGCCAGTAAGAGATGCCGGTTGCTACCGGTGCTCCGAGCAAGCCCATTTTGAACGTGTAAACGAAAAGGAAATTGAGACCAGCATTTATTGGTGAGGTGATCAGTAGAACATAGGTTCCTGGTCGCATGATTTCTGGACAAATTAGCACCATGGGACAAAAGTCTTGATCGGAGTGGAATCTACCTTGCGCCTGTAAATACTTCTTGATGCACTCAAAGTATATGTAGCCCAAGCCACCAGGTATGAGACACCACAGAAACCTGGCGCTATCATGTGAGAGTTGATCACCTTGTCCCAAAGCCTTGAACACCGGCTCAGAAAAGAACCAGAGTATTGCTACGGGAATATAGAACCCTCCTAAGATGATAAAAGCTCTTTGGAGGAGAACGCCAAGGTTATGCGGGTCGTTGCTTCCGGTAAAAGCAGATGAGCATAGAGTATCCAATGCGGTTGTTCCGCCCAACGCAATAAGCCAGGCTGTACTCATAGCAAACATATACGAGAAGGCCGCAGTTGCCAAATCCTCGGGCGATCCGCGGCCTACTATTACAACTGAGATCGTTTGTAGCGAGTTTTGCAGTGTGTAGGCCAAGATCACTGGTATGGAACCTTTCAGTAGAATCTTGAACTCGTTCAGAACCGCTCTCCATGGCGATTTTGACCCACTGAGAGGATCGAGAAGCTCGTAGATCTCTCCGTTTTCTGGCTCCTCCGGTTGCTCAGAGTCTTTTGTTCCCCTAGGCAATAATGTCGAAGTCTCATTTGGGGGAGTGTCATCCGAGGAAAACGTCGGCGACTTAGGCTTCCGCATGAACTTTGGGAGCCATGAATGTGCCGGGCCTGTCTCATCCATGGTTGTGGAACCAGGCTAAAGCCTTTGGGCCAAATCTCAGACCAAAGAGACAGTACGATAGCAACAACTGCATCAATCCATAAGAAGTCAACAGCGATGGATCGGGTTCGAGAGCTGGCAATCAAAAGGAAGAAATGAAAGAATATGATAAGTACACAATTGTGGCAAAAAGGAAGATATTGAAAGATTTCTCGAACACACGAAAATGATGCCAGTCGGCAGGGCCTAGGCCAGTCGGATGTGCCGTCACAAGGAGCCATGCCATTCAGAAGGCCAAAGATGGTCTTGGCAATCAGACACAAATTGAGAAAGGCATCTCGGCTGAGGTCGGTGAGAAAGCGCGGGATGCCCGCATGTTCTTCCTTATCTTCGGATTGATGAGCTACCACTGGTAGACCTGAAAGGTCTGAAACTCAATTGAACTCGTTCTTACGTACAGCGATTTCCACAGGATTGAGTTGAGCATACTGCGTTAGTCATAAGTATCCTGCGAGGTGGTGGTCGTGAGAGGAGAAGATGTTTGACCATCTGACGTCCTTATTGAGTGGGATCTGTAAGGCTGATTTCCCCACGCTCACTCATCAATAACGCAGCGAGTACTTGTAGATCCGAGAACAATGCTTCTTGCAATACGAGTACGATGAGAACATTCATCATTCTCCTTAGGCGCTGAAATTGAGACCGTCCACTGGATTGGTCGTCCTATCTGTATCAGAGGACTTATTTTGGCGCGGCAAGAAAGAGACATTGACCAGACGTCCTCGCTATGCAAGAGTGGCTGCTGAGGGAGAATCAACGCCTCCAGACGAACGAGAACGCTCCTGCCATAAAGATCTGAGGAAAGACCTTTGCAGCAGACCGAACATAGCCAATACAGCCTCTTCTTCGTGCCTAGCAACTACTTTCTAGCATGGGCACCCTGTGTGGATACATACCTGCTGGGAGACTTTGAAAGATGATTCGAGCACCCTGCACAGCTTTCACGAGAAAATTGCCTCGGACGAGATCCAATACTTCTTCAGGTAGCGTTCGTTGCGCGTCCAAGACATCTTTGATCTCCCGGATACAGAGCTTGCGCGCTATGCTGTCACGGCATGTATACCGTATCTACTCGTCCAAGCCTTTAACCATAATGTCGATCTTGGCCTCCCCTGTGACGTCCCAGCTATTATGACTTGGTCGATAGTCGAACCGAGATAATCCCATGAACGCCTGCCGGACTAGATGTACAAAGTCCCACCGCTACAAGAGACACTTCCAAACATCTCACAAGAGCCTTCGGTCTGACGAATTCAGTGCTTGAAAATTTGAACAACGGAACTGAATCGGGGCGGTTCAAGGAAAGGAACTTGCAATTCTGCGATTTAATCTTTCATCTAAGGAAAATGTGTTCGAACCTGTTGGTCAAGAAATACGCAATTAGTCTCGGTCTCCTAGGCTAGACATGAATCATCTATCAGCAGGTAGCCATGACGAATAAAGTGGCATGTGGGAAGCTTGCCGCGACGTTCAGCCAAGGGCACTCAATACTGACCGTGTAGTCCACAATAGTCCTGGGCAGGCAAATTAGCTAGACTGATCAAAAATGCTCAAAATTTGGTGCGGGATCGTTCATTGAAGGTATGCTGGAGTCGTCGTTTGCTAGGGGTTCTGGGCAACTTGTTTTCTCATTGGCTATTTTACCATCGGATACTAGGTATGAACACCTGGATTATCGTCCATAGATACTCAACGATAATCGAAACTGCAAGATAATATCAATGACGCAGTGGATTAATTGCTGTGCAGAGAGGAGTGTCCCTCGCCATCAAACCGCTTCCGATCATCACCTGAAAGCGTAGGGATCGGTCTGCAGGCGAGATGTCCCTAGATTGTATCTTGGGGATTTGAGTTTTGTTCTGGCGAGCACGTATACCTCGAGAACCATCGACGGAGGTTAGCGAGGAGATATGACACGCGGATGCATTGCCCTGTCACACGAACACTTAGGAAGAAAACGTAGGATGCAGTAAAGATTCGAGAAAAGAACAAGGAGGCGGAGAATGGGACCTGGCCCGGGAAGAGGGGAGAAAATGCACGTGAAGGACGCATCCAGCCGCATAAAAGAACACCGGGGACCGTTGTCTGTCACAAAATGCGTAATGGCACCTGAGCTTCGCATTGCTTCCATTTTCAAAGCCAGTGGATAGCCTCCAGACCCTGAGCCTGCTATCCTTCACGCAAACAAAGACTCCTTGCATGTGAAACTACCACCGTAATTCCATCACTCGTCCTTGGTCCCTCTCTTCGCCTTCTCCTCTCTGCCCTCCTTGATTCTCTCAAGTATGTTCTCCCGATCCTTGTCAATCTTCAACTTCGTAATCATGACCTTGCTCGGCGCTATGCCCATCGAAACGCTTGTCCCATTCGACTTCTCTTTCGTGACTCGCTCAACGTGGATGACGTATTTGAGACGGTAGACGGAGGTGACCTTGCCGTCGCGGCCTTTGTTGGAGCCGCGGGTTATGGTGACTTCGTCATCTTTGCGGATGGGAATGGCACGGACCTGTGTAAGAAGGAGGGTTAACGACTGCGAACAGGCAGCAATGTGTTTCACGAAGCATACATTATGTTTTTCTCGTAGTTCCTTGCTGAGAGGTGCGCTCATGATGACGCGGCGGACGCTGGATGGGGCGCTGAAGTGAGCTTTGCGGGACTTTCTCCGCGAGGAGTGGAGGGCTTTTGAACGTTAAGTCAGCACAGTACCTAAGAGCCACAGCATTCAAGAGACCTACAGGTGTTGATCTTCGTCATGGCGGCGGTGATTCGTTGTCGTCGCTCGGTGTATGATGAATTTGTGAGACCTTCAAGCTCAAAGAAATGTGTGTGCCAAGACATGGGACGCTAGTCGCGTAAGGCTTAGCGAGTATGCCGAGGTTTCGGCCGTTAGTTTCGTGACGAAGTCCACTTCGTTTCGCGCCTGCGCACCTCTACACTTCATCAACACCTGGCGGGAGCATTCCTGATGGCTGCCGTAACCCCTGCTCTGGTATCCTTTGTCACACAGAAAAACACGTAAATCTGAGACGACCAGGACCGACGGGCCCACCACTCAGTCCTTCAAACTCATTTCGTCACCCACGACAGTTGAATTGTCTGAGCTGAGAAAACAGAGCCTGCTGGTACCTACCTTCATAGGTATCGTGTTATTGGTAGGCAGTCTCGGAGTGGCCCTACGCCCGCTCCACACGCCGGAATGTCCTATAACGGCTACAACCAGTACTCTCCTTATTGGCAGCAAACGGCAGGGCAAACCCCCCTTCAGAACGCTGGTCAAAATGTTGGGCAACCAGGAAACTCCTTCCAACAGCTGAGTCCTTATCAGAGTAATCAGCAACCTTCACAGTCTTCCGTTGCTCAACCAGCTGGGAATTCTTCTGGTGCATACGATAGCCAAGGATATGGGAACATGAACACGAACGTGGACGGAGCCGGAAATGGGCGGCTTCAAGGCTTTAGGGCGGGCTATACTAATGCGAACGATCGTGCGTCAATTGACGGGGCGACGGCTCTGGGCAATCTTGCGTATGCGTCAAGCCTGGGACGGGATAGCGCAATACAGCAGGTGGCCAGTAACAACCGGCAGCAAAGTAACGCAAATTACGGCACTGCGAGTCCTTATGGAGTCGGCTCTGCTCCAAAGATACAGTATCGGACCGGCGATGAGCGGAGAGACAGTCGTGGCTCTTCAAGAGAGGAGAATACCAGATCGCAACAAGCTACGGCTTCTCCTTCCTTCGGTTATAGTACGAACAATGTTGCGTATCACGGGTCAAGTGCCGGCAGCAATACGCAAGCTCAACCACAATTCTCGCAACAATCACGATCCTCTACTGAGCAGCTCAGAAATCAATACTCTCAACCATCACGACCGCTCAGTGGCCAAGCAATGCAGCAATCCCATTCAGTGTTAGGCTCTCAAGCCGCACCTTCACCTACGCTACCGGCCACTCAAAGTACGCCAAACCAAGCTCAAGTGAGCAAGAGTAGTGGCAGCGTACGTGGGAAAGAACAGACCAGAGTGCACACCCCGCAGACTGACAAGCGACAATCATCTTCTCAAGTTTCCAAAGGACCGACTCAAAACCTGCAAGTCCCACAAGCTACTGCAAATCCGCCAGTAGAAAGTGCCACCAAGGAAAAGGCAGCGGCATATGCATCACCCAAGGAAACGGCGGCAAAGCGAATCAACGAAGTCCGTCAGTCCCCTGCCATAGATACAAGGCGTGACCAAGCTAGCACGCCTGCAACGCCTGCGGAACCACAGTACACTACCGTTGATCCCTCTCAAGTCTTCAATCATTTTGAGTACTCACGGCGGCAAGCTGCTGCTGCTGTGGAGGCTGCAGCCGCCAAACAAGCTGCAGAGGAAGCGGAGGCTGCAAGATTTGCTGCGACACAACCCAAGCCAGCTACACCACAGATCGATGGGACCGAACCAGATTCAGCCAAGAAGGATCAGATGGAGTTGGAGATGAAGCAAATGATCGAGAAAATGCGCGATTACAAGGCTAAAGATCCTTCACTGTTCACGCAAATCTGGGAGCAAGTGAAAAAGGTTAGTAATGATCACCTCCTTTTCAACTCATTTCATTCTTATAATTGATCCCGCGTTGAGATGATTCAATTACATCCGACTGACAAGAGAGCCAGAGCCAGCCTCCTCAACGCGCTCCTTCACAATCGCTTCAAGGCTCGGCTACATCGCCCATAGTGGTAAATGGCCAATTGCCCAGTCCTAGTCTGATACAGGGTCAACTTCCACCTGAATCTGACTTACCGGAGGGCGATGAGTTCCCCCCAGGCTTTGATCGAGGGCGTTTCCCTGCCCAGCGTCGGAGACGAGGCGGTAGTATGAAAGTTCCTACAAGCAGAAAATCGGTCACGCCAAAAGGCTCCACTGAGCCGGCTGCTGGGAATCACTTTGTTGGAAATCACGAGAGTCCGGTACCACCAGAGATTGCCATTCCCACGCCCAAAGTTGGTCAGATATTTCCAGATCCTGGAAGTCAGTCAATGCAGCAGGCCATGCAACAATTCCAGCAGAACTCCAAGTCACCTGTGGTCAAAGCCCAGCAAACACCAGGATCCAGTACGCAAGCTACGACGGTTACTTCGACACGCCCAACAAAGGTAACAGCGTTGACAGCGCCCCCTTCTCAACCTGTGCCAGCTCAACCAGCGCCGCCTCCGAAGCCCGGAGGGACGTATTGGCCTGAGAGCAAGAAGAAATCTTTGGCGGAAGCTGCACGAATTGCTTTGACATCAGCACCCCCAAACAAGGCAAAAACCATAACTACCCAGGAGATTCATGAGCTTCTGGACCAGAACCCCAGCTATAATCAAATGTGTGAGATACTTGAGTATAGAGGCTTCGCTATCGATCGGGGTCAATTCGCTCGCGTCTTGCTGAAGGCTGTTCCTGACCTAGGATCTGCCTCTACTTCAGCTAATGCTGCGTCGTCCAGTACCGCCAGTGCTACTCGTGCCACGCCGACTAATACTACCCCCACTGTTACTGCTTCAAATGATAATACCGATACCACTACCACTACCACTACCACCACCACCAAAGCTACCTCAGCTACGCCTACTGCAGGTTCCATCGCAAACATCGTCAAAGCGACTTCTAACCAATCAGCAGCTCAAACGAACAAACCCCAGCCCCTGCCATTTTCTGTACCTCCAGCGGCAGCTTTTCAGGCTCGGAATGGGTACGCTACTCCTTACGCTCCTATCCCTCTAAACCCCGAGCAAGCCAGCGAAGGAAATCGAAGTAATGGATTTGCCCGAGACTATCGCTTTGTTAATCCTGGATCTTGGACAATAAATGAGCCACGCCATTTTCCTGGTGTCCCAGTTCAAGGTCGCCCGAACGAACCAGCGTTGCACTCCCACCTACCGTTCTCACATTATCAGCAACCAGGACCGATCAATGGGCAAGTCTTAGATCAGAACGGAGCGATTCATCCAAACGGCTTCGTCCATCATCATCCGACTAAACGAGAGATGGCTCGAAAGAGAAGTTTTGGAGAAATCGTCGATCTGACGCAAATGCTATCAGACGACGAAGAGCTCGAGCGCCATAAACAGAAGCCTCGAATTGATAATGAGGTTGCATCACGTACCAACAAGTCCGTCAAAAATATCTTCAATCAGGTCGCTCAGCGGCAACAAAATATTGGTAGAACTACGCCAAAGCCTTTCAAGTACAAGTACTCCGGACGAGATGCTTTGCTACAATCCTATGATATCGTAGAGCCCATCGACAAGCGACGGGATGCTTTACGACGCTCTACCTACAACCCCAAAACAATAGCCAGAGATTTTTTACTTAGTCTTGGAAAACACCCGACCATGGCTCCACTCAATGCACATCTTGATGGATTGAAGGAAAGATTTAAAGCTGTTGACTATGAGTCGGATCTAAGTACATTCAGATGGGATCTTGTAGATCCGGAAGGCGAGGCTAACGCAGAAACTTTTGATACGGATGACGAGGTAGTCCCCGCTGTAGCTGTCACCCGTCAACGTCCAGCTCCATTGGCCGTGATGGTTGCCGGTGATGGCGGGGATAAAGTCAAGGACGATCAGGCTCATTCTCGCACGCTTGATCCCAAGGGGAAACCGTATAAGAGAGGACCATATAAGAAATCAGGCATCCGATCCGGAATACAACCAATTGGTTCTGCGGATACACCACAACGACAGTCATCCGAAGGTCCACCTCGTGCTCAAAACGTGGGCAGTATGATGAACACCAATACGGCAGACTTGTCTCGATTTGCGTATAACAGCCCCTCCACAGCGCAGACGGATTTGACAACGTTAAACGCATCAAGCTCGAGTACTCCCGGTAGCGTCAAGCGTAAAGGGCGACCGCCTGGCGCGAAGAATAAGCAGGTTCGCCCCGACAAGGGGATACCGAAGAAGACCAAGACTCTCATCGTGGGTCAAACACCTTCGGCAGCAAAAGCAAAAACATCAGACAAAGAGATAGTAGGCAACACACCTCCAGTTGGAAGTTTCTCAGTTGGAAAGCCGAGCGCTCCAATTCCCACAGCCACACCGTCTACGCCAAGCGGTCTTAGACATTCCATAAGTGTCATGACGCCAACAGATGGTATCGCTGTCGTCATTCCATCTCGCTCGCCAAGTGTTGTCATTGTTACTCCTCAGGCTTCTGCAAAAAAAGGCGAAACGAAAAGGGCAGAGCATCTTTTTAACGATACGCGTTCTTCTGCGCCTTCATACACCATGTATCGATGTCGTTGGGAGAATTGTCCCGCAGAATTACATAGTCTCGAGACCTTGAAAAAGCACGTCAGGAAACACCGCCGAGCTATAGATGACGTCTACCCATGTTTATGGGCTGACTGCTCCGATAGCAGCAACCCCATATCAAATAACACGCAGACTGAAGACGGCCAGCATAGGCGTTTGAAGTTCAAGACAGATGAGGAATGGGTCAAGCACGTAGGGAACAACCACTTGAGGACTAAATGGGAACTTCTGGAGGAAGCTAGTGTGAAACCTTCTGGTAAGCTGCGATAGCTACAATCACCGTCTCACTCCCCTTGCTGACATGCCTTGTAGATGTCGAGTCTTCTGATCGCTTGAGCGAAAACAAACTCCACGATCGACAAGCAACATCTGAAGCCAAGGGCCCTGCTGTGCCTGTCTCGCCCGTCCAGGACGACAACGAGCTTGATAAAATGCGGGCAGAGTTCAACGCACACTGAGCCAGCAAGCAAGTCATTGATTGTATCTATTACCTTACAGGAGCGAGTAACTTTATGATGATCATGAATCTGTGGTCTGGAAACCGTGGAGATTACCAAATTCCTCTGATCCCGCCGGGTAGAGGCTTGGATATGGGGGTCTAGCTATGGCGGGAGAACTTGTCACAATATGGATATCGAGGACATTCCGAGCACGCTTGATATCCTATGACAATGTCTTACTACTCGGGATATGTGTGCATCATAGGTACCCAGCAAGCTCTAAAGGAGGGCTGCAGGCTCTCGATTATGTGTACAATATCGCCTTTGATGGCGTATACTCTCGATGAAAGATCGTGATAATTTCGTGATCTTTTTATGCAGCAGCGTGAAGTTATGCTTACCAAAATCGTCTCGACTACACTGCTCCGCCTACTCTCTGCTATCGACAGAATGCCATACATGCCGCTAAATCAGATTCATGACCCATTTATGTGCTTCGCGGATTATGTATCATCAGCATGCCCGTTTAGCCCATTAGTCTCCTCTTCTTTGACTCCCTCTGCCTCATCCTCTTCTCCTCCTTGTCCATCTACCCCATTAGTCTCAATCGCCGCCTGTCCTCCAACGCCCTCCAACCGCTTCTTCTCATTCTCCTCCCGTATTCTCTCCGTTTCTCGCCTCATGCTTTCCATGTCCCACTCATCTACCTCGTCTTCTGCATCATCCTCTTCTGCATCATCCTCTTCTGCATCATCCTCTTCTTCGCTTTGATCCTCTTCTTCGCTTTCATCCTCCTCTTCACTGTCTTCCCAGCCTCCCTTCTCAAACATGGCTCTTCCCGTAGCTTCCTTCGCCTGCCGAGCCTCGTCTTCTGCAGCTTTCTTATCCAGCCGCTCTTTCTTCCATTTGGCAAAACTCTCTGGTGTTACGGGCGTGAGAGTGCCGGTAAGTTTATGCCTTTCTGATTCCAAAAAGTCTTCTAATGTTAGTGTTTTCAAGGGCGATTTGTCCATTAAGGCTTTCTCTGCGGCGCGCTGCTCTTTTGTTTTCAAGACAAAACCCGGTGGGAGAGAGTGCTTATACATGCACTTATCGCCGCCGTTGGGACAGGTCCAAAACCAGCCGTATTTGCCCTCTTCGACCGCAGAGGTGAAGTATTTGCAGACTTTGTCGGTGGTGGTTTTGGGGTTGCCGTGTTTGGACATGACGACTTGCCTTAACTTCTCTGGTTGCAGAACCGGGATCAGCAAGTGCTACTGGGGGCAGCTGCACGAAAGCCTGTGAACGTTGCGACTGACCTTCGTCCCACTCGGCCATATCATCTTTCTTCTTTGCTTCGTCTTCCCCTTCCCGCGTGTCCTGATACAGGTTTTTCTTCTCCCCTTTCCTCTCCACCGACAGATCATGGCTGAATTTGCACTTCTTTCCCTTCTCGCAGTTTCCTTGCTTATAAAATGTACACACCACCGTCTTCGGATCCACCCCAAAAGGCACCTTTTGTACTTGCACCGGCTTGAATAACTCAGCTGTTTCTCGTTTTGCTTGTTCTGAGGCGGCTTTGTCCTTTTCTCGTTGCGCTTTGTCGGCCTCTTTTCGTTTTTGATCGGGAGTTTTGGCTTGGGCGGCTTGGGTTTGGATCTGTTGAATTTGTTTTTGGGCTTGGGCTCCTTTTTTCTGTGGTTACTCTTCCATCAGTATCGCAAATCGCGGCAAGGATAAGTCAATGGATGCTGTATCGAAATGGAGAGGAGGGCTTCGCTGGCTCGGCTCACGTTTTTCATGCCAAAGGTCTAGAAGATAAGCGTCAGTAAGGTCTCCAAGGCGGGTAATAGGGGCAAATGCTCGCCTTGTCTGCAACAACCTTCGTCGACGAAGGCTTGGCCTTCTTCTCCTCTTTTTTGGGAGGCATAGTTGAAGATGGAGATAAACAGAGGGTTGACGTGAATGATTAGGGGGGGAAGGGAGCAGAGTAAATTGGGAGATCAGAAAGCAGGCACTATCATGGTTTGGTAGCAGATATCTTGGTCTCTAAAAGGTCGCTTCTCGCTGTGTAATAGAAGTAGTCGATATGACAGCTGAAGGCGCGGAGAAAAGTCACAGTGGTGGGGAACTGTAGAATCTTTGTAGGGCTGACCGATCAGCTACGGTGTGCCATAAAGTTTCTAAAGCCAAGCTCCAGGACGCCGTAGTCCGGCTGGCAGTTTACTGACAACTATACCTACTCTTTCTCTCCTCCCTCTACCAAAACTCCAATAACAAGGTCATAATAGGGTAATCACCCAGATCCATATCCTACTGTGAAGTGGCTTGAACCAGACCTACGGTTGTAAGACTCACCCATGCCACGAAGTAAATTGCTGCTAATACCGTCCCAAGCTTCAATTTCCCTTCTCCAAGCACCTTCAGCCACTCGAACGCTCTTTTCTCCACCATGATTTCCGACGACGATCTCTACACACTCGCCATCTTCCTTGGCTCCTTAGCTATGCTCCTCATCGTTCTCTACCATTTTCTCGAAGTCAACGCCATAGAAGAGGGATCTACACAGTCCGAGGAGAAAGCATCTTCGAAGGCAGCGTCACAAGCACAAGCTAACCCTACGGCGAAGTCATGATCAGGGGAATGGGATGAGCTAAGCAGAACTGCGTAGGCCGCGGGGCTGGGCCCGACATCTACACAGTACATGGTGGTGGGCAACGCTACCATAGCAGGCCGAAGGACCTCTTGTATGCCAGACTCGACTGGCTACATGTATAAGGCTCAGTATGGCAGCACACCGTCTTAGAGTACGTAAGATTCTGCAAAAGCGAATAATGGATAGGCCATAGTTAACCCCGTTTGCGCGACACTCCATGCGCTGAGCGCAAGTCGCGTCTCCATGTTTGACAATTGAGGAGACCCCAGACACTCGGGATAAAAATTCAAATCTATCCATATACCATTGAAAACCTCATTCCCTGCATACTACTGCTCTAATACTCTCTTGGCATTCTTGGGTCCACGCTGTCTTCCTCAGTCCACGTTCAAGATTCAGCATGCATAAGCCAAGGTTTTTTTCGTTCATCTCGTTCCTCCAATTGCTTGCAGTTTGCGGGGCAGCATCGCCACAGTCCTCCAACAACCAGGACATGGGCTTACCATCTAGCTTGAGATATCCTTCATTTCCGACTACATCTCTCAACGCGTGAGTCTCCACCACTGTCTCCAATATACCAGCCCAAGTAACGCAGACGTTCCACATCTAGCTCGATTACCAAAACGGCCCGACGCTTCTACATCACCGACACCCAGCTAGCAATAGACTTCTGGCATCAAGCACCCTCCATCCCCCGCGAAGACGTCCTCATGTGCGTCATCGAAGGCTTCTCGAAAATATTCGGCACCAACCCTGCCGAGATGATTCCCGGTCTCAGCACCTTCTATTACCAAAAAGTCTCCTTCATACACGTCCAGGACCTCAATCCAACCGTCGGGAGGGCGCACACGTATCAGGATTTGGCAAATACGCTAAGGGGCATTGGGGAGTACATGACGCAATACAATGCGTTTTGGACCAGTGAGTTTCAGGTGTGGGCAATAACCCCGACGGCGGAGGTAAAAATTGGGAGTGGGGGAGTAGGTGGGAAGATGATGTTGCAGGCGACGGATGCTGTGAGTACTGAGTTGGGTGCTCAGACAGGGACACCTGCATGCAATCGTGGGAACCGGCATTGTGTGACATGATGAATGCTTTTCGGAGATAGGTGCTGGTCTGGACAGCCCGGTAGAGCAGAAAGAATTGGTGCCTGGAAAAGACTCAACTACGGGGTTGGAAATGTCTGCTTCATTCCTCATATGCAACGACACAAGTCCTTCAAGCGAAACTATGTGGAATATCTGCCACGAATCACTTGGACTTAGACTGCCTTTCCTCGAAAAGGCTTGAAATGAGTCTGCGACGTTTCAAGACCAGCACTTTTAAGAAGTAGTCTCTTGTTTAATCTTCTCTATCGCGGCTCAAAGTCTACGAAGGAACGCCTGGTGTCACTGTTTTGACTTCCACCACTCTTCGTTCTCCTATTCTAGCTACGCAACACTGATAGTTGCGCAGTCATGTCTTGCGACCTCCCTGCTGGCGATGCTTTGGGAGTACTTCTTAGTAATAGCCTGTCGCAATGCGCAGCGTCGCACAAAATGGCGCTCCAAGGCCGATCACAGGGTCGCCTTCTACCTCGTTGGCAAATAGAATTGGAAGAAGAGATCCCATAGCTATTGGGCGGATGGTGATGCGGTGGATATGCCGATTAGCCTGGATCGAAGACTGGTTGCGTGTAGTGGAGCTGATGGGAGGTTAAATGTTTAAGACTGGAGAAAGGGCAGTTTGAGGGGGATGGTTAAGACGGGTCTCAGGTCTGACACCGATGCAGGTATCGTCGCTGATACAGAGTCAGTCTTAAAACAATCGAGTGCTGTGACTTCTTACATCTTAACAGCCAGCCTTGGTGGCGGACGGGTTTCAAACATGAAATGGATTAAGGTAGCAATTGATTCCCTTGGGCACAACAGCGCTCCAGACAGACCTAGTCGCCTCATCAAACAGAGCAACAACTAGGGAGAAGATTGTAAATTGATTGGACGTCATTGCTTCTTGCTCTATGGTGGCCCGCCTGGGTGGCGCGAAAGGCCCAAACGACTGCCTTTGCCCTGTTTCAGTGACGGAAACATGATACTTAGAGAGAGGCTGAGGAAATTCCCTCCCCCATCGGGCGACCATTTCAAGATGTTTATAAAGGGCATGTCTCGCTCTGACATTGATGGTCATACTTCATCAGACTCCTTCATTACAATCCGAAACAGATCAGCCACATCGAGACGCGGACGCACAGACACACGTATTACTCATTCAGCCAAAGAGACTTATACACTCGCATACACAAAATATCAAAGTACGTCCTTCAAACAATGTGTCGCTTGCTTTATGACTGACACGGCTTCAGCGAGGATGTGCAATCAACACCAATCCTACTTCAATTGCGGACACGCGGTCAAGTCCATGCCTGAGCAATGAGACACTGCTGGAGGATGCCGTGACTGTATGGATACAGAAACTGTGTAAGCGACCGAGCCAGACGGGCAATATCCTTGAAGTTTCGATAGATTGCTGATATCTGTCGATAGGCGCGTCCTTAAGCGCTATGAGTGCAGTTCGTCCCTTCGATGCCTATCTATTTCGCATCCATTACTGATCGAATACTAGCGGCTTGCTTTGCAGCAGCCGTTCGGGCTGCAACGGCTCGGTACTGTTACCAGGCTTTTGAAAAGCAGGTAGTAGTAGCTTCTCAGTATCAAAAGCAGCGAGATTTATTGAGGATGGAATTGGATGAAATCCAGCGCTGTGTTTTCAGCAAGGCATCACAGCAAAAGAGCGGTTAGCGAGCCAAGGAAGCATGCTAGGAAGGACAGTTGAATGCCTGGATCTTTGAATCAAAAAGACACCATATTAGAAGATTTTCAGAATCAGATATTCCCTTCTTCATCTAACCTTATAACAACGTGAGCATGCATCGGCCGTTAGTCGCATCTTGCCTTCGAGGATCTCATTAACATCACATCATACATCCCCCCTCCTTCGAACTCCCCACCTCACTGACCCCTAGTCTAATCTTCCTCCTCTCGCTGCCACCACCAACGCTGCCACCCACCAGGCTCGACCAAGCTTCAACCATCCATTCGTACCACACCTTCCTGTTGTCCGTAGCGCGGAAGATGGAGACAGTAAGGGTGGAGCCATCGGGGGTGTAGAGCGGTGTCTATGTACTCACGTCAGCGTACCTAGTAACAGGGCGGCCAGGAGAAGGGTGGGGGGGTGGGGGAAGACTTACTTTCAGTGGGAAGAAGATCGGGAACCAACTCATCATCTCCGGGCTCTTCTCATCCATGTTGAGCGGATTTGTACTTAGCTCAACCCCCGGATACAGCGTCGCTTCAAAGTATCCCGCAAGCCCGTGACACACAGCCCGATCTCGCAGATTGAAACTGAGACGAGCCTGCCGGGTGTTGTGGGTATTTTCGGAAGACGCAGGAAGCGTTTCCATAGGACCGTGGCTAAATGACCAGACGGGGAGGACGTTGGGCACAGGAGTCGGTATTGCGGAGCTATCCGTAGCAGATGAAGTCGTACTGGGACGCGAGGTCGTGGAGAGATAGTCGATTGCGTGTAACATCACCACGTAAGGTGTGTTTGGCGCTTCTTTGTCAGTCATTGTACGGGCTAGGATATCGGCGTGGAGTTTAGGAGCCGCAATGGGGGTTAGATAGGCTGTGTAGGAGGCGGGGATTGAGATTCCGTGAGTGGGGTTTAGCAGAGGGAGGATGCCGTCGAGGCATTCCGGTGAGAGCTCGTTGTCGGCGAAGGAGCCCAAGAGTTCGGAGATGAGGATGTCGATGGGGCCGTGGCTTACTGTTCGGTCAGTGGTGGAGGCTACGGCAGAGAATTGGTTCTGGCTAATGACTATGCTACCGTTTTCATCGCGAGGTGGCGGCCACTGTCCTGTATAGCCAGAAGGTTGGGTTGCAGTTTCTCGTAGCGGTCCTTTCCAAGATCGCATATCCGACTTGACAAGATTGACGCAATTGCTCCATCTTTCTTCATTATGTCGTTGCAACAGCACGAAAGCGTTTGGATTCTTCTCCACGGCCCACATGTCGATCGGCACACCCTCGCTCTCGCTAGCTAGCAGTGCTTTCGTGACCAGTGGACCCCGTCCAGCACCCACAACAGCCACAACGACTCGGCCCTCCGGCCCTGAAGCAGGCTTGCCTTGCTCGCGCCAGTCAATCAGAGCCTGAGCGATGGCTTGATAGTACAAGTCATACTTGACAGGGTCTTTCTCAAAAACTTCGTATGTGATGCTTTCCAAATTGTCGGTTAATGGCTGCAGAGGTGATTGTAGATAGTCTTGATAGCCGGCACCGAAGCGCTGGAGCAACGTCTTGGGAGGCTGCTTGCGCTGGAGATAGCGGAGGTAATTGAGATGAGGCGTTGGTCCGACATTCTCGGACTTCCTGCTGTCTTGTCGCCAGATCTGGCTTGCTTCGGCAGGCGTGGGTGCGGATGCGAAGGGCCCAGCTGCTTCGCTAGACGGTTGCCAGCCATTGGCCACAGTTGTGCTGGGTTCGGGCCTTTCGGGTGCAGGTATGGAACCAACGTCCACGAGGAGGATCCACGGAGCATTGCGGATGCGCATGTACTGGGTCAGTAGTTCTTGATGGCTGTGAGTGAAGGCGGGATGGCCTGTGGCATTCTGAAAGAAAGTCTTCTCACTGAAACAAATGAGGCGCAAGGGCTCTGAGTGCCACCGAGAGCGGACGCTGAGAGGTGGGAGATGCGAGGGCACCGAGAGAGCTATGTTCATTATTAGCAGCCGCTTGTTCTCAAGGCCTGGCTGACGTTATAAGAGACCATATGGGAAGTAGGTACCTCAGGAAAGATGCCACGAGATCACCACAAGGCTCCAAAATCCAACACTGCCGGCCATGAGAGCTAGCAATACGGAAATTCCGTAGGAAGGGTGTAGGCGATGGAAATGAAGATGTGTTTCTATTCTTACCTACGAAAAGCCTAGCATTGTATGTACATAGCGTCCTTATGACGTTCCATGCATCCCATGTGCCGAAGAAGTCAAACCTCGTAGACCTCTTACGCCTCACGTTTGCTCCATCATCATTCTGATCCGATTCTCTCACTGCTCCTCTCGTAGATTCCATGGAGCCTCTGCTGCTGTGCCCTTCTGAGAGTCCCATATATTTTGCTCTTGCTTCCTTGGCCAAACTTCCCTCGACTTCGTCGCTGTCTTGCTCAGGATCGTCCATCATGGGTAGCATTATAGAGAGTTGTATGTATTGTGCGATCTTCAAAGCTTCCTGGACGGCGTAGGCGTATTGTGTCACGCCTTCGCCATGGAGCTTGCTGTGATGCAACTTTGGACTGGGTAGTATTATGTTTCCTATTCCACAAAATGCTGCGTATGCCACTTCTAATTCCAGGACTTGACGAGATAGGCAGTATATCACCGGATCTGGCGAACAAAGATCGATCCAAGGGCTCACCACGGCGAGTAGATGGGATACGGTCGCGCCCGGAGCCAACGGTGTGTCAACTGGCGACAGAGAAGGTATAGTCGGTACCGACAAGTCCGTGCCTGGGTTCTTCTCCAGCTCCGCGATGTGAGTGGATACGAGGGTAAGCACTCGCGTGTGAAAACTTGGAGTTGTGATAGGGCTAGTAAGCATGTCATACTGGGAATTGATTAATTTCTCATCATGCCGGATCTGTTATTCGACAACTCACATTACAAGCATGGGCTTGCTCCAGGAATTCTGGAGTGACTCGTACGCGTTTGCTGTCATGGTGTCCAATCCAAAAGGTGGGGGTCCAATCTTCTGCTGGTGAATCCATCCTGCTGGAGTGAAGAGATGACAATTGGAGTGATTCGGCGATAGTAGAACGTGAAGTAAGACGGTGATCATCTACGTAGAAGCTAAAGCATTATCCTCACATACCAAAGAACAAAGAACAAAAGACAACAGAGATCAAGGAGTGTATGTGCCTGGGTGCCTTGCCTTCGCAGCAGATTGGACCCTTATTAGCCGCAATTCCAGTCAGGACTAGCGCGATATCAGGCCGAGTTCAGCCTTACAGAAAATAGTTGACGGCGTAATATGCACCAACTCTGCACTTTAAATTAGCAAACTCTATCATTCTTTCGCCATGGATCGCAGACCAGACTTACAAGGTCAAGGCCGCTTTAAGCGTCGAAAGATGGAGGACACGGATTCTAGATACAGTGCAGAAAGCGACGATGACGGAGGCGTCAAGGTTGGAAATTTTGCTCAGCCCACTGAGGTCAAGCCCAAGAAGGAGGACCTGGATGCCAGGCCGAGCCGACACACAGAGGGAATAGACCAATTGGTAGAAAAGACCAGCAAGAAAAAGAGGAAGAAAGAGGAGGACGCAGAGGAGGCGTCGGATCCATACATAGCACGGCAACATGAAGAGCCTCTACCAAAGAAGAAAGAGCTGGACCCGAGAGCGAATCCGTATCTTGCTCACAGATACGAGGAGCCGGCGGAAGATGAAGGTAGTTACAACGGCTACAGCAACGGCTACGGGCGCCCAACGAACAGGATGAACGGAGTGTCGAATGCTTCGAGCTTGGCCCGATTCCCGAGGCATAAGTCTACCGCGGCGATGGCCAAGAACGCAGAAGATGGGCCCAACAATCCATTCAGTGGCCAGCCTCTGTCGTCACAATACTTCAGTATCCTCAAGACTAGGCGGAATCTGCCTGTTCATCAGCAAAGGTGTGTGGTGTGAGATCCGGTACCGAAAGGCTACATGCTGACACCATGCACAGGGACGAGTTCTTACAGATGTATCAAAAGTCTCAATTCCTCGTATTTGTAGGGGAAACTGGTTCCGGGAAGACTACTCAAATACCTCAGTTCGTCCTGTTCGATGATCAACCACAGATTCAGCGCAAGCTGGTGGCTTGCACGCAACCTCGCCGAGTGGCAGCGATGTCAGTGGCCCAGCGTGTAGCAAATGAGATGGATGTCACGCTGGGAGATGAAGTGGGCTATAACATCCGGTTCGAGGATGTGACGAGCCAGAAGACTATCCTGAAGTACATGACGGACGGTATGCTGCTTCGGGAAGCAATGAACGACAATAATTTAAATCGATACAGCACGATCATTTTGGATGAAGCGCACGAACGTACACTTGCAACGGATACTCTAATGGGGCTACTCAAGGAAGTTGCACAGCGAAGGCCGGATTTGAAGATCGTCATCATGTCTGCTACTCTGGACGCCCAGAAGTTTCAAAGCTACTTCAACGATGCGCCTTTATTGGCAGTGCCTGGACGTACGCATCCTGTCGAGATCTTCTATACACCGGAACCGGAGCGAGATTACGTTGAGGCTTCGCTACGAACAGTATTGCAGATACACGCCAGCGAACCGGAAGGCGATATCCTATTGTTCCTTACGGGCGAAGAAGAAATTGAAGATGCGTGTCGTAAGATCAGGCTTGAAGCAGATGAGATGATCAGAGAGGCGGATGCAGGCCCCTTAACAGTCTATCCTTTGTACGGGACCTTGCCTCCTAATCAGCAGCAAAAGATTTTTGATCCTGCCCCACCACCAAGTAAGAAGGGCGGTAGGCCTGGCCGGAAATGCATCGTCTCGACAAACATTGCGGAGACATCTCTCACCATTGACGGAATAGTCTACGTTGTAGATCCAGGGTTTAGCAAGCAAAAGATCTACAACCCTCGTATCCGAGTCGAGTCACTCCTTGTATCTCCCATCTCGAAGGCGTCTGCCCAACAGCGAGCTGGTCGAGCCGGTCGAACACGACCCGGAAAGTGCTTTCGGCTATATACCGAAGGCGCATTCAAGAAAGAGCTCATCGAAACCACTCACCCTGAAGTTCTTCGCTCAAATCTTTCCTCTACAGTTCTGGACCTCAAGAAGCTCGGTATTGATGACCTTGTCCACTTTGATCTCATGGATCCTCCCGCGCCCGAAACACTAATGCGCGCTCTCGAAGAGCTCAACTACCTCGCTTGCCTTGACGACGAGGGAAACCTGACCGCGCTCGGGAAGCTTGCCTCCGAATTTCCCTTGGATCCCACCCTCGCAGTCATGCTCATCTCATCCCCCGAATTCTACTGCTCCAACGAAGTGCTGTCTCTTACCGCTCTCCTCTCAGTCCCCCAAGTCTTCGTCCGCCCCGCTTCGGCCCGCAAACGCGCGGATGAGATGAAATCTCTCTTTGCGCACCCGGACGGCGATCATCTGACTATGCTCAACGTCTATCACGCTTTCAAAGGACCAGAAGCACAAGCCAATCCCAAGCAATGGTGTCACGATCATTTCGTCTCTTTGCGAGCTCTCCAATCTGCCGATAATGTACGCCAGCAGCTCAAGCGGATTATGGAAACGCATGAGATAGAGCTTGTCAGCGCTCCCTTTGAAGACAAGAACTACTACACAAATATCCGACGAGCGCTCGTTGCCGGCTTCTTTATGCAGGTCGCAATGAAAGAGGGCAACAGCAAGACGTATGTGACCGTAAAGGACAACCAGAATGTGATCTTGCATCCGAGCACAGTACTGCAGACCGAAAGCGATTGGTTGCTTTACAATGAGTTCGTGCTTACGACCAAAAATTACATTCGGACTGTGACTACTGTAAAGCCGGAGTGGTTGATGGTGAGTCTACTTCTAGGCTAAGCCCGCGCTTGTGGTCGATTTGCTGATTTGATGCAGGATATCGCGCCAACGTATTACAACATTACAGAGTTTGGCAAGGGACCTGTTAAGAGCGCCTTGCAGAGAACAATAGATAAAGTCAGGAGGAAGGAGGCTACGAAAGGACGGAAGAGATGAGAATTGGCCATGACTGGTAACACCTGCGGAAAGATTTTGCCATGATTATCTGAATACACTTCGGATCCGCCATCGTTGGTCCAGCGGTGCTCTGTGCATAGCTCTCAACTACATAGCGGGAGAACACCATGCAATACAGACTCACCTGAAAGAAGAGTGGCCCGCTGCAAGGTTCTCATATCCTTTCGTACGAAGCTTTCGCAGTTCAGCTCACCGGCAGTTCTCTATTTGAGGTGTGCGATACGTGTATGACTCTCCTGGTCCGACGTGTTCAACAACGTTGATCAGACCCAATGTGTCGGGCAGGCCGGTAGGGGCGGACCCTGAAGAAGTGGCCGTCGCAGCGGTGGGAGTCCTTCGGAGTTTACCGCAAAGGACAAGGCCCCTTCGTCGACACAGTACCCTGTCTAGACCACTTCTGCATATCCAATCAATGCCAAGTTTCCTGCACTTGAGTGCCGTGAGATTACCATGACGTCTATGAAACACGCACTCGCCATCTCGTCATGCGGGCGTTCATTTTTTTGGTCCGATGAAGAGCTGCCTACTACTGTAAGCATCCATATCTTTCCTCCACCAGGCCCTCCTTCAGAACCATAACCAAATGGATACAAACGTCACGTAGTCCTGGTATCTTGCCCTTTCTCCAGAAACCCATCCAGGGTCGCCCGGATCTTCTCCCCACCCCTTTCTTCATGCATTGCGCTCAGTATTCACGGAGTCGGCTACACATGCTGCTGCATTGTTTGATTTGTCCCCCACTCAAGCCTTGTAACAGCACCACCTTCCCAGTCCGTGGGTGCGAGCAAGATCGGCACCGGAGGGCGAAGGTCGGACCACCGGACTGGAATGGCGATGCAGGAGTTGGGGCTGTGTGGATCAGGTAGCTCGTGCTGTTCCGGCCGACGCTACGTCTTGTGCTGGCTGCTTCTACGAGGAGGATCGGCACTTCTTGCAGTGGGGTGGCGAGGATGATGAGTTGTTTGGACGCCAGACCCGGATGGAGGGTTGAGAGTGTGGGGGACGAAAATTTTCTCCTGGTCAGCGGTGCCTTTGTTGGTACCGAACGTGTGCTGGAATAGGTACGTTCAGAGACGTCAGCGCTTAAGATTTCGACTTCTCCGTACGAACTCTTCCGCGGAGCCGCGGCTGACTTTCACGCAGTAGGTAGGCATGTTTTCGGCACGTGTTGGGCATAGGGAGTGCGGTGCGGCTTGGATGGCGGTGGGCTTGAATGTCTCGTGTTGGGGCGCTTTGTGCGTGTGGATGTTGGGTTTCATTTACTACCATCGCTACGATGTTCGTTTCTGACTCGGTGCTTCTTTTGCTGTGGTGCTGCTTTGGACAATGTAGACGCTCGGGGCGCTTTTCTTCTTGTTACTTCTTGGCCACTTCATGCGCCCGATCGGCCTGTTTCCTCCTCATCTTCCTCGTCCTCTGAATACTTCACCTTCTCCCAGTCGTCCTCGTCCTCCTCAGCTGCCTCCTTGTTCTTGTCCTCCATCATCTTCACATCGTCGTCCAACTTCTTCTTGTTCTCCTCCCTTCTCTTCACATTCTCTTTGTCACTTTGTTCTCTGATTGCAAGCTGAGCGAAGATCAATTCGTACTTCGAGGGGTATGGCCCTAGGACTGATAAGCTGTTGATGCGCCCCAACGGGACCATCTGAACGACGTACGGCATCTCCGACCTGGCACCTCATCCGTGCTGATGACCAAATGTTAGTCCTGAAGACCGCATGAATGAGCAGTAGTGGTGTGGTGACTCACCAAGCACGATCTCCCTCGGTACAGGCTTCGCTACTTTCACAAATATTTCTAAGCAGCAATTACGGGACATAGGTAGAGACGGGAGACGTACTTGGCGACCGTGTCGCCTGTCCCATGGGGTTTCCTGTAGGCATCGCCCGGTTTGCCGTCTTCTTCTGACGTGTGCGAGGACATGCTGGATGAGAAATGTCAGTAGTGAGTGCAATGACGCGTATCCCAGACGGTGTGCGTTGCAAGTTTGGCCGCCTATGTCTCTGTGTCTGGAAGTTACTAGCTTGCTGATGGTGCCGATGGATGGAGTAAAGATGCGTGTCTGTGTCTTTGAGCGGCTGATCCGTCGGGGATAGTTGTGTCTGGATATAAAGAAGTCAAGTGAAGAGAGAGGTAGCGATGCCTTTTATACATCCTGCGACGTTCGCCTGATCCACGGCGTTGCATGCACAGCCTGATTCTTGACCCCGTGTTTCGGTCTCTGGAGTCCGATTCGGCCAGCCATACCGGTCGGATATCCGAAACTTCCAGCTACGGCAGCAGGCAGCCTGAGGGTACGGAGTCGTGTCGTCCAATTGTTCTAGGCGGTCGCCTCATGACATTCGCCTTCTAGGCTTAATACTGCATCATATATGGGCAATCAAGCTTCGAGGTAGGCAGCCTAAGGGTGAAGGATCATATTGTTCAATCTTTATTTTAGCCTTCGTTTCGCATATCTCACCTTGTGGGCTTAGGTGAAGTCGATACCATATCTGAAGTGTTTCAGCAGGTACTAAGATGTCAGAGGATAGAAGGTCTCGATATCGGACCTTTAACATTGTTGCATGGCTACATTTCCTTGGAGTCCTAGGGCAGGCTTTCAAGGGGCTCTTCGTTTGGGCGTTTGGGAGTGTCTTGGCGCAGGGGTATGAGAATATGGCTGTCCAGGCCGGTAGTGCCCAGTCCATACACATACGGCTGTGTCGGTGTTCGCGTCGTGTGCTATTCATCAAGATATAAGATAATTGAATGGCATCTCAAAGGTCTGTCCTTGCGACTGATACATTTCGTTGGCCACTATCTGGCGCTTCTCCCTACCTGGATGTTTTAGGAGGATCCTTTGACTCGCTCGGTCTTGACATACAAAACCATGTACTCCGGTAAAATCCCAAGGCCCTCAGCCAGCCAAGCGGGCCGAGATGAGATAGAGAAGTAATCCTTCGAGACCAGGCGCAGACACACTGATCAGCTTCGCCTCACCGCCTGCCTCTCGTTCTCATCATTATCTCGACGCAGTGTCTCTTCGTCCCCGAAGGTCTCGCCATCATCACCACGAGCCAGCTTCTCTGCGTCCCAGTCTTCCATCCACTTCGCCACCACCCGACCCTTCTCGTCAAGGTCCCACCATCTCTCAGTGATCATTTGGCCTGGAAAAAGCCTCAGCTCATCCTTCTCACGCCACTGCTCCGGCACCTCCTTCGTCTGCACATTCTCAAGCAAGTAGTAAATCGCGAAGCTTGCATACTCGCCGTCTTTTTCGACAACGCGGTAGACGGGGGTGTCGCTGACGCGACCGGCGGATTTGTAGTTGTTGAATTCGTTTTCGATGATGACGAGCTCGTGAGGGGGGTGGAAGGCCTGCGGGTGTTTTGCGGAGACATAGTTTCCAGGGAGTCTCAGACGGCTAGGCTCTGGTGGGGGAGCGGTGGGGGGGACCGGTGAGCCTTGGGGCTTGGGTTCGGGCTTGGGCGATGTCATGGTCGCGTCGTGGAAAGTGTGGTTATGGAGGTCTGTTGATTGTGGACGTTGAGTTGTAGAGGATTTTCTTTTAGGGATGTGTGTAATGTTGAGGAAGGAAAGATGGAATGTTAAGAAAAGCGAAGGTAAGTAGTCATGTGGAGACATCTCTGTAACACAGGGGCGTATCACGTGGAAAAGTGACGCCGTCTCAGCTGCCCAATGGAAACTTGGTGCAGTCTAGACAGCGGCAATGATTCAGAGGGGTCTGTTTCGATGCTGTTCCGAGACCTTGTCGTTTCGTCGAATGCTGTGAGGGATATGCAAGCGATTGGTTTCAAAAGGCGAGCAAGGCGACCGTATGTACTGTATTTACCGAGCTTTTCTTGACTGACAAGATATAGGAACGCGCCTAGTGGTAGTACCTTACATATTACGAAACACACGAGAGTTTGGCCCATTGCTTGGTCGTGTCAGCTCTCGAACAGCTCCTAGCAAGAGAGACTGGGTCGACTTACCCCGTTTGAGGCGGGACAGGTCAGTGACCAATGGTACTCACAAGATGATTCCGCCGGGTTTTTGTAACCCTTGAACCTTCATCATACCACCCCCACACTCGGGGTCGTCACTGCGCGGCGTCTGCCCTGGAAGGATGAGTCCGCCTGCAATTCAGCTTCTCTGAAACGCCCGTCGCCCACAAGGCTACCTCACACGCGATTACCTCTCTAGAGTGGATGACGAATAGTGGCAAAGCTGCCGATTGACCCTGATCTCTGCACGGCTGTGCGCCGCTGCGCTTGTCCGGCCTCCATCTCGCCTGCTATTCTTCAGTAATGTATCAGACTGCGCTACCTCAATGTATGCGCTTCTTTGTGATTCAAGTTAGATAACGCTGCAAAAATTGTTGGCTGACAGCTCCGCATGGCGGACTGAAGGTTGGGTCATTGCCCTTGCACAAAATAGAAGGGCGTCACTTTCGGTCGCGTTTGGTCCGTAGGATTGGGTGACGGACCCCTGCGTTGAAGGCGTATCCGATATCCTAAGCCACTGGGCCGGGCCGTTGAAAGGCAGCACTTCAGTAAGTCGGCAGGTCGAGTCTTTTGGCGAAATCTCTTTCTCTTTCCACGGCATGTTGCATAGCCTCGGTCCGAGTACAACCATGCTTACGTCGGGTACAAGCCCCACATGAAGAGCAGTCAATGGGCAGCAATCTACTTGAGCGTATCCAATTCATGAATTGAAACTCCTTCAGCCGTATTCCATCCTTCTCTTCTGTTATGCCGCAACATGCCGCGCGTAAGCGTCTTTTCCCAGGACAGGTGGTGCCGAGAAGTTGAACAAATAGTGCAGGCAAAGGATCTGCCCGAAGAGAGTATTCGACGAGAGATTTGCTCGCATGAGAACCGGGGTTGAGAAGGCGATGCCGGGAGGGTAACGATCTGGGTTCGGAGATGGGTATTGTCCCCCAGTGAATCTATCCGTAAATGTGTAAAGTGTGCGAAACTAGGTACTTGAATGCGGTCTTTGTACCAAGAGGGCATCATTTCAAAGCGAACGTCGTCGTTTCTTCGACCCCCATATCGAAACTCTGAATTCGGTGTTTCCTTTCTCGTTGTCTGAATTGTTTGGCTTTTGTCGGGTTACTAGAAACTTGGGAAACTTCCATTTGGGTTGGAGTTGCGGTTATAAAAGCTTGGCATTGAGCTTCCGGATCGGGAATGGTGGAATGTGGAATGGAATGGTATTTACTAGGCACCAATGTTAGCCGCTATGTTCATGGATGTTAAAGGTGCTATTGAACAGGGTACTAGACGCCTAAAAAGGTGGCGTCGGCTGGGCTGAGATTTAGTCTGTAGGAATATCACGTTTGGAGCGGGTTGTTCCTCGGTGGGTTGTTTTCTTGAATGAAGCGTATTGCAAAAGTGGTAGCAGTGAAGCACACTGCCTTGTTCTTGTCTCAACGTATCCTCCCATGGTATTAATCGCAAGGAATTGTTTCTGCCGCCCATCTATCCTCTCAGAGTGCAACAAGTCTGTTGTCTTACCAGTTCTTCGTGGTGGCAAAGGTATCCCATGCTTTTGCATCACAACAAACGGTTTCGCTAATTACTAATGAGGCAGCACGATTCTCAAACGGCTACCTTTGTCGTGATTTCCTCCACGGTTAACCCCTTCCGTATCTTAAGCACGCTGTCCACAATGACAGCATCGATTCCCTCGTTCGCTTGCAGCTGTGCATGTGTTAGCATCTCTTCCAAGTCTGCCACTGGATACATGCTTGCCTTTACGTTCTGTGGATCATTATTTAAACCGCCATAGCTCACACAAACAAGCCCAGACTCCTTAACTACCTTGACCAATCGTGGAGCAATGACCAAAGGCTCCGCCGCCGATACCACTCCAAGGAGGTTCCATCGCGAAGCGAAACGGATGGCCTCTTGCAGACTACTGGCCCGGATGTCACCGACGGGATTGGTGCCGGCTTCAGTGAGGAAAAGGATGGGTATCGATGGCTGCTTGAAGGATAGCAGGAGGCAAATGTCTGGGTTGAAGCTCGAGAAAATGACATTTCGCTTCTTGCCCAGGTCGTATACTTTGGTGAGCACTTCGTCGACGAAAGAGTTGAGCTCGACGGCGTAGGTGTCCATCTCTTGCTCTTCGCTTTCGTGCAGCATGGGGTACTTCATCTCGATGTTAAACCCGATGTGCTCAGGTAGCTTGATGAACATCTCTTCCAGCGTGGTGAAGGGAGCTTGGATGAAGTTGCCACGGCTGTTCGCTTTGAAGCCTTTCTCCTTGAAATCTCGGGTATTTTTCATGCGCTCGCTCATATCTGACGTCGAGTCTTTCGTCAAGTCGCCGAGTGACATTGAACGGTGTTTTCGTGGGTCGGAACCGTTGATGGCTTGGGCTGCCGCTGAAACAGGTGATGAAGGTCGGGATGGGCGAGGGGTACGACGGTCGTCATTGACATGAAGAAATTGCTCAAGCGTCAAGGTGTGCACCGGAGCATCGATGCCGGTTTCGCTGACAAGAAAATCGTGGTAAATGACTGGGACATGGTCTTTCGTCAATTGGACGTCAAACTCGATGTATTGAGCTCCGAGGTTGGCAGCTGCGATGAACGACTGGATGGTATTCTCGCCGAGCTGCAGAGAATTTCTTGCAGCTGTGTTCTTGCCCAAGCCTCGATGGCCGATGACCATGGTTGAAGCCATACTCTTCCAATAGGTCAAGTCCTCGGCAATAGTCATGTTAGGATGCGTGAAAGGTGTGATGATTAGGAAGTTGAAGTTGACGGAGCCGATGACTTCAAGGGTGCTTGCTGCCATAATGGGAACAGCGAGATCTCCTTGTAAAGTGATGCGTTTGGAGCCAACGCTAGGCTTGATGCTTGAAAGCATTGCGACACCGCGGCCTACTCTTTGATCGTTGGATCCTGCATAGGTTGGCACTATGTCGAAGAGCAGTCTCACTTTTGTAGCATCGAGCGCGGTGAAAACGATAGGATCAGTACTAATGTTGTCTTGCACAGGCAGGTCAATGATCGAAGGCTCTCCGGTTGCTTCGCTAGCGGACACGACGACGGATAGCGCAGTGTCGAGTTGAGTGGAGTGAGCGTCGGCGAGTGGGATTCGATCTAGGTTCACAGCTTCGACAACCTTCCGAGTGTCCATAGTACCAAGACTAACAAGGATCATTGTTTCTCTTGTCAGATAGCGATGCCCGTAGGTTTTGACAGGCTCACTCCTGCGCAAGGTCCCATTGCCGTTGCCATTAGTCGTTGCATTCGACGTCCTCTCTGCGAGTGACTTGTTTGGTGCGATAGCATTCAGAGGAATGACGGCGAGCGGATCCAACTCGGATGATGAAGGCAGGGCCGTCACGTCTGCTAAGACCACTGCAATAGCCATATGACCTCTCAGCGCTGCGTGCTCTTTCGCTGTCCAGCCAGAGGTATCTAACCTCTCCAAATCCGCTTTGGCCGCAACTAACATCTTGACAAAGTCAATATGACCGTCAACGCAGGCGACAAATAAGGGGGTCCAGCCAAACGAGTTCTCAGCAACCTCTATGTCGGCCTTCTGACCTTCGTGGTCCTCAAGTAAGATCCTTGCGCATTCCGTATGACCAAAGCGAGCGGCGACATGCAAAGCTGTTTCGCCTTGGTCATCTCGATAGTCGAGATCCACCCCGGCTTCCACAAGCAGCTTCACAATAACGACAAAGTCCGCCTTCACAGCCAAAGCAAGGACTTCTCCTGACTTCGCCATATGTTTCTGTACCGCTGCCTTTCGAACATTGGCGTCCTTCCAGTCTACGGTCTCAAGCAGTGTTCTTGTGGTTTGAGAGTGACCACCAATGACACTTAAGTGCAACGGCGAATATCCATCGGCGTCCTGCAACAAAGGCGCATCAATACCGTGGCTAACTTCGCATTGTCCCCAGGCCTGGATGCGGGAGACTATGATCTGACAGATGGCGACACATCCATATTGTGCAGCGTAGTGCAGCGGCATTCTCTCATACACATCTCTAGCCTCAATAGCAATCCGCTGCTGTGGACGTAGCTGATCCAGAAGGTATTCCAACAGCACGATAGCTTTGTCGTCCCTACTCAGCTGGCTGATACCATCGCGCTCCTTGGTCGAAAATGATAGAGGAAGTAGGACAGGCGGTGCGGCTGGCTTGATGTAATTCGTTGTGTCGATGTTTATAGCATCCGTAGTGGGCTCCCCATCTCCTGAACACTTGGAGCGTCCAATAGTGATGACTAGGCGGTGTATGCAGTTACGCTTGTTAATATCATCCCCCGCATCGAGTGTCTCGATCATCGACAGGAGCTGGTCAATGCATGCTTTCGCGCTGCAAGATATCGCTCTTTGCAGAATATTTAGAGTCAAGATGGGCGGGAGACCTCCATGAGGATGTTCTGCGTTCGGGCTTCTCTGTGACAACAATCCGGTCATTCTGAGTGCATCATCTGTACGTATGGCTTGATCCACACTGTCCAGTATGCCTGCAGGAAGGGCCAACATTGCCTTGGACGTTGCCCGCCTCAAAGAGTGAGAAGAGTGGGTAGAGCTGTTATCGTCGCGGATCTTGATCTTTCCAAGCTTTTCGAGCCAGTCATTGATAGTCTTCGTCGTCTCCAGGAGATGGATGTTGGTTGCGAATTGCTTTAGGTCAACCTTAGAGTCCAGGTAGCGTCGCTGCGTTGCAGTCTGTCCAATCTTCTTGTCCAACTTCTTGGTGATCTTTACAAATCCTTGTCTGTTGGTCTCCCCGTACCACTTCAACTTTTTCAGTTGTCCTCGTAGTTCCCGTAGGGCCCCCCAGAGATCGTCCTTCTCATCCTCGTCTATGCCATTCGCTGTGTCCAGTGACAGGCCGTAACGATCATGAAGTAGTTTGAGTCTCCTAATTGCATCTCCATACTTTTTGTTGTAGAATTTGTCCACGTCCTCAAGGTTGCGGTCGAGCGAGTAGAAGAACTCTGTAGGGGGTCAGCATGTAGCCACCAAGTGCAATTCACAACTTGACTGACCAGCGGTGTCTGCGCCATCTCCATGCTTGACCCCTTCTCGCGTAGACTTGATGAGCTTCTTCAACGCCTTATATTGGATGTATGACGCGGACCATTCCGGAACCTGGTTTCCGGGAAGATTTCGACCAAACTTCATGGTGAGAGCTCAGACAGATACTGAAGTGTAGCGCTGACGGTAAGACAAGGAAGGATGTAGCGTAGAGAAAGGAATGGCACTGAGAGAAAGTGTTAATGACAGAGGCGCAATCGGACCCGGTAGAAGGCGAACAAGGACAGAGCAGACGCGGCGGTTTTGAAAGCCATTGAGGCGGTGAATGGTATCATACAGGTAATCCAAACATATCAAAGGAATTTGTGTTGAACGGAGGGAGCTTTCAGTGACAGTGCCCTGCACTAGACACGTGTGAAATGTTTTATTGGTCGTGCGTGCCTCGAGTGAGGAATCTGGTTGGTTGATAGGATTGTGGGGATCAGGACAAGGGCAAGACAAGGTTCGGAAGGGACGTTGTGGATATGCAGGCATCCATTTTAGGTACATAAAGTAGGTAAGAGTAACAGCATTCGAAGCAAAACAGCAAGATCCTGTAAGGTAGTTTTTTGATGATATTATTACTATATTTTACGCCGTTGAAAGGTCTTGAAGCAGAGAATACCTTAGAAGACGGCAGCAGCAATTCGGAAAAGCAAAACCGCAATTTCTTTACCTTATCTCCGCAATCTCCTTAGCGCGACCCCCAGTCCTGCAAGGAACCGCAATTGCAAGAAATCTTCCTCTATTCCTAAAGTACATCTATCTATCTACTGCCTTTTCCCACGCCCTCCAAGGCATAAGATGCCCGGACAGACACCTTGAGCTTGCTCCTCGGAGGCTGACTCGCAGACGACTGCTGACCGTACCCGTTGTGGCAAGTAGATGGGAGTGTTGTTGGGGGTATTTAGTCCGTGTTAGGTTCGATTCCTAATGGCGCTGGTACAATATTAATGGTGTTGCGGTCCTTTTTATTTTCTGGGAGCCGGCTCAACTATGGAGCTCTGCACCGGGTTATGCTGGACGCCAAGATCTCGGATAACGCCCCGCCGCCTGCAGCAGGGTTGCCGAGGCAATGCGCTTAGATCTGCTTCGGAATCGCCGCGCCTGAACTGAGCTTACCTAGTTTGGAGCCCACTGCCTTTACAAGGCCCAATAGAGGTCCCTAAAGCTCAACTCATGCGCTCCCAGGAAAAAGCTCTAGGGCCCCCTGCAATCGGGTGGCTTTCCGAAAGTCGGGTTAAGGCTCCACTAACGCTGGCTAGGAATTACGGTGTAGACCTCCGTACAGGACACCGTTCTCGAGAGAAATGTTCGAAGTAGGACTGCAGAGCGAGGCAGCGTGAGAAGAGCTTTCGTTTCTATGTAACGGGCTGTAAGGTACACGAATCGTAGGCAATCTCATTGGCACTTGTGGCATGACACATCAATACTTGTTGCAGCTATGCACGAGGTTGATAGAAGAGACCCAGGCAAAAATCCAACTTGTAAGAACTCCCATAGCTCGCCGCTCTTTGATCTTCGAAACAGCGGAGAATACTGTGCTATGGTGCTTTTGTAGGTCTTTGAAAGAACCGAGTGTGGGGACTCTATGATTGCCCTCAACATGTCTTGTAGTCTGGATGCAAAGAAAATGCAGATGCATAATCCACCGGCTAACGTCCGTATGTCACAATGGCAAGACGCTGGAAACCAAGGGTAAATTGATCTTGATTCCTCTTGTACAATCAATCGACCGGCTAAATTCTACTCGGTTCCCAGAAGATAGAAGCCGACAGCTTGTTGGGAGGCAAAAACCTACTCAGTCGGGCCCTGCGGCGGGATATCGGCAATCTTCCGCTGGGTACAACCTCCATTGTTCCGGCCCCCATACCTCTCCATCATATATTATGACCAACGACGTGAGTCTCTGAGCTACGATGGTGACTCTCCGATCCCAATCCCGGATCCAAGATCTTACGAAATGCAGCCGTTTCAGCCCCGGCAGCAGCGAGAGCTGTTCACCGAAGAGATACCAGCACGCGAAGAAACTGAGATCGGTGATGTTGCCGGCATTGGTTGGCCCAATGGCATCGGCAAAACTCTCGATCACCTCGCAATACGTGAAATCATACCATGATTCCCCAGGGCGGAAGGTGTTCTCGCGGTAGTAGATGGGAGTCACCTCTAGGTAAAGTTGCCGGCATGTGAAGCCGACTGCGAGCCTCGAGCTCGGGAGTGGTCCGTCGTCCGTCCGGTGTATCTCCATCGAATTCGCAGATCGGAAGTTGCTCTCCGGCAGTCCGTCCTGGCGCATACGATCGTGGAGAACCACATCCCCGTCCTTGACAACCACATACCTCCATATCTGATCGCGAATCTCGGGAGGAAGTTTGAGTAGGGGAGAGAGCTCCTGGACGGGCAAAGAGATCCTGCTGGTTCCAGGCATGGTGTGTGGTCGATGGGACTTCCAAGAAAGCGTCTGGGAATGTAGACAAGGGAGAACGAAGTAGCAGGAAACCCTTGCCAGAAGTGTTGACGAGGTGCGGCAGACGTGTCAACACAAGCCTAGCGAGAGTGTTGAACACAGCCTCGATTCAAAGATCACAGCAACAACCTCAGAGCTGGCGAAGTATGTAGGGGCGAAATCATAGTACACTGGTATGGCATGCGAGACACATAAGGTACCAAGTCTAGGGATGCGTAATGACTGACATTTGACCCCTATGACAGTCATGTGACGGTCATACGGTGATAGGCCGTCTGACCTGACAAATAACAGCGCTAACCGTATACCGTAGGTGTCTAACCGTAAAGATTGTAATATAAGGCTAACTAAAGATAGGCATAGTAGATAGAAGCTTGGCGTTATCTATTCTTAGCTCAATAAGATACCACTAGTGATACTCAGTTTCAGCCCTGAATATCTCTGAATTCCACCATACCCTTCGAATCCCACGCTTCACCTTACTACAAGCTCTTTGCAGTGCGGTCATTTGAATACATACAACTGTCAAATGACCGAGAAGGTCTGACCTGACGTCACGTGTCATATGACAAATCCACATCCCTAACCAAGTCCGATATCCTGAACCCTCGTGGCAACTATCAAAGTATCCGCCAATCCCTCTCCTCACACCTTGTTCATATCAGCGAGTATATTCTTCAGCCCCTTCGTGCAGGAGTTAGCTGCATATGCAGTGGGGCTGGCAAGGTTTGTCTCCTTGTAGAACAGAACCTCCTGGACAAGGAGAGGGACCCAGCAGACGATGGGTCACTAGATCTGTCCCGCTCCATATTTGCTCGGAGCTTGGAAAACTCGCGCATTGACTATGGGTGGGATTGTGGCAAACATGAATACTTCCAATCAATAGATCTCTCAAGGTTTCAACCTTTTGTGTTGTGTCTCCACCGGAACCTTCCGATCCCCATCTGGAAATGCTACACATTTGAGAGTAATAGAATTTGCATAATAAAGTATTGGATTGAGATGCTAAACTACTGGCGTCGATCTTGATACAGTCTGAGCGATGTACGAGTGATCCTCTCCATCTGCTTTCATAACAGTATTGCACCATGTCTTACCTCTCTCTGCCTGCTCGTTCGGTATTTGAACACCGAAAGAACACCACACGTGTGGAAGACCTGCCGACTTAAGCATGCAGGACGAATAGAATGGTATTGAAAAAATGCCCGCCAGGCAGCGAGTGCAAGGCAAGGCGGAAAGAAGAAGCCCCTCGAATCCAAACCGTCCACAAAAGTCCTCGAGCACCAATAGATACCGACCAGGCAGGTTTCACGAGGCCGAAAAGAAGGAATGACGTAGTAAGAAGTGCTCGATGGGTGGATAAGCCGATGCGAAAATACGCGACGAGACAGATCTGAGAATGCTGTGTCCTGAATTCCTCCGCGCATTGGCGTGTATCAAGCGGCACTCCGAGTGTTGGCGCGTTGGTGAGACGCAATGGTCTTGAGTTCTTGTTCACGTAGATCCTCGAAGAAGTCCTCGACAGCCCCATGATGCCAAGCGTTGTTGGTGTCCCCACGCTGGTTATCATAGTCGGCCAGGGTAAGACCCATGTAATCGAACGCTGGATGCGTAGAATGCTGATCTTTTGGGGCGTTCGTAGTCTTGGGTGGAGGCGAGTCTCTACCACCGTCGTATCCAAAATTCACTGAATTGTGATATGTCGTTGAGGCAGTGTAAGCGCTAGGACCATGGTTCTGATGGCTTGAAGTCTCAGCGGTATGCTGCCTATCGCTGTACAAAGCCTCTGACGGTAGACGCACTTGAGGAAGGGGTTGGATGCCCTGTTCACGATACAATGACGATGTGTGAGCCTTCCCAGCGCCGTCAAATTGAGGGAGATAGCCATGCGCTTGGTATGTGGCGGAAGCCAAAGATGACTGAGCTTTGCCGACGGCAAGATCTGGGTTCGTTCTAGCAAGTGAAGCAGAGCTTGAAGGGTGAATTGTTGCATAAAGACCGTTGCCGATGCCACCGGCATTGCCACCATCGTTGGAAGCATTGTTTCCCTTGTTTTCAGACAGCTGTTCCACCCCTTTCGCTTGAGCCCGCTTATTCCCGTTCATTTTGTCTGCCAGCGTTGAGCTTATCTGGCTGAGGATGCTCATAGGTTGGGCAGACGAGTAGCGGGGACTCTTGAGCATCTTGCGGAGGAACTGGTGGGAGTCGCTACTCCCAACGCTACGGTACAGGTCAGCCAGGCTTCATTTGATGCAAGCTGAGTCACATAACCTACCTTGGGACGTTAACAGCATTGACTTCACAAGAGTCCAGGGCATTATGCGCATTGAAGCCCGTAGAAAAGGGATAGTTGCCGTTGACACGCGGGATTGGTGCTCGGATGGTGCTCGCGCTAGGAATGTTCACCTTCGCCGTCTTGGGAACGCCATGCTCCTTCGTCCTCGCTTGCGTTTGCAGCGATTGAAATCGAATTGAACTGCTAGGAGTCGTGGGTGTGGTACCTTCTTCGGGGCCCCACGGACTCTTTGACTCGGTCACTGGCTCCGACGAATCCGAGTTTTGACGGTGGCCTTTTGCGGCATCGATATCGTGATTGTCGGCATCAGCTTGCTTGTTCTTGAAAGTATTGTACGCTTTCATATCGTCCAAGTACTTCTGGGTTACCTCATCCAGTGGAGTGTGGTACCATATGCTATTCAACTCCTCTTCTGTTGGTTTCCGGCTTGAACCAGGGAACAGGGTAGAATCCCAAGCATAGGCTGGCATAGGAGATCCAGTACGTGTATCATCATTGCCCGGCGGGTTTGGACCCATGTAAACCTTGCGAGGCGCGGTGTTCATCTGAATAGTTCCAGCCCCTTTGTAGGATGAACGGATACTTCCTGCTACTGGAGTCTCCGGGTAGTCTTCAATGTAAGCCTGACGTGGATTGTGAACTGTCTCGAAATTCTGAGCTATGGTGGTTCTATGTCCAGTGGATAGATGTGGCTTTGATGCTTGCGCAGTAGAATGGATGTTGCTCGCTTCGAATGGCCGCTGAATGCGCTTATGCTCAGGCGTACGGGGAAATCCTTGTGGTAGCGAGGGCGCTTCGGGAACCTTCACCTCGTCGCCAGGCTTGAGCTGAACGTTCCAGGCAGATCCTGTGTGCTGAATGTTAAGCTCGCTTGTGCTCATTTCCTCGAGCGCGCTCGAGTCAAAGCTATGCCTCAGTTCCTCACGCTTCGAGCTTGCAGTTGGTGAATAACTCCGATAAGCCGGTTTTCTTGGGATCTTGGAATGAGCTTTAGGTGCTGCGATATCAGACTGTATCAGTCTCTTGTTGCCGTCACGGTCGTAGGCAAAATCGCGGAAAGATACGGATGGTAATTGGCCTTTGAATGCAAAGTATGAACGGGATACGTCTATGACATCTTTCATGCTGTCAGTCGTAGCAGGATCCCAACCAAAAATGCGGGGCGAGTTGCGCGCATGCTCGCATCCCGGCCCTGGAATATTGTTGGCTCCTTGACGACGGTAGTTGAAGGCACTGTCATTCCAATTCCATGGGCGAGGGTTGCCGACATGATCTGGGACTTCGGAAGGCAAAGGGATAGGGTCACGATCGCAGATGGCCCACCAGAGGTCCTGTTCAGCGTCGTAGGCGGGGTCTTTGCTTTGACCACCAGCGCATCCATACAGCCTCGCCTGCTCGCGAACCCGACGAACGGCCTCTTGAAACTCGGCAACGGTGGTGCAATAGGTCCTACTGTCTTTGGTCCAATTGTACAGATACCTAGCAGCGTACTCGATGTCTTCATAGTCTATGACACGCATTGCGGGGTCTGACGGGTCCAACACACTGGAGGACGACGACTCCTCGATTTGCGATACCGTTCGAGTCTTCGGAAATGAGACGTTTTGATCAGAATGAATTGCCCAAGTAGAAGAGTTCGCATTGTTCTGGGTCTTGGGTGCTGGATCAATACCTCCAAATGCTGCTCGAATGCCAAACTGTTGGTGCTTGACCTGCTGGCTTTCAGTACGCTTGCCGAAAGTGGCAGAAGGTAGATTTGAAGTATTCCTTGGAACGAAAGCAGGCGCAGCAGGCGAAAGATGCTTGCTCATGGTGCCTCCTTTGGCCACTCGGTCATTTTGGACCGACTCGCGCAAGCTAGTGGGACCAGGAACGACTTGCGCAGCAGGTGTGACTGGCAGTCCAGTGGCAGCAGGCGTAATGATTGGTATGCTGTGCTTTGGTTTCTCTTTACTGAGACGGATCCTATCAATCTCTTCCACTAGACGTCTCCGCTGTGCTATCAAAGAGGCTCGCTCCGCTGGCGTTATATCATAGTGGTATAAAGCAAGATACTTATCGAGGTTTGTGAGTTCGGTCTTCAAGCTTAGCTCGTCACCGTTCTGTGTCTGGTGTTGAAAAGGTACGTCACTCTTTGACATATCTGGCCGAGCAACATTGGTAGCGCTCGCCAGGGGTATCGACGGAGCTGAAGCCTGTGAGGGCTGAGGAGCAACATTGTAGTGAGAGTTGTTGAGATATCCTTGTAGATTGGCTTGGGGATAGTACTGCTGATCAACAGGTAGGTGAAAAGGCTGCAACGGCTCCATACTCGTGCTGATCCCGTTCCAAGATGCGCGATAGCTCATACCATTGTAAGAGACTAGTGTGCTACCGTCCGGAAACAACACCAGGGGTACCATAGGAGCTTGCGCTTGCATTGCTGGACCCATGAAAGATTGGTACCCGAATGGCAAATCGTTGAAGGGAATGGCTGTTTGCGTTGAGGTAGTCTGAGGTGCATGCTGAAGGCTCATACCACCGACACTGCCGCCCTGGCTTTGCAAATAGTCACCTAACGTCATGGAAGATGTTGCTTGCGGGTTCTGAGTACGAATGTTTGATTGAGTCGAGCGGCTTTCCTTCTGAGAAGATCTTGCCGTTGCTGGACCGTCTCGAAGAAGACCGTTGAGCGAGCCAAAATCTAGCATCGGTGGCGGCGAGGAGGGACCAGCTGGAACGATGCGACCTCCCGCTGTCACTCGATGGTGTGGAGGAGAAGCGTGTGCCTTCAAGAATCGCGCAAAACCATCGTGTCGCTGTAAAATAGAGTTCTCTGGAGGAGCATGTGGTTGACGAAATGGCTGATGCATGTACTTTGATTTCCCTGCAGGGTAAACGGTGTGGCTGTGAGTTTCTGCGATACCAGAAGAGATGTTGGAGACGTCAGACAGGCCCCTAGAGCGTGTTGGTAGTCGACGTGACGTTGCAGCTCCCATATACTGGAAGATGTTCTCTGGAATTAGGATTTAGCTCATCTCATGGAAGCCTGGAAAGCTGGAACATCATAGCACTCACCTGCGATTGCCTCCGGTTTAACGCGCAACATAACTGGCACCGCGGGCTGTGTCTCTTTCAACCTCAGCAGAGTCGCAATGTCGTACACCTTCTTCGCTGGCTGACAGCCTTTTTGACGAGAGGCATGGTCGTCTGTTTTAGCAAGAGATTGTTTTGCTTGGCTGGCACAAGGTGGAGCCCCGTCGACATGAGCGCGTTGCAGCTCGGTTGCATCGTTTGAGGGTTGATCGTGCTGAGACTGTTCTTGGACCCAATCAACGATGGTAGATCTGACAGGAGGGAGGGTCTCGGAAGACGGGCGGTCGTTTGCTAAAGGTAGGGTCATGTTTCTTATGGCGTCGAGGTCAAGGTAGCTGGTCTCGCTGAGTTCAGGGTTCGCGTTGATCAGGGAGAATGCATCTGTTCCTGGGCTAGAATCAACACTCTGCATACGGGGTGGGGAAGGGACATTTGTCCAGCCCCCTGAGGACTGCATTTGAGAGTTGTAGAGCTGCTTGAGTTGTAGAGCTGCTTTTGGGCAGGTGGCTGTCGTGTCTGGGTTGGGGTATGGAGTTGTGATGGTGTGTAAGTTGACTCACCTAGAGCAGAAGAAATTTCAAACACTAGAAGCAGACAACTTGTGCCAGCGATGATCCCGGTCGATTATGTGAGCGAAAGGTTATTGGTGGCAATAAGTGTGATGGTTGCCGACGGCGATGAGGTTGTTGAGCTTGAGAAGGCATGTTTACAGAAACGAGAATGCTCTAATGTCTTAGCCGGAGCACAGAGATCTCCTATTTGGCAAGAGCGGCTGTAACTCCTTCCTTATGAGAATCATGTGCATCTTCTACCTTTGACATTTGTGAACAAGAGAATGGTAAACGATATTTGTGGGCGGATGGCAGTGTATCCAGAGTCCACGTTTTTGCCACTATTCATGTATATAAATTGTTGCAAGACACCAAATGCTGGAGTCCATCAACTTCTCAAGCTTTAATGACTATTGGAGCACAAGAGGGGCGACTGCCAATTCGGCGATGTAGCAAGGCTTGCAAGCATTTGACGTGTCGAGTATAACTGATACAGCCTTCAGATCATTTTGTTAATGAGGCTTCTCCCCGCACCTGAAAAGGGGTCTAAATTTGTTCTGGAATTTGGTACAGGAAGCACGAAGTCCTCGTCTCGTATAAGGCTCTTATTTGCCTCATCAGAGTCTGGTTCATGGTATGGTCTAGCACGGGTCAGAAGGGTCATGGTATAGTGAGGACAAGTTTCTGGAAGCGACTGGAGGTTAATCAGATCACTAGGGTTCAGGGTCAATGGCAGGATATTCAATTTGATGCATTGCCTCCAGAGTAGCAAGCCATATTTGAGCCGATGGTGCCATGAGATTTGCACGCCTTAGAAGTACAGCATCACAGTGGACTCTATCTATCAGAGGCTGTGGTATCTTCGATGAAGAAGTAAGAGCCAAGGTTACTTTACGCTGACGGTGCTTCATTCTTCGTCAATTTCCGTTGAAGGGATGAAAGACGTAGCTTGTCGCTTGATTCGTCACGGCACTTTTGCGGATGACTAGAAAATCGACGCCTATCTCATGGTCGAAAGCCTCATACGATGACTCCAGATCCTCCTTCTAAATGCTGAATCTATGAATGGAGCACATTCTTGAATCGCTGGTAGCTACCTACAAGTAAGTTCTGGCATGGACTTTTGGAGGATTGAAAAGCCCAATTCAGGTGATTTATACTTTTCGTCATGCTGGCTCTGGACTAGCGGAAGATCACCCGGCAAGTCAGGAGCTAAGGTACCTTGGCGCAGGGCAAGACCTGATCAAAGATTCGAGGCACTGTGAACACTCGCGACAAGTTGAATACAACGCGGTCCGGACATAAGTTCGAACCAAGACCAGCATCCTTTTTCTACTTCCTTCACCTCGTTCAGTTCAGATATTAGGAGGCTCTGCGGCACATTCGAGTAAGCTCAGAGACAGCTTTCCTAGCAATTCTTGCGTCGAGCCTGCTCCCCGAGCACCCACAAGCTGTGTCTGGTCTGCGTAGAGCAACAGTGTGACCCTTGTCTCTTAGTTCCATCACAAGCTACTGACTCTTCGCCACTGCGCTGCCTCTTAGGAGATATCTAAAAAGCATCTCCACCCCCATCTTCTTCGCCAAACCTCCAACTACTAGAAACGACAGTATGGAGACTATTGGGAGCAGACTCCGCAAGAGACGCCGTACGAGCCCGATGTACAATGAGGATAGCGAGGACTCTTCTCCACCGCCCAAACGAGCACACCCTAATAGGGGTGCATCTACCCGTGGCAAACGTGGGCAAGCTGCTATCTCACAACAGAGCATGCCTGCATCTTCCCATGAAGAACCACAACCCCCTGTACACGCGGCATCGCCAGTACCTGAGACTTCTCCTCCAGTTGCCTCGCCAGCCTCCGCGCCTAGCATTCAGCAGCCTCCCCAGGAAGCGCCTACTTCCAATCGGCACCTTCCATCTGGGCAACCCTCTCCCCTAGGTGCACATCCACCAGACATCAACACCGTTATTGCAGACATCATCAACCATGGTGAGACAGTTGAAAGCCACTGTGCCTCCCAAGGGTATGCTGCAATGGGTATGGTGGACACAGAAAGCTATTCACAACTAGGAGCTAGTCTACATCTCAAGCTTCAAAGCCTTCCCATCTTGGACAATTTGGTAAGCTGCTATGGGTTACCGAGACGATGTGATCGCTAAGGAGTACAGGCCACACAAATCATAAATACCTTAGCCAAATCCTCATACCAAGAAATCCTCACCATAGCCACGAAACCTGACTCCGATCCCGGTCAAGCCTACGCGACTCTAAAGTCTCTTTTCGATCATACTAAGAAGGTCTACTCGATCACTGAGCCTTTCCTAAACCCTTATGAGCTTGGACTTGTGGAGAACGCCCATCTTGATACAATCAGGAAAGCAAACATGGCTACATTCGTTTCGAGTGTCTTTGGGAGCCAAGACGTAGGATTCTATCATCTTAACGAAAACTTTCTTGACACCTTCGTCGCAGATGGCGGCCGTCTTTTGAAGAATCAAGCTCAGTTGCTCCTGGATCTGAAGACACAGGCCTACATATCTGCTGCAACCACTGGCGAACGTAGCAGAGAGGCAATTCTTGATGACCTATTTCCGCATGACCTAGGGGATCGCTTGCTGAGGCGAAGAACTGGCGCTAAACAGTTGGCTCCGAGCGAAGCGGAATTTGTGCAGCGTGCTCAGAATCGAAGGAAGGCGTTGCTTGAAGAACCAAACACCGAAGCAGGGATGGCGGCTCTGCCAGGGAAATACATTTGGGAAGATTTCTTGAGGGACATTAGTACATATGTGAGCAAGAACTTCGAGGCCATTGCTGGTATAGCTGTGAGTGCATTCTGACCGTCTGCGAAGTGCTCGCTGACATTCTGGCAAGGCTCGTAAGGCGCCTCGCCCCGGCCGCGGATCGAACGTCTTTACCGCCGAAAAGAGTAAACAACAGCCTCAGTCGCAGCAGCGTCTTACACTACAACAGCAGCAGGTACCACAACAAGAACGCCATACTCGGCAGATGCCGCAAATGCAACGTGAAATTTCACTAGGAGGATTGCCCGCCCCAGCGGAGACAGAAAACCTTCATATTGATCCTCGCATTTCCGGAAATGATGACATCGCTGAGAGGGCGGCACGTGCAGCTCCTGTCGCGATGCAGGACTTTGGAAACAATGAAGGTTCTTTAACTCCTCAACAGCCTCTGCAAGAAGCTCAGTCATCAGATGAAACCAGAACCCCGGGTTCAGTGCAACCCGTTGTGAAAGGAGACTTGCCCCAAATCCAGTATCACTTTGAGCATCCGCTTCATCCAAATGTACCTGCTCCACCACCGCCTCATTGGACATTGACGCCGTATGACCATCCTCAGCAAGCACAAGGACGTACACCCGTCCAACAACAATGGCAAGGGCAAGGGCAAATGAACATGGGACAACTTCATCCATCATATAGCGACCCGAATCTCATTCCCTACCCAACACAATCAGCACCTACTTCGGTGCTATATGAACGGGCAAGGCAAGCTGCCACAGCCAAATCGTCTCCGAACAATCGTCGTACCGGCCATCCAAGTCAACGTCGCCCATGGACTATAGAAGAAGAGAATTCGCTCATGGCAGGCCTGGATCGTGTCAAAGGACCTCACTGGAGTCAGATTCTCGCAATGTTTGGTCCAGGTGGTACTATCAACGAAGTACTCAAGGATCGAAACCAAGTCCAGCTCAAGGACAAAGCGCGCAATCTCAAGCTCTTCTTTTTGAAGAGCGGCATCGAGGTTCCGTATTATCTGCAATTTGTCACTGGCGAGTTGAAGACAAGAGCGCCAGCTCAAGCGGCCAAGAATGAGGCTAAGGTTAAAAGTGCAACGAGTGAGGATCGTGCTCATGTCGAAGGTGTCTTAGCTCTTGCCGGAGGGCAGCTGCCGGAGTCAGATCAAGCTGCAACAGATAGGGAAGATCAGGAAAGTGCTGTGCAGAATGGTGACATCGTTATGGGAGATGCAGACGGTGGCCATGATAGTGCCATGGGCAACAGGACAGAGGCTGATTTCGGTACCGCAAACGGACAGGATGTTGCTGGAGAAAGCGCCGACGCGCTAAGGGACGATGTTGGAGAGATCGCACTACTAAAGCAGGAAAAACCAGAGCAGCATCGGACACAGCAAGCACAAATGTTACCTACGAATGTTTACATGAACGGGATCGACGGCAGACCAAATACCCTCAACTTGCATACTCAAGCAATGCATAAGCCTAATCTGGACTCATCAAACACCGATCCAGCTCTCCTCGTTTGATTGAGATGTGCCTATTACCGATGAGGGCCTTGACACAACTTCGTTGCCGCTAGCTCGAGGAAATCCCAGTCAAGGTTCAGTATAAGAAGGCGCCCATGGTTCTCAATCTTTCTTCGACGATGCTGTTCATTCAATGACGTCCTGTTGCACCCGTTACATACCTTTTTTCATTACAGGATTTCCAGATATCGAAGGTGCATGCAGAAGGTGTGACTGGTGACACTGAGTTTGTTCCAGTATCTCACACAACTTGAGAGCATTTGGGATTGCTCTTTGATGAGGACTTCTTTAGTTTGGAGCAATACATAGTTGACTGCATACGTTCATGCTAATAGATACCACGGGAGGGCGGGGAAAGGCACCAGGTTTTGACACTCGAGCCAACGAACATGTACATATGTAGATCAAGCTTGACACCAGATCAATACGGACTCTACGGGTCATGACAACCTTCTAAAACTCATAGTGCCTCCATATCGTTTGGCCAAATAATGTTGGCTTATCCATACCCTTCTCGCGAGACTTCATCCGGGTCAAAACGCCTCGCAATGCCTGCGCCTTCATCCATGCAATCCCCATCATTCTACTACCACCCAACCCCGCATCACCGATAAAACTCCCCCCTCTTAACATTAACCCCGTACTCCCCAACCGCACACCCCAAATCCTCCATCGTCAACACCGCCCGTCCCGCCTGCCCGCCTCCCCCTCCACCCCCTCCATACCCCGCCCTCTGCACCCCCAGCACATGCTGCCCACTCTTCCCCTTGTCGTCCTTCCCCCCGCCGCCGGCCTTCCCGGCCCCGGCTTGCTGCCCCGCCCCGCCTTCCGCTCCCGGTATGGCGGCGGCCGCGGTGGTGGATTGCCCCGCGCCCGTGGCGGAGGATCGCATCCGCGAGTACTGATACGCGTCGGCTGCTATGTCGGCGATGAACTTCTGCGTCGCGAGCGCGAGGAGCCGCGCGAGGGGGAGCGGGGTCGTGGTGGGGGATAGCCCGGCCAGGAGGAGGTGGTGCTGCGTTACTGCGTCGGGGATCTGGATGCGCGTCAGTGAGATTTTTTCTTCGTTTGTGGGGGGAGGCGAGGCGGAGGATCGGGAAAGAGTGGTAAGCAAGCCGGGGAGAAAAAAACGTACGATGGGTGCGTAGTCGTCCATCTTGCCCAGGAAATCCCGCAGTGAGATGTCCTTCCGGGTCGCTTCTCGGGGCTCGGGGAGCGCTTCGTCCAGGGCTGGGTTCTCCGGGTCGGGAGGCGCGGGGTCTATGGCCATGTCGATATCGGGGTCGAGCTCGGCGTCGTCGGTGATGGAGGGTTGTTGGGTGGTGGAGGGATCGGGGGCGGAGGTGGGGTTGGGGTTGGGATTGGGATTGGGGGAGGCCATGGTGGCAAAGGATAGAAGCGCTGTGAGGGTGATGCAGTATACTCGCTGTCAAGACGTGGTGGTGTAGGAGTGTAGGGGTGTTGAAGGTTGAGTTGCTGATGTACTTTGCAGCACCAGCAATTGGTTATCGCTGTCAGCCTTATGGAAGGGCTGCCAAGACTTTTCGCTCAATCGAACGAATCTCAAATCGTCCTCCGCCACTTCTCAATTGTGAAAGAGACGACCAATCTCAAACAAATCTTGGGACAAATAGATGCTGAGCAGTCGCAAAGTTGCGACAGTGTTTGTGTTGGACATACCAGGCACAACATGGCGTTTCTTTCTTACCTCGAAAGTGTTTCATGCAAGCACCAGCTTCCTAAAACATCTGTCGCAAACTCCAGACATTCGTCTAATACGATTACCTAGACAAGGCGTCCTTGCCTAGGCGAGTGAAAAAGCAGAAGGGATGTTTTTCACCATAAGATGAATCTGTGAGTCACCTGGCATGTTTGCGATAGTGGACTTGAGACGTAATAGAAAAATGAAACGAGCCTTCGTTACTTGTACCGCTCAAGAGGGTAACATCCTCTATCAGTAGGTTGGGCAGTTGTCCTCTTTCACCTACGTTTCATGGAAGCACGTGACGGTTTGTGGACCTTATGAATACCCATCATCCCCAGGTCCTTTTGATTATTCTCAAGAAACAAGACATAAACCCTCTACCTCGTTACAAGAGAAAGCAACCAGACATAGCCCATCTAAATCATTCAAAGAGAAAGCAACAAGGCATACTCCCTCTACATCGGCACACAAGACCTCCGCATTAGAACTATCGTTACGACGCCTCACAATTATGGCACTGATTCTCGCAACCGCTTTCATCGCCATCACAGCGCTCGCTCTCCCCAATCCCACCAACTCCATCCTACCACGCGACTTCCCTGAGCCTCTAGGACGCAACCAGGGGTCTCCTTTCACCGCCCTCACGTTCACAATATACGAAGAGCCGGACTGCAAAGGTAAACCCGCAGGTACCTACGCAGGCTCTTACGGCTTCTACGAAGCCCACCAAATGCAATCCTATAGGCTCACCCGCACACTAACTATTCACGAAGTGTTAGACTTCTACTCTGGCTCGGCGACAGATCTGACAGTCAATAATACACACGATCCCACCAAGAACGGACATTATACAGAGGCTTGCTGGCTGTATGACGCAACGGCGGGGATAAATGCTACTGAAAAGGATCAGGCTACTGAGGGGGGCGGGCACAATGGGAAGACTGCAGGGTGCCATACTCTTAACAAGAATGAGTGGTGTGCGATACTATGGTTACCGTAAACCATTGCATGACAGGGCGCCGGCGCTCTTAAGTGCCACAGGTCAGATTGCAAGATGTATCTGACGCTAGGATGCGATATTGGCTTGGAATCTTGGGTTAGACTTAGTCTCGAGGGATTGGATAAGCAGGGTGCTGGGAAGGAATCGATGCCGCGAGAAGACACCCCCATGCGTTGAATTTGATTTATGATAATGCGATTCGAATTGTCAGTGGCGTTTGGTGTATTTTTAGTCATTTTGCCGGGTGTGAGGGAGAAAGATAGAAGGCCAAATATTCGCCATCATGACGGTTCTGGGCGAGAGAGTCGAGGGCTGTTGAAGGTGGAAGCATTGATATGTATTGCAAAGGCTTTTGGTCAATCAACGCCTGGTGACACTGTCAGCCTGGTCCGTTTGGGAGAGCTGCCAAGACTCTTCCATCCTTCCGCTTCAATCATTTCTCCATCACTTCTCCATAAACAGAGAGAAAAGTCTATATGCGGTGCATTTGCATACACAACAATGCTTGGCCTTACGTCCGCGCTGCTACGAGAACGATTTGTGGCCAACGATGCCTACTTCGTGTGACAAACTAGAAACAAGCCAAATGCTGTCAAAAGGAGAGACATCTGGAGTTGGGGGACGACTGAGATGTCATCTTACCTTTTTAAAGCACGCATCTCAGTTATAGAGGGAGAAATGAGGGGAGAGTCATGCTAAGGACAGTGTTTGCCACATCCATACCGGCCTTGGGCATTGGAACAATATTTACATGCGCAGCCAGCGACGCATGGTGCACGTTTCAGCGTTGACAGCATCGCTTCATTGGACAAGAAAGAAGCCCCTCCTATTCCTGCAAATAATCTCGTTTCAAATTCGTCTTTAACGAGTGTTTGTCTGACACCTCGTGACGTCTCTTTCTGATCCTTTGAGATGTTTCATGCAAGGATCAGGAAAGGAGCACCGCCAACTCCAAGCCCCCATCTCAACTTCTCGGACAAGGCTTGCCTCTCGAGGAAAGTAGGAAAGAAAAAGGGAAGATCGCCCAAAAGAAGATGAAACGTTGACTTGGCCGGCGTTTTGGAATGGCGCTGAAACTGGCAACAAAAAAACCATGAAACGATAATTCATTCACTTGTCCGGCGGTCAGCAGAATTTTTCGCCAACTCTGGCAGGTTACAGTGTTTGAAACAAAGACCTCCATCAGCATAAAGGAGGCAGACGCTTGTTCTATTTACAGAAAACCTTTGTGGAATAATTCTCCTCTCCCACGTGCGTTCTCTTTGGGAGTATCACAGGTCGTGGCCACGTAAGTATTCATCATCTCCAACCCTGCGAACAATTTTCAAGCAAACATATCTGATCCCTCCATCTGAGTACCTAACCCCTTCTGTTCCCCTCTAAACGATCATACAACGCTCGCAAGTATGACACTGCTCCTCACGGCTGCCCTCATCGCCGCCACCGCGCTCGCTCTCCCCACCACCAATGACCTTCTACCGCGCGACTTCCCCCAACCCCTGGGCCTCGACCCCGGCCTCCTCTTCTCCCAGCTCACATTCATCACCTACGCCGAGCCGTCCTGCCAGGGCGACGGGCACGTCTTCACGGGCGCCTACGGCTACTACGACGCCTTCCAGATGCGATCCTACAGCCTCAGCCGCTCGCTCCTGGCCGACGAGGTCTTGGACTTTTACACCGGCTACGGGACCGGGTTGAAGGACCGGTATTCGGTCGATCACGCCATGGATGCCCATTACACGGAGGCGTGTCTGCGGTACGATGCAACGGCGGGCATCAATGCGACGACGCACGATAGTGAGGGCCATGGGAGGTGGAATGGGTGCCATACGCTCAATAATAACGAGTGGTGTGCGGTTGTGTGGCTGAAACCTGGTAATTAGGAGATGGAGTGCTGGCGCTCTCTTGCATGTCACGGCATCGATTGTGCAAGGCATAAATGGCGTGGGGATGGGAGTTTTGGGTGGGATGTCCGGTGTGTTTTTCTGAATCGGGTGTGTGACCGACGAATGCCGCTGTATCAGCTCTAGGTGTGTTTGTGTCTGGGTATCATCGTGCTTTTCAAATCATGCGCTGGCGTTTGACGCGTTATCAGTCACTGTCCGGTAGCGACTTTAACAATTGGACACATGTTTTCTTTCACCTCTCACGCCGTTTCCACTCCACCGTCACGGGAGCAATGCTCCCTCCAAAGTTGAAGCGCTGGAATATTGGAGCGTTGAGACCCTCTTTGGGAAAGCTTGAAGCGGCAATTCTTCTCTTCGTTCTGGGCTTCATTGCCTACTCCCAGATCCGTGAACATCGCAGGGTCTTCCCCCACTGGTGTCTCCATAATCTCACGGTAGCGAAACCCGCGCTCGATTTTGGCTTGAGTGCTGCGGTCGACGATGCGATGAAATGATTCTGATAATCCGACAATGTTTGCGCCTGCGTGCCAATCTACTTCTCAGTCCAAGATCTTCGTACACTGACATCGCAAGGTCATCGGCTGTGCCCCAGGCTCTCCTGTCATCTCGAGGCTTGTGCCTGCAATCAAGATCGCTATACGGAGCCGGTGTCGCGCGACTGTACGGCGTAACGGAGAGGCATCACAGCCCACCTGCGATGCTATCGTCCATAATCGAAGGCTGATGAAATTTCTCCCGTCACTGTCGATGCGTTCGGCCCAACTCGTGTCCGTCGGGCCGGTATCCGCAGCGATGATAACATGTAAGAACGTCGCCACCGGTCTCACTTGTACATCCTCGCGGTTAATCCACTAGGCTATAATAAAGTGCCGAACCTCCTTCTACTCCCTCAGGGGCATGCTGTGAAGCTCCTTTCTCGAATTGAAGGCGTCCGGCAACAAGTTCGGTATCTGGAATGCGTTGACTCATCCCCGGCGCATCGGGTGGTTCTTTGTCACTCATTTTCTACAACAGCATGGGCTTGTAGATCGGTCTCTTTCGTCGCTTGCGCCAGAGAGACGGTAAAAGGATTTCTCCGAGTTGTGCTAAGCTGTGAGCCGAGAGCTGGTCGTCGTATCTTGTGACTAGGCAGCAGAGAAACTTTCCGTCATCGAAAACAAGCCAGTCGCCGCTCCTACAACCATCAGTCGCAGAACCGACGTCGGCGAGCTAGTCTTCCAACAAGAGGAAGAGAACCTAGTCTGATTTCTGGGAGGATCCGTCCGACCACCCTTCTCCGCCCTTCTGGCCCCAACCGTGGGAGAGATGTTTTTTGCACACACCTGGAGACCGAATCTGTTCGAATACCGCCCTGCAATTCTCCCGAAGATGGATGCCTTGGACAGAGACCCTCAACATACGACATGGCTTTGGGACTCGGTCTGCCTGCCTTCATAGGCGCAAGAGAAGGAGCAGGCGAAGATAGTCCCGAGACGAGGGCGGTCCGCAGGAGGAGATTCCGATACCGTTCCGTCGAGTACAAAGGCACCTCGGGGGCCGAAATTTCAGTATTTATTTCTTGCCGTGGAGCGTGAATGAGAGAAATGCGCCTCGCCTCCGCCGGTCTCGGCCGCGGGAGTCGGAGAAACGATTGAAAGCCATGATGCCGGAAGGGGCGGGCAAGGAGAACATCGCGACACGACTACTAGCTTCGGTACTTTCGGTACTTCTGGCTGACTGGGGGCCAAAGGCAAGAAAAAGGGAGCAACGATCAGAAGGACTTGTCTTTGCGAGGTTACTGTTTTTGGAAGGATTTGGCTGGTTTCATCAGGGCCATGCGTGGGGGAGTCACTGCTGCTTTTCGATAGGTTTGCACTGGGATGTATGAGATGATTGTGGAGGGGTTCGCTCTTTGTCTTCTTTTCGTACATGAGATACCTTTTTAGATGCTAGCTCGTTCAGCGAGTCGAATCAGGACGCTCGTTTCGAGTGTCAGTGGTCTTCGCTCGGTTGTGAACTCACCAAGTCACCGTGTCACATGTTACGTCAGCGAAAGAAACTGAATACCTGTTATGAGTGAACCATCTCATCATAAGCTACTACAAACCAGCCTTGCATCCATCCGTGGTGCGTACCTCGCTATGCCGTGGCCTCCAGTGAAGACGCATTCCCAGGCAACGATTCGATCCCTGCCGCCGCCGCTGCTGCCGAGCTCATGGTCAGGAATATGTTGCCGAGATCTCCTATTGCGGGACCGTCAGCAATTTCCCTCGCTTCCTTCCTCGCATCCGATAATAAGTATGTAAGTAAGTGAGTCAACTCACCAAGTCCCGTGTAAACCCCTCCCCGTCCAGCCCGCACGCACACGCTGAACACGGCCGTCACGGCCTCCCACATGCGATACCACGTGCTGATGTCGGATGGACCGGTCGAGAAGATCTGAACGACGCATTTGTCGTCCGCTGCTCGCGTTCACAGATCCCGCGCGTCAGTTTTTATGTATCTGACGTACGTACGTATATACATGTGCACGTAACCCAGACTGCGATTTATGGAATCAAGCTCAAACGAACACGCTCGACGGTCGACACTTACACGAATCGATATACATGGGCAACCCCTGCTGCGTCTCGGGCGCGCTCCGGGGGCCGAATATCAGCCGCGCCACCCCGGCCGGCATGTCGCCCAGCACGTCGCGGCAAGACGTCCATTCCGGGCCGAAGGCGCCGCGGCAGCGCACCTTGGGCTCGTAGATGCCGAGGACGACGGCGAGGTTGTTGTCGCCGCCTGCGTACGTTCGAAAAATCACCATTGATCAGTAGTGCGTGGAAATTGACGGAATCGAAAGCCTTGCGATGGCCCAGGGAAAGCGTGATTTTCCTTTTTTTTTTTTGCATTTTGAGATCCTACCGGGTCGAGGAGGAAGTGAAGTGGTTGGCTTACCGATGTTGCGGGCGACGCCGCCCCGCGACTCGCCGCCCGCCGCGCACTGCAGGATCAGAGCGCTGGCGGCGCGTCGGATCTGGCCGAGGCTGGCGAGGGCGGTGCGGGCGTCGTCGGAGACGAGGGTGGCTTGGAAGAAGCAGAGGGCGCGGTCTGTTTGTTGTCAACATGAGCATCGTCGCATTCACATATTACCATGCTCCAAGAAATGTATTGTGAGGCCTATAATATAACATAAAGCGGTTTCGGCCGATCACTGACCTCCCATGATCCGAAACGGAAGCGGAAACACTATTGCTTCCAGCCCGGTATGACGGTTGCCCCATGTGTATTGCACCGAGTCGGGCGTGACGTGTTCCTTTGCGGATTCGCAGTCGATGATGTTGGGGTTGAAGCCGAAGTGTTCGCCGCTGCAGCGGATGTCCAGGGCTGCGTCTTCGGTGGACGATGCGTTCGGCGTGGATGAGGTGGTGTTTGAGTTGACTGTGGGCAGGGAATGAGACAGGAGAGAAGAGGGAAGTGAGGGCGCTTGCAGTGGGCTTGCTAGGACGGGAATGAGGGAGAGGAGAGCGAAGGGTAGGCTACATGATAACACCATCTTCTGTACCGTGCTGCGGATCACCGGCACAGCTTTACTTGATCCCGATTTCACTACAAGACTTCTGGCATGGAAGTAGGAGATGAATCAAGAGCCAACGATAGCTCGTGTAGTCGTTGAATGACTCGACTTACGCGACTTGACTGTAGCCGCAACTGCCTCGCTTCGTACCATTGGCGCTCTTAAGCAGTGTGGCTCACAACCAGCGGCGCGGCTATATAAGCTTCAACGCATTGTGGTTTTTCCGAGGGCATCGTGCTATCATTCGTTACCTTCTGGGAGGTTCGAGTCGAAGGATGTCTCCAGCGTGCAGGTCTATGAACGGTGATGATCGCACTGCACAGCTGCACACACAGGAATGTTTGATAAGAAGCAAGAGATGGAAGTGGAACACTTGTTTTGATTTAGACCGTGAACTCGAGCCAGCCGACGGGTCTAGCCAACACGCAGCAAGCCATTAACCCTGATGTCAGTAGTGGTAGCCACTGCCAGCAGTCATTGTTAATCGACTCCTCTTTGCCTTACTTTGACGTTGATCAGTAAGGGAAGTCCATGAATCAGTCGTCCCAGGCCGCGAGCAAAGTGCCTCATCCGTGATATCAGCGCCCCTTTGCAGTCTCAAAGAGCGCATCTGGCTAGCTGGTGCATAGCCAATCTCATCCTACTTCTCGAAAGCTCCGCAACGGTCATCCTTCTGATTGCATTACCGAGTGATTTCGAAAAGATGCTCAAGCATTGAAGCCGGGGAGCGGACCAATGATAGCGGACTGGGGTTCGAGACATAGCACTCAGAGCAGATGATCCGCTTCCTCAAACTGGCTCCCGGCAAAAGATACTTGGTATGAGCTCCATTCCAGCAGTAAGTGCAGGTTCAGAATTCAACAGGCATCCTGATGCCTGTATTGAACGCGATGGTGGAAAAGATTGCGCATGTTGTCGAGCGATGAACGACTGGTTTTGCGGAAAACGAAGGACTCATCGTCGATCAATTAGAATATCGCCGCCAACGCATTGATACAATACTCATGTCGCTCCTCGAGGTGGACGAGGCAATAATGCTAGGTATTCACCCCACGGATGAAACCATATGCCTTGACAGCCAGCCGCGACCAGTAAATCTGTGGTTGTATTCAAATACTTCCGGTTACTTTTCTAGGGTGTGAAGGTATCATTGAAGCGCAAGATAAGAGATGCAGACCTCACGACGGGCCAAAATCCGCGCCAAGGAAATTCGGTGCGCATATGCAACGCTATCGAAATGTTACATGAGAGCGCAGGAGAAGTCTCTCAACATCAGTACGTTCGATGTAGACAATCTCATGCTGTCGTATTGAATTGAATGGAATAGTAATCGTCGTTGTCGCCCGTAGGACTTGCTTAAAACCCTCTTGGGCTAATTACAATATTATTACTTTTTTATGTACAGCTGGTCGACGCGATCTTATCCAAATCGCCAGAACAGTAGGGAAAGCCAAAGTCGACAGTGGCAGTTGTTCGATTACTGAGTAATCAACCATGCGGTTCGATCTTGCTTCCTAGCTTGGCGTCGGGCCTTTCAATCACAAGCCCTTCGATTGCAAGAACGTCTGGATCACGTCATACGCGCCGGTGGCGTTGTAGTGCAAGTTTATGCCGTGGCCCGAGTTGGGCTGGATGTACGCTGTGAAATCACCGGATGGCACCATGGGGAAGTTCATGGCCGCTGCTGCTGGGATCGAGGGAAGAGATGCATTGCCGGTGGCAAAACAGTTGCCTCCGCAGTATGGCAGGTCGTTCGCTGGGATTACATTAGCATGCTTGATGATTTGGGACTTGACGTGGTTCGGAAGAACTTACACCCGGTAACAATCAGCACTGGCCCAGCGAAGGCGTTCATCATCGGCGGACTACCCAATGTCAACAGCTCGCCGACAGTGACAGGCTGCTTCGTGTTCTCGGCCACGAGCAAGAGACCAGGATCAAAGAAGCCAGGCAGGAAGAAGAGATACTGGTTGGCGCCAATGTTCGCGTTTGTCAAGTAGCCCGCAGGGTAGTTCAGACTTGGTGAAGAGGAATTTAGTCCCACAACGTAGTCCGTCAAGCTATACATTTTGAGAACAGACTCAACAGTAGATGACGAAATATTGGTGTTGAGGACAGACTCCACAGCAGATGAAGAGACATTGCCGAGGCGGAATGGCTGGTTGAGGTACGCTTGCTCAAAGTTGGACCCGGCCTCAAAGTAGCTGACGAAGGAAGCGTTCATCGAGAAGCCGGTCAGGACGATGCCGTCGGAGATGGTGGGGTACATATTGACAAGGGCATAAGTCTGGGCAGAGCCGAAGGAGTGACTGGACGTAACATTAGGATCTGCCCCTTCAAGAGTGTACTGATCATGCTCACCCAACGTGTGTGACTTTGCCGAATGTCTGTTTGACGCCTGGGAATGTACCATTGCGCAACATCATTGTCAGTTCAAACAAGGCTGCCATTTCTAAAGACGCTTGGATCTCATCCACAGGCTCGCCGTGGGAGGAGTTGCCGATGCCCAAGCGGTCGTAGGAGAGTGTGCAGTACTTGTATACGTCGGTAGCAACATCGACGTAGCTGTAGTTGAAGTTGTCGTAAGAGAGATCCCAATATCTAGCGCCATTGTCAGCAAGACAACTCAAATCGAGTCAAATGAATCGACTCACGTCTTGTCAAAGCCGATTCCGTGGGTGAGGATCTGAACGGTTGGCTTGGTCATAGTCGCATTCATGCTGCTAGGCATACAGAACTGGGTGCTGATGTCGTAGGTGCCTGCCGTTGTCGCGTAGCCCGAAAGTACGGTTTCAGTGAAGTTTCTGCCCTGCTGGGTTTGGTTTTGGGCGAAAGTAGTGGCATCGAGGTTGGTCTGTGGCACGGTGATATTGAAGACAGCGGTGCGGGCAGAGATTGTGACCGGGACGGTCATGTTGATGCATGTTTTGGCAGCTGCTGAGCCAGCAAGCACGACCACCGCAAGGGCGGATTTGGGGAACATTTTTGCGGTTGTTCGAGCTTCTCGATTAGCTGTGCAGAATGCTATTCCAGGCCAGTCTTTACGGATCAGGACTGTTTGGGCCGTTGAAAGGAGGGGGCGACTTGTCGAGGTTAGTGAGTTTATAGGAGAAAAGAAAAGGAAACAAATGGCGCAGACAGGGATAATAATGATCAACGCGAGAGGACGTTGAGATGAACGTCATGATGCTTCTCGCGTGTAATAATGATATATCCATGTTCCCGCTTTCCGACTGAGCTTGAAATGAGACATTATCCGTGGTTCCTGCATTAAACTTCCACATCTGATGACGATTAAAGCTCGGATTGTGCTGGTACACAACCAAAGAACCTAGATCTTTGAAGCATGCTTTTTGATGATTGGTCCTTCGAGGTTGGAGCATATCTCAGGGGTGGAGAAGATGTAATTTGCTCAAATAGAATGAAAGAGAAAAGAAAAACAATTGTCGATCTTAAAGATGAGATGCTCTGCTCTCAAAAGGTCTGGATCTTTGGAAGAGACTAAGAAATTGACGCAAAGTTAGGAGAAAACCTTTTCCTCTTTTGACTGAAAAAGTGGATCTTGGCACCATTAGTTTCTCCGTTTGAGGCGGGAATGACGTACATTGACGCCGATTTCACTCTTTTCGGACACCTGCTCTCTGCCGAATGAGGGGAAGCCCTTTTTGACTTTCCCATCTTTAGAACCCCCAAAGAATACTTACATCTATCTCATCTCCGCTTATTCCGCCCTGCTGATATTCAAGTACCCAAGAGCTGATTGTACACTTCATACTGCTACTCGCGCTGAAAAGCCGACGAGATTCTTCCCTCTCAAAATTCAACCTCGGATCCATTGGGCCAAGACAAAGAACATTGAACCCCTATCACGGTCAGGGTTAGATGACGACACATACCTCGTCGGCGCCAAAGGGGGGCAGTCCTGGGGGGGTGTACGTCTAAAGGAAAGTGGTGTACACCGGGGCCCATTCCCCGAATCTTTTCCCGTGGAAAGAGAAAATATGATAATCGTGCCACGCACTTACCTCGCTACCCCTCGACACCACTTGGACCCAAACGCGGCACATGATTAAAGAGATGTGACTGGTCAGGCTGCTGGCACACCCTGACATCCGAATCAGGTGTTGACATACGAGTCGCAAATCGTGGTGTGTTGATACCAGGTCTTACTTCAAAGCCTGCTGCATAGGTCGCGTCCAGAGTACACGTATCATCCTCTGCCCTTTTTTATAGATAATATGCGCCTCATCCTAGAGCTCAGAAGCGACAGCCCCGGGCTGTGCTTTGAGACCTCGCTCTCATAAGTCCAGTTACCGCTCCGCGAGTCGCATCTTCATTCTTGCGGTGCGCGTGAAAGTCCCTTCAAAAGAAACGTTGCCGCCAATGTACAAAATCTCATCTCCTTGGTCGTTTGATCGCGCTGCAAGTGTTGCAATCGTACCAGTCGTCCCATCATGAAGTTATCTCCATCCTCGTCTCCCCTCCTCTCCTTCTGCTACTTGCATACCCTGACCCTCGCAGCTCTCTCCGTCGTGAGCCCGCATCCTGCAAACGCAATGGCAACTCTGAACTCTACGTAATCTCCGCCTCCATTCCTCTCTCCCGTTCCCTCTCCTAACACATCCACCCCCAGCACACCGCCCCCCAACCCAGCCCGCCCGCCCCTCGACCCCACCCAACTCCGCGTCCACGGCACCACCACCTCCCTCGTCTTCGGCAAATACACCGCCCCCGTATCTCCCTTCGACCTCGTCGGCATCGTCGAGAAAGCCCAGTTCGAAATCGTGCAGTCCGTCGTCAAGGCCCGCGGCGATGCGCCCATTGCCCAACCGACGTTCGAATGGCGCCACGGGAGGTTGTATGTGCGTGTGGAACACGAGCTGGCATTGACGTGGTTGGTGATGGCGGAGGCGCTGCATGGGCTGCGGGATTTTGGGGACGAGTATGGGTTTTGGGGGTTGAGCTTTACGGTGCTGGATGATACGGCGGGGATCGTGGGGAGCGGCAGCGTTGGGGTGGGTTATACGTGAGTCTGGTCTGGGAAGGGGGTGGAAAGTGGGTTCGACGTACATATGAAGGCCGGCTCGATTCATTGATAGCATATATATGTACGCGTGAAGGGTAGGACAGGACAATTCCGTAAACTCCAGTATCCTTTGCCATGCTTCTTGCTCGCAGGAATGCCATGGGTACACAATGCAAAGGCGCCCACCGAGCGCCATACCATGAGATTCTCCTTCGCTCAGACCTTCCCCAAACACCTCGCAGTCGCTCCGCTAAGGGCGCCAGCATCCCAATCGCAAATCAAATGATGATCCATCCCAACTTCCACGCTCTTACCTTATTCCCAATCGGCCTCCTCTACCTGCCAGGAACACCCGGATCCAGATCCCGCCCATTCCGTCTTCATGTCTGTTGACCATCGTGCGGAACATTGACAGTGAGTGCATCGGGACGCAGGAGCCAGGAGCCAGCGCCAGGTCCTGCTCGAGGCCATGGTCCGTAAGCGCAGCCGTACAGCATACATTCTCCAACAATTGTCAACCAACCTTCCTCGCTGCGAGTCCAGCACGTCGCACCGATCGATAGGAACGGTAGTGAAACCCGCAGCAAAGCCCCCTCCCTCAACCAACCTCACCCACGGGCGGCAACCGCCACGGATCCCCCCCCTCCCCCAGCACCTCCTCGCTCCACCACGGGTCCCTTCCCCGCTCCAACGGCACCCACTCCACCGGCGCCAGATACGTCCGCAGGTCCACCACGCTCCCGCCCCCGCGCGCCCCGCCCACGACGTCGCCACCGCCCTTGTTCCGCCGCCGCCGCTCCTGGTACCCCGCGTAGACCTCCCGCACGCGCGCGCGGTCCTTCTCGTACTCGTGCCGGGCGTGCGCGCGCCGGATGGCGGGGCAGAGTTTCAGGGCCAGGGCGGCGAGGTGGGGTTTGGGGCCGTGGGGTGGGGCGCGGGCTGGGGGGGAGGAGGGGCGGGCGCGGAGGCGCTGGAGGGGGGTGGTTGGGAGGAGGGTGGACATGGTTGGGTGGGGCTGAAGGGTGTTGTGGTGGTGGTGGATTGGTGGTGAGGGTTGGTTTCTGGTGATGGGGTGTGAATCTTTTGTTGTAGGAAGAAGCTACTTGGGCAAAGAGGAGGAAGTGGTGAGTCCATTTTTTTTTTGAAAATGCAGGTTGACGTGGAGATGCAGACCCGGAGAATAAGAGATCTTCAATTTTCAGACCCTCAAATTCAATTGTATACCATAAATGGGGGGAGGAGGTCCGTGCGGCGTAATCCATGATGTAAGGCTCCCCTAAAGAGTTAGGGTTCCGTAAATCTTAACTCAAAACAGTGATGAGAGATGAACCAATTAGACGGTAGGACGGGCCGTCGCAAGCTTGCCTGCAAAAAGGAGCCGGACATTAAAGTAGAAATTTGGTTCATTATTTGACTGTCTGAAGTTTTAAGGGGCCATTGGAATCATCATCTCTGCGCTTCCAGTCATCGCTCTCGAGGCGCCTCATGAAGACAAAAGAAGGACCAGCTTTCACATATCACTAATAGGAGTAAAGAGATCAAGATTCAAAGGGTGTTTAATACCGTCAACCTTTTCCTGCATTAATGATTATCGCTGCCGTTGAAGCTCGCTTTCCTCGCCAAACGGAAGGCCAACCGCCTTGAATTATTAGGTAGTCGCACTTCCCATATGTGGGTATCCCAAAGATCGACCATGATGGCAAAAGGAACTTCTCGAATGCTCATTTTCTCCATACTCCCAAAAATCCCTCCAAGATGGCTAACATACCATAGACCCCAATCATCACGGAAACATCCGTCATCTCGTCCGACACTGGGTATTTGCTGCCTTTTGTCGCACCGGTTCCCTCTTTTATTTCCTCCGCCACCTTCACTCCGTTCGTCACTGCGAGCGCAATCCATACCGCCAAGTTCAAATATTTCCAGCCGAATATCATGCCTTCCAGCCCTTGTGTATAGTGGACCATTGCAGCCCCTATTAGGGTGACGAATGTGAAGGGTAGAAGGCCGATACCCCGGTCTGCGTAGGACAAGCGTACGATCTCGAGGATGCACATGCAGATTTGCGCGAAGACGAAGAGGTAGTAGAGTATGGAAAATGCTTTGCGGGTTTTTGCGTGCCGACGAGTCCGACCTCCGGTCTCGAGCCGGACGATCTCGACATCTTCGGTGGTTTTGTGGATGGGATAGTGACTGACGTCGGAGGGTCTTGAGGATTGGTGGGAGGCCCGAGTCGAGAGCCTCGTGCCTGTCACTGCGAGAATGACAAGTGCTAAGAGGTATACCCAAGTGCAGAGAGGTACGAGGATGGTGTCGAGGAAGCAGGAGGTGAGCATGTGGCTGTAGAGGTGGGAGAGTGGGCCCTATCATAGGTAAGCAAGGCTCAGGATCTCAAATTTTGGATGTCTGCCTACAAAGCCTTCCGGTCGGTTGGTACAAACCATCTCAATCATGTTGGACAGCGACGTTGTTGTAAGTTGCTCGCAAGTCAGTAAAAGGACTGTCGATCTGAGTGACGAGCCTATATATATGAAGATCGTCGTCACCGCCTTCTCACATTACTTTATTGAAAGAGCGGAACGGTCCTCAGCCGACCAAACCAGCTACTTTAGGTACTTTATTGTCGTTCCCGAAAAGAGCAGCACGCGCCTATTCTTGGATGGGTGCGTCAAGCAATCGCTGGAAAGAATTGCAAACGAGATAACGGTAAACCCAGAGATTCTCGGACCCGACTCGCTAGTCTCAAATCGGATACTCGTATCGACCCGGATATGCACTCGACAAAATTCGAACCTTAACAATAATAACTCATCCTTCCTCAACAACAGTGCGATAGGTAAATAATTGAAAAAGAATTGTAGCGCATAGAGTACGACTTCTGAATGTTGGAATGTTTTTGGATCCGATATTGTATTAGGGGCTATCAACGTTGCTATTGCGAGTCAGATAGTTGAAAAGTCGGTACGGGGATTTTACAAGAAGCAGAAAGTTATGCGCGAAATCGTGCCAAGATCTGCAAGCAGACACGTTTCGCTACTTCAATGAAAGAAAGTCACCATTGCACTTGCAGCTCCGTAGCTGCAAGCACACGGTCAAAAAGTTGGAACTTGGAAGCTGTAGAGCTGTAGCTCATGCTTTCGTTCATACTACAGCTTGCTACTATCTGACTTGCAGTAGTGACTTCGATAGTGCCTATCGACAAAGTTTTATGCTAGTGTAGTAGATATCGAGCCTGTATTTCTTACACTATTGTATAATTCCATCAATCCGACTTCAATTTCAAGTGTCCTTGAAGATTTGGAAATCGCATTCTATATCTTATAATCTTTTTAATCTATTTTTCTTTACATCGTTGTGGAACGATGAATTATAGAGGTTCGAATTTGGAGAGTGCATATGCGGGTAAAGTAGATAGGAGTAACGGAGCCGCCGGGGCCGGAACCGCCAGGGTCTCGAAAAGTCAGCGCTAGTACCGGGGGTATCATTCATTGGACAGCATCAGACTCACGGACAGATTGTAGGACTTTGTGCACAACGAGGCTTCTTCTCAGCCACCATTCGTCTAACCTCAAGAGTCACGGTGAAACACATGCTTTGATTGATTCATGGTCATGGTCGCTCCCGAAATCGTCCGGGCATCGAATGCCAAATTGAAGAACCTGCCTCCAGGATTGGTAGCGGTCTTTGGTATATCCCCTCCAAGTGTCGGTAGAGCACAAGCTGAGAGTCTGTGTGGTTGGTGCTACAAGTGGTATTGGTGAAAGCACCCTAAAGCAATTCTGCCGTCACACGATCAAGCCACGTGTCTATTTTGTAGGAAGGTGGGTGTCCTCAAAGCTCCGACTGTCGTGAGATAAGACTATGTCAATGTGACCTGACCACGTGGCTATCTAGAAGCCAAGATGCGGCCGGTCGAATCATCTCAGAGCTCAAGACCATCCAACCGGATGCCGAGACCACCTTCATCCGGAAAGACCTTACCCTCCTCAAGAACGTAGACGAAGTCTGCGATGAGATCAAAGCGAGAGAGGCGAATCTTAACCTACTGTTCATGTCACAGGGGACGATGTCCTTGAAAGGTCGAGATGGTAAGTCTCCTCATCTCGTGTCCTCAATACCGGCCCAACATCATGTGTTGACGACACGCTTGGCAGAGACTTCCGAAGGCCTCGACAAAAAGCTAACAACAAACTACTACTCCCGCATGCGCTTTACCCAACAGCTCCTTCCACTCCTCGAGTCCGCCTCCCCACAGCTGTCCCGTGTGGTCTCGGTGCTAGCCCCTGGCGAAGAAGCCCTCCTGGATTTTGACAATCTCGACCTCAAGCGGGATTTCTCACTCCGGAAAGCGGCGGCACACGCGATCACCATGACCGACTTCACCTTCGAGGAAATGGCAAAGAAGAGCCCGAGCGTGTCGTTCGTGCACGCGTATCCCGGCGCCGTCAAGACCGGCTTTGCAAAGGAGGCCGGATTCGCGGTCAGAGCCGCTAGCCAGGTAGCCCTTGCCCTGCTCTCGCCCTGGACCGTAGGGATCGAGGAGAGCGGGGAGAGGCACCTGTTTGCCGCGACCAGTGCGGCCTATCCGCCACGTGCGGGCCAGAGGTGCGGTGTAGAGGTTCGCGAGGGTGAGGTGAAGAAGGGCAGTGCCGGGCAGGTGGGCAGTGGTGCCTATCTGATCGGGTCGGACGGAGATGTAAGGGCTAATGAGAAGGTGCTGAAGGAGTTGAGGAGTAAGGATGCCGGAGCGAAGATTTGGGAGCATACGATGGAGATGTTTGAGCGTGTGAGGGGTTCTTAAGTGACATGGAGCCAATCAGGCTGCAAGTACAAAGATTGTTTCTGCCTCTCTTGCCGCATAAGTTGTCCTTCTCATGGTCGACCTTCGAGCGAGCAAGCCTTTCACTCTGAATCCTTAGTCCTCCGGTCTCGTATCTCTCTCTTTCCTCCACCGCAACCGTCCCCGCCCAGCCTCCGAATGCAACTCTCTCTACCGAAAAATTCAAACACAATCCCCCCACCCTCACCACCACCGTCGCGCATAACACAGAACCAAGCATCACACCTTGCCCGAGCCCCTCATTCCATGGTTGCATTCTTTTCGGTTGCTTTGCCACCGTCACAGACCGTCTTCATGTACCCCACATTGAGCTTTGAGCATTCTACCAGTCTAGATTTATCACGATTCCGTCGAGAGGGCGCCACAGTCCTTCCTTCCTTCCTTCCTGTGGCAGCCCTTGGATTCCGTGCGTGCAACCGCCACCAACCCACAGAGACGGCACGGTATCTATCATTGTCATTGAGAACAGAGTTACCATCATCGCGTCGATCATACTTAAGCCAATCATCGACTAGCCTCTTCTTCGAATCGGGTTTAGACCCCTATAGCACTTCCTCCGTTAACCCCCTCCTCCTCCTCCTCCTCCTCCTCCGTCTTGCTCCGACCAGTGCCCGCTCCACCTCATTTGTGATTATTCAAACTTGTTGCTGGAGGACACCGAGGCCCGTCCGGGGAGAAGAAGGCGGTGTGTACACCACCGGTGCCAAGTTGTGGCATGTTCGTGCCACAGGGGAAAATGGCGTCGCAAACGTAGTTTTTCAAGGGATGGAGACGAATGTCGGCGGCAGAGTCGGGGTCTCGCCGCGTTCGCGTTTGTCGCGTTCCTTTTCCCTGCTTCGGCTTTCCCGTTTTGAAGATTCCGGGGTTGGGATGAGCTGCTGGATTCCCGACCTGCCATTCACGCTCTGTCCGGGTTGCGGTTTTGGCCCAGGCTACATGATTTGTCCTTGTGGCGTCCCGTTTCTTTTGGGGGGGAGGTGGTTCTGCAGCCGTGTTCCGCTGCTGTTGCACGTTCGGTGTGGGTCCAGACGGTATTGCTTGACTTTGCTGCAGGCATTGTTGTGGGGCCTATCCTGGCGCTGTTGAATCCTTTTGGACCTTGACCGGTTGGTATACTTTGCGGCCGTTTGCGCGTTCGATGGAGTTCCTTACCCTCGTGCTCGCTTCGGACCTTTAGTATTGTGGGTGGACGCCTCCTCTCGGGAAGACAGCAAGTTGGCGTCCGTCTCTCGCTTCCTTTTCGAGCTATCAGTCATTTCTCAATCGGTGGTCTTTTCTTTCCTTTCGCTCTTCCAACATCTTCATGGCTTCCTGTAGATACGAATGTTGCTTTTTCTCTCGGATACCCACAAGGGTCCTGGGGCCGATCTGGAGCCATACCGGATTAGGGGAGCCGTACCGGGTTAGGGAAGCCGTAACCACTGTAGTCGACATCTTCTGGCAATGGGCAGCCACGGATCGGGTACGCCAATGCACGGCAGAGTCGCTCGACCTCTTCTTCCGTATCAACCCTTCTCAACGTGAAGCGCGTACCATAATGCTCCCTCCAGGCAAACCTTACACCGGTAACATCAACCCTGATGAGCTTCACATTGTCTACGTGACGCTCAAACAGTCTTCCAACCACGAAGAACTGATACCGTCCGATGTTGCCGTTATTTGCATGGATCAACATTGCCCGTAAGCTTGCGGCATTGCTGGCCCCGACCCTGTTGAGGGAGCACGCGGATGTTGAGTCTTTGAGCAGGAAAGGACCTTTTGCCCGCCAACACTCGTCCTTGTATTTGAATGTGTTGTTGCACTGTTCAGCAAGGTCGTGGGCCAAAGCAACTTCATCCTTGGCACCTTGTGGCAGGTAGGAGTTGAAGACAACTTTCTCATATAATAAAGAAATAGCTTCGGCGTGGACGGCTTTGTAGGAGAAAACAATGGCGGGGTAGGTCCGGGAAGGGACGGGTTGCTATGGAGACCAGGGAAATGCCACCGTAGAGGGTTTCATGCCTCCTGGTTTGTTATCCCGATGCTCAATTATGGGAGTCGGAACCAAATCCTTATAAGGGCCTATAAGCGGTCTGGCTGGCTAGGACACTGATTGTACGGTTAAGAGGAGACAGCCATAAATTTGAAGACAAATCCCCGAATCGACTATCAGCTGTCTGGTGCAAGCGCAAGTACTTGGTCGACTCACCTGGTTCCAGATCTAGAATTCAAAGTGCGGTATGTCGAAGGTCAGAAGTATCTGATAGCAAAGGATTCTATGTGATCTAGGAACAGTGTCTTTGGCAACTCAGTGTGTAGAACCTCCCAGTTGACTGAAGCCTTGGAGCACGGGGCACTGGTCGAGGGCGGTGAGATAGTCGTAGTCATCGTGTGTTAGTCTACTTCGAGTGCTGGATCTACATCAGTTGAGGCCATGTGAGAATGATCTTCGACAGATTAAAGTTCTGTCGCTGTGGCTCAATGTTGTGTACGCGGATGTTCTGGAGCCTTCTCTTCTGCTAGCATTGATAATCGCAGAGAAGCTTTCATCAAGAGTTCATTACTTCGGAGACTCGTGAGACCAAGTGCAAGATAAACGCCGTCCCAAATCTATTCCCGACGACTTGATAGTGATTGTTGAGATGGTAAAGAAGGTGGAAGTCTGGAGGGAGCGTTACATGGAGTTGATAGCGTATGTAGTAACTCAATCAATTGACAGCTCTTATCATGATCGAAATTGTATTAGAGTCATTCCGAAGTATCTATCGAAGTATCTTTCGGAACGACACAGGCGGGATGTATCAAGTACCCCAAGGGGGCCCCATGTCCTCAATGCCTAGAGGCCTCAAGATTCAAGCACAGGCTAATAGTATCTGTACGTTGCGTCAGTACACCCTACGCACTACTCGAGGGTGACCAAATGGGTGGTCTGCACTGAGGGCCCGCAGAGATCGTAAAATATACTTGCTACCATACAATCGAGAACAAAAGCTCCAATCACAAATCGTGTAATCAATGAATTATTCTAGTCGCCTAAATACAGAAGCATGAGCGCACGTGGAGCCATCGAAGAAGTATCCGAGTCCAAATTTCCGCCTCAGAGCACTTTATCTCGTCATCCCCAAGACGCACTTGGTGGAATCTCAACGCCAAAGCGTGCCCAAAGCATCCCCAGTCGTTCTACCATGACTGACTCGGACGTCCAAACTCAGAGCAAGTCTATTCCCACTAGCGCCGTTTTCCATGCCTATCTCTCTTCAGGCGTTTCACCAGCTCGTGACTCGATATTCGGTCTCGCGGATCCCATCGCAAACATTCCATCATGCAGTCATTCAGCTCGAGGGAATAGGATTTCGGCAGTAGCGTTGGCCTCCTAGCTGCTGGTTGGCTCTCCCATTCTTTTTGTGAGAACCTTGCCGGACGTGGAGTGATAGGAGGTCGTCTGTGACCCATCCAATGGATAATTGCGCCTAAACCCCATATATCACCTGCCGTACTGTGGTGTGGCAGTTCTGGACCTTGCCAGCACCGCATGAGCATGGCTTCTGTGTGCGGCTTCAACGTGGCCGCCCCGAAGTCCCCTAATTTGAGATTAGGCCAAGGAGCTGCGTGACGGTACTTCTGCTCGAGGAAGATATTATCGGGCTTGACGTCCCGGTGGACTACCAACTGTGAGCCAGCATTGTGCACCACATCCAGGGCTTCGGCAATCTGGATGAAGCAATGCCAGATGAAGTCCTCGGAAAGCCTGCCATACTGGGTAACCGCATGCTCCAAATCTCCTCCTCGGCAGTACTCAAACAGTTCGATCAGATAGTCATCGTTGCGCGGGGATGGTGTGAACCAGAAAGTAATTAACTTCACGACCCGTCTACTAGGAGGTAGGACGTCATTTAAAATTATCGCTTCTAGGGGACTGCTGTTGATCTTTGTGTACCAGTCTACCTGCTTGCGAACCGCAAGTTCGCCGTCGCTCTTTCGTTCCACCAGTTTGCATCTCCCTTGCGCACCTTCTCCAATCGTTCGGAGCACACGCCATTTCTCCAAGTGGTTTCCTCTTACAGGCATACTCTCGAACGAAGTATCTATTGACGGGGCCTTGTTGTTGTGTTCATGGAGATGGCTTCGCTGGTAGAGATAAATCTTAGTGGAGACAGTCTGCAAATAGAAATTGCCTAATTTCGAATATCGAAGCTGACGGTAGAAGGTGGAAATTGTTAGAGGGGAAGGGATTCGAAAAGTGTTTTAAATGTAATAGAGGAAAAGTGTTATGGTTTGGGAGTTTTAAGTAAAGTACCTAGAAGATATTTGGGGTTTCAATAGGACAAGGCGAAAGCGTTGTAACTTCCAGAGTGTCAAGGACCGAGAAGGTCATTCGGGTCTAAATAGGACCGATGCAAAGTGTTATGGTTTTCTAAGTGTTAAGTACTTGTTTTATAGATGCCGAAAGCGGTTTACCACTAGGGCAGAATTTTTGCCACAGTTGAAGGAATTTGTCACTTCTGAATTGACGTACCCGATAAGGAAAAGTGACAAACTCAGCAAAGGGCGAAATAACACAATGTGCAATACGAGGATCGCATTTGTGCGGAGCGTATCAGTTATGTGTATGATAGAGGACCCAAGAGACTCAGCAGGGTGACTGGCGAGAAAGAAAATGCCGGACTGCTTTCTTATGAGACTCATCTTGGGGAAAACGAAGGTAGGGGTTGTCTTTTATGAAATATGCATCGACCGACCTCCTGCATGAATGTCAATGACCCGAGAAGGATTGGTACGTTGGCTGACGTGGTAGATGGAAAGTTCATAATTCGAACAGGTGACACTGTAAGGACGTAGCATGAGAGCCGCTAGGATATTGACACTTCTTTCCTAAAGGCACATAGAAGCTCCTTAGGAAAGACCTTGAAGGGCTTTTCTATGAGTGCGCTCTGATACCAGCCGCGACCGATGAGTATCACGTTTCGACGCACAGTAGGTCAGAAAGTATGTGGCGATAACTGAAGCATGTCAGTGAAAAAAGGAAAGATTATCCACGTCAACTTCCGGATAATCCATTATAAGGTATGAAATGGTCGAACTTCTTGCATCATTAACTTTAGAATTCTCATCTTGTTCAATCTAAGGACGATCTAGAACACCTAACATGCCAAGCAAACGATATGATTGTGTACAATGTCACGAGTCCGTGATGACGGAAGCTACCTCTGCGTTGTCACCTTCTGCAATCACTCACTCCAATCCGGGGACCACAACCCGCTATAAGGATTCCACGTCTCTCCATCCTCACGATGCACCTGCCATCTCTGGCTGTTATTCAAGCCACTATACTCACGCCCAAAGTCCATCCCCAAAGCTCCTCTTCTCTCCATCTCTCGGAAGAGCGCCTCCTCTTGCTCGGCGCTGAGCGGCTGGAGCAGATCCTCCGATGATGACGGAAATCGAGCACGAGCACCGGAATCCCGGAGAATCGAGTATACTATGGTCTCCCTGAAAGACAGTGTCCGAAAGGCGGTCGCTAAAGCCTGAACAACCTTATCCAGATGCTGAGGGTCTCCTTCCTCGGGGTTGATTGGCTCAGATCCGCTGAGTTGTAAGTAGGGGTATGGTGACCAATGACTCACGCTCGCTCCTGGAGGCGGTACTCTGGGTGTTGTGATGACCGCCCTGGCACGTCGAATACTTTCTTGGTACTGTTCGGTGGTAGTCTGAAAGAACTCAGGCCACCAACCCCGTACTCGGTCTTGCGCATACTCCTCCATCGCCTCCATTTGCGGCACTTCTTGCCCTGGTCGTGGAGGTTGGCCAGCTTCCCCAACCATGCGCAGAACATCCAGGAAGAAGACGCCTAGATTCGCTCTACGGGGATGATTCGTTCTGCCGCTGGGTCCATGCCAGTCATCTTCTTCGTCCTCCAAGTCATCTTCCTCCTGCTCAATTGTTCCATGCTCCATATATGGCCGAGGTTGGGCTGGGAAGAATGCCCTTCTGCAAGCTGGGCATGAGTTTCTGGCCTCTTCATTGGGAGATAACCATATTCGAATACACTGAGCGCCGACGTGGTGACCACAGGGCAGGCAAACCACGACTTCCACAGCACCATCATGCTCTAGATTGGTTCCATACACCTCCAGGCAAATCATGCATCTGCTTTTCGATGGTAAGGTTTCGAAGTTGACTTGAGGAAGCCCATCAAGAAAGATTTGGGCCATGGCGGAGCAATTCACTGTTGATGTCAGCGTTTCGGTATTTCTGAAAAGGAGTTGGGGGTACCCCGTTGATTATTAACAACAGCATAGGAGTTCACGGATCAGGTGAATGGTACAGCTCAGGAAAAGTGTTGTCGGTCTGTGTTAATCATACAATGGAGGCCATGGACGCACAAAGAGGAAAACCACGGATAGTACTGGAAGCGCTTATTGTCATTGTCACTGTACGAGATCTCCGTATCCGAGAATGGCGTTGATTTCCTTTTGCCTTGAAAGAGACATGGTTTACGGTTTTGGGCCGTCTTGCCATTCTCCTTTGCACTGCTGCGGCTCTTTCGCTGAACGTTTGACACCACTAAGGAACTTGGCGTGTCAATGGAAGACTAGACAGATTGTGGTACCAAAATTTCTCGGCGTCACATGCTCATACATCGTAAGTGGATAATCTATCCAGGGAACAGCAAATAGATGTGCTGGACACAAACAGCATCCAAACGGTGGGGATGCCTCAGCTGGCTGCCAGCAACATACTACGGGACCAATGAGACATATCCAAGCATCAGCACCAAGCTGAAATCCCAACGCCGCACATCGTTGTTATTTGACGGCTTTCCTTTTCCAACGCTCATTACGGGCGAAGTAGCTTGGTTGACTCTACTTTCGTAGACCTTTATAGTCACACCCGGACAAGTCGTTGATCTCGCCAGGTATAATGTGGATCCGCTGACTTGCTCTGCTATGGCAAAGCGTTACTTGATGTGAGATCGAAAAACGCAAACGCTAAATAATACGACCTATCTGGGGACAAAGGTTCACGTTTTAAGCGTCTCGCAAATATTGGCTTCCTGTTTTCTTGTCGTGGTTTCGTCGCTTTGTTCTTGAGGCGCGGATATGAACAAGTAGATGAGCAATGAGCGTGAGTTGAACAAATTCGTATTATCTTGTGAAACACCACCGGGCTTTTTCTGCAATCTGGTTGCCCGGGTTGTTCTTCCTCTCGTCATTTTCGAGGCAGTCATAGATACCGGGAATTATTCCCACTGGAGCCAGGACACTGCGCAGGCAAAGATCCGTGGCAAGCAGGCATTCTAGGCACCTAGAGAAGTGATAGCATGTGCGAATGAATGATCAGCCCGGGACCGAGATACGAGACCGGCGTGTCTTTTTCTGCGAGAATGGTCAGCAGCAGAGCGCGATGAGTGGAGATTGATTGTTAACGTGAATATTCGGGTTACGGGTCTCTTATTTTACTCCTCGAGTTTTTCCCACTACCTGACCCTGAGAGATCCATTGGTACTCGTGATCTGGCTCTCGCTTGGGAGTCGGCGCATCAGTAAGCCGCTTCGCGGAGCGGAGACGACGACAAAAGTCATGTGGAATCAACAGGAACAGAGAGTGTATTCGATGCGGAATACGTCAGGTTCGGAGCTATCTCTTTTACTGCGGCAGCAATTTGGAACCGAAAACTTCTAGTCACCTAGAATGCAGCAACGGCGTAGAGCCTTGACGATGCCAAAGACTGGTTGTCGCGCTCAAGACTTCTTTTCTTGGATCCATTCATTGAGGACCTGAAGCGCTTTCTTTGTTTGAGTTGAATAAGATTCGGTTTGGAAATTTGATTGAGACATGTAAGATGATCCTTTGTTCTCCAAAAACAGTATCTTCGACCTAGTAGGCGAGAAAGAACGCACCTTAGTTCTAAAAAAGCTCCTTGTGCCTTTGATGAAGCGGCATTCTGTGTCTGCTACGAATTTCTTATATGATCTGTTCTCAATTCCTCCTTGTACCGGTAATTATTCTCTCATTCACAATATCAGTATAGTAAGTATTAGACGACGAAAATGGATGCTTTGCCTTTGCGACAAGCTGGAACACAAAACTCTCAACCGCAGCGGCTTCCTTTTCATAAAGCAGGGCACTCTCAAACCACCATCGATTTGTACCTCAGACCTATCGCGAAAGTCAAACAGGGCCAGAATGACATACGTAATTACTTTTCTCCGGTGGCCGGGACCAGTTCAGTTCCAAAAGGCGAGTCTAGATCTCCTGCAAAGGTGCTAGTCACTCCAAAACCAAGTCATGGAAATAATGGCGTAGGCCCATTTCACACGCCAAGTCCGAGCCCGAGTCTCCAAACCCCTGTGGAGAGCACACCATGCATTCCTGAGAGCCAACAATTCAACAAAAGAGCACCAGATATCCCCGTTAGAGTACGAAAACACAACCATGTCAAGTCCGCAGTGCTGCCGAGATTTGACCCCTTTTTCGACAACGACGAGTACCCGCATTCCACATCCCCAATGGCACCTAGAGTCACTGACGTTGTGCACCATTCGCTTGTCCCGAAACCTTTGAACATCAAAATGCCTCCCCCCACAGACGAGGCTAGTAGATCTCCAAGCCAGACCACTTCTTCGCCTTCGAGTGTGGGAGATGCTGATACCGCCTCCCTTGACGGGGAAGGGCGAGAAGCTCCAAGCTTCAAGCAGACGTATATGAGCGTCCATTCTCGCCAAAACACGATTGATAGCCCTCTCAGCCCTCTCATGGCATTGCGTGATCCTAGCCCAAAGCCATTGCGCCAGCGTGTGGATCGCCCTGCCGCTCTGAGATCCATAACTGCGCCAGAATTGTTAGAGCCCTGTTCTACTGACAGCATTATTTACTTTCTCCCGGAGATTTCGCCAACTTCAGACGCATCGGCAGATGAACGAGAGCCTTTGATGGGGGTCAGCAATTCGAGGACGAAAACCAACACTTCGATCCGAGACGTATTCAGACGCAAGAGGCAGGCTGTGAAACTTGGAAATGTTAGTCCTGCCCAGAAAGGTAGGAGGGAAGATGTGCTGAAGGAGAAAGCTGTGACGGTTTCCCCAGGTATGCGAAGACGCGATGCATTGATGATCGAGGTTTGTTACTGACTTGCGCAGGACTACAACGGTATTATGACTATCTTGCATCTCGAAAAGATGCAGCTCCTGTCAAAGAGAAAGGGAGAGAAATGGAAAATGTAGATCATAGCAAAAAGAATGAGGAGAGTGTGCCCTCAGGACGCTCCGAGTCGGGATCGTCCAGCAAGAAGAAGAAGAAGAAGGGAAAGGGGTTGCTTAGGTTGATGGAGGCTTACTCGAAACATGTAGAAGGGCTACAGATGATACAGTAAACGCTGGTGTATATAGCAAGTTCGAAATCTAAGTTCCAACCAATTGATGGCACGGTGACTTCTGGATAGAAACATTCCATAAATACGTTCAGGAAACAGCTAGTATCTCATGAATAGCTCATCTTGAGTTTCCGTGGTCTGGGATGTTGAAACCGGACGGTAAGTCGTTACTGATATCACTTACGAGAGCATCGTCTATTGTATGAGACATGCTGATGAGTCACCTGGCATGTCGACTGGACCGACGAGGGCTGTTGCGCGCTTGTAATAGTGGCGGTCTGGGGTCCGGGGTTAGCGCCGTTTCCCATCAACATTTGGTCAAAGCTTTGTAACGACGCGTCAAAGTCACGTTAATCATAGCCCGACTCTTCGATCTGACTTGCTCCAAGATAATTGTCCAAATCCTGATTGATTACCTTGCAAGACTTTTTCTCGATTACTTTTCCGCGTCGCAATTTGCGACCGTGGCGTGGTCTCTTGCTGAATTTGTGCAGAGACCGACTGAAGAGTTCCTCGACTTGGAAGACTGATCCCCATACGGTCCTTCAACAGCTGGATACTCTCGAGTTGGCCGAGCAAGAAGGCAGCATGCCAGCGTTGTTATCGAGAAGGATACCGGAGACTCAAGAATTATGAATGAGCATGTACGTTGGGTGGCATCCTTGGCCATCAGTTCTAATGAGATTGACTTAAGAAGATGCCGGCCATCATTCGGGTCCTTGACGTCTCTTATGTTTGAAGCATCCTCATCGAAGAGGACGCTCGAGGGGCCATGGAATTCGGTTATCCTTGATATATCTGCTCTCGCGGGGCTCAGTAAGAAGCTTTTTCATGGAGGTAGGGGCGTCATCCGTGAGGCTGGGTTGAGCAATTGGGTGAGGATTTTCTCCTATTGGAATTCTCCCAATCGAAATGTTTGTCATTCGCACGCTTCTTTGCGCCTCTTGGTCCTCAAATGGCTAGAACCGGCAAGAAAGGCAAACAGTTGCCGATTCTCCTCTCCGAGGCGCGGTATGCGATCATTCGAGGTCCTAGAATTTGTTTGGTCCTTGGGTGTAGGTACATGCTTGTCCGTACGTGATGCAGTTAGAAAACTTAGGGAGTCGATTGTTATACTTCATCTTCCTCTGATGGCAGAATTGACAGTCTTCCTGTGCTCCACCTGTCCTGAATTTCGCGCACGGTCCGTGAGACGAGCGGGTAGAAAGATAAGCACTACGCTAACGCTCGGACATCTTTCCACTTTCATCTTAGTCTTGTGTTGCCCAAATTTCTGTCGTTCGAAGCTATTCTATATTTATTATATATAATAATTTCTCGAGAATTACTAATATATTAGTATTAAAGTAGCTTCGAAAGTTTAACTTCGATATAAAGAATTACTAAGATAAAGAAGGTCGTTTCCCCTTAGCTAAATATCTAAAATATCTTAATATACTTTTTATTAACGATATTTTCGAGTAGTTAGAAAGTTATCTAGAAGCTATTCGACTTCTTATCGAAGTAGAGTATACTAGTTTTTAATAGACAATCTAGTAATTCCGAGTTATCTTCTACGAGAAGTTTCTCTCGAAAGCTATAAAAGTAAGTGTGATTTCGTTCGATGTCGAAATTGTAGATCTATATTAACGTTCCGAAGAATTCCTTTCTTTCTACTTTAAGCGTGTTATTAACTTAATATAGAGAGTTAAGATTAAGAATAAACCTACTATTACGTCTAGTGCTATCTTTAATCTTCTTAAATCTACTATACTTAATATTATTCTTTATACCTTTATTAAAAGATTAAATAATTACGAGATTTAAAAGAAAGTAATAAGAGGTATAATATCGTCCGATAGATCTCTATATATAATCTATAATCTCGTAAAAGAAGTATAACGTATTAACGTCGAAATCTAGAAGCTTTTAAATAAAGAATCGAGATTCAATTAGCTATAATTCTATAAGTCTCTTATAAAACGAAACTTATCGAAGTAGCAGATAGCTTTTTTACTTACTTCTCATTAAGCTATTAAAGCTTTAAGGCCCTTATATTATTAGTTTTAGTTTTTCTATACGAATTTATTAAAGTAGTTACTAGAGGCTTTCGCGGGACCTTAACATTTCATATAATTCCAACCTCTAGAGTATTATTATTCTTTATATAAAGTTTTAATTCTAGCTTCGACTTTAATCTTAGCTTAGAATTCTAATAAAGAAAACGTTAATAGAAGCGAATCTTCGAATCTTATAGCTGATAGTCACTTTTATAACTATTAGTCTATTTTAAAAGATATACTCAACTATAGTACTTCGAAAAATTCTTATATTAATAATATAATTTATTAATCTTATAAGAAAGATAATTAGCTATATATTAAGTGTAATATTAAGAATTACATCTCTTCTAATTATAAGAATACTTTACTATCTATCTAGAAATAGTTATATCTAAAAATACTTATTTTCGAGGATAATTTATAGTTAAATTTTGCTTTCATTAGATTCGAGAAGTTTAATGAATCTTCTAGATCTTATAAGATCACCCCTTCGCCGAAGTCTTCCGTAACCTCTTCTTCTTCTTCTTCTTCTACTAAATCGAGTTAATTAATATCTTTAAGTTCTATAGATTCTTATATTTCTTCTTATTCTAATTTAATATAGTTTAAAATAGTAAGGCTAAATCGATCTCATTTCGCTAATATAAAAACCGCTAAAGCTTTTCTCGATAAAGAATTAGAATTTAATAAGTGAGCTTACGTAGAAGAAGTATTAGTATTAATATCGATATTAATATCTTAATAATAATAAGAAAAGTAATCTAAAAGGCTTTAATTAGTATTTATTTAATTATAGCAATTTATATTATAGTAGTTTTAGATATCTTAATATTAGTAAAAGTAATTTAATATTAGCTTAAATTTCGATACTTCTTTTTACTCGCTATAAGTTTCTATCTAAATAGATTTATAGTAGTCTTCGGTAGTTATAGATTAAGAACCTTCTTTTTAGAATTAACTATATTTATTTCAAATTACTTCGAAAGAAGAGCGTTCTAAATATAAAGATAAGAAGCGAGTTAATAAGAAAGTAGAACTTTAGCCTTTAATAGACCTATTTAATAAATCTAAATATAATTTTCTTATTTCGATTCGATATATACTTTAGAGTACTAAAGTCGATATAAGTATAATAGATCTTATAATATAATTATCTGCTATGTGTAAGGAGTTAAAGCGCCTTTATACTCGAGTTTCTAAGAAATAAACTTCGAAGTCTGCTATAAATACTATGTAAGTATCTTTAATTAGCTTTTAATCTACGTTTATTTAATAAATTCTATAGATATCTATACTATCTTTAAGGTATTTGTAAGTCTATTAATTTATATCGATATTTCCTTCTATATCTATATCTTAAATATCTATATCTCTAGAAAACCCTACTACGTTAGTATTCGTATTCTATATTAATACTTCTACTATAAAAGCTGAGAAGCATATATATTTTCTAAGCTCTCTTATAGATATAGATAAGATGTTTTATATTTTTATTATTATAAAGAAATTGAATAGATTTAACGTTAGCCTCGAGAAATCTTATACTTAGACGAATTAAGGTTTCGATATAAATGTAATATCTTTTAGACTAGTATATCTTCTAGGTCTATATCTCTATCTACTTTCGAAGATTAGATTTAAAGGTCTTTTTATATATATAGCGAATTATCGTAATATTATATTAGAATATTAGATATAACTTATAATTGATATAAAGGAAATCTAAAGAAATATTCGATACTTTATAGCTTCGGAAGTTATAT